AAATAATATATGACGGAATCGTCTATCTTTTACGGCTATTTTATATAAATATTTAAATCTGAAGAAAATATGACTAGAAAAAATTCCACGCGGACCAGGCAGCAGACGGGACTCGAACCCGCACCCTTCGCTATCCGGGCGAATGCACTGACCAAATTTAGATTTAAACATCAAGCAGTTACATGCTTATATAATTAAAATTATAAATATAAATATTTATTTCTTTCCATAAGAACAATTTAGGTAATTAATAAAATTAACAAATAACATTATCCATGTTGCTACGTGGTAGTGAGAGACGGCTCAACTCTTAAGTTATGACTCAGTGAAGTATGGTTGAAAAGAAAACAGTCTAACAAATACTTAATTTGACTGATAATGATCTGACACAACTCTGAGTCACAGAATAAATTATATCTTAACTAGTGGCCCGCCCTCGCTTCGCTTTGGTGTAGAGCTGTCGTGTAGACTATAGTTTTTGTTCTCAGGCTTGAATGAATGAAAATGACATTCTTCTTATACCTTATTACAATTAGGCACGCACCGTCAAGCCCCCCGCCCGGTAGCGTCGGAACCGCTATGTCCCTGCATTTTGTAATATCTTCGAAAATATTCATTTAAATTACATGAGTTAAAGGGCCAAATTGGTCTATATTAAATGCACAATGTATTTAAGGTACTGTATTGGATAAGGATGAATGTTATATTGCTGAAAATCGCTTCGTAAAAAAATCTATTATTTCTCGTAAAAAGTATAGGATAAAAAATGGTTATTGTGGGTTATCCCTAAGAGATAGACATATACCATCCTAAAGTTTTTTGTAGATCTTTTTAAGGTGTACAATACTGTAGTACATTATTTTGATCTATCTTGTAGGGTTCAGCGTTTGCAATGTAAGCGCAAAAAATGTGTTTATTTACGACCTTACATTATAAACCTCTAAAATTATCAGTGTTTCTCTAGTATATTATGCATGTATTATACATGCAAACCTTCCTCTTGAATCACTCTATATAATAAAAACAAACCACATCAATATCCGTCGCATAGTTTTAAAGATCTAAGCATACTTATGGACAGACAGCGGGAAGCGACTTTGCTTTATACTATGTAGTGATAACATGCGACAAAGGTTACAAAGTGTAACTTAAAGGCTTAAAACTTAAACTAACAAAATTCATATTTAATAAAATCAAAATCACAAAAAAGAATTTGAAATAAAATACTTTATTAAGTAAATTAAATAATAAATTCATACATAGACAATAAAACTTAAAAATCGAACAATGAAATAACCGAACGCTCAATAAAAGTCTTTCGAAGGTAGCTCGACAAATTGAATAAAAGTTTTATTCTGATGACGAAGCCTGTAAAGGCTACGAAACGTCAATAAATAAATAAAGTTTCGTGCATTAACCCGTAAAAACTAGTTTTATTTAATGAGTGATGTGCGTGAAAACCCAAGAAACAAATATATTTTCTTTAGATTTAAACATGAAGCAGTTACATGCTTTGAAAAAATATAAATTATAATTATAATTGCTATTTCTTCTTTCAAATGTTTAATACTTGTAAAAGTATTCATTTGACATTGTGGGTTACCTATAATGCGAAGAGATGGCGCTGCCTTGCAGCTTAAGAATGGCTAGAGGAATTTCGACGCGGTCCGTGAGGGCCGCGGTAGCATAATTGGTCAGTGCATTCGCCCGGATTGCGAAGGGTGCGGGTTCGAGTCCCGTCTGCTGCCTGGTCTGGTCCATACATGTATTTCATTAACTAGCTATAAAAGAAAGAAAATGTCCGCGCGCACTGCTTTCTTTTGCTTATATCCCCCACTCAACTCCCGTTCGCCTCGCCCGAACACACTTTTCATAACGCGTAACGCATTCGCCAGCTTAGCCCCCCAAGTCAAGCGTGAGTAAAGAAGCTTCACTTCAACAAATATTAAAGTGTTAGTGGCCCAGTCACAGTTTAGTATTTGGATGTATGGCCCGAGTCAAAATAGGTTTGAGTACCACTGCTTTATAATATAATGACTGAAAAAAAGTTGCTCTCACTCACATCAAAAATGCTTTGTTCGCTGACAAACTTTTTTGCTCTCACGTCGAAACTTCTTCTCTGACAAATTTTCGATCTGTAACCTTAGAACGAACCAATAGCGAACTGATTACTTAATATGTACTGATTTTTAGTTCTTGTTACGTCGTTTGTGGCGTTGCTGTTCAAGTTTTCATACAAAATTTGACTATGACATTTCGGACTCGCAAACGTTCCGAATTCGATATAAATTCGTGCTAATGGTAGCCATACACACTACGAGAAATCGTTACGATTAGACTGTACAGTCCGAACGGTACCGATAAATCGTAGCGTGTATGTTATAAAACTGCACAGTTTCCTATACTAAACGAAATCGTATAAACTGTTCCGTTCGAACTGTACAGTCTGATCGTAACGATTTCTCGTAGTGTGTATGGCCGGTATTACAAAAGTGCACAGTTTCCTATACGTACGTCACATACGATAAACTGTTCAGTTCGAACTGTACAGTCTGATCGTAACGATTTCTCGTAGTGTGTATGGCTACCATAAGGGTATTGCTCGCGGGAAAGTTAGTTCCTATCACAATCTATGTTTTAGTATCGTTCTCAGACCAACATGGGAAAAATAAAGATTTATTAATTGGAAATCAAACTTTTAACCTTAATTATCGTTGCGTCAATTGGTAATTAAATGTTTTATCATTCAAACACATTAATAATATATCTAATAATAAATATTGTATCATTTCAATTAATGAGTAATGATAATCACAATATTTTTACTGAGCATGTTACCGATACGTGTGATCAAAGATCACAGTGTAATATGTCTAAGGTCATGTGTGAGGCGAGATCCTATGTTCCCTAAAATATGGTTGAGCGATGATAGAAAGAACGAAAGAAATAAATTTTATTAGCCTTAAACATAGTCATTTTAATATAAATAAAACAAGCCAAAATAGGCCAACTAGGTCCCTGCCTCAGCTTAATACTACAGCAAAACCAGGGGGCCAATCGCCTAACGGAAATGCTTTGGGAAACGCTAACGCTTACGATTTTATATTGTTATTTCTAGCCGCCTGAGGTTTTCGAATACCTCACGCTTTTTTTTTTTAATATTGTTATTACCAATGCAAAAGAAAAAGAAAGAGCGCGAGGCATTTGAATACCTCAGGCGGCTAGAAATGGAATAGCACTACGGAACTACTCAAAGGTCCCGGGTTCGGATCCCGGTCACACAAACATCTGCCCCCTCCGGGATTCGAACCCTGGACCTCTCGAGTAGGCGACACCTTGAAACCCAGTGTACAAACCCCCCCCCCCCCCCCCTCTTTTTTGTGTCTGGGAAATGCTTTACGCATCCTTCAACCACCGGGGGAGCGAGAAGAAGGTATGTGGGACTCCTCCCTGCTCATTTCAGCCAGCCCTTAGGTCGGGTGAAATGAGCACGCCCTGAACAGGGCCACTAAAAACCAGACAATAATCCTGCACCGGTCACCCGGCGTACATTCTGAGGACCGCAGTCCCACCAATGCACGCCGGGAGTGCGGGTGTGGTCGCGGCAACCGTTGCCGACTGTCCGCGCAGTGTACAAACCCCTCGACCACGGAGGTCGTCATTTATTTACTAGCTGTTACCTGCGGTTTATTAGGGACTAGCAAACCAGTGAACCAAATGTTCACCAAAACCTGATTTCTCGAGTGCTACGTTACTCAAATCCGGTTTGTAGTCTTATCAGACTATTCTTAACTTATAACTTAAATATTCTCTTTATCTATCTCTTACGGTTTGGCCGCTGAAACAGCACCACAGACAGACGGACGGACTTGTCTAATAGATAAGAGATATTTTCCCGCAGTAAAACGTAGCCTATGTGTTAATCCAGGATGTCAGCTAAATCCATACCAAATTTTTATTGAAATCGCTCCAGCCGTTTAGACGTGAAGAAGTAACAAACATACACACTCACAAACTTTCGCCTCTATATAAACTATCATCATCAAGCACATTTAATTCATCTATTAAAATATATAACAAATTGCCTAATACAATAATGAATGAAAATAATTAGTTAATTGACATTTATAAATAAGTTAAAGGTAAATGAATAATTACTTATAATTAATAATAATTATAATGTAAATGAATATTTTAATGATGAAATCAGTAATTATTAATGTACATTTACAAATAATTGATAATTTTTATTTTATTACAATATGTTTATTATTTATTATAAATATTTTTTATATTATCCAATATATATAAAATTCTCGTGTCGCGGTGTTTGTGGTTAAACTCCTCCGAAACGGCTTTCCCAATTCTCATGCAATTTTGTGTGCATATTGGGTAGGTCTGAGAATCGGACAACATCTATTTTTCATAACCCTAAATGTTAAGGGTAATCCACACCTAAATATTTTTTTTCAATTTTATATATTTTTTTTTTAATTTTTTATGATACATTAAACAAAAATACATACAACCCTAAATTTTCTCTTCTACCACCTTCAACTATATTTATGGTGGTACGAAGTTCGCTGGGTCAGCTAGTATTTATATAAGTACCTACCACCCACTGTACACATTACGGTTGCATTATAAGATTTGAGTTTAATATTTTTTTTTTACACTCGCACCAATTAGCCTAGCCCCAAAGTAAGGCTGTAAGGCTTGTGTTATGGGATACTAGGGAAACGGATAAAATACATATACTGTACATATATAAGTATATTTATATAGAAAATACATATTAAACATCCATGACTGGAGTACAAATGTTCGTATTCATCACACTAACATCTGCCCCCACCAGGATTCGAACCCGGGACCTCTCGAGTCAGCACACCATGAAACCCGGCGTACAAACCACTCGTCCACGGAGGTCGTCAAATTATTTAGTTAGTGTGATTAAATAAACTATCTAGTACTAATTTTATCCATTCTGTGCCCTCCAGGCCCGCATGGAGGTGGACGATCTATTCGTGGACCTCGCGGACGGCAGACGTCTGCTGAAGCTGCTGGAGATCATCAGCGGCGAGCGGCTGCCGCGCCCCAACACGGGTCGCATGCGCGTGCACAAGATTGAGAACGTCAACAAGAGTCTGAGTTTCCTGCACACTAAGGTATTTTATTTTTTCTATCTATTCTTTAGTGATGAATCCCACAATCGTGAGGCGCCTCGTTTGAGTTCCTCATCATCATCATCATCATCAGCCTCTTAATGTCCCCACCGCTGGGGCACAGGCCTTCCCTATGGATGGAATAGGGAGATTGGGCCATGACCCACCACGCGAGCCCAGTGCGGATTGGCGGGTGCTAACGACCGACCGGGACCAACGGCTTAACGTGCCTTCCGAAGCACGGAGAAAATCGAGATAGAAATTTTTAGATCACCCATTCAATGACCGACCACTGCGAAAGTTGCTTAACTATAACGATCGCAGCCGAACGCGCTAACCACCTGCGCCATCGAGCTAGTACTTCCTCCTAGTACTTCAACTTTGAACGACCTCATTTGTCTCCTCATTTCCTCCTCATTGTGGGTAGGTGCGGCGCGAGCACATTTAAGTGTCGCCGCACACGGGCCACCGACCACAACTACAAAACGCCGCCACCGGCACATTTCATGTAGTTTTCATACATTTTATATGGACTCGCCACACACGGTACGCCGGTGGCCTCCACACGCTACAAATCGTCGTTGCTCGCTTCTTGTGGCCCGCACCGGCCACTTAATGCGCCGATACAAAGCGCCGCCACACGTCACTCGCGCGATTCCCCACCCCTCTCTCCCTTGCCTTAGTCGGCCGCTGTCGCGCGCTTCAGCGACTTTAGTAGCCGCTTCTAGCTTCCCGTGGCGGCGTTTGTGGCTGTGGCGTGTGGCCCGTGTGCGGCGATGCTAAGAACTTTATTTACATAGCATAAGCTTTTTAATTATCAAACTGGCGCGGGCGGGTTTCGCGTCCGTCCACGGTGACCGACTCCCCAGCCCTACCTCATTCATTACGAAGCGGCAACGTTGCGCCGGCAATCCAAAGAGAAATACAACGAAGCGTTGTCGCTTTGCTCGCTCTGCCTCACCTCAAATGAGGCCCCCACGAGCGAAAATGAAGACCTCCCTCACCCTCAATAAAAATATACGAGTTACACATCCCTAAATTAAACCCAATATCGTTCATTCAGTTTAGGCTGTTACAAGCACTTAAGAAAGTCTCGAGTATTGAGAAAAACCTAAAAGGAACTCAAGAAGGGCTGCGTTTTTCCCATACAAGTATAAGAATAGAGTGGGGAAGGGCGGCTCTAAAAGTGTCCGTCTAGTAGAAAGAGAAAGATGAGAGACGGCTAGCCTTTCTCTCTCTTATAGCGAATGCGCATTGGTTAAAAACCTACGGATGAATACCAACCAATCACACGACTGCGCAGCGTCACAAGAGAGAGGGATAGCTAGCCGTCTCTCATCTTCTTTCTCTTTCTACTAGACAGACACTTCCACTTGTAGTAGAGTACATATCTCCCCTACTCTATTCTTATACGTCTATGGTTTTTCCTCCCTGTTTCAGGATTATTATAGAGCGTCATCGGTTTCTAATATTAAAAGTAGTCTTTCTCAAACTGGCCGATATGCCCCCATATGGGCACATAGTCATATATGGGCATTGGAAACTCAAGATAAGTTCAGAGAAAATGGCGGAATTTTGAAACCTGCTGGGTACAGGCCTTCCCTATGGATGGAATTGGGGGATTGGGTCATGACCCACCACACGGGCCCAGTGCGGATTGAGCGGCTTAACGTGCCTTCCGAAGCACGGAGGAGTGAGAGATAGTAAATTTTCGGTCACCCATCCAATGACCGACCACTTGTACCATCGAGCTCTTCTAATAAACTATATACGAGTCAAATTTCATCTAAGCTTTCCGTTCAGCGGTTTCGATAAGTCCCGTTTTTTCGTGATTGAGTTTTAATAAACATCCGATCCGAACTTTCACAAACATCTTGGGGTCGACACTTAGAGGAAAGGATGCAAATTTAGAATACTACTTTAAAAAAAAAACGTATTAAACATAGTTGAAAAAAATATCGATACATCGGTCTTTTAAAAAATATCAATATCGACTTCGATATATCGCGAAAAAAACATCGATGTATCGGACCAATTTTCCCAAAAATATCGTACAGTAGCTCACGAAATATGACACGCGGAATAATAATGGAACGAAAATTAGCTCCCTAAAAATAGACCCTATTTTCGAATGATGACATAGACAATACTAAATACAGCACAGATCATAGATATGTTGAATATCATTAATCTGAGATCCAGTTACGATTTTTCCAGATACGAATTTAGTTAGATCATAAAAAAATATCGTTTTTGATACAAATTTCGATATTGGTTATTTTGTATCGATGTATCGATATATCGAATCAAAATATATCGGCAAAAAATATCGAACATAAAATATCGATATATCGATACATCAATATATTTTCAACAAGCCTAATTAAACATGGATGAAGAATAAGTGAACACAGCATTTAATGTTAGAAGAACTTATATTTTATTCAAGTTAAAGTAATTAACAATCTTGGATTATCACAAGTAGGATAAATTGTGGTTTAATTAAGAAAACCCAGATTGGCGTAGTTTAACCAAAGTGAAGATTTATTACTTGTACTTATAAATTTTTCTCGTCGGCACTTTCACTCCAATGAAGTTTGTCACGGAACTGTAAATATGACTGCTTCTAAGCCACTTTATTTTGTTTCCTAACACATAGACTACGTAAAATTGGTATACGTTAATAGATGGCGCTTTAGTCTATTTGTATATTGCAGTTTCCAAATTACCAAGAGTATTCCAAATAAGCATCCTTTTCCTATACTGATCGGTGGTTCGATCCTGAGCTCGGTATTTTTTTTGTTTTTTTTTTTATTTTGTTAACTTATTATTCATTTTTGGAAAAAATTTAAGTAGTATAAAATATTGAATTTTGACCTAGAGAGTTGAATTTTAACACAGGTGTTGTCTTTAAAACGTATCTACCTAGTCGTGAATGACTTTTACGTGTTTGCATTTTTGAAGGTTTCACTTCTATCGCAAGTTTACAGCACATGTCCGTTTTTTATATACATTTGTGCATCTTATATATAAAATTCTCGTGTCACAATGTTAGTTACCATACTCCTCCGAAACGGCTTGACCGATTTTTATGAAATTTTATATGCATATTCCGTGGGTCTACTATCTACTTTTCATATCGTTAAATGATAAGTGGTGTACCTACCTGTAACGTAGTGTCCTGAAACCTACAATGCGCCTTCACGCCAAAAATTCAAACTATTAGGTATTGTAACGTAGTGTTCTCATATGGGTTAGGAGGAATGTTATTTTGGACAACATTTATTTTAAAGAAAATATAACTAGAAAAAATTCCACGCGGGCCAGGCAGCAGACGGGACTCGAACCCGCACCCTTCGCAATCCGGGCGAATGCACTGACCAATTATGCTACCGCGGCCCTCACGGATCGCATCGAAATTGTTCTAGGCATTCTTAAGCTGCAAGGCCCGCGTGGAATTTTTTCTAGTTATATTTTCTTTAGATTTAATCATCAAGCAGTTACATGCTTAAAAAATTAAAATTATAAATATTTATTTTTTTATAATGTGGTATTAAAAAATACATACAACCCTAAATTTTCTCTTCTACCATCTGCCCCTATTTTTATGGCGGTACGAAGTTCGCTGGGTCAGCTAGTATAATATATGTACATGCTCAGCGTTGTATGACATAGTAAGTGAGACATCAGTTCAATAGGCGCCGCTCCATTGAGAATCCTTAGGACAGTCATTTGTCCGGCTTCGTAATTATATGTCAGCGTTTGTGCTAATATCTTAATGATAAACTGTACCGTATTATAGTGTTTTGGAGTACAGTTGTAGGTTTTAAAAGTACCTATTTATGTTCTTGGAGTTCCATACCGATGTTACTAAAACCTCTGCTATCTACTTATCAACAAGCTATACTCAAAAATAATAATATTATGTAGACTGTCACAATTTTCAGGCGACATAAAAAAGAAAATCAAAAATTAGCAGGCATATTAATTTATTGTTTATTTTTTTAAATAGAAAACTTTTATTTCACCATTTTTAGTTATTAATTAAATAAAAAAACGTGTGGCACTGCCGCGGTAAAGCTATTGCATACCATTTTTTATCAACTTATAATTATTAAGTCTAAATAAGTGGGAAATAAATAAAAATAAGGACAGGTGCTGGGGTCTAAAACAAATATATAAAAAAAGGAAAAAAATATAAAAAAACATAAAAAATACGAGTGCGGGATTTGAATCGACGACCGCGTCGAACGTTGGTCCCGTGGCAAAAATCTAACGCACTGCGCCATTTAGATCGATACTGGAATGGCGAAAATTGTGTTCTATTGGTATATATATGCACTCTCGTTTGCGTTACGGAATTTCTTGATTCGGTCGCCGCGCTCAAAGCCCGCGATAAAAGCTATACAATAGCTTAATAACAATCGTGAAGCAGTTTAACGTTTTTAAATGACATATTTGTAAAAATAAAATTTTATTTCCGTATTTTGTGTGCGGCTGCCATAAGTTTAAAATTAATAAATATACAAATTTATAAATAACCGGAAAGGATACGAACGGTGCCATGTATGGGAGCTTGCCGTAAAACGTTTTACCGTACGCTCCGCTTTCTGACCCGTAATTCTGAACTTTCGAACAATGTATATAACCACCGTAAATGTATTTTTTGGGCAATAGTGTTGAAAAACAATTTTTGATTTGATTTGGTGTGCGTTATTTCATCATCAGCCTATTAATGTCCCCACTGCTGGGGCACAGGCCTTCCCTATGGATGGAATAGGGAGATTGGGCCATGACCCACCGCGCGGGCCCAGTGCGGATAGGTGGGTGCTAACGACTGCAGATGCAGCCGGGACTAAAGGCTTAACGTGCCTTTCGAAGCACAGAGGAGCTCGAGATAGTAATTTTTTGGTCACCCATCCAATGACCGACCACTGCGAAAGTTGCTAAACTTCAACGATCGCAGCCGAACGCGCTAACCACTTGCGCCATCGAGCTCCTTGTTATTTCAATTACACGTATATAAAATAGCATTTACATTAAGTTAGATTTATTAAAGTTGCAATATTGTCTGTTAATCAGGTGCGACTGGAGTCCATAGGCGCTGAGGACATCGTGGACGGCAACCCGAGGCTGATCCTCGGTCTAATCTGGACCATCATCCTGCGGTTCCAGATCCAGGAGATTGAGATCGATGTGGTACGAATAATTCGCAACACTTTTTTAATGGGACTCCGAGATTTCCATTAATTATTTTTTTAGTAATGAAAGATACGATATCACATAAATTTGTGGTATTGCAATTCGGTGAAAATTCTAAACATAAGTTTTTGACAAGCACCCATAGAGAGAGCTCTAAAGGTGGCGTCTCCATAGACAAACAAATTTGACATAAGTAACATAGATTAGTGAGGGCGAAAAGAGCATATCGCCACATGTCAATAATCACCATCAGCCAATTATTTTCTTACTGCTGGGGCACTTGGCTTTGCTACGGATGGAATAGGGAGTGCGGGCCATGACCCACTATAGCGGAGTATACGGTGGGTGCTAACGCAAATGCGACTGCAGGTTTTCTACTCCTAATCGAATGCCAGTTGATAATTGACCGAAATCCCGATACATCGATATGCCATTTGATCGAAATATTAAAAAATTGGTTTCCAATAGATCGTTTTGACATTAAATTGTGATTTAAATAGATCACTGTGATATTACATATATGATAGATAGATAATGCGTTTATTTTTTCTTCGACATACATATACATTTACAGACAGAGTAATACAATAAATAAAAAAGATACAAGAAATCAGCTACGAAATATCCATATGTATGCTGCAGAAAGCAAAAGGCCAAGGCTCGGCTAAACATTTGCCAGTTTTAAGGCAAAATACCGATTTTCAGCCATCACCTGTATCGAAATTTTAGTGCTAAAACATTGTTGATGCTTACAAATATGTGTAGTGGAACAAAGTTTTCTTTGGTTTTGTCGAATGTTCATATGTTTTTGTTGATTGTGTAGGGCAAAACACGCGCTAGAGACCCGGCTTAAGGTTAACGAATTTCTTTCCTCAGGATGAAGAGAATGAGTCGTCAGAGAAGAAATCGGCCAAAGACGCTTTGCTGCTGTGGTGCCAGCGAAAGACAAGCGGCTACCATGGCGTCCACATACACAACTTCACGGACTCGTGGCGATCTGGACTTGGGTTCAACGCCCTCATACATGCGCACAGGTAACGATCGACCAACGATCGATTCACGACTGACGACCGACTCACGACCGACCGACTCACGACACACGACTGACGTTTGATTGATGACGAGCGGCGAGTTGAGTAAATATCACGACGTCCACATACATGCGTAAAGGTAACGATTGACTCATGACTGACGGACGGTCAACTCACGACTGACGTTTGATTGATGACGAGCGGCGAGTTGAGTAAATATCATGGTTCCCACATAAATGCGCACAGGTAACGATCGACCAATGATCGATTCACGACTGACGACCGACTCACGACCGACCGACGATCGACTAACGTTTGATTAATGACGAGCGGCGAGTTGAGTAAATATTGCGGCGTCCGCATACATGCGCACAGGTAACGATCGACTCATGACTGACCGACGATCGACTCACGACTGACGTTTTATTAATGACCTTTTTTCAATCGTCCACCGATTAACTGACTTAAGCGGCGTGCTGATTAAATGTCACTATCGACTTACGATCGACGATCGATTGCTCGTAAATTGAATTGGCGATAGAAAGACGACAGACTAACAACCAACCGATGACCAACACACAACATAATAAAACCGACCGGCTCATGACGATGACCGACCAATATCTGACCGTTGGTCCACTAACGACTGACTTTATAATTAGCGATTGATGAAGATCAAACGGCGACCAACTCACGACTTACGACCATTTACCAGACGACGACAGTCTTACAGTTGAAATGACAGAAATTTGAAGACCAATTGACGAGGGTTTTCTGGAATGACAGGCGCCAGGTCGCAGCACTGAGACGAAAGGTCTACTCATCCGTCAAATCGCGCATGTCGTCTTAGTCTATTGATCAATTTAAGCATTTTTTGCAAAAAAATCGTAATTTTTCAGCGCCTCGTTTACCCCCTTAGAAAAGATTTTGACTATTTCCAATAGAAGTAAATAGTAGAATTATTCTTCCTATTGTAAGGTAATGTAGACTATTTGCAAATACTATTTTCCTTTTTTTGTACTGATCGTTCTACTGCAGCTAGTTTACAGAACAAACGATAATATGCACAACTTCAAACGCCTGAATCTCTAAATAGTGTTCAATAAATTAGATCAAATTAATTACTACGACATCAGAAATATGTTTTTGTTGTAACATAATGTATTAGAATTTTGATTTTCCATCTCATTAATTATTAAGAAAATCATCTAACCTCCGTGAGTTTTCCCAAAAAACAATGCAGGTTTACCTCGTATTGTGATATTGAATTAAATAGAATTACTATCAAAAACTTTCACAAAACTCATCTACCATCATTGAAGTACTGAAATATGTATATATTTCATTAATAATTATTTTGCCTGCCTTGCGGCCTAAGAAATACTAGAAAGAATTCGACACTGCCAATAGGGCCGCGGTAGCATAGTGGTCCACGCGGATTTTTTTCTACTAAAATTTTCTTCAAATTTTATAATACACTAGCGGCCCGCCCTCGCTTCGCTTCGGTGTAGAGCTGAAGTGTAGACTACAGCTTTTGTTCACAGGCTTGTATACACAATGACATTCATCTATGATTCTTCTTATACCTGCATCTAAAGTCTCAGCCCGATCGGTTTAAAATTGACAAAGTTTCATACAAACTTTCATTCCCTATTTTATCCCCTTGGGGGTAGAATTGATCAAAATCCTTTCTTAGCGGTTGCCTACGTCATAACATCTACCTGCATGCCAAATTTCAGCCCGATCCGTCCAGTGGTTTGGGCTGTGCGTTGATAGATCACTATGTCAGTCAGTCGGTCACCTTTGAGTTTTATATATATATATGTTACCGGCTAAACCCGATTTCAGGACAAACTAGTTTTGCCTAGGCTAAACTACTTGTTCCTATACACGATAGGATTAACTAGTATAGCCTAGTCCAAACTAATTTCTCCTAAGCCCGATAGGATAAACCAGTTTAGCCTAGGCCAAACTAGTTGATCCTGATATAAATACGCAACTCTAGGATAAACTAGTATAGCCTAGTCTAAACATTATAGTATATCTAGAAAGTCAAAATAAATAATTAAACTGAATAAAATACTCCGTAATTGGAAAATAATATTTTTTATTAAAACGATTCATCGTTAAAAGTTATGGATAATTAGTAATACAAACAATTATACTATAACAAATAATATGTGTTTTTTTAATAGAAGCAATAATCATATCTCAATTATTGAAATTGTTATTTAATTTTACGTGGTGTGCTTTGGAGGCACTTACAATTGTAGAGTATCATTGCCTTCTTGCCTTCTTGAATTGCAGGGTATCATTGAGTTATGATTTTATTTATTTTTTAAGCATTTAACTGCTAGATGTTTAAATCTAAAGAAAAGTTTACTAGAAAAAAAAAATCCGCTGCCTGGTCCGCGTGGATTTTTTTCTAGTAAACTTTTCTTTATCATTGAGTTTGTGGAACATTTTTGTTGCAGCTGCATCTCACAAAACATAAGGCCTAATACTTATGTGTGTGAGTGTACCCATAAGCATAAACAATCCCTCCACTTTCTTTCAGCGTTCTTTTTACATGACGCGACCTGTACAAGACCTGACATGTCTGTTCAATTACTTTCGACTCTGCTAAATTGGTTTACACTAGGCCGTACTACTTTATCCTAGAGTGTGAGTATTTATATCAGGATCAACAAGTTTGGCCTAGGCTAAACTGGTTTATCCTATCGGGCTTAGGACAAATTAGTTTGGACTAGGCTATACTAGTTAATCCTATCGCGTACAGGAAGATCTAGTTTAGCCTAGGCAAAACTAGTTTGTCCTTAAATCGGGTTTGGCCGGTAACATATATATATATATATAGATATTTATAATGTGCCTTGTTCCAGGCCGGACCTATTCCGTTGGGCGGAAGTGCCCGCAGCAGACCACGTGGAAACCCTCAACCACGCCTTCGACGTCGCCCACAAACACCTCGGCATCCCCCGCCTGCTGGACGCTGAAGGTAAATTTCATCATCATCGTCTTAACATAATCACCGTCACCAACTACTTAATAAGTACTACCACAAAATGTAGAGTACAAAAGGTAGTCTCATGTATATCTCATTGGTTTTGGGTTGGGAGAGTAGTGCCAGAAGCGACAACAGTGTTTAGGTAATCACATGCATGTGTCCTGCCGTTGTGTTTATCATCATCATCATCAGCAGCAGCCTATTAATATCCCCACTGCTGGGGCACAGGCCTTCCCTATGGATGGAATAGGGAGATTGGGCCATGACCCACCACGCGGGCCCAGTGCGGATTGGCGGGTGCTAACGACTGCAGATGCAGCCGGGACCAACGGCTTAACGTGCCTTCCGAAGCACGGAGGAGCTCGAGATAGTAATTTTTGGTCACCCATCCAATGACCGACCACTGCGAAAGTTGCTTAAGTTCAACGATCGCAGCCGAACGCGCTAACCACTTGCGCCATCGAGCTCCAGTTGTGTATATAGTTTGTTATAATAATGTACCTGGTACATTATATATTTTTTTCTATTTTTGTAACATAGTATCCATGTGTGGTTATGAGTAGTCATGCTCTCTTAAAAATCTCTTCGGTGGTGTCGTGTGAGGCGGGTCGTTGCGTTCCCTAAAAAATGGTTGAGCGAAGCGATGGCTGGTTCATGCGTCATGCTCGTGAACGGGGGCTGCCAGCGGAGATGAGTCTGCTCTTGCTTCATTGGGTACTATTAATCGTTGTACTAAACTTTAATTGTTCATATTTTTTTTTGCCTAAACAGTAGGACACGGCATTCCTAAACTTTGCTAAACCAGCTTTTTATATATATTTTTATATTATTTGCATTTTCATTTCGTTTTCATTTCGTTTTCATTTCATTTTCATTTCATTTTCATTTCATTTCATTTCATTTCATTCATTTCATTTCATATTGGACAGACGATGCCTTACAAGAGAGAGAGATAGCTAGCGGTCTCTCATCTTCTTTCTCTTTCTACTACATGGACACTTTTAGAGCCGCCTTCCCCACTCTATTCTTATACCTCTATGATTCTGTACCCTCAGCACGAACATAGCTGGCGGTGCGAAATGTCAATGTCAAATTTTGTATTATACTATTTTTCTTTTGTATGAAAACTAGAACAACAGCGCCACAAAGTACGTAATGAGAACTAAAAATCGGTACACATTTGACAATGACATTTCGCACTCGCAAACTATTCGATATTGTAAAGAAAATATAACCAGAAAAAAAAACACACGGACCAGGCAGCATACGGGACTCGAACCCGCACCCTTCGCTATCCGGGCGAATGCACTGACCAATTCTGCTACCGCGGCCCTGACGGCCGCGTCGAAATTCCTCTAGCCATTCTTAAGCTGCAAGGCAGCGCCATTTCTTCGCATTGTAGGTAGCCCACAATGTCAGATGAATACTTTTACAAGTACCTATTAAAGATTTGAAAGAAGAAATAGCGATTATAGTTTTAATTTTTTTTAAGCATGTAACTTTACATGCTTAAGAAATAAACTATTCGAAATAGGTTCATGCTGAGGATACTGTGTACTATGATTCTGTTCATTAAGAAAGCATATTCTCCAGTAGTATGAACTGATGGTTATTTGCAGACGTGGACACCACCAGGCCTGATGAGAAGTCGGTGATGACGTACGTGGCGAGCTACTACCACACCTTCGCCAGGATGAAGAACGAACAGAAGAGCGGCAGAAGAATTGCTAACGTGAGCAACGATATTAAATATCCTAGATACACCAACACGAACAAAATCGTGCCCGAAACCTGTCCAAAAGGTACATTGGACGATCCACGGAGCTCCGTAAGATGATCGCGTTGTCAAAAACAATTTAAAGCATTATTTTCACATGGAAAGTCACCTTTAATGCCTACTGTATAAGGTCTTAATTAAAACGTATGCGTCAAAGAGTTGTGGCAGTTCGAAATGCAAGTTCGAAAAATTTTACGAAAAATTAAATATACATACATGCTCTCGAAAACATACCTTTTTTCTCCGCTGGTGAAAACCATATCTATGTCACAGATCATAGGGCAATTCATGAACTGTATTATTTTAACTTGATACTCTAAGGAAAACGAGCTTTGGCTCGCCAACAACCTGATGTTCACAGGTTGGCAAGGTATTAAAATATGATAAAATGATGTATCAATGATTAAATAAAAAAAAAATGGATGCGTGTAACTTATGTACGCGCGTGAGAAGTTATACTTCTTTAGCATCATTAAAAATATTTTTTAATTGTATGCAAATAATTAATAATTACAATAAAATAATAAAAGGACTGGAAAAGGATAGTTAACACAGTCAATTAAGTTGAGTTTTAATTTGAAAAATTAAATAAATATTCAAAATATTCAATTAAAATCACTACTGAATTTAAGTTATTTTATTAGTACATATGTAATTAGCACTTGTAAGTAACTAAAACACGTTGTGTCTATATAGAAACTAGAAACATGTGGATAAATATTATAAATTCACAGTGATCAGAGGCGACGAGCGTGCCAACATTGTTTTTGACAACGCGATCATCTTATGGAGCTCCGTGGATCGTTCAAAGTACCTTTCGAACAGATGTCTAATAATGGTGGATTATTAACCACTAAGTGGTTAATAATCCACCATTATTAGACACTAACATTCATAACGCGCCCGCGGCCAACTTCATGGTGTTACTATTGTGTTACAGTGATGCGCGCGCATCTCGAAATTTCACTCACATGATTTTTTCATAACGCGCCCGCGGCTAACTTCATTATGTTACTTTTGTGTTACAGTGATGCGCGCGCATCTTAAAATTTCACTCATAATTTTTTCATAACGCGGCTAAAGAAGTATAACTTCAATAAATAATTAAAAAATATAAAACCTTTCCCCACAGATCATAGGCCAACTCATGGACTGCGACGGTCGCAAGACGGAGTATGGACGTCTATTCTCCGCCCTGATGGAATGGATCAGAGCTACTACCCTACGTCTGGCTGACAGGGACCTGCCCAACTCGCTGGACGGCATACAGCGGCTGCTGTTAGCCTTCAAGCAGTACAGGACGGTCGAGAAGCCGCCCAAGTGAGTGTCACTTACATTTCCGAAAGTTGATTGTAATGTTACTTCTGTATTCGTAATAGTGGATGGCATACAGCGGCTTCTGTTCGAGTACAGGACGGTAGAGAAGCCTCCCAAGTGAGTGTCACTTAAATTTCCGAAAGTTGATTGTAATGTCACTTCCGTTTTCGTAATAGTGGATGGCATACAGCCGCTTCTGTTCGAGTACAGGACGGTAGAGAAGCCTCCCAAGTGAGTGTCACTTAAATTTCCGAAAGTTGATTGTAATGTCACTTCCGTTTTCGTAATAGTGGATGGCATACAGCGGCTTCTGTTCGAGTACAGGACGGTAGAGAAGCCTTCCAAGTGAGTGTCACTTAAATTTCCGAAAGTGGATTGTAATGTCACTTCCGTTTTCGTAATAGTGGATGGCTTACAGCGGCTCCTGCTCGAGTACAGGACGGTCGAGAAGCCGCCCAAGTGAGTGTCACTTTTGTTTCCGAATGATGAACACAATGTCAATTCCGTTTCCGTAGTAATGGACGGCATAAAGCGGCTAGTATTAGCCTTCAAGCAGTACGGGATGGTCGAGAAGCCGCCCAAGTGAGTGTCACTTTTGTTTCCGAATGATGAACACAATATCACTTCCGTTTCCGTAATAGTGGATGACATAAAGCGGCTAGTGTTAGCCTTCAATCAGTACAGGACGGTTGAGAAGCCGCCCAAGAGAGTGTCACTTTTGTTTCCGAATGATGAATACAATGTCACTTATTCTCCTCCCACAGATACAAAGAGCGTTCTGAGATCGAAGCGTTGTTCTTCCACATCAACACGATGCAGAAGAGTTTAGTAGGTGAAACCTGGGCGCCCATGGAGGGGCAGCTGCCTCAAGACCTGGAACGAGCCTGGCAGCAGCTGGAACAGGTATGAATCTCAAAGAATCGATAAATAATCGTACATCTGTTTAGTTTTAATAGGGATGATGACTATTTTTTTTCTTCGTTTTCAGGTAGATTATCAAAAAGTATTGGACACGTATTTTTTCTTTTTTCACATAACATAAACATTGCAGAGATATATTGATTTGAAAAGTCGCATGTGTCACCTTTTGGTACGATTTCCACTTAAAAGTGACGTCACGAGCCCCTATTCCCAAACTTTGACGCGCTATAACTTTGTCATTTTGGTTGATTGCCCAAAGAAAAAACACGTGTCCATTATTTTTTGATCATCTAACTGACGGACTAAATAGAATTTCGTTTACTGTACCCCGTCATCACCCCTTTTGCACCCAAAACATGAATTTAAAAAAATTCTAAATTGTTCAGCCAGTTTTAATAATCTTACTCCAACAAAAGTTAAGGACATAACCTCAAAGAAACTTCATTTTGACTCCGTCCAAAATGAGATACATGGAAAAAGCCTGTGGAAAAGATGAAACGGAAATGCGTCACGAGCGTCACATGGTTATATATATAATAATAATAATAATAAATAATAAATATTTCCAACACACACCAATTAGCCTAGCTCCAAAGTAAGCACTATAAGGCTTGTGTTATGGGATGCTAGGGTAACGGATAGAATACATATACTAAACATAGATAAGTATATTTATATAGAAATACATATTAAACTTCCAAGACTAGAGTACAAATGCTCATGTTCATCACACTAACATCTGCCCCCACCGGGATTCGAACCCGAGTATATATATATATACTAGGTGACCCAGCGAACTTCGTACCGCTATAAAAATAAGGGTTGATTGTAAAGGGTTATATGTATTTAATAATGCTGTATCATAAAAAATTAAAAAAAAAAACATTTTTTATCTAAAATTGAAAAAAAAAATTAGGGGTCGATTACCCTTAACATTTAGGGGGATGAAAAATAGATGTTGTCCGATTCTCAGACCTACCCAATATGCACACAAAATTTCATGAGAATCGGGAAAGCCGTTTCAGAGGAGTTTAACCACTAACACCGCGACATGAGAATTTTATATATTAGATATATATATATGAGTGTGTGTGTGTGTGGGATGCGTGCGCAGCTCTTCCCGACGAGCATGAAAGTTGGAGGGTAACTCTGCGAAGACTGAAACATTACGAGTGTAACGAGCGTCACACGCGAAAAAAATCATATATGAGTGATGCATGCGCTGCCCCATTCCCCTATGCCTAATGCACCGCCTAATGTTAGGTTATTCAAGAAAAGAAGTTACATTTCAGATGTGCGCTTCGTGCACACTTTTTTTTTATATTGTCCGGCAAATGACTCCTCCCCGCCTGATGTTAAGTGACGGTGCAGTCCAGACGTGAAGATAGCTGATACAGCAGTTCTACCTGCCACACCAGCCATCCTCACCCTGCCGGCCTGCATATTGCTTCTTCACGCCTCTTTTAAAGGATCCCAGGTTGTAAGAAGGTAGGAATACGTGAGCGGGCAGAGCATTCCAGTTACAGATAGTGCGACAAAGAAATGAGTCAACAAATTTCTTTGTACGCGTTGGAATGAGGGCTACCGTTTTCTGCCTCACCAGATGGCGCCACTGTTGAGTGAGGTTCTAAATTGTAACTTTTAAAGTTTATTAATACGCACATGAAATCAAAGGTTACATTTAGATCGTATTTTAACACAAAAGAACCATATCCTAAACATAATAGGCCATGCCACAGTGACGCGCAGTTCCGTTTTATTCGGAAAAAATGGGAACATAATCATTTTTCTAAGCTCAAATTTTTAATAACTGACATTCATTGCCACATAACTCATATTTGCCATAATTAAGCCGAATTATTACCAATTATACACAACATTATTTTAATTAGAAATAAACCCGCGTAGTCAACCAACAAGCAATAACATTTGACATTTCGGAGACCTCACGCTACACTAGCGCCTCTAGCGGCGGTTTCATACGCGATAGCCCTCATTGTGGCCACAGTTAGTCGGTGGCAACGTAGGCCAGCGCGCGTGGTCCTCTGAAGGAGAGGGGAAGGTGCAATAAGAGAGTTTTTTTATGATTAATAATTATCTTGATATTTTGATTGAATGCAGGCGGAACATGCCCGAGAAATAGCGCTGAGAACAGAGTTGCTGCGCCAACAACGGCTGGAACAGCTCAACTACAAGTTCAATACTAAAGTAAGTAATTTAGTATAATAGTTTTAATTTCCTGCACATACACATGCTGGTGTTTTGAGATCGTCATAGAATTATAGTAAATTTTTGGCCACCCATCCAATGACCAACCACTGCTTATCTTCAACGATCGCAGCCGAACGCGCTTACCACTTGCGCCATCGAGCTTTTTAATTGGTAACCTAACCTTGTACTCTTCAAGTTACAATTGTAATTTTGGATTTTTTTAAAAGTTCATTCAAATATTTCCCTTTATAGATATCTAACAGTTTAAAGCTTTAAAATGACAATATGACCTTATTAAATCCGGAAACCTACATGAAGTTCACACCAGGGATCAGGGACTGAAGACTTTCATCACCGACAACTTGGTCCTTCGAGCAGGATCCATTTTCGTAAACCAATAATTTTTTCTAGTAATATTTTCTTTAGATTTAAAGATCGAGCAGTTAGATGCTTAAAAAAACGACGAATTGCACTCCGGGAGTGCCGGCAGAAGTGACAACTTGAATATTAACGTTGTGCATTTTCGATATTTTGGAATGGTTAGGGAATAATTTGGCACGAATTGCTTTAATTATCAGTATAAAGTACTATCATGTATGTGGTAGAATACAATATTTATTTATTGCGCTATCGTACATAAACATGACAATTTATATTACATTAAAAAAGTTTATCTCTCAGAAAAATCAACTTACATGAATCACGTTTAAGCGCACTTAGCGACATCTATTGTAAAGAAATCAACTCACATGAATCACATTTAAGCGCACCTAGCGACATCTATTGTAAAAAAAATGCATTTTCTTCGCAACAATGCTGCCACCTGGACGTCCTAGATAGAGACTTATTATTATAATACGGTAAAATAAAATATTACTATGTTTCGTCCAATATATTGGAAATCAACAACCGTTCCAATTTTATTGTGTGTCACGATGCGATCAGCCCACGTGTTTAACCTGACGCGAGTTTAACATTTTTTACCCAAAAAGTGTACAGCGCAGCTAAAGAAGTTTTCACTTTAAAAATTATTACTAATATGACCTAATATTAATTTATTTACTTCTGTCCACAGTCCGTGCTCCGTAAAGGCTACCTGAAGGAGATGATCCAGGTGCTTTCGGACCCCCGGTACGGATCCAACTTAGCTCAAGTCGACGCTACAGTCAAGAAGCACGAAGCTATATCCGCTGATATACTGGCCAGGTATATATTCGTTGAAGATGTGATACGATGGCAGTGTTTCCACTTTAATGATTTACTTTCCCCACACCTCAATTCAGATTTCCCCTTCTTTCACATTTTCCCCTCAAAAATTGTTCTGCTGTAGTTTTTAGATTTGTCACTAGTGTAGTAACTAAATAAAAAAAAGGTCTTCATCTATTTTATTCTATATCAGATAATTAAAATATATAAAATCTACACGTGTTGCCACAGTTTCTTTTATACGGCAACACTCTAGTCCACGGTATAGTCCATAAAAAAATTGTTCCGTGCCGCATTATTTTAGGCTAGGCTTTACCCATCATTTCCCGCAATTTCCCCTTTTCATGTCTTTCCCCTTTTCTGGACCCTAATTTCCCCTAAAAAAGGGAATTTCCCCTTATTGTGGAAACACTGTACGATGGCCAGCACTTGGCCATTTTATTTATTAAGTATATATACAGGTAGCAAACTTGCACACTAGTTTAGCATTAAGCAGACACTGCAGCCGTAGGATAAGAGTGCGAAGACCCGGTCTACACACGACACGCTATACCAGGTACAGGAACGTACCTGGACGTTTTTCCCCGCCCCCCACGACAACGGCTAACTAAAGCCGAGGTCCGAGTCTCAGAGACGCCCTCTAGTTGAGCCGACCCCCTCAGGTTGGAGTGGTCTAGAGGCTCCAGACGGAGAGGAGACTCCCCCCGTGGGGAGATGCCATCCGCCTGGAATGCCTCTAGAGGCACTCGCCAGTTTCCGGCTTGAGGTCCCCTTAGGATCTCGCCGTCCCCAAACCCGGTGACGCTGTAAAGGTCATCTGCGACCAACAGCATACACACTCAATATTTTTTTATTTATTATCACATAGTATATTTACGGTTAAAAAGCCATTGTAACAGCTAAACAATGTGCGTACAACTTAAATTTGACATTCAAAATTATGAAATTAATGCAAAATATACATAATTTTTGAGATAATATGTCAGCCTCCGGTATCCGATCATGTATAGTGTTAAGTAAAGAGAATGATCTACAAATCGGTGCATTTTGAGCTTGTCGCGTAACTTTTTCCAGTCTTGTTTGCTATTTGTAAACATGTCTTAGTCTGCCCTTTCATTTATTTATTTAATCTTTACTGCCTTTACAATGCAAATGGCGGACTTAATGCCAGTATGGCATTCTCTACCAGTCAACCGGAAAGAAGGTGCAGAGAAAATGAAACAGCAGATAACGAACAGAGAAAACATTTAAAAGCATTTATTCATACATACACATACATACATATATAAATATACATTATAGCAACATATATCATTTATTGCATAGTGCTTAAGCTGAATCAGGATACTAAAATCGGACACTTTATTATAGGTATATTATGTATATATGTATGTGTATGTATGTATGTATATGTGTATGTATTAAACGCTATTTAATTTTGTTTTTTCATTGTTTGATGTTTACTCTTTCCTATGATGCTGCCGTTTTATTGACTGCAGGTTCCTTCCGGTTGACTGGTAGAGAATCCCATGCTGGCATTAAGTCCGCCATATGCATTGTAAAGGCATTAAAGATTAAATAAATAAAATAAATATAATAGGTACACACAAATATATACATACATAAATACTATCTAACAATAATATAAAGCGTCTGATTATAGTATCCTAATTCAAATTCAAGCATTTTGCGATAAACTTAAATAATGTTTCCGCGCCAAAGACCTAAACGCATTCCTGTTTGGAGCGTTACGCACATGTAAAGGACGTGTACGTTCATTCCCTGTAGAGCAATAGTAATTAGTAATAATTTGCAGTAAAATAATTTTGCTACTACAAATTGAGATGTAAGTTATCCTATCTTTCAAGTTGGATCAAAGTGCACACGGTGTGCAAATTTGACTAAAGTAAGTTGGGTATTTTGAGTCCATCCCGGACAAACAACGTGACGCGTAATTCATATACATTTAGATTTTTAAATTATCCTCCAGAACCGAACGCTTCGAAGACCTATCAGCCATGGCTGCAGAACTGGTCCGGGAGAAATACCACGGGGCAGAAGCGGTGACCAGGAACGAACAGGCTGTTCTTCAGCGCTGGAGGGAGCTGCTAGAACTCCTGGAGAGACATAGGGCTGCACTGGCCAGCCTGGCTCATCTCATGGCGCTGCTGAGGGAGGCTGATGCTGTGGAGCAGACCTTGGGGCAGATGCAGGTGAGATGAAGATGTAGAAAACTACCCTAATACGGGCGTATTCGACTGCGTTCAGTTACACTAGTTGTTCACCTGAATTCCATTGGCACTCGGATTCCGGCAAACGACCAACTTTGCTCGCGCCATAATGCTGCCTCTGTCTTCCCTTTAGTAAAAAGTGACAGCAACACTTTCAAACCAGGTTTAACTTTAGTCAACATTTTGTAAAGGCGGATTAAGTTTAACAGGTTTCTTTTTTTTAATGCTTAAAGGCGCGTCCGCTGCGCCATGTTTTGAACAGAACATTGACAGAACAGACTTAAAAAAGTCTTTCGAAGGTAGCTCGACAAAGTAAATAAAAAATCATTATTCTGACGATGCAGACCTGAAAAGGCTGCGAAACGTCAATAAATAAATAAAGTTCGTGCATTAACCCGTTAAAACCAGGGCTTGTAACCGGTTTCGAAAATACCGGTAAATAACGGTTAATACCGGTTTTTAGTAAAGGTTTCGTTTGGAGCGCATCCGAAATGAAAGAGGTACCTAAAACCTTAATAAACCGGTTTAATTCAGAGCAACACGTGCACGCGTCGGCATCGCCTGAAGTTTGTTTTGTTTGAACTAATCAAGTCACAACTTGTTAATGCTCAGAGATTGATGCATTTATTGACACGTTTGCTAGCGTCTAGTGAGTCAAGTTATTCATTTTGTAGTTGTGTATTTATTTCAGCTGTCATTAAGAGCGAAATGAAACCCTTAAAAAACCGCTAAATTGATTCGAAACCTATTTGATTTCGCTTTTTAGGAAACTGGTTTTTTTATGGTTAAGGTAGAGTCAAGCCTAAATAAAACGCTCCTAATGTACTTGATACTGATTTAGGTTTGAAAATTAACCGGTAAACAAGCCTTGGTTAAAACTAGTTTTATTTAATGAGTGATGTGCGTGAAAACCTAAGAAACAACAGAACATTCTTCTTAAACATTGTTTGTTCAAAACATTTCTCGTCGGCTGCGGCTTTAGCAATGTTCAGTAAACACAGTTTTTTAACAAAATTTCACATTTATTAAAATTAGCAGCGACGAGGAAAATGGGAATATTGTTGAGGCTGTAGTAGATTTAGTTCTCTTTTTTTCTCTCGATTGAATTGTGATCTTAGGCTCAACCATTTTTCGCTCACAGAGTTCACAGAAGTGCCCATAACCTCCGCCACTTCCGCGAAGACATCTGATTTTTGGTTTATTTTTATTTGGAGTTGCATCCCAAATTACAGCTCATTCACATAGCAACATAATGAATAGGGATGATGACTAATTTTTTCTTCGTTTATCAGGTAGATTATCAAAAAGTATTGGACACGTATTTTTTCTTTTTTCACATAATGTAAACATTGCAGAGATATATTAAAGTTTTTTAATACACACATGAAATCAAAGGTTACATTTAGATCGTATTTTAACACAAAAGAACCATATCCTAAACATAATAGGCCATGCCACAGTGACGCCCAGTTCCGTTTTATTCGGAAAAAATGGGAACATAATCATTTTCTAAGCTCAAATTTTTAATAACTGACATTCATTGCCACATAACTCATATTTGCCATAATTAAACCGAATTGTTACCAATTATTCACAACATTATTTTAATAAGAAATTAACCCGCGTAGACAACCAACAAGCAATAACATTTGACATTTCGGAGACCTCACGCTACACTATCGCCTCTAGCGGCGGATTCATACGCCCTCATTGTTTTCATTTCTACTAACAACATTTTTCTCCCACAGAACCAGTTCCAATCTGAAGAAGTCGGCCGTCACTTGGTCGACGTAGAACGATTGTTGCAAGCTCATGCCTTGCAAGAGTTACAACTCGGAGCCCTAGAAGAGAGCATTCGTCGTTTAGTGAGACAAGGGGCTGCGGCATCTGGACCTGCGCAGCCTCTCCAGCAGTTGGCGAGCCAATTGGCTCACTTGGAAGAAGCTTATGATGCTTTGGTAGCCGCTGCTAAAGATAGGAAGGCTAGGTTAGAAGATGCTAGGAATCTGTACCAGTTTCTGGAAGACCATGATGAGGAGGAAGGTTAGTGCTGGATTCTAATTGACAGATGAATTCAAGGTCTAAAATAGGAATAAACCCTGTGACGTCATATGTCTGTGAAACGTCATATGGCGGAAAGTTTTTTTTTTAAATATTTTATTCAGATGTAATAGAATGATAAATAACTACGTTTGTATGGAGTCCTTATGTATTTTAGTTCATAACTGACCGCCAGCAACTTTTGTCTTAACTTTTTAGTTTTTCGTAAATCCCAGAGGAACATAAATTCTGCCGGAATAAATAGTATCACATGGCTCAATGCCGGTCATAAACTATAAGCGTACCAAATTTCATCCAAAACCGTTCAGTAGTTTTTGCGTGATTGAGTTACAAACACACAACTTACAAACCTTCACATTTATAATATACTAGCTGACCCAGCGAACTTCGTACCGCCATAAAAAATAGGTAAAAATGGGTTGGTGGTAGAAAGTTGAAAATTTAGGGATATATGTATTTTTGTATGATGTATCATAAAAAAATAAAAAAAAAAATTTGGTGTGGATTACCCTTAACATTTAGGGGGATGAAAAATAGTTGTCCGATTCTCAGACCTACCCAATATGCACACAAAATTTCATGAGAATCGGGAAAGCCGTTTCGGAGGAGTTTAACCACAAACACCGCGACACGAGAATCTCTTATCTAATAGACAAGTCCGTCCGTCCGTGGTGCTGTTTCAGCGGCCAAACCGTAAGAGATAGATAAAGAGAATGTTTAAGTTATAAGTTAAGAATAAGACTACAAACCGGATTTGAGTAACGTAGCACTTCCGGTTTTCGAGAAATCACGTGATTTCTATTTCAAACGAAACCACACAAAATCTCCGAAGTTCTCAATTAATTAAATACATTTTTTTTTTGGTGAACATTTGGTTCACTGGTTTGCTAGTTTTATATATTAGAAGTAGAAGTGTGATAACTTGTAATGGTTGCAATAACTTGTCCAGTACACAAGGTCTATATTCCCCAAGCACATCCGTTTAGGGTTACGGGTTATGTCTGAACCTTTTTTTTTTATTTTATTTAAAAAACCAACAGCGTTACAATGAATACTTACTAATACTTACAACTATAGGTAAGGCTAATAACAGGTGTTTATGGTCATTTTTATCTACTCTTTTTCATTGTGACATGTTATTATATTGTTACTATGGAGACTTAATTTCTGTTGATAAAAACTCAAGAAAATACAATTATTTTATTTCAAGACATATGTTTTTATTCAATTGCTAATTTCTTCCCTAAGGATCCGAAACAACAGGTTTATTGGTGTTTCAGAAATTATGAAAAAAAAAATGAAAAATGAAAAAATGTTTATTACTTACATAAAGAATGTTATATACACGGACGTGCTAGGTGAACAATAATTACTGATGAGCACTTACTAAAGCGATATGATTAAGGTGATGTGCGATAACTGGTTTTACCTTATGTGAATTTTAACCTTTAACAAATAAAAAAAAAAAAAAAATTATCTACTCTTAAAACAAAAGAATGTCATAAAGCTCTTTCTAATCTTTCTTGAAATTTAAATGGAAATTTAATGAACTGGAAACAATAAATAAAAAAAAAAATGTGTGTATCAGCTCCGACGCACGACTGGAGTTTACTCCTTAAGTTCGATAGTCTAACCAGACACGAAAAGAGTTTATTTAAATTAAAAAAGATTAATACTCTATGAAAGGGTAAATTAACAAATTAATGAAAATAATATACATATATAAATATATATTTATTCATTTCATATACATTTATTATAACTAATCGACGAAATATTTTACATTAAACTTTTTACAATAGTCAATTTCAGATGTGCATAAATATATCATTAGGAATGTTGATAAATTATGTAATTATTATTATCAGACTATTATCTTTTTTTTAAATATTAATTAAATCAACATTGTCTGTATTATTAATTACAGTGACAAGTGGTTTATGGTAACTAAAATAAGACACATGGACGTTTAATGTCAATCCGTCATCTTTGTTTGTCAAAGTTGCGCGACATAGGATGCGCACCAAAAAGATAACAAGGTCATTCATCGATAGATTTTACTCCTCACATTTTTCTCATACCGGGCCCCTTATATATGCAAATAGATTCTTAAGGAGTAAACTCCAAAAAAGCAAAAATTAATGAATGTGATTTGTGATAACCCTCCTCTGGCAACACTGTCGCAAACAGCTGATTTTGAATTGTCCCTATATTTTTCAAGTTAATTTACAATAATCTTGTTAATTTAAGGTTCTAAACCAATACATCATTAAGTAAACATTAAATATTAAGTGTTTTATAAAAATACCAGTGTGAATAACGCATAAAAGTGTAAAACAACTGTGAATAATACCGGCTTTTTTTTTGTAAGTCATTGTCATCTGTTTTCAAGAAATTTCTCTCTTTATACGCAGTGAGTGTAACAAGTATTATTAAAAACTACTTAATTATTACTGTGCTTATATTAGTGTTGGATAAAATTGTAAAATACTGCCTTACTTTACAAAATAATTTCGCACATAACCTTGCTCTGTTTGGTTAGACAATTCCTGTTATTTCAATTTCGTACTTTTATACTTATTAATTTCGTTGAAATGATGACACGTAAGGCTTTATCTCGTCAGGAGGAATCCAAACTCCAGCTGACTTTAAGAGAACTTAAGTCATCCAAGGAATTGTGTGATCAACTCAACAGGGAACGGGATGACAATGAAAGGGAATTATTAGACATTTTAAGTAAAAATCAAAAGTTAAAGAGTGAAATGGCTGAGCTACACAAACAGTATAGTGATGCCATTGATGCTCGGGACAGGCTGCAGTGCATCGTGGATGGCTTTGATCAGTGCAGAAATGAGTATGAGCAAACATTGCAGCGAATTCATATTTTAGAAACACAATTACAAGATGCCAATCACACAATTTCACTCCTAGAAGCATCAAAACAAAACATAACAGCCTCATTGAATCAGAGCCTTTTTAGTTGAGCTGGTGGTTTGTGCCCCGGACATGGTTTCTGCTACAATTAATAACCAGCCCACTGTCACCATAGACCTCACACATGATGATACTAAAAACAGTAAGAATACACTGGGGGTTATTGGATGTAAAGGAAATAAATTAAAGAAGTACATAAAAATTAATAAATACATTAAAAAAACTCAAAAACTTGTAAAAAAACAAAAGTTCTTTATAAAAAATGTAAAATTAAACAAGGAAAGATTGCAATTAATTGATAAATTGGATATATATTCAATAAAATATGACAACATTAGCCTAAGATATAAAAAAGACACACAAACATTGCAAAGTAAAATTGAACAATTACAAGAGTGTCTTATAAATGTTACAAAAAAATATGAACTGTCACAAAAAGAAATAAAGGAACACATGAAGGCACTGAATGAGTTGGTTGAATTATGTAATTACAACAATGACAGATTTAATTCTTTAACTAACAATCACACATGTGATTGTAAACAGTTAACAGCTCAGTCACCTGTCAATTGTGATTCCTCCATATCACAACATGTAACTATTAGTTCCCCACAGCAGCCATCAAAGGAATGCTTGACTTCAGTGAAAACAATTCACTCGGACAACTTAGTTTTAGATAATAAATATGAAAAAATCATATTATTTAGTGATGAAATTGGCAAGGGCATGGGCCCTCTTTTATCTAAAATGGGAAATTCAATTATCAATCACTGTATGCCTAATGTTTCTTATAAGGATATCTTAGGAAATGCAATCAAACAGAATTATAGTAAATGCACTACTTTGTTATTTTTTGTGGGAAATAGAGGCAATTTGAACAAAAAATCATTGATTCAATATGTCAATGACCTGAGCTCATTGAATGTTGAAAAAATTATATTGTTTACATTGCCCTATTGTAGAAGTCTGCCAAAGGAGGAAAATATCTTAAGATATAAATTAAATATGCTTTTGTTCACAATGTGTAAAAGTGAAAAATTTCATATTATTGACACTAACAATTATGTTAGAAATTTATATTTGACCAAAGATAAATATTATCTTTCTAATTATTATAAAAGACAGATAGCTAAGTCGCTATCATATTATTTTTATATAACAGCCAAAAACTTGGCTAAACAAATTGCTTTTATTGAGCAATGTTCCATTGACTTGACAGTCAGTAATTCTTCTACTGACAAATTACAAAATAATAACTATTGTTTAAATTAAATAATGAGACAACAGACAACTCGTCTTGCTTAATAATAAATAATTATTGTAATAACTTGCATAAAAATATTAATTTAATTAAGAAAAATCCCAAACAATTAAAAGAAAATGTAAACTTGATCAACCTGATGCATATAAATATTCAAGGAATGATGGGTAAGGACTTAGAAATTGAATTATTTTTGAATTGTAACAATATAGATATATTTTGTATCACAGAGCATTGGCTTAAAAGTCATCAATTCATCTTTAATTTTAATAATCATCAGGTTGGTAGTTCGTTCAGTCGAGAAGATGCGATTCGCGGTGGCTCTTTAATTTTATTAAATAAGGCACTTAAATTTAAGGAACGTAAAGATATTGTGAGCCTCTCGGTTGAGCGAACAATAGAGATTGCCTGTGTGGAACTGGACCAGCTTGTTGTATTGAGTGTATACAGACCTCCTTCAGCATTGTATGATTGTTTTGAAACTATTATGGATGAAGCTTTAGAAAAAATTGTCAACACTGGTAAACGATTAATTGTTTGTGGTGACTTTAATATTAATCTATTAGAAACCTCTAATTTGAGTATTAATTTAAGAAATCTATTTCAATCATATAATCTTGAAAACTTGTTCATGGAGCCTACTAGAATAACTGCCACTTCGGCCACTTGTATTGACAATATTTATACGGATATAATACCACATTCAAAAGTAATTGTTAATCAACTGGATAGTGATCATTGTGGCCAGATGATTACTTTTCCTCATCCAAATAAAAATATCACCAAGAAATATATTACTATTGTGCCAAAATCTGTTAACCGTATAGAGCGTTTTAAAATTCAATTAGATAGGAGTTTGAGTTATTTAAAATATAAAAGTAGTCCAAATGATATGTATAATGATTTTTTTAATAATTTTTGTAAAGAATTTAATGATGTCTTTGTTCCCAAAACCATATGTGTTAGTGATGCAGTAACTTTCAGCGAGTGGGCCACCCCAGGCATACATAAAAGTAGAAGGAAACTTTATGAACTTTACAATGAACGCAGCATTAATACTAGTGAAAGTTTCAAAGAGTACGTACGTAATTATTCAAAGTTATTTAAAAAAGTATGTCGTACAGCAAAATCAAATTATTTAAGTAGTAAGATTAAGAATAGTAATGACAAAATCAAAATGACTTGGAACATTATAAACAATGAAACTGGAAAATCTAAAACTCGAAATACTAGTTTTAATTTAAACATTGAACATAGAAATGTTACATCAGATGTTGAAGTTGCTACAGCATTTGAGAACTTTTTCACTGATATTCCAGTTTCAACTACAAAATCTTTGAACTCGTCCCCCATTGCGGCTGAATCAATATTAAAAGAACACACAAAACAATATACTAGTCAATTTAAATTTAAGTATGTTAACTGTAAAGATGTAATAAAATATTTCAACCAATTAAATAAAAAGAAAACTGCGGATCTGTGGGGTAACTCCGTGGATGTTTCTGGATCAGTAATTGAGACAATAGCTCCTATTTTGGCTAGCATTTTTAATCAATGTGTTGACTGTGGTGTTTTTCCTGATCTAATGAAACTCAGTAAAATAACTCCATTACATAAATCGGGTAGCACATCTGACCCCACAAACTTTAGACCTATATCCGTGTTACCCACCTTTAGTAAGATTTTTGAAAAAATTATGCTAGATCAAATGCAATCATATTTTTATAGTAATAACATTCTTCATAGTAAACAATTTGGTTTCACAAGGGGTCGCTCAACAACCGATGCCGGTGTTGAGCTTGTACAGCAAATTTTTGATGCCTGGGAGAACTCGCAAGATGCATTAGGTGTATTTTGTGACTTATCAAAGGCTTTTGATTGCGTTTTTCATGAAACATTGATCAGGAAACTTCACCACTATGGATTTAGAGATACCACTCTGGATCTTATTGTATCTTATTTGAGTGATAGGGTTCAGAGGGTTGACATCAATGGAGTAAAATCTCCTGGTTCGTCGGTTAAGATGGGAGTTCCGCAGGGCTCAATCCTTGGTCCTTTCTTATTTTTAATTTATATCAATGACTTGCCCTATTTTGTAAAGGATAACCACGAAATAGTATTGTTTGCGGATGACACTTCACTTTTGTTTAAAATTAAACGTAGGGAGTCACAAATTGATGACGTGAACAGGTCTATTTCGAAGGTAGTCCATTGGTTCAATGTTAATAATTTGATGCTAAATGAAGGGAAAACTAAGTGTTTGAAATTTGTATTACCTAATGTGAAACAGGTAAAAACTAATGTAAATATAAAGGATCGACATATGAGCTCTGTAGATACCACAGTGTTCTTAGGAATCACACTAGATTCTAAGCTGCAGTGGGGCCCACATATTGATGGATTGTCGAAGAGACTTAGTTCTGCAGCATATGCTGTAATGAAAATACGGCAGTTAACGGATATAGAAACTGCCAGATTAGTCTACTTTAGTTATTTTCATAGTGTAATGTCTTACGGTATTTTACTGTGGGGAAATGCCGCCGACATTCAAACTATATTTGTGCTGCAGAAGAGGGCTATTCGATCAATTTATAATCTTAAAGTTAAGGATTCATTAAGAGATAAGTTTAAAGAAATAGGTATATTGACAGTTGCATCACAATACATATATGACAACTTAGTATTTGTAAAAAAAAATATTAATTTGTTTACTAAAAATAGTGAAATACATACATATAATACTAGAAATAAAAATAACTTAGCTTTACCTGCTACTAGGCTCCACAAAATCAATAATTCGTTTAGAGGTCTTAGTGTTCGCTTTTACAATAAAGTTCCAAGCAATATTCAAGAGTTAAGCATGACTAAATTTAAATCGACCATTAAAAAATTACTAGTTAAGAAAGCATATTATAAAGTGTCTGATTATATTACAGACAAAAATGCTTGGGTATGAACTGTTCCAACCATTCCAACGGGTATTTCTATATGATTTAAATTATGAATTATGTGTTGACAATACTATAATTAAACTGAAAGCTGTATATAAAGTTAATAACTTAAGTAAGATTACCAGACTGTTTAAGAATATTTGATTGACAAAACGGCGTGGTCGTGATTTCTCCTTTGCTTTGTTTTGTAATTGTTTGTTGTGTCTTACTGGTAAATGACCTTAATTTAAGTAAATATGTTGTAGTTAGTATGGGTAGTTATGGGTAGTCATGCTCTCATAATAGTCTCTTCGGCGGTGTCGTATGAGGCGGGTCGTTACGTTCCCTAAAATATGGTTGAGCGAAGCGATGGCTGGTTCATGCGTCATGCTCGTGAACGGGTGCTGCCAGCGGAGATGAGTCTGCCCTAACTTCCTTAATATTGAAGTTAATGTTTAGTCACACTGAATATAAATAACACTATTTGTATTTATACTGTATGACACAGCAATCAAAATGCAGGTAAACAATTAATGTATATTTAATAATTATGTAATGAAAAGTGACTTCATGAATCACCTCTGAAGTCATTTTTCAATTTGACGACTCTGTAAATAATAAAACAGGGAGAAAAAAAACAGCCCTTGCTGAGTTTCTTGCCGGTTCTTCTCAGTACAAGGTCTCCCGCCGTAGATTTACGAACCGATGGCGTAGCTTCTAGACATTCATATGTGCTTGTAACAGCCTAAACTGAATAAATGATTTTGATTATGATTATGATTATGATTATGATTATGATTATGTGTATATGCCAAGTTTTAGACTATAGCCCGGTATTTGCCCGGATTTTTAAAATTACATTGAATATGAATTATATAGTTTATATTGATTTAAATACCATACCATTGTAACTAAGTGAGTAATGGTACCATTATGTGACTAAAAAGTCCGGACTTTTTTCATAAAGTCAGAACTTTTTTAATTCCTAAATGGTAACCCTACATCCGTTCCTTAATTTTCGAAGTGTGACTTGTGTGTGGTGTGGAACAGGATGGGTGACCGAGAAGCAACGCATCTGCCGCGCAGAGGTTGCGGCTAAGGACTTGCGTGGCGTTCTGGCTTTGAAGCAGAAGCATACGGCTTTGTTGCACGAATTGAGAGCCAGGGAGCATGTGTCTCAACGGCACAAGGCGAAAGGGCAAAGGTATATATATATCATAGACTTAGTACTTAAAGTACTTAGTACTTAAAGGCTTACAGAGTGCGACAGAAACATCTAGCAGTTAAATGCTTAAAAAAACGACGGGTTGCACTCCGGGAGTGCCGGCAGAAGTGAAAACTTGAATATTAACGTTGTGCATTTTTGATATTTTGGAATGGTTAGGGAATAATTTTGCACGAATTGCTTGAATTATCAGTATAAAAGTACTATCATTTATGTGGTAGAATACAATATTAATTTATTGCGCTGTCGTACACAAACATGACAATTTATAATTATTACATTAAAAAAGTTTATCTCTCAGAAAAATCAACTTGCATGTATCACGTTTAAGCGCACCTAGCGACATCTATTGTAAAAAAATGCATTTTCTTTGCAATAAAACTGCCACCTGGACGTCTACATAGAGACCTATTATTTCGTCCAATATATTGAAAGTCAACAACCTTTCCAATTTTATTGTTTTCGTCAGATCCCCGATCAGGCCACGTGTCATGACGCGATCAGCCCACGTGTCCTGACGCGAGTTTAACATTTTTTACTCATACAAAAAAGTTTTCACTTCAAACATAAAGACATAACTATAATTGCCATTTCTTCTTTAGTTGATAATATTACTATAAAGCATGAAATAGAAAAGCTTTTTTCGAGTTCTTGTCGCGTGACTGAAAACGCCTAAGATTGGCGTATCTAAACCATAGATATTTCTATACATGCTCTGCAAGATGTTTCGAAGTGGCGTTACTTTGTACTGTTCGACGTTTTAACAGTGGTGGATTTAAGCGCCGCCGTTGCCGTAGGCAAGCATCTCATTGGCGCCCCTATATTAAAGTAACTCGTACCGTACTATAGTTTGACCGAAACCAATCCAGTCGATGCGACGAACGTAGTAATAGTCCAACTTTAACCAGAGATCATGTACCATCGACAAGGTTGCTTGAAGGCGTAATTATTAGTCAGTCAGTCCCATCCGTTAAATTTATCTTTTGTTATAAATTGTGGCAAATTGAGGTTGTAAGCAAAAATAATAGTTTTTTCGTACCACTTGTTAAAAAACGTGACATTCTATGCCACAAAAAGCGAACATAACAATAGTCATTTTTAATCTGTTAAAAACAGGGAAAGAAAATTGTACTGAATTTCATTCATCCTCTAGGGGGAGAATGTGATTTAAATTTGGAATACTTACCGAAATTTATACTGAACTGCGTCTGTGTTTACACCATTGAGTTTGTATATAAAGCATTATACATCTTTTTGAAAAAGGAATACGCATATCTCATATTATCATTGTGTTAATTTTCTCGCAAATGGTACGAAAAGTAGAGTATGTTCCTCGGTGATAAAGCTGTCTTAGTCTTGGGTGAACTTAAATCCCTCGCTACACTCAGCACTCGTCTTAAAAAAAGCCGTGTGACGTCACCTGCCTGACATATTTTCTAGAGAAACGTTTCCGCGGCATGTTTGAATATATATTTTTTATCGCTAAGCCGTTGGTCCCGGCTGCATCTGCAGGCGTTAGCACTCGCCAATCCGCACTGGGCCCGCGTGGTGGGTCATGACCCAATCTCCCTATTCCATCCATAGGGAAGGCCTGTGCCCTACCAGTGGGGACATTACTAAGCTGATGAGAATGATATACAACAGATTTATAAATATAGATATAATTAACTTTTGCATTGGTCTGCATAATATGAACGTTTAAAGCGCCCACTTATACAGAGTCAGCCTCTACGAATACCGTGGTTTATTAATTTAACATTAAATCGACATTTTGAAGTGACCTTAAATAGACTTAGTTCTGGACATTATCGACGTAACAAGTTTGGATATCTTATGAAAAAAATTGAGTCTCTTAATTGTGAAGTATGGATTGTGTCCGGTGCCAGAATGAGAGACAAGAGTTTGTTAATCAATGTAAATTGAATATGTCAGACATTGGTGTGTTTCACAGCATTCTGGCCCAACCGGTCTCGGAAGAGGCTAGAATCCTGTATCGCTTTATATGTCTACCGCGACTTTCTTCCGGCAATAATATATTACGTTAATTGGCTTAGATGATTTGTTAATTTATATAAGTACACGATGGGACTGACATGTCTGTAAAGATAAAAGTCCTTTAAATAAAGAGAAAAGAAAAAAGCGCCCAGTTTATTCAATCAAGAAATTATGAATACGTGTGACTGTCAGCATGCTTTAAATAAGTAAATAAATGATTTTCGTCGGTTGATTCAGTTTGATTGACGCCAAGCACCCGAAGAGCTCGGAGATTGAGCGTCGCCTGGCGCTGCTGAGCCAGCAGTGGGAGACTTTACGCCAACTAGCTGCCGTAAGGGAGAAGCAGCTTGCCGACGCTGCGGAAGCACACCAGGTATGTAGATACTTTACACTGTACACTGCTGGGGCACAGGCCTTCCCTATGCATGGAATAGGGAGATTGGGCCATGACCCACCACGCGGGACCACTGCGAAAGTTGCTTAACTTCAACCATCGCAGCCGAACGCGCTAACTACCTGCGCCATCGAGCTCCTCCAATGCCAGGTAATAATAGTAATCTTAATATATATAAATCTCGTGTCACAATGTTTGTCCTCAATGGACTCCTAAACCACTGAACCGATTATAATAAAATTCGCACACCATGTGCATTTCGATCCAACTTGAGAGATAGGATAGTTTAAATCTCAAATTATAGTCGCAATTTTAATTTATTGCAAATTATTACTTTTGGGCGGTACGAAGTTCGCCGAGTCAGCTAGTCTATAATATAAAAAATCAGCGCAAATCTTGAGAGCAGCTGAACGGATTTCGATAATTATTTTTTTAGAATATTCCTTGAATTACGAGGATGGTTCTAACGCAGAGAAAAATTAAAAATTTCCCAAAAGAGTCCAAAAACTACACTTTTCCATGCTCCCATACAAACGATTCGTAATAATACTTAAAAGTCAATTTGAACTTTAATACCATAATACCAGTTCCGGGAAGGCAAAACAATTGAGTGACGTGATATCAATAGAAGTTTAGAAAGGGCAAATATACCATTTTCAGTTTTTTTTATCATTATATGAACAGTTATTTTAGTCTACACTACAGCTCAACACCGAAGCGAAGCGAGGGCGGGCCACTAGTTAATAATAATAATAAAAAGAAATTCTCTATATCGCCCTCCAGAAAGCTGCAATTTGAAATATAATTTTAAATCTCGTCACAACACGTCTTTAACTAACACAACACATGCTGCACTTACTTGGTTTCGGCCCGGAATTGTAGTACAAACCAGCCAAAGAGCTGAGAAGAAAAAAACACTACAAATAATAATATTTCCAACACTCACACCAATTAGCCTAGCCCCAAAGTAAGCACTTTAAGGCTTGTGTTATGGGATACTAGGGTAACGGATAGAATACATATACTATACATATATAAGTATAGTTATATAGAAATACATTTTAAACATCCATGACTGGAGAACAAATGCTCGTGTTCATCACACAAACATCTGCCCCCACCGGGATTCGAACCCGGGACCTCTCGAGTCGGCGACAGCCATGAAACCCGGCGTGCAAACCACTCTGTATTATCTCTGTATATCTTTTTTCTGATGTAGCAATATTCCTTATTTTGTTTTGGCAACTTCAAATCTTGTACCCTTAGTACGAGTTTGAGTTCACGAAAACTATCATAGTTTTCGTAATTATAAATTATGTTTCTATGCCTATTTTGATGAAAAGTTACCAAATATACTTAAAATTTAAGAAGACACAAATGATTTAAAGATATAATTTAAACACCTTTTATTTGTATTGAAACCAAAAGAATAAAATCAGTACGAGTGCGGGCTCACGAAAACTGCCATAGTTTTCGTAATTGTAAAACACCTACTAAGGATACCGAATAATAGGTAATTTGTTTATCTATAAACCAAATCTTTACAAATTGCCCTTTAGTTCTACGGCGATGCCAACGAAGCCGAGTCCTGGATGAAGGAGAAGCGAGCGTTAGTTGCCACTGAAGACTGTGGCCGCGACGCCCCCGAAGCCGCGGCTCTACTCGCTCGCCAGCGGGCGCTCCACCACGAGCTGTGCGCGTACAAAACTGAGCTAGACACTCTAGCTACGCATGCGAATAGGCTGCAGCAGGCTGGGATAACTGCGTTGCAGGTGAGAAGATGAGCGAGTTTCTGAGTTTTAATACCAATTTTATTTATTTGTGTTAGATATAGTAAGTATACGAGCGGATTACTGAGTTTCAATATCAACTGTGGTTATGGTCCTTCGGGTCGGATAGTTTTAGAGGCCGTTCAGGTATTACGTAAGCACTGCAGGGGGGGGGGGGGGTTATGCTTTACTTATTTTTGATGACATGGGGGTCCGGGGGGAGGGGGAGTCTAGATGGTGATTACGTCAGCAATATGGCAACCCGCACATTGTCCCCGCATACTTGAAAACGGAACGCAATTTCTTGGTTGGTTGGTTGGTAGGTGCTGCAAATTTTCTATGGAAACGTTGGCGATACGAGCACGGACCTATTAAAGTCTGTGTTAAAAAAAAAACAAAATTTAATATCGTTTATTCAGTCTAGGCTGTTACGAGTACATTCACACTTGTGAATGTCGAAAAGCTACGCCATCGGTTCGCAAATCCACGGCGGGAGACCTTGGACTGAGAAGATCCGGCAAGAAACTCAGCAAGGGCTGCTTTTTTCTCCCTGTTTTATTTCATACTGTGTCGTTCAATTGAAAGTTGACATCAAACTTGCAAACATATGTTGAGGTCAACTTCCATCACATAATGTCAAATATGTAACAATAGACAATGTACTTGTGGTTACACCCTTAGCAGGGACCATTATCGAATTCGTATCGTTTGCGAGTGCGAAATGTCATTGTCAAATGTGTACTGATTTTTAGTTCTCGTTACGTACGTTATGGAGCTACTGTTCAAGTTTTCATACAAGATTTGACAACGATATTTCGCACTTGCAAACGATAAGAATTCGATATTGGTTCGTACTAACGATACTGGACAGATTTAGTTGTCGTCACCTACACCTTTGTAATGGTAACACGAGTGGCCCATAGAGAATGGCCTGAGCGTTTCCTGTCTAACTGTAAATTAAAACTGTTCAGCTAATAGAGTATTTGACAGTTTTAAAAATAAAGTGCCAATTGTTAGCATCTGTGTTTAGAATGAATATTGGCAAGGTATTTTACTATTTTTACAAAAAAAATATTCATAATTTTATTAAATACCCCCGAAAAGATAATAGTTTTCTTATCTATTGTCACGTGACCCAAAATGCTTGGGATTGGCGGAGCCTAAAATGACGTCACACGCAAGTAAAATTCCAGTTAAAGTGACATTACATTGTATCGTTTGACGTTTTAATAACAGTCGTGTGACGTCACACACTAGTAAGACGCCATATTGTCCAGAGAAACGTTTTCGCGGTAATTTGAAAATTGAGTTTTTTATTTGGTTATTTTTACCGAAATACACAACAGACGGATTTTACGGACTCCATAAACATTGGTCAATAACGTGAGATCGTTTTCTAAAACTTGTCAAATACCCTATTGAAATAGTAGAAAAAAAGTCTTTATCTATGTTTTTAAATGCTTTTTTCTCTTTTCTACCCTCATCACTTTACGTTAATCATCAACTACCTATTATTCTGTCTTCTATCCATCAGCTGCCAACTGAAGTGGAGACTTCTTCCGGTCCTGAGGAAGAGGAATGGGTGAACGAATCCCGCCTGGTTCCTACTGAAGTATGGGAAGAGGAACCTGTGGAGAGACTGGAACACAGAACGGTTACGGAAGAGAGAAGCGTGCCACAGGTGAGAAATAGTAGCTACAATCTTTGATATTTTTGCTTGGAAATAAGCTGGAGACATAGGTTGCAGAAGGAATGAGCCATAGAACGGAAACTCGAATGTTAATTCTTTACTCTTGAACTGCAATTTAATCCTGATCATCATCATCATCAGCCTATTAATGTCCCCACTGCTAGGGCACAGGCCTTCCCTTTGGATGGAATAGGGAGATTGGGCCATGACCCACCACTCGGGCCCAGTGCGGATTGATGGGTGCTAACGACTGCAGATGCAGCCGGGACCAACGGCTTACCGTGTCTTCCGAAGCACGGAGGAGCTCGAGATAGTAAATTTTTGGTCACCCATCCAATGACCGACCACTGCGAAAGTTGCTTCACTTCAACGATCGCAGCCGAACGCGCTAACCACTTGCGCCATAGAGCTTCTCTATCATCTTCATCCTTATAAATTTACTAAATTCTTTTAAGCGCTCTCAATCTTGCTGGATCCAGCGTGCGAGACAGCGCTATATGCGTAAAAGAGATAGATATACAAGCTCTCTTTTACGTGTATGACGTTGTCTCACACCCCCTCAAGTTCGAGTGGTCTAGAGGCTCCAGATGGAGAGGAGACTCCCCCTGTGGGGAGACGCCATCCGCCTGGAATACTTCCAGAGGCATTCGCCAATTCTCGGTTTGAGGTACCCTTAGGATCTCGCCGTCCCCAAACCCGGTGACGCTGTAAAGGTCATCTGCGAACAGCAAAATACACACTTAAAAGAAAAAGTCTCACACGCTGGCCTTAGAAGGATGGATAGTGCGTAGATCTTTCAACTTGCAAAATTTATAATATACTAGCGGCCCGCCCTCGCTTCCCTTCGGTGTAGAGCTGAAGTGTAGACTGCAGTTTTTGTTCCCAGGCTTGTATTATACACAATGACATTCATCTAAGATTCTTGTTATACCTGCATGCAAAGTCTCAGCCCGATTGGTTTAAAATTGACAAAGTTTCATTCCCTATTTTATCCCCTTGGGGGTAGAATTGATCAAAATCCTTTCTTAGCGGATGCCTACGTCATAACATCTACCTGCATGCCAAACAGCCCAATCTGTCCAGTGGTTTGGGCTGTGCGTTGATAGATCACTATGTCAGTCAGTCACCTTTGACTTATATATATATACTAGTGGACCCGACAGACGTTGTCCTGTCTACACGTCTTTGTGAATCTAAACCATTCTCAGATCCCCTTGAACACACACAAAAAATTTCATCAAAATCGGTCCAGTCGTTTGAGAGAAGTTCAGTGACATACACACTCACAGAAGAATTATATATATAAAGATATAGAAGTAGTAATTAATTTTAAAATAAATTGTTATAAATAATTGTTTTTTTTTCAGGTCAAAGCGTTATACGCCTTCACCGGGCAAGGTATCTCCATGCAGAAAGGCGAAGTTATGTTCCTGATGAACAAGACGAACCCTGACTGGTGGTCTGTTCGTAAAGCTGACAGGACTGATGGTTTCGTGCCAGCGAACTACGTCAGGGAGATCGAACCAAGAGTTGTTCCGGTGAGCAAACGATGACCCTTTATCACAATGTTTTTAAATAATGGAGGCCATACAATAAGGCCGTCGTTTTGAAAATGGCGTGTCGCAAGCGCAATGCCACATTAGAAGAATTCATAGAAATTTTCAGAAATCAGAAATCAATATATCTTTATTCAAATTGGATGTATAGTACAACACTTTTGAATCGTCCAAACATTTTTTCCCTACCACTCGTTATTGGACATATTTTTTATCTGCGGAGAAAAACGAGCGAAAAAAACTCCACAACATTAAAAGCATAATGTTACAACATTTACAAATCATTATGTTGTTACAACGTCAATACAATCATGATTTATTTAATATAGAAAACCTGTTGGAATGATTGGAACAGTTCAAACCCAAGCAAGTCGGAATCTTGTCTTTGTCATTTTTAAGTCGGAATCTTGTCTTTGGCGCGTAAAGTGCAAAGTATACCAGAGATTGATAACTAAGCTCAAGGAATTAGAGCCCACAGCTACGAAAGTAGATGTGATTAAAAAAAAATTCCATTCACAGTATTTAATAGACGTTCTACCGTTTCACAACCTTTTTATTTCATTATTTTGGTTTCCTTACTTTTTACCCTGTCGTGGCCAATGCACAAACCGCGCGAGCCATTATAATAATAAATAAAAAAAATAGGCGTTTTTTTTTTTGGCGGGATTTCATCGAGTGCGGTTGGCGTCTTATTTTAATTATTCTTAAATTCGTTCATAGTGGATATTGTGAAATAAAATTGGTGTGGTTTTGTGTAACAACTGTCTGCGTAACTGAAGAATTTGCGGAATCATTAAAATATACGCTATTCCGGTCAAGTGGACGTGAGAATTTTATTGTAGTAGTGACTACCTCACAGAAGCTTATCGAAAAAGCCAGCTCGATTCATTTCGTGCCAAACACTTCAAGAAACATTAGAATGCGTCACACCGACATTCTAATGTAAAAACAAAAAGAAGATTAATTTAAATAAAGACTAGGCTGTATGGGCATTGTTCCCTTTGCCTTCCCTATAACGGGAGAACTTCAACAAAAAAAAAGGCGTTCTACACACACTATCACGTAGCTCAACTGAGAGTAATAGCAAAACTGTGCATGCAAACCCTAACGTGTATGTGCAATATGAAATTCGGTTATGCTTGTCGGTTATGCATGTACGGCTAAAACCATCATGCAAAACCTAATGTGTATGGCCTCCATAAAACTACTTTTTGACGAGTTTAAAATGCGTTTTTTTAATCTTTTTTACCTATCTCGATGTTTCGCATTCTTTTTAAGATGAATTTTATTAAGGCCATGACTCTCATTTTAAAGCCATTCTTAAATTCAATTTAAAGCCGTTGAAAAGTAGTTTTATTTAAGTGTGGGTAAAAACATAACTTTGGTGTAGTGTGAAAAAAAATCCAATAATTTATGTATAAAATTTATTTGTATAATTAATAACTTCAGCTTACAATAATCGCAGTGTCTACTAAAAATGCATTCATGTCAAATAAAGAGTTATTTGACACTGAAACTATTAATTATTCGAACGTGTACGTACGAAATGTCACTGTCAAATTTTGTTTGGAAACTTGAACAGGTCACCAGGCTCTCATAGCCTGGCCGAATTTAGTATTGACAAATGACGAAACGTAGTGTTTCAAGCAATCATTGGTGTTTCTAAAAATGTAAGAAACAAAACGTACAATGTGATTAAAATAAAAACCGATTGAGCGCCATGTTGTGACGTCATAGCTGTCAATTCAAACCAGTTAGGTAGAGTGAGCAAAAAAAAATTTTCTTTAATATAACTTATTTACCATAGATATGTTATTAATATTTATTATAGATAGACGGCTATAAAGTAAGACATCGATTATTGTAGGTTTTAAAACGACAACTTTATTGAAAATAAAAACGATCCTTTTATTACCTGTATTTATAAATAAAACTAAAGTTCTTATATTTCCATTTTCCATCATAAGTGATTTATTTCTTTCTTTTGTTGACAAATGTCCAGTATTTATTATAAGATTAGCTCAGTGATAAAAAAGTTGTTTCAAGGTTTTTTCGCATACCGTACTTTACAAAGCGATAGAAATCAGAAATCCATATATCTTTATTCAAATTGGATGTATAGTACAACTCTTTTGCATCGTCCAAAATTTTTTTCCCCCTACGGTTATGGACATTTTTTTTAGCTGCGGAGAAAAACGAGCGAAAGAAACTCCACAACATTAAAAGTCTAATGTAACAACATTTACAAATCATTATGATGTTACAACGTCAGTACAATTCTGATTTATTTAATAAAGAAAACCTGTTGGAATGATTGGAACAGTTCAAACCCAAGCATTTTTGTCTGTAATATAATGAGACACATTGTAATAAGCTTTTTTTAATAAGTGCTTTTTTTATACTATATTTAAATTTATTTATGGCTAACTCTTGGATATTGCTTGGGACTTTATTGTATAAGCGAATTAGCGAACACCTTTAAATGAATTATTAATTTTGTGAAGCCTAGTAGCAGGTAAAGTTAGTTTGTTTATAAGAAACAAATTATTATTTTTTCTGACAAGTAATAAATTTTCGTATATTTATTGTGATGCGACCGTCATTATTCCAAATTCTTTAAACTTGTGTCTTAACGAACTTTAAGATTATAAATTGATCAAATAACTCTCTTATATTTGACAGATGGAGGTCATTGGCTTTCCGCTGTCTTATTTGAATATGTTATTTGTATGTGTACCTACTAGGTGCAAGTCCGTCGCCCTGAACGCGTCCGCACTGTCCAGCGAGTGAAGAAGACAGTGCTGGTCAAACAAGTGGTGCCCGTCCGTCGCGCCCCCGCCCCCGCCCCCGCCCCAGCGCGGCGCCGCCCGCCCCCCAGCTCCGCCCCCCGACCCGTGGGGGACACTATAGGCCACATACAGAGGAGCTACGGTTAGTGTTTATGTCATTAAATAAATCAATATTTCCAACACTCACACCACTAAACTCCTATCCTAAAACTACACTCTATCCAAAGGAGATTTCTCAAATTGGCCCAAATGCACAAAAAATATTGACATATACGGTAATCCTTGGCCTAATTCATACTTTGTTTTACAGTCATTAGATTTTAACGGACACCTTTGTATAATATATTCATTTTAAAAAGGTCTTTTAATTTTACCGGTTTGGAACACAGTTTAACGGCTATGGGTGTAGTAACATTAGGCCAAAGACTGATCGAAGTTGTTTATTTAACATAAAATGAAATTTATTTTGTAAAGATCGATAAAATATATATTTTTTTTTAATAACACTGTGGTATTAATATCTACAACTATATTATCATTTCCACTTCAGGCAAATGTGCTAAGACAATTATTATAGATGGTAGGCGACATCATCAAGTCTATTGCCATACATTTTTCGCCAAAGACGTCCATAAACATATTCTAAGATGTAATACACTTAAAATCTAAAATATGGTTATAATATAAACATAATAAAAATAATGAAGCTACTGAAAATATGGCTTTATAACCTAAATCTCTTAGCTTTCTTTGGTTGACGAGAGTTTAATTATTCTCTCTAATCTGTGGCTCATTCACAATCATCACACAGTTTCTGTCACAGAGTACCTTATTATAACCGGAAATGCATAGATGATACCTGATTTTAAAAGTTACTCTTGTGCATTAACTTTAAAAACAGGAAACTATCTGTTAATCTACATGCTCTATATACCTGAATCAAATACATAATTTCGGTACTTAACTTGGTTTCCCTAGTTTACTATATAACTAATTTGTATTTTATTATTATAATACCTATGTCCCTATTGGCAATCATAACCTCAAAATCGTTCAGTGTATATGGTTTATAGAAGTTCTCAGGGGTGTCCATCAATAATATTCGTTTCTATAGTAATTTATATATAATTTCGAATGTAGGAAACAATTTTTCATGATTATTGGTCTTTAGGCCAAAAATGTATAGAAGCTGAGCAATCTCCTTTACCTATCTCTAACCTAAAATTATCTAATCAATTAATACAAAAAAAAGAAAACATACTAACTTACCCTAATGTTTATTAATTACATAATAAAATGTAGCTTATTAGGACTTATTAATTAGGACCTTATATAATACGCATTAAAGGTGACTTTCAGTGTTTAAAGAATGCCTTATATTGGTTTTGACGTGGTTTTGACGATGCGATCATCTTACGGAGCTCCACGATGTACCAGATCGTTCAATGTACCTTTTGGACAGGTTTCGGCCACGATTTTGTTCGTGTTGGTGTATCTAGAGTATTTAATATCGTTGATCGTAGATTATAATGGCAAGATACTCCAGCACACTGTATACGATGACAAATTTAAAACAAATGTCAATTTACAGACGAGCTTCTCGAGCTGTCGGCAGCCCGACGCGAGCAGCTCGAGGACGCCATCAAGTTGTACAGCTTCTTCGCTGAGTGCGACGACTTCGACAAATGGATGAAAGACAAGGAGAAGATGCTGCGAGCTGATGACGAACAGGACAGCGTGGATAATGCTAAAAGGAAATATGAGGTAAGATCAATAGGGATGATGACTAATTTTTTTTTTGAAGTGAAACTTCTTTATCGGCGTTGGAAAAAAATTTACCGTCGCATTTTTCGGTTACGCGTCACATTTTTCCGTTACGCGCCATCTTTTTTTATATTAATAGTTGATAGCTGAATGATCACACTGTCGCCGGCGAGAACTCTCTCTACTCGTTTGTAGCTGAGTGACAATAGTTATTAAAGATAAGACTCGCTCAGCCAAACTCGCATAGCGATACTCGCTCAGCGATACTCGCTCAGCGGTACTCGCTCAGCGATACTCGCTCAGCGGTAGTCGCTCAGCGATACTCGCTCAGCGATACTCACTCAGCGATACTCGCTCAGGGATACTCGCTCAGCGATACTCGCCCAGCGATACTCGCTCAGCGATACTCGCTCAGCGATACTCGCTCAGCGATACTCGCTCAGCGATACTCGCCCAGCGATACTTGCTCAGCATTTCTCGCTCAGCGATTCTCGCTCAGCGATACTCGCTCAGCGGTACTAGCTCAGCGATACTCGCTCAGCTATACTCGCTCGGTTAAGCTGGCTTGGCTGTCAAAAGCCGTGCGCGTGCATTTTAACTCAGGACTGCCAATTCGTTTCTAGTTTCTACTCGCTTATCGTTCATCGTCGGAGGTGGAACATGTGCCTTAGATTACTGAGCCGTGTAATCATAACAGTTTCATAGGCAGTAATTTGTATTCATGTCTATGATAATAAAATCCTTTTGTTTAAACTTTATCTAATTTAACTTTATTTAACCAATTTCTGGAAAATAAAACTAGTTTAAACGGGATAATGCACGAAACTTTATTTATTTATTGACGTTTCGTAGCCTTTCCAGGCTTCGTCGTCAGAATAAAACTTTTGTTTAATTTGTCGAGCTACCTTCGAAAGACTTTTATTGAGCGTTTGGTTATTTCATCGTTCGATTTTTAAGTTTTATTGTCTATGTATCAATTTATTATTTAATTTACTTAATAAAGTATTTTATTTAAAATTCTTGTTTGTAATTTTGCGTTTATTTATTTGACCCTAACTACCGTAAACTACCACCGGTTCCAAAATTGGGAGACCTTCCTGAGAAGAACCGGCGAAACAAACTCAAGAGAGGCTTTCTATCTCCTTCTTATGTTAAATTATGCAAACAAAAAGAACTAATAGTATCTGATGGTCTTGCAGTATGTGCTCGGGGTTGGGATTTTATCTCCTGTATAATAGGTTCCCAAGCTGGTGGTATATACCAACCATCTTCCCTATTGAAATTTGGATATTTTTTAATCTCAATAGCCTCGCGCATCATTCGAGAAACGCAGCTGAGCGGCGTTTCTCGAATGATGCGCGAAAAAAAAAAAAAAAAAATCCAAATTTCAATAGGGAAGATGGTTGGTATATACCACCAGCTTGGGAACCTATTATACAGGAGATAAAATCCCAACCCCGAGCACATACTGCAAGACCATCAGATACTATTAGTTCTTTTTGTTTGCATAATTTAACATAAGAAGGAGATAGAAAGCCTCTCTTGAGTTTGTTTCGCCGGTTCTTCTCAGGAAGGTCTCCCAATTTTGGAACCGGTGGTAGTTTACGGTAGTTAGGGTCAAATAAATAAACGCAAAATTACAAACAAGAATTTTAAATAAAATACTTTATTAAGTAAATTAAATAATAAATTGATACATAGACAATAAAACTTAAAAATCGAACGATGAAATAACCAAACGCTCAATAAAAGTCTTTCGAAGGTAGCTCGACAAATTAAACAAAAGTTTTATTCTGACGACGAAGCCTGGAAAGGCTACGAAACGTCAATAAATAAATAAAGTTTCGTGCATTATCCCGTTTAAACTAGTTTTATTTAATGAGTGATGTGCGTGAAAACCTAAGAAACAAATAATTTCTGGAAAGTTGCATGTACATCATTTTTCGAAAAATAAGGCCATAAAGAAGTTTCACTTCTTACGTGTGTACACTAGTACACGCACACATTTTTCTTCTTTTATCAGGTAGATTATCAAAAAGTATAGGACACGTATTTTTCTTTTTTCACATAACATAAACATTGCAGAGATAATATTGATTTGAAAAGTCGCATGACGTCACGTTTGAGTAAGTGAAAATTCACTCAAAAGTGACGTCACGAGCCCCTACTCCCAAACTTTGAGGCGCTATAACTTGGTCATTTTTTGGTTGATTGCCCAAAGAAAAAATACGTGTATGTTTATAGTAAATTGATTTTCTTTAATTTGCCTTTCTCCAGAAATTCGTAACGGATCTATCGGCCGCCTCTAAGCGTCTAGAACAGATAGACTCTGCTGCAGAAGAGTTAGTAGCAGCTAAACATGGCCAGGCTGCTAGAGCTACTGCTAGGAGACAGCAGCTGAAACAGCAGTGGGACAGACTGCTTAGGCTGAAGCTGCAGAAGGAGAGAAGTCTGGAGGGAGCTAGCAGGTAAAGATTCTCTTTATATAAAAGTCTTGTACCTTATTCAATTATAGTCATTTTAGATTTTTGGCTATCATCATCATCAGCCTATTAATACCCTCACTGCTGGGGTACAGGCCTTCCCAATGGATGGAATAGGGAGATTGGGCCATGACCCACCACGCGGGCCCAGTGCGGATTGGGGGGTGTTAACGATTGCAGATGCTACCGGGACCAGCACTTTAACATGTCTTCTGAAGCGCGGAGGAGCTCGAGATAGTAAATTATTGGTCACCTATCCAATGACCGACCACTGCGAAAGTTACTTAGCTTCAACGATTGCAGCCGAACGCGCTAAGCACTCGCGCGATCTTCGGTCTTCTCATAACTTATCCTTAGTTATCCCACTCCACTGATTTCGTAGCCAAGTCATTTTATGTAAGAGCTGTTAAGCTGTGGAACGCTTTGCCTCTGGATATTAAACGTGCACAGACGAGGGACTCTTTACTATTAAAATTAAGGAATATTTCCTCAAGCTGGACTCTGCCTGATCTTTTTATCTGTTTATTACTATTTATTGTGTTTTATAGCTTCCTTACATACTTACTATATTAGATATTATTATATTTACGTTTATTTATTTATTTTTACAATGCACTAGCCCGCTGTTTCTACTATTCATATGGTATGGTTTCATTTAGCCAAAGGTTGCCTGGTAGAGATTGCTACCTTAGCAATAAGGCCGCCTTTTGTGTTTTTGTTCCTGTGTTTTATGTTCTCTGTATTGTGTGTAATAGTGCAATAAAGAATATATTCGTTCATTCATAAAAAGAACCTTTTCTCTTAGCGTCTTTTTTATTTTCTGGTTCACATATCATATTCTTGCTTTCCTCTTTCTGCGCCCTCATCTTTTCGGTCCAAATCCTCCTTCCCTTGTTTTTTTACGATGTACTAGCTATAACGATTAGGTACAACGTATTGTCTAGCCAGTTCTGATTGTGATATTGTTTGTTATCAGCGTGGAGCTATTCAGCCGCACATGCGACGAAGCCCTAGAATGGATGGCCGAGAAGGAACAACAACTGGCCTCCTCCAGCGCCCCCCCTCCGGACCTGAGGACTGTGCGCGCCCTCCAGCGGAGACATGCGCAATTAGAGCGGGAATTGGAACCGCTGAGAGATAAAGTTCATACTCTAACGCTGCTAGCTGATGAGTGAGTATATATCTGTAACAGTATTCATTCTACCTCACTTACTTTAGAGATGACTCCAACTAGAACGATCTGTAATCTTAGCTCTCACTGACAACGCCACCTTTTGAGAAGGCGAGTAATTATCATGCTCTCCCACTAGAGCGAGATCTGCGTATGTACATCCACCTTTTAATAATAAATCGTAGAAAGGTCTAAAGGGAAGTTATTCATCCGAACTAGGTCAGGTAATTAGATCATTTCATTAATAGCGCCATCTGTTAACAAGGTGAGTAATTTTCTTGCTCCGCTTTTAGAATAGGGAAGATGCATATATAATATTTATGAAAATTTTATGATTAAAATGTTAAAAAAATATAAAAGAAATGTCACTGCAACGTTTTTATTTTACATAATGTTTTTTTTTAACAATTATTACGAATTAAAAATACTTGAAACGGAACGTATTTTAAAACACCAATCAGCGTTTAGTGACGTCACTCCTGTTATGACAACTTCTTTGAGGTTATGGTTGTTAAAGTAAATATTATTTTATGGGAATATTTATTGCGTTTTTTTACATTTAATAAAAATGGAAGTTGCGTGTATCAAAGCAGACTCCAGGAATTTACCAAGAGTTAGCGTTGACGACATGGTTACAACTTTTTTTGTCCAAAGTGCAGAGTTTTTAAGTGTAGAAATGAAAGGGACTAAATTACTACGGTATGTAAAAATCGTAGTTGTTAACCTTCGTATTTTATTCAGCGGCTTCTACAAATCTTACGGCGATAATGCAATCGGCTATGTCCAAATTAAAAGAGATGGAGAATTATGTACAGTAAAAGGTCGAGTTCTCCGGAGCATAAAGTTCGTAAAGAAGGTTATCTTCTTACAGTTGTTTTAAATGAAACGCAAAGCTTGGTTCAGTCCTGCCAATGTGAAGATTGTGCCACACATTTTTAACTTTATCTAATTTACGACGTCATTCTCCAACTGTAAAATTAAAAATATGTTATAGACAGGTTTTGTAAGTATTAGGTAGGTTACTAATGCGTTTTTACGTACAAGCAGATTAATTAAGCATATAACAAGTATATTCGCCGCCTTACGTCAAAGTGATCTTCTCAGCATCGAATAATGGTCTTTGGAGAATAATTGTCATTTCTCTTCGCAGCTTGAAACCACTTTTTTTCAGTTTTGGGTCAGAAGTTCCAGTGAAAAACAATTTATTTGGGAACTTTGTTGAAGTAGATTGGCACAAAACATGAGTCACACGATGTTGATGGATAGTCCATTTTAAATTTTTCAAAAAAATATTTCGAAAGTCGAAAAAATATTCAAAAGTATGAAAATTTAAAGCCAGCAACGAACAAGTACGACCAGTGACAGACAGGAGTGACGTCATCGCAACCATAGGTTCGTTTTCGCGCGAAAATTTAAATTATCAATTTAAAACCGCCTTTTTTCCGATAAATCACAATATTTTAATTTTTTAATATATCTGTGGTTTATTCTTAAAATGAAAACAAAAATAAAAATATAATTCTTTAAAATGAAAACAAAAATAAAAATATTGCATCTTCCCTATTGTTTGTGTTACCGCCAAAATTATTGAACCAGGATATTAAGGACTGGGTGGGATGATCGTAGCTTTAATTAAAAGCGCCATCTGTTGAGAAGGCGAATTATTGTCTTGCTCCGTTTTTAAAATTTTTAATGTCACCGCTACACTTTTAACATAACTCTCAAGGTGACACGCCCAAGACCAGGCTGTTGGCAGACGAGTGAGTATATATCTCATACAATAATTTAAAAATAGCGCCCCCCCTCCCGACCTGCGGATTGTGCGCGCCCTCCAGCGGACACATGTGCAATTAGAGTGAATTGAAACCGCTAAGAGATAAAATTTATACTCTGTCACTATTTGCTGATGATTGAGTATTTATGCCTTACAATAATCTTAATATATAGCTTCCAGCGAAGACACGCGCAATTAGTGCGGGAATTGGAACCGCTGAGAGATAAAGTTCATACTCTAACGCTGCTAGCTGATGACTGAGTTTATATCTCTAACAGTAATCATTCTACCTCACTTACTCTTACTGACAGCGCCATCTTTTGAGAAGGCGAGTTATTCTCTCTTTTTAGTAATATGTGTCTCACTTTAGAGATGACTCCTACTAGAGCGGGACCTGGGTAACTACATCCACCTTTTAATAATCATTTGTAGAAAGTTCTAAAGGGAAGTTATCCCTCCGGATTAGGTGAGGTGATTAGATCACCTCACCTATCATTATATTAATAGCGCCATCTGTTGACAAGGTGAGTAATTGTTTCGTGTTACCGGCAATTTCTTTTATCTAAATGGCTTCGCATGGCTTGTGCATTTAGCCAATGTTAAGTGTTAAAATGTTTACAAATACTTTAGCACTCGTGGTCAAAGTAATAAATCAAGTTAAAGTAAGTGGCAGTCAAGTCAATCCCCCTTTCCCTATGTTTCAGTAAAAGTGTGGGGATTTACTGGAACCTCCCCGTGGACTTCTGCGGGAACGTCGAAAGACACTCCGCTATTTTGTTTCACTTGCCAACACTTGTACATGTTCCCGAACACTTAGTAGTTAATAATCCACCATTATTGGACACTAACATCCTCCACAACACAATTTTTAACAAGAAAAACAAAACTGCTAAAGTGACGCTTCCCGATCCCGCCAAAAAGTCCACCGGCAAAATTATTAAACCAGGGTATTAAAAACTGGGTGGGGTGATCTTAGCTTCCATTAATAGCGCCATCTGTTGACAAGGCGAGTAACTGTCTTATTCCATTAAAGTTATCACCCGCAATTACAACAACAACTAAACCGCTGAGAGACATAGGGCTGTTGGCTGATAAATGAGTATAATTCCTTACAATCATCTAAGTATAGCCTCCAGTTTTTACTGATAATTGTTATTTGAAAAATACTATAAGGAATGTTGGTAATTATGTATTTATGTATTAATATGATACTGTTATTTTATATACAGCCTGCTATCATGGTGTAAAAAACATAGGTATGCACTTACACACCTTATTTTATTTACACTTAATCACTTAGTATTCTTTGCTAGTCAACTCGAAAGTATCTTTCTTCGAATTGCGTGTTTACAACTTTTGAATCGTCCAAACATATATTTTATTGATTGTATATTATAATTATTCCAATTAAAGGATACAACTCATCTATATTTATTAGAGATGGGCCGACTAGTCGGGAAAGACGACTATTCGGCTTCGTTTATAGTCGGCGACTATTCGGCAAAACATGCCGATTATAATCGGCACATAACAATGAAATAAAACTGAAAACTTTGCTAGTTTTGAATATTTAAACAGTGCCTAGAGTATGTATTTAAAGTTACATACAGTCTTAAAATATTAAAAAAAATAAAGTAACATAATAAGAATTAGGAACTTAGAATCTGTCAGTAATTCAGATAACTTAACACAATGAATAAGACACAAGAAATATAGCAAATTGTGATGTTGGAACATGAATATTTCCGCTCGTTTTGGGAGACACGTGTCGCGCGTGAGCAAGCCGAGTAGTGACGATATATTCCGAACATCTTCCTAAGATATGTATTAGAATGATCGGCATTGCAGAATAGTCGACAATTCAAAAACCGATTAGTCGGTTAGTCGGCAAATACTATAGTCGGTCTATCTCGAATATTTATCATATAATTATAATATTATCAAGAGTTTGTTATGTGAATATTTTTGTCTTGGCTAGTCAACGATATTAAATACCCTAGATACACCAACACGAACAAAATTATGCCCAAAACCTGTCCACAGAGCACGTTGGACGATCCACGGAGCTCCGTAAGATGATCGCGTAGTCTAAACAATATAAGGCATTATTTGAACATTGAAAAGCACCTTTAAAGCATACTGTATAAGGTCTTAATTAAAACGCGCGTCATAGAGTTATGACAGTCCGATATGTAAGCTCGTAAAATTTTACGACTTATTGCTATATGCAGAAGAATAAAGACCTTATTTCTTTTGACTGTACGCGCAATTCTGTATGTGCTGTTAGTAATATAGCAGGTACGGTCCGCGAGGAAAAGAGACGGCTATATTATCAATCATGCATTTGAATATCAAAAATATTTTCTATTAAATCAGTTTATACTAAGTATTAAAACAAAATTTACTTCAAATGCGTTAAATTAACAAACATTGATTATATACCTGTCGAGAAAACGACATTTTACATGTATTTCTTTCGTCTGTTTTCACGGAGCTCAGCAGCATGTTGACTTTTCAATGGTCCGCGCGTGACTATGAATAAGGGTTGCCAGATTTTTTTCTGAGATATATAGTGTTTGACGATTTGAAGGATCGAAAAATATAGTACACGCAGAAAAAATAAAGTATTTTTATTATTGTCCTTATTACTATTTTTACATGCATAAATATGTTCTATGTTCGTGTCACTTTTTTTATGAGTGCGTTCGGAATTGTTTACGTAAACCCTAACTTAACGTCAACTTGTGATCTTTGAATTAATGTTTAAAAAATAGTATTTTAGCATACTTTATGCGTTTCGTATATAAAAAAGTGTATACTTTATTATATACGAAACGCATATAGAGGCAAAATATAGAAGAATACTATATATTATAGTCTATCTTGCAACCCTACTGTGAATCAAGAAGTGCTTGAGTGGTGTTCAAGCACTTCTTGATTGGGACACATTTTGAGCGCACGTGGTGTAGCTAGGGTATTTAATATCGTTGTGGCTAGTCCCTTTATCGAAGAATTTTAAAGGCTAAAATAATCAAATATTAAACCATTTAAAAGTACTAAAAAAAATATCCGCAACAGCATATTATTATGTCTTATAATTTTTTAAACACACCTTATAGCCTAGCCCCTAAACACTATAAGGCTTGTGTTATGGGATACTAGGGTAACGGATGGAATACATATACTGTACATATATAAGTATATTTTTATAGAAATACATATTAAACATCCATGACTCTAGTACAAATCTTCGTATTCATCACACAAACATCTGCCCCCACCGGGATTTGAACCTGGGACCCCTCGAGTCGGCGACACCATGAAATCCGGCGTACAAACCACTCGGCCACGGAAGTCATCAATGTATCTTTTAAATTTGACGCAATGACCTTTTCCTTTTCAAATTAACGCGACTGAAACCGCAGGGCCACCTAGGGTGAATTCCGTCATATATACCAGTATACTGGCCAGTGCTAATGACGTCAGGAATCGACTCTTTACTGGTGAATTGTTCCAAAATATATTGGCCAGTGCACTGACGTCATAAATCGATGAAATATTAAAAAAAGTGCGAATAATGAAGATTTTTTATTCACCTCATCAATTAAAAGGAATTCTTTTTGTTCGGATGCCATTCATCATCAACCTATTAATGTCCCCACTGCTGGGGCACAGGCCTTCCCTATGGATGGAATAGGGAGATTGGGCCATGACCCACCACGCGGGCCCAGTGCGGATTGGTGGGTGCTAATGACTGCAAATGCAGCCGGGACCAACAGCTTAACGTGCCTTCCGAAGCTCGGAGGAGCTCGGGATAGTAAATTTTTGGTCACCCATCCAATGACCGACCACTGCGAAAGTTGCTTAACTTTAACGATCGCAGCCGAACGCGCTAGCCACCTGCGCCATCGAGCTCCTCGCTCCTCGGATGCCATTATTGATCTTTAAATAAAAAAGAAATAAAATTCGAATGTATCTCATGCACGCTCGGTCATGCGTCATATCCGTTTTCCCGGTAAAATATGGTAGCATACCAGTACAATATGGCGTCGAATTCGTGACGTCATTACCACTGGCCAGTATATTGATGTAAATTTCGGAATACATCACTAATTATTTACAAATCAGATAATTATTTGTTTCTTAGGGTTTCACGCACATCACTCATTAAATAAAACTAGTTTTTACGGGTTAATGCACGAAACTTTATTTATTTATTGACGTTTCGTAGCCTTTACAGGCTACGTCGTCAGAATCAAACTTTTATTTAATTTGTCGAGCTACCTTCGAAAAACTTTTATTGAGCGTTCGGTTATTTCATTGATCGATTTTTAAAGTTTTATTGTCTATGTATGAATTTATTATTCTAACCTATAAAAATTATACCTATAATTATTATAGCCTGTAAAGGCTACGAAACGTCAATAAATAAATAAAGTTTAGTGCATTAACACGTAAAAACTAGTTTTATTCAGATAATTATTTGCCCATATTTTCCACCAGCGTCAAGAACCAGTACCCCTCCGAGCGAGCCAATGTGGAGTCCCGGCAGCGTCAGATCAGCGCAATGTGGGAGAGATGTAGAGCGCAGGCGGCCGAGAGACGCGCGCGGCTAGAGAGTGCTGTCGGACACCAGATATTCGGGAACAGTACTGCGATGTTACAAGACTGGCTGCAGGTAACGTACTAGTATTAGACCTGGTATTCGAACTGGTATTTTAAGTGGTTGGATCTTGATCACAGGACCGGGAAATAGGGTGTAAGTGTGGAGACCTAGTATTGGAACAAGTATCGTCACCTGAGTGAATGGTTTTTTGACTAAAATAATAGGGACGTAAAGTAATACTGGAACGTTTAAAAGTGTTTTTGTAAGCATGTTTGCAAAAAATAAATGACTTTTATGAATTTTACTTAGTATTGGAACGAGTATCTTCGTGACACTCGTCACGCATTTCCGTTTCATCTTACCATAGGTTTTTTTTTCATTTACACCTCGTTGGATAAGAAATTTCACTGCAATAAAGAAAAGCAATACACCAATTATAGGTAGACCGCTTAACTGAGACACATTCTTGTCAAAATTACAAGTGCCCGTCGCCCTCACCTCTCACGGCCCCCGTTCTCGTCCTCCTCCATACCCTGTACCCCGCAGGCGAAGTCTCAGTTAAGCGGTTTACCTATACTAATACTGCTGTCAAACTAACAAACAGCAGATACGAATATCCATGTTTGTTAGAAATATTATCTAATACATAAAATTCTCGTGTCACGGTGTGCGTAATTGAACTACTCCGAAACGGCTCGACCGATTTTCATGAAATTTTATATTCATATACAGTAGGTCTGAGAATCGGACAACATCTATTTTTCATCCCCCTAAATGTAAAGGGTGGTCCACTCTTAATTTTTTTTTTGGACATAATTTTTTGTATTTTTTTTTTTATGATACTTCGTACAAAAATACATACAACCCTAAATTTTCACCCTTCTACCACCAACCCCTACTTTTTATGGCTGTACGAATTTCGCTGGAACAGCTAGTTTGATATATAAGTGTGCTTTTATCACAGAAAGTGCAAGAACAGCTGCAAGCGGAGAGCTCAGCTAAAGACGTGGCTACTGCAGAAGGACTGCAGAAACAACACCAGGAACTTTACGATGACATCAAAGCGCATGACGATGAGTGAGTTAAAAAAAGGGAACAACTTAAAAAAAGGGAAGATACAGTACGCTCATACTAGCATCAAATAAAATGTGCTCCGACTCAACTACATAATCAACTCTCACACACGCACACTTCTGTAAAGAAACATTCAATCAAGCGAGCGAGACAGAACTGTACGCTTCAACGCAGCGCGAGCGAAACGGCGAGTCCACGTCTCTTGGCAGCCGACTTCGTTTATTTTTATTTATTTATACTTTATTGCACAAATGTGTGTACAAGTGGCGGACTTAATGCCATTAGGCATTCTCTACCAGTCAACCGGAGAATTTTAGCAAAAATCTTAAGGTAGTGCAAAATAAATTCATCAAATTACAAATTATTTTATCGAATTACAATTATATTTTCTCTCCCTACAAACGGCTGAGCTGTATCGTTGTCCTTTTCTTAATAAGAAATGGCGAATAACTAAATTACTTTCAAGACACCCATGATTTTTGAAAAAAAAAATGTTTTTATTTTGAGGCATGTAAAGCGAATTGTGGTCATGCACCACAATTTAACCGGTACACTTTTGCGCCGCGAGTTCCGCATCTTCCCTTTTTGTTTTGATAATAAATAAATTTAATGCCTACCATTATAATAATATAGAACCTCGCGACTTTGTCTGCGTTAGCTTTTGTTATTTTTTGAGAATTCCACAGGAAATAAGTATCGTATGTTTTATTGTTGCGTGAAAATCTAATAAACAAATAGATGACTATATTATGAGATTTCTCTGTACTATCCAGGTTCGCGGAAGTGATACAGCTGGGCCAGCAGCTGTTGTCCAGCAATCCAGCACTTACGGACGTCGCCGAGAAGATCAAGCATCTGCAGCAAGAACAAGCCAACGTACACAAACGTGAGTTAATTCATGATAATCAAAATCATTTATTCAGTTTAAGCTGAGACAAGCACTCGTGAATGACTAGAAGTTACACCAGCGTCGGTTCGTAAATCTACGGCGGGAGACCTTGTACTAAGAAGAACCGGCAAGAAATTCAGCAAAGGCTGTTTTTTTTTCTCCCTGTTTTATTATTTACAGAGTTCTGGTTTAATTATCTACCAGTTTGAATAATCGAAAACCTTTACGAGATCGGCCAATAGGGATGATGACTATTTTTTTTTCTTCGTCTATCAGGTAGATTATCAAAAAGTATTGGACACGTATTTTTTCTTTTTTCACATAGTATAAACATTGCAGAGATGATATTGATTTGGTACAATTTTCACTTAAAACTGACAACTTTTAATAAAGTGATAACTTTGTCATTTTTTGCTTGATTGCGCAAAGAAAAAATACGTGTCCATTATTTTTTGATCATCTAACTGATCGAATAAATAGAATTTCGTTTACTGTACCCTGTCATCACCCCTATTAGAGCATTAAAGTTTTATTTTTTTATTTTACCTTAAACCGGCTTATTAATATAATGATTGTATCCACAGACTTACTAGTTAAAGACACACCACCTCACGTGGTTACTACTATAAACCCTCGTTTTCCTTACTACAATCTGGGGTCCTTTAAGAGAGGCGTGAAGACGTATTTTTGCAGGCCGGCCAGGTGAGGATGGTTGGTGTGGCAGTTTATAACTGCTGTACCAGCTATCCTCGCGTTTGGTCTTTATCACCATTTAACCTCTCAAAACTCGAAGTGAAATTTGATACTTGCTGTATACGTCATCTATAAACGAAATGGCGGCTCAAATCAAAATGGCTTCCGAGCGACAAAAAAAATATATTACTCTGTAGCCAAATCATTAATTATTATTGCGTGAACGAGGGTACAAAAATTATGGCAATTATCAATACGTTAACATCAGGTGGGGTAGTGACGTTTGCCTACCTCGCTATAAAAAAAAAATATCTCAATGGTCCTTCTATCCGGATTTTCCTTTATACAATTCACCATTGAAGAGCGACTTACCATGAAAGTTTTGTTCACAGAGTGGGCGGATAAAGACACCTTCTTGAAACAGCTGCTGCAGCTTCAAACCTTGAACCGCGAGGCGGATCGTATCGACGCGTCCAGCGGCGCTCATTCCGCCTATCTGCACTACCAGCCTACCGGGGTGTGTATTTAATTTAATTTACCCCTGAATGGCTGACTAAAAATGTATTTATGTCCTTTAGATTTAAACATCTAGCAGTTAAATGCTTAAAAATAAATAAAAACATAACTATAATTGCTATTTCTTTTTTCAAATGTTTAATACTTGAAAAACTATTCATTTGACATTGTGGATTACCTACAATGCGAAGAGATGGCGCTGCCTTGCAGCTTAAGGCTAGGGAAATTTCGACGTGGCTAATAGGGCCGTGGTAGCATAATGGTCAGTGCATTCGTCAAAAAAATCCACGCGGACCAGGCAGCAGATGGGACTCGAACCCGCACCCTTCGTAATCCGGGCGAATGCACTTAACAATTATGCTACCGTGGCCCTCACGGACCGCGTCGAAATTCCTCTAGCCATTTTTAAGCTGCAAGGCAGCGCCATCTCTTCGCATTATAGGTAACCCACAATGTCAATATTCAATATGTTTCTAGTTATATTTTCTTTAGATTTAAACATCAAGCAGTTACATGCTTTAAAAAATAAAAATTATAAAATAAATCATTTTATCATTTTGTATGTGTAATCGACAACCACGAAATTGAACTTTGCTTCCATTTACACTATTTGTAAATATTTTTATTATTTTTCTTTCCCCAGTCGTCAGTCGACGAAGTGGAGGCATTACTCAAGCGGCACGAAGAATTGGAAGCCCGACTCACGGCACAAGACGAGCGGCTATCAGCATTCGTCCACAAAGCAAACGCACTGATCAACGAAAACCATCCACACAAGGCACAGTAAGTGTACAAATATGGCCATCAGGGTATTTGACAGCATTACAAAATCAAGTGCCAATAGACTATTTAACTTTGACAGTATGAAAAATAAATGAACCAATAGGGATGATGACTATTTTTTTTTCTTCGTTTATCAGGTAGATTATCAAGTATTGGACACGTATTTTCTCTTTTTTCACATAATATAAACATTGCAGAGATATATTGATTTGAAAAATCGCATGACGTCACTAGCCCCTACACCCAAACTTTGACGCGCTATAACTTTGTCATTTTTTGGTTGATTGCCCAAAGAAAAAATACGTGTCCATTATTTTTTGATCATCTAACTGACGGACTAAATAGAATTTCGTTTACTGTACCCCGTCATCACCCCTATTGTTGGCATCTGTACTTATTATGGATATTAGCAGCGATTTTACTATTTTGGAGAATAAATTTCAAAAAGAAATCAATAAATAGAAATGCCTTTTTTGTTCAACGGTCACTTGACCTTAAACGCTTGGGTTTTGTTAAGATTGAAATGACGTCACACGCCAGTAAACTTCCGGCGAAAGTGACATTACATTGTATCGGTTGACGTTTTAGTGCCAGTCGTGTGACGTCACACACTAGTGAGATACCATAATGTCCAGGGAAACGTTTTCGGGGCAACTTATTTTTGTTTTATATAGTTTTATACTGAAATTCGAAACACAATGATGAATGACCACTTTTATGGACTCCATAAACATTAGTAAATAACGTGAGATCTTTTTCTAAAACTTGTCCAATACCCTATTGCTGGAATCTATCTCTATTGAGAATGAATATTGGCAAGGGTTTTTACTATATTTACAGAAAAATTATTCACAATTTTTCTCTGCGAAACGATGGACCCGGCACCTGCATGTTGAATCATTGATTGCTAAGAATTTCATCTCATAAACACCCATAGAAAAGATAATAGTTTTTTTTTTATATTGTCACGGGATGTATTGGCGGGTGCTAACGACTGCAGATGCACTCTGGATCAATGGCTTAACATGCCTTCCGAAGCACGGAGGAGCAGGAGATAGAAGAATTTTGGTCACCCATCCGATGACCGACCACTGCGAAAGTTGCTTAACTTCAACGATCGCAGCCGAACGCGCTAACCAGCCGCGTCATCGAGCTGTTCAGTTATCACTCAAAAATACAATATTATTAAAGAGTTTCATAGTCACAGCGCCGCCAACAGTCCATCCATCCATCCATCCATCAGCCTTTTTCCGTCCACTGCAGGACATAGGCCTCCCCCATAGAACGCCACAATACGCGGTCCTGCGCTATCCGCATCCAGCGGCTCCCAGCACATTTGACGATGTCGTCAGTCCATCTTGTTGGGGGCCGCCCCACGCTGCGTCGTCCGGTACGTGGTCGCCACTCGAGGACCTTTCTTACCCAACGGTTGTCAGGTCCTCGAGCGATGTGGCCTGCCCATTGCCACTTCAGCGTGCTAACTCTTCGGGCTATGTCGTACACACCGGTCCTTCTACGGATCTCCGTATTCCGGATCTTATCACGTAGGGAAACACCGAGCATAGCCCTCTCCATAGCACGCTGCGCGACTTTGAGTTTTGTCATGAGGCCGACATTCAGAGACCACGTCTCAGTCTCATAAGTCATCACTGGTAACACACACTGGTCATAGACCTTTCTTTTCAGGCACTGGGGAATTTTGGCCGTGAGGATATGCCTAAGCTTCCCGAACGCTGCCCATCCGAGTTGGATTCGTCGGTTGACCTCTGTCTCGAAGTTGGATTTGCCCAACTGGACTGTTTGTCCTAGGTAGACGTAATGATCGACAACTTCGAGAATCGCATTCCCAACAGATACTGGTGCTGGAGTGACATGGACATTGAACATGACCTTGGTTTTATCCATGTTCATCCTTAAACCAACCCGTTGGGAAACTCTGCTGAGGTCATTGAGCATTGTGCCAAGGTCCTCCAGGGATTCTGCCATAACCACGATATCGTCTGCAAATCGAAGGTGAGTGATGTATTCGCCGTTGATGTTGATGCCGTGTTCGGTCCAATCCAGAAGCTTGAAGACGTCTTCCAATGCAGCGGTGAACAGTTTCGGGGAAATTACGTCACCCTGTCTGACACCCTTCTGCAATGGAATCGGCCTCGTTCTTCTCTCCTGGATTCGGACTGACATGGTGGCGTTTCTATACAAACACTTCAACACTTCGATATATCGATAGTCAATTTGGCACCGCTGGAGGGACTGCAGCACCGCCCAAGTCTCGACCGAATCGAAGGCCTTCTCATAGTCCACATACGCTAGACACAGAGGCCGATTATACTCCTCGGTCTTCTGTATGATCTGACGCAGCGTATGTATGTGGTCCATGGTACTAAAGCCCTTTCGGAAACCGGCTTGTTCGGGAGGCTGGAAGTCGTCGAACCTGCGCGAAAGTCGATTTGTAATGACTCTCGAAAACAACTTATAGACGTGGCTCAAGAGTGAGATAGGTCGATAGTTCTTCAAGCGGGTTTTATCGCCTTTCTTGAAGAACAATACCACCACGCTCCTGGTCCACGCCTCTGGAACAATGCCCCCGAGGATGACAGAGTCGAATAGCTTCTGAAGGGCCACGAGGACCGGCTTACCGCCCGCCTTCAGAAGCTCCGTAGTGATTCCGTCATCGCCCGGTGCTTTACTGTTTTTAAGCTGCTTGAGAGCCATTCTGATCTCGTACAGGCTGACATCCGGGATGTCCTCGGTATAGTGTCGGGTTAGCTTGGATCGTGGATCTTGGACCAAGCCGACAACAGGAGTTTGGGATGTTTTATACAACTGTCCATAGAACAGCTCGACCTCGCTCAAGATCTCATCTTTGGAAGAAATGACAGTGCCGTTGTCGGTCTTCAGTCTGGTCAACTGAGTCTGCCCAGCAGACAGATCTTTTGCGAACACTTTGGAGCCTTGGTTCCGCTCTATCGCCTCTTTAATACGCTTGGTATTGTAGAGTCGAATATCGCGTCGCACAGACTTCGAGATCTGTCTATTTAGCTGCCTCATCTTAGACCAGGAGGCTGGAGACTGCACCGTCATTTCCCTCCTCCACTCCATGAGCTCAAGAGTGTGGTCAGAGAGTTTTCCGGTTCTAGGAGCACGGCGGGTCCTGAAAAATTTTGACCCAACCGTGTGTACAGTTTCCACAAACTTGTTGCTCATATCGTTCGCCGTTTCGCACTCGTCTAGGCATTGGAAGCGATTTTGGAGTTCGAGTCGAAAGCTCTCGGGATTTTCGTACTCGGCAGGTATGGGACGTAGAGTAGACTTCATCAGTCGGGACCGCTCGGCTTTGACACGAATATTCAATGTGCCTCGTAACATTCGGTGATCGCTCCCGGTTTTCACCCTGTTGATCACTGAGACATCATTGAATATTTTCCGTTTGTCTGACAAGATAAAGTCAACAGTGACTGTATATAATGTTTGAATAAATACTTCTATAGCTCTTTTTGAACATATCGTACAAAGAAAGTAGTAGTTTAAATAGCATAGTTTTTAAGTTATTGGTAATTTAAGTTTAACCAACTTAATTGTGTTGTTCAGTGAGAATGAGTCTTTATCTGTGAGATGTTGCCAATTTGTGCAACCAAAAATATTAAACTATCAACTCTTTGTCAATGGTCATTAACCAAGGTTTCAAATGCGACGTTGCCAGCTCAGGTAAAGAGTAATTCATATTAGATAAATTACATCTAAGCATTTAGTTTGTATGAAAATAAAAAAATGATAAAAAAATTGGAATTCATAAAAGTGTCCATAGTAAAAAATGATCAATTTAATAGTCTGAATAACATGCCAAAGTTAGTGTATAACCTCAAGAACACGGTGTATAATGTTTGTTGTTTCAGTATCGCGGCCCGTAGAGATGCGGTGGTGGCGAGACGCGACGCTGTAAGGAAGGAGGCGGGCGAGCGACGCCGGGCGCTGTTGGCTAGCTTAGCGCATCAACAGGTATCCTATAGAATCCATACTAATTTTTGTTCTTATATAGGGGAAATCACCCAATCATTGGCACTTTTGAGTTTAATTCGGAAAAACAAGGAGACAATAGATTATTCAAGGTAAACTAAATTTTTAGAGGTTGAAAGAGCTCAAAGAGTTCTGATCAAAGTTATCTATTTAAAAAAACGCGACTTCCCAACTGAGCTGCTTTACTCTATGTCAGATTTACTAACTGTTAGAAAGCTATACATTCTACATGCTGTATTACGGAAGCACACAACACTGTCCTACAATCCTAGTATCGTAGAAAAAAGAAGAAGAGACATAGTAGCATTAGTTCAGTGCTCTAACACAAGTTTTGCTCGCAACCAGTACCTCCACATCTCCATCATCTATAACCATATTAACAAAATTTTAAATATTTATTGAAGTTATACTTCTTTAGGCGCGTTATGAAAAAATGATGAGAGTGAAATTTTAAGATGCGCGCGCATCACTGTAACACAAAATTTTAACAGCATGAAGTTGGTCTTTAGCGACCAACTTCATGCTGTTACTTTTGTGTTTACCGCACATTAAGAAAATCTACCAACAAAATAGAATCTCTATTTAGTGGGTGCTAACGACTGCATCGTGAATGCCTATCAAAAGTATTTATTAATCTGGAACAACGGAACCAAAGCGCGATTCAGGAGACTACAGCGCCATCTCTTGACCATTGGTGTAGTAGAACCAAAAACCACATCTTTATTTTTTGTAATAAAGTAACAGTTATAGGTATTCACATTTATAATATTTATTATCCACATGTTTCTAGTTTGTATATTCGGAATACGTGTTTGAGTTTCATACAAGTGCAAATCACATATGTTCTAATAAATTATATTCAGTAGCGATTTTAATTGAATATTTTGATTATTTATTTATTTTTTCAAATTAAAACTGAACTTTATTGACTGTGTCCTTTTCCAGACTTTTTATTAATTTATTGTAATTAATTATTTGCATGCAATTAAAAACTAATTTTAAACGATGCCAAAGAAGGATAACTTCTCACGCGCCTACATAAGTACACGCACCCATTTTTTTTATAACTTACCGGGAGTGCAAGCTCAAACTGATGGCATGGCTCAAGACTTTGGATTATGATGACACTGAGAGCCTTCTTAATATTACTTACTAGCGGATAAAAAGAGCATTTGTACACACATACTCACGTACACTCGTCACACTCACGCACATGCACACACACGAACACGCACACACACATACACACGCATACAGAAACACACTCAACCGCTTATATAAATTGTAATTTTTTTTTTTATTATTTATTTTTTTACAATGTATTAAAAATCCAATGAAAAGACCTTACCATAAGAAATATTAATGATGCTATGGAAGAGTGGTTCCTTCTGGTACAGGTGTTTAACACTTAATAGAAGGAACCCACCCTGGTTTGATGTAAAACAAATGTGGTACCGTAATAAACTTTTTTGATTTTCTTTTTTTTTTCTAGGTCGTTACATATTAAAAAGAAAAACTTAGTATGGTTTCGAAATTTGAAAATTGGCAGCATTATTCCTACAATCTATTGTGTCCTGGTTTTTTCGAACTAAACTCCAAAGTGCCAATAATAGGAAGAGTGCCAATGATTGGGTAGTTTCCCCTACTTGTTTAATAGGGTATTTTCCAAACTTTTGAAAACTGCTTATATTTAAAGATCGAGACAAATGATTTCACGGAAAAATAAAAATAAATAAATTAATGTATTTTTTTCTCCATTAGACCAATTAAAGTTGAATTTATTTTTAATGTTTTTGAATTTACCGCCAAAACGCTCGGTTCGGTGACGTCTACTGTGTGACGTGGCTACCATGATTGTATTAAAAACAAGTATGTTATAATAACTGACTTAATATATTTGTCTGTCAGTTCATTGAGGCTGCTGAAGAGCTGCAAGCCTGGATCCAGGACAAGACCAGAACAGCCAAGGACCAAAGTTACAGGTCAGTGAAAACCTCTCAATAATTTAAGTAATAATATGGTTTTTATTATTTTTATTGTTTTTTTAGGCATGTAACTGCTCGCATTGCAGCTTAAGAAAGGCTAGAAAGAATTCGACGCGGCAGTCAGAGCCGCGGTAGCATAATTGGTTAGTGCATTCGCCCGGATAGCGAAGGGTGCGGGTTCGAGTCCCGTCTGCTGCCTGGTCCGCGTGGATTTATTTCTAGTTATATTTTCTTTAGATTTAAACATCAATCATGTAACTAAGCAGCAACAGCAAACATGTTTAAAAAATTTAAATTATATCAGTAACTATAATTGCTATTTCTTCTTTCAAATGTTACTAACTAACTACAAATACTTGTAAAAGTATTCATTTGACATTGTGGGTTACCTACAATGCGAAGAGATGGCGCTGCCTTGCAGCTTAAGAATGGCTAGAAGAATTTGGACGCGGCCATCGGGGCCGCGGTAGCGTAATTGGTCAGTGCATTCGCCCGGATAGCGAAGGGTGCAGGTTCGAGTCCCGTATGCTGCCTGGTCCGTGTGGATTTTTTTCTAGTTATATTTTCTTTAGATTTAAGCATAATTATGTTGTCCCGCAGGATGGTTATCGGCTACCATAGCCGATAGACTTTACGTTAGCAAAGTATCTCTCATGCATAGCTTGCTCTGACCCAATACCCTACTCTACCTGATGTGGATGAGACAATTCTCCACCTCATAACGGAATGCCCGAAGAACCAACTCGCCAGAATGAACCTGCACACAAAAATAAAATACAAAATTAATACAGATACATTAAAAACAATAGTCTTAGACAAAAATAATAGAACACATTTATTCGTATATATAGTCGAAATTGTAAAGGCCGCAATTGAAAGAAATAAAACGTTAATATCTCATAGGTAATGAACAGTAAGATCTAATATAATTTATATATACTTTTTTATATATTTAAAGACATAATAAACATAACAAATACCATAAAGTAAATAATTTGAAAAAACTAAACAAAGTCTCTGATTACGTCAGAGGATTAACTACATCCGGACTTTGATCTGGAAAAAAAACCCTACCCTACCTCTGTTACCATTTACCAGGCCCACACTCTGCATCCCGCTTCACCGGCACCAAATCCCTCCTCCTTTATGGCAGACCCTCGTCCTGCCTTACCCCCTCCCACCAGGATGTTACTCGCAGAACCAGGGCTCGGGGAGATGTGTGCAGCAGCCGCTCGAAGAGGAGAAGGAGGAAGAGAAGCGCTGCAGCCACCCCTCAGCCCCAGCCCCTGGGGACGTATGGAATAGCGTCACCCCGGGGCTGGGTCTGACAAAACAATGAAAAACACATAGAAAACACAAACCAAATAACCCTGACCACTGTAATAAAGTGAATAAAACAGAATAAAAAATAAAAAAATAAAAAAAAACGTGTGGCACTCGGGGACAGCCGCGGTAAAGCTATTGCATATCATTTTCATCAACTTATGCAATTGTAATTATTCATTTATTTAATTTATGCACTATTTTTTTATTCTATTTTTATTGTTTATTCGGGTCTAAAACAAATATATAAAAAAAGGAAAAAGGGGGGAAAAAATAATAAAAATCAAAAAAATACGAGTGCGGGATTTGAACCGACGACCGCGGTGATGCGTTGAACGTTGGTCCCGTGGCAAAAACTTAACACACTGCGCCGTTTAAGATCGATACTGGAATTTCGAAAATTGTGTTCATATACACTCTCGTAAGGTTTCTTCGTTACGGAATTTGTTTATTCGGTCGCCGCGCAAAGCCAGCGATAAAAGCTATACAACAGCTTAAAAAAAAATGTGTGCGTGTACTAGTGTACACACGTAAGAAGTGAAACTTCTTTATGGCCTTATTTTTTTCGAAAAATGATCTACATGCAACTTTCCAGAAATATATATATAGGTGTGCGCTAAGATTTTTCAAAAAGTCACCCACTAAAGGGGTATAACTACACCTTACCTTACCTTACCTTACCTTACCTTACCTTACCTTACCTTACCTTACCTTACCTTACCTTACCTTACCTTACCTTACCTTACCTTACCTTACCTTACCTTACCTTACCTTACCCTTAAAGCCTGCGAATTCATTGAAACTCAAGATTCATCCGCCTTTATCATCTCCGACAGCTTATCATCACTCATAGAACTACAGAACCCATCTAGTTACAATAGATTAACAGTCCAAACTTTTCAGCATATCCACAATATTGAGAGCGGAGGCAGATACGTAAGCTTTATATGGGTTAAGGCTCATGTAGGGATATTCGGTAACGAGTTAGCCGACCAAACAGCTAAGAAAGCAGCCCTCTCAAATATGCAACCTTCGTTTAAAAATTTCCCAATCAGTTACATCAAACAAATTAAACACAAAGAACTTGCAATAGCAAAACAAAAACTCTACGAAGAACCGCAAAATTGTATATACACAAAGAAGCTTTTCCCATCCTACTCAAATCTAACTTCTTTCCTTGCCAAAATCCCCGTCTCATTCCAAACAACCCAACTTCTAACCGGCCACGGATATAATAAACAGTACCTGCACCGATTCCATATAACACCAGATCCTTTCTGTCCTTGCGACAATACCAGCCCTCAAACCTTTGAACACCTACTTTACCTTTGCCCGAGATTCCAGTCCACCAGGACTGATCTTAATATTTTATGCAGTATGCACAATCTAAATATTAAAAACCTCAACGACATAGCTACAAAAAATGACACTAGTGAACTATTTTTAAAGCACCTATTCTACATTATTAAAAACCTCAAAAAATTCAATAACACGTAAACTAAGCCATATCAGAAAAACATAAACTCATATTATTAAAATCATAAAACACACTTAGTAAAACCCTAAATACTAATAACTAATACTATTTACTAAAACACATATATAACGAAAACTGAAATCAAGCTTAATACCAAAGGCGCAGTCCGTAAGCGCCCGCGGTATATTAGCATCTTCTTAAGCTAATCTCATATCAACCTACCTTACCTTACCTTACCTTACCTTACCTTACCTTACCTTACCTTACCTTACCTTACCTTACCTTACCTTACCTTACCTTACCTTACCTTACCTTACCTTACCTTACCTTACCTTACCTTACCTTGTGTGAAACACGAATATTTGCTGTCGATACTTTTTTTTTAAAGTTGACAGAAGAAGCAATTGTTCGGATGAGGTAAATAGTGCTCTTTTATAAAAAAGATGGCGCGTAACCAAAAAACGTGACGCGTAACCGAAAAAATGTGACGGTAAATTTTTTTCCAACGCCGATAAAGAAGTTTCACTTCAAAAATACCCTACCCTACCCCGTTGAGCCCTGGAACCTTACGCTCTCTCTACCTCTTCATCACTAGATTACAATTATTGAATCGGTCCGTTAGTCTATCCACATTTTCTAGAAGATACTTAACTAAGCACACGTTGACGATGGTGATGGAATATATCTTGTGCAGGGATCTGGCGAACCTTGAACGCAAACTGCAGAAACACGAGGCGTTCGAGAGAGAGCTGCAGGCCAACGAGAAACAACTCAGGAACGTGGAGAGTGTGAGTACAATACATACATTTATAACTGGAAGGACACATCTTATATCACTTTGAAACCACCTTTGAAGAATAGGCTAAAAATATTGAAATTGTGAAAAGTACTAATAGGGTATTTGACAGTAATAAAAACAAAAGTGCCAATTGTTATCATCTGTGTTTAGAATGAATATTGGCAGCGATTTTTCCTATTTAAAAAAAAAACATAATCTCTTATCTATTAGACAAGTCCGTCTGTCTGTGATGCTGTTTCAGCGGCCAAACCGTAAGAGATAGATAAAGAGAATATTTTAGTTATAAGTTAAGAATAGTCTGATAAGACTACAAACCGGATTTGAGTAACGTAGCACTTCGGGTTTTCGAGAAATCAGGTTTTGGTGAACATTTGGTTCACTGATTTGCTAGTTTACTATAACCCACGAAAAAGATAATAGTTTTCTTATCTATTGTCACGTGACCCAAAACGCTTGGGATTGGCGGAGCTTAAAATGACGTCACACGCAAGTAAACTTCCGGTTAAAGTGACATTACATTGTATCGTTTGACGTTTTAATAACGGTCGTGTGACGTCACATACTAGTAAGACGCCATATTGTTCAGAGAAACGTTTTCGCGGCAACTTGAAAATAGAGTTTTTGATTTGGTTATTTTTACTGAAATAGACAACAGAATGAAGAATATCCACTTTTTACGGACTCCATAAACATTATTCAATAACGTGAGATCGTTTTCTAAAACTTGTCAAATACCCTATTTAGTTTTAAGTTTAGAGAATACAAATACAATTTTTGCTTTCAATGCTTAGATTAAAACAAAAATGGAAGATACGGTACGCTCATACTAGAATCAAATAAAATATGATCCGATTCAACTACATGAGCAACTCTCACACACGCACACGTCTGTAAATAAACATTCAATCGAGCGTGAATCGAGAATGCTTCAACGCAGCGCGAGCGAAACGGCTAGTTCGCACGGCTGAGCTGTATTGTTGTCCTTTTCTTGATAACAAAATGGCGAATACGTACATAACATTCACTACAACCGTGATTTTTGAGATTTTTTTTTGAATTTACGAATGAAAAGTGTTGCTGAGTCATTTGTTACTTGATTTTGAACTATTTGTGTTCTTTATAGAAGCATCGAAGGCATTGTTTTATTTTTAAAACTCAGAATATATAAGGCGATTCAACTAAGAATAGGACCGACTGGGCGTCATATTTTGACGTCATAGCTGTCAATTCAAACCAAATAGGTAGAGTGAGCAAAAAAAAGTTTCTATTTAATCAAACTTATTTACTAAGATTAAGTGAGAAAAGATATCAGATTTTTTAATAACATTAATTTACTAAGATTGAGAAACAAAACAACCGATTTTTAATAATATTTCTTTATTAACACTGAGTGAGAAAAAACATTAATCAGAATCTACTCTTCAATTCCGCTCATCTCTGCATTACCGCCGGAGTAGTTATGAATAAGAAAAAATATATACCAATATTAATTATCAATATTTTTTATTGTTTGTTTTAATTTTTTTTTTTGATTTTTTAAATTGTTTGGTTTTTAATCTACAATTAGCCGAATGCTAAAAAAGTGTACCGAGATCTTTTGCAAACCGTACTTTTCATGCGACATTTGACAGATGGAGGTCATTGGCTTTCCTATTCTTATTTGAATCGCAGTATACGCAATATTGTTATATTGAGTGCACATGCAGCGTGTTTGAATGTCCTATTGTGACTAAAGCGAAGTGTGGTCATGCACCACAATTTAAGTGGATCACCTTTAAGCCGCGAGTTCCGTATCTTCCCTTTTTGTTTTAATTATAAATAAAGGACATTGTTCAGCGTCCATACATAGTTAGCCTAAGAACCAACAATCATGAAATATTATTTTCTAGGTTCGAAATCGTAAGTAAATGATTGAAAAAACAAAGATTATTGACGGACACTTCTGAGAACTTAAATTATTAGGAAAACTAAAATGTTTTTGAGGTTATGTTTAATATTCAATGAAACATAGGTCAACCTATGAACTTAGTATGTACTCAGTGTAAAGTAAATTAATATTACAACAAATACATTTTATTCGGTGCGATTTTAAAGAATATCTATTAGGAAAAACTTGGTTAGGTAGGAATCATGAATAAAATAAAAACTGTAGTTTTGCTTCTTATTTATTGACTATTTTTCACGTAGTTGTATAATATTGTATATTGTATTTATTTGTATATCACATGTATATTGTGTAAATATGCAGCGTGAATGTGTATCGGATGTTGTGTTCTTGAATAATTAAGCAGTATGATCCTCTCAGGATGTTTTGGCACAGGTTCACTAGCACTTGGTAATAAGGGCTCTTCTCTTTGGTAACATTGATGGCATATTAGATAGCCAAAATAGTTAAATTAAAGGAAAAACAATCGCAAATAAACACACACAACAGGTAATCCGAAACGAGAATGCACTTTCCGGTATATTAAACTACTCTTTGGAATGCACGAATGCCACAGATTACTACGAATGCAAACTGCCTGCACCACAACCACAGAGTAACGAGTTTTATGCCGGCCCTTCACTTGACAACAGTTTGTCCTTGTCATGCTTAATAAGGGTAGTTTTCCAGCACAGCACAGCAGTAGAGCGAAATATGCGGCATAATGGTTATCGTTGAATATTTCAACTACAGACCGCTTCGCACAATCGAGCACTCTCAAAAGTACCTAATGTTTTCGTGTGATGCGTGCAATCTACCAACTCAGTGACAGAAAATTAACAAGTGTTTTTTTCTTTAAGTTTTGTTGAAAATTTTTTAAAGCTTTCGTTTCATTGTAGTTATTTTAAAATAATCAAAGTTAATTCAAACTGTGTTAAAAAAATAAATATAAGTATGGATGATGGTACAAACATTGACTTAGCGCACTCTGCTGGTGCATTTGAAAACTAATTCACGTTCCAATTAAGCATCATTATAATTCGGCATTGTGCGCCACTGAGTCGCATTATGCTCTGTAATTGGAAAACTAAGCCAAGTGAAGTGCCGGCATTAGGAAGAAATAGTGTTTTGTTTGCAGCGCTGTCATAGATTATACACATAAAATGGTACTTATTGTCTCAGATTATTTTTTAACTTTTTAATTTAGCTTAGTTAACTGGAAGTGTCCGTCACAATCTAAATACTGATAATTATCGCAAAAAATATACTAAGAATTATCATAAATGCCAAATTGGTGTTGGTTCTTAGGCCAATTTTAACATTGTCCTTTAATCAATCAATTTAATAATTTTAATAATAAATATATTAAATAAATCAAGCATTAAGAGTCATAGGTGGATTTATTAAAACAATCCCAATTCATGTAATGGAAAACGAAATTTGTGTAACTTCTTTACATATAAGAAGACAATATCTAGCTTATAAATTTTGTCTTAAGAGCAGATCTTTAGGAAATAATGTGTCTTTAAATTTAATGAAAGAACTGTACGCCTTTTGTAGAAATAGGTATTGAAGTAATAAAAAAAAAACCATTATTAATGACATCATACTCGGAAACCAAAAAAGATGATAAAATGTTTTCATCAAACCCTTTAGAAATTTTCACATTTAATGTTTGGCTCACTAAAATAAAAACAAATAATTTAGATAGTGTTGCAGGGGAAAAAAATCTTCGTGAGTCACTGCAGAATTAAACAATAAGTACAACGAATTCTTTAAAATTTATACCGATGGCTCAAAAGACGGCCATGGCCTAGGAGCAGCTTTTTATGATCCAATAGATAAATATAATGAATGTTTTCAAATAAATTCAATGGTATCTATTATGGTTGCTGAGTTATTGGCTATTTCAGAGGCTTTATCATATATTATGAAAAAAGGATACAATAAAGTTGTAATTTTAAGTGACAGCATAAGCGCTCTGCAACATATTAAACGATGTGTCGCTGGTCAAAGAGATGCTCCCGTTGCAATAGTCATACTTAAAAAAAATCAAGAACTACAAATAAATAATAAAACAATTATGTTACAATGGATGCCATCACATATTGCAGTAACTGGTAATGAGAAAGCTGATTACTTTGCAAAAAAGGCTATTTCGGAGGGATCAAAAATATTTATCTTGCCCTTGTATACTAAAATCATATGTTAGTTTAGGGTCATTTGCTATAGGTTATGGGCAGAATATTTTAATGAAAGATCTAAAATTAAAGTCATTTGGTACAAGACCATAGCAAGTGAACCTCCTCAAATACCTTGGTTCAACAATGGTAACATAGGTCATACATATATTATGATTATGCACCGACTTCGTTCTGGACATATTCCATTAAATAAATTCTTGTTTCTTTAAAAAAAAAATCCCCTAATTGTGAAATATGTGAGAAAGTGGAGGATGTGCAACACATTTTAATGGAATGCGTCAAAAATGAAGCGGAAAGGAGACATGCATTCTCCATCCTTAAAATTAATCCGTTTGAAACTGGCATATTGCAGGGCATCCTAGCCAACCCCCTATCGGAGGTGGCTGGTGTGCTTTGCAATATGGCAGCAAAAATTTTATGTAATAGTTAAGTTATAATTTTAAGAAAATTGTATGGTCAGGTTACGATGGGGCTGGTATGGACATTTTGGTCCAAAAGTCCCTAAAACAAATTAAAAAAAAAAGAGTTTCGTATCTTCCCTTTTTGATTTAATCTAAGGTATCAATGTATAAAACATATATCTTTAAATACAGACGGGCAAATCCCTACAAGAGTCGGACGCCGCTCGGGCGTCGGAAGTGTCCCAGCGTGTGAAGTCACTGCGGGCCGCGTGGGACGAGCTGGTGGCCGCGTCCCGGGACAAGGGGGCCAAGCTGAGGCAGGCGGCCCTGCAGAGGAAACATAGGAGGTAAGGGATTAGGAATTAAATCTACTAAAATACACTTCCGGACACATATATCGGCCCACCTAGCATCTTGAGTTCTGACCTTAAATGTTCCGTTGAGAGAAAAGTTATTTGTGGCGACGCTCCCTCGCAAAATACAATATACTAGCAAACCAGTGAACCAAATGTTCACCAAAACCTGATTTAAAAAAAAATGTATTTAATTAATTGAGAATTTCGGAGATTTTGTGTGGTTTCGTTTGAAAACCGGAAGTGCTACGTTACTCAAATCCGGTTCGTAGTCTTATCAGACTATTCTTAACTTATAACTTAAATATTCTCTTTATCTATCTCTTACGGCTTGGCCGCTGAAACAGCACCACAGACGGACGGACGGACGGACGGACTTGTCTAATAGATAAGAGATACCCGTACTCAACTACTTACCGATAAGTCCGGCGCCAGCGCCCTTCGAGGCAGGACCTATCTCATTTGTTACCCCACGCATCCCGTGTAATTCTCTTGAGTGTATTTATCGTAAACCGGCTAGAGTTTCACATCTGCTAGGCGTACGTTTTCGGCACTGTTACAATCGCCATGATTACGGAATAACTGGTACACAACAATCCCGTAAAAACATAAATTATTATAATGTGAGTTTTTTTTATTTTTTTATTCGGTAATAGGTAAGCGCTTGACCATAATTCGCCTGATGGAAAGCAATATTATGGTCTACGATGGAGCGCGCTTACCTAATAAAAACCGGTTCACTCTTGCTTTGAAGACCGCTAGATTGTAGTGCTCGGGGAACAAGGGCTCAGGCAAGGAATTCCACAGTTAGTGGCCATGAAAGTATATAAAACAATATATCTGGCAAGATTCTTTAAAGTTTAACTTAAATTTGTCAACAGTATATCCTTGGCATTCACTACACAGAATTAAGCCGAGAGACTGATGTTAAATTTAGTTTTAAGATATGAGAAACATGCCAGAATCGACACCATTACCTACGCAGTTTTGAAACAGATATATTAGCCATCTTTTGGTGCGGTTTTAAAAAGTTTTTATGATTTTCAGATCATTGGAGCTAACGAAGTTGCACTTCAGTAGAGTGGTGATTAGCACAGCCGCATAATCTACTATTTTTAATGTTTTCAATAACGGTTTTTTTTCTAAATGGCTTCGCACGGTCGGTGCATTTAGCCAATGTCAAGTATTAAAATGTTTACAAATACTATAGCACTCGTGGTCAAAGTAATAAATCAAGTCAAAGTAAGTGGCAGTCAAGTCAAACCCCCTTTCTCTATGTTTCAGTAAAAGGGATTTACTGAAACCTCCCCGTGGACTTCTTGATGGAACGCCGAAAGACACTTTCCGCGATTTTGTTTCACTTGCCAATACTTGTGCATGTTCCCGAACACTTAGTAGTTTATAATCCACCTTTATTAGACACTAACATCCACCTCAACACAATTTTTAACAAGAAAAACAAAACTGCCAAAGTGACGCTTCCCGATCCCGCCAAAAAGTCCAAACAACTGTTTATAAAACATTTGTTTTTTGTTCCAGAGCCATAGAGGACGCTAAGGCAAGATTAGTGGACCTGGAGCGCGCACTAAAGAGCAAAGAGGTTGGCGCCGATCTTAGGAGCTGCAAACGACTTATGAACCAGCACCAGGTGGGTTAAACATAGTGGCCGAGCTAAGCCAAAAATCATGAAACACTTAAGATATACCCTCTACCTAGAGGTTTTCAAATATATTTCGTATACCGTTTTAAGAATTCATTATTTTCTAGCGTTTTAAAAAATCTATTGTCTTCACAACAATTTTGTTGGTGCTAACGACAGCAGATGAAGGCGAGTCCAAACAAGCCTTAAGTGTGATCTAAAGTGGTCTAAAGCCTGAAGTGGTCCACGTGGAACTTTTTCTAGTAATATTTTCTTTAGATTTAAACATGCTTAAAAAAATAAAATTATAAGCCTAAAGTGGTTATATTTTTATTTTTGAGGGATTTAACTGCTTAAATCATTACGAACCCGCACCTGTCGATATCCGGGAGGATGCACTCACGTTCAGAATTTAATTTCGACCAATGGCGCTTCGAATAATTAGCCAATGTATGAAGTCCAAAAGTATCCGATATCAGATTTTAATTTTTGTTTGAAAAATTATTGTCCCTAAGCAATGAGGGCTACCGTTTTCTGTCTCACCAGATGGCGCCACTGTTGAGTGAGGTCCTAAATTGTGACTTTTAAAGTTTATTAATACGCATATGAAATCAAAGGTTACATTTAGATTGTATTTTAACACAAAAGAACCATATCATAAACATAAAGGGCTATGCCACAGTGACGCCCAGTTCCGTTTTATTCGGAAAAAATGGGAACATAATCATTTTTATAAGCTCAAATTTTTAATAACTGACATTCATTGCCACATAACTCATATTTGCCATAATTAAGCCGAATTGTTACCAATTATTCACAACATTATTTTAATAAGAAATAAACCCGCGTAGACAACCAACAAGCAATAACATTTGACATTTCGGAGACCTCACGCTACACTAGCGCCTCTAGCGGTGGATTCATACGCGATAGCCCTCATTAGAGTTAAAGTACTTCTGGATCGTATTGAAGCAGTATTTAAATGCTTATTTTCAGAAAATAGAGGACCATCGTGACTTTTACATTATTTGCACATATTTATTGATCTGTAAGGTCTAGTTATCAGTTTCTATAAATCAATGAAAATCTATGATATAAATAATAGTATTTGACATGTTTTAGAAAACGATCTCACGTTTTTGACTAATGTTTATTAGAGTCCATAAAAAGAGGATATTCATCATTCATCATCATCATCATCAGCCTATTAATGTCCCCACTGCTGGGGCACAGGCCTTCCCTATGGATGGAATAGGGAGATTGGGCCATGACCCACCACGCGGGCCCAGTGCGGATTGGTGGGTGCTAACGACTGCAAATGCAGCCGGGACCAACGGCTTCACGTGCCTTCCGAAGCACGGAGGAGCTCGAGATAGTAAGTTTTTGGTCACCCATCCAATGACCGACCGTTGCTTAACTTCAACGATCGCAGCCGAACGCGCTTGCCACCTGCGCCATCGAGCTCCTCCTGTCATTAAAACGTGAAACCATAACAATTAAATGTCGCATTAACCGGAAGTTTACTTGCTTTTGACGTCATTTTAGGCTCCACCAATCCCAAGCGTTTTGGGTCACGTGAAAATAGTCAAGAAAACTATTATCTTTATCGTGGGTTTTTAGTAAAATTATGAATATTTTTTCTGTAAAAATAGTAAAAACTCCTGCCAATATTCATTCTAAATACAGATGCTAACAATTGGCACTTTATTTTTAATACTGTCAAATACCCTATTATTAGTTTGGAATGGCAAATTTGACATAAATTTTGATACTTGGTAGAGGGACAGGTTTTACTTTGGTCAACGTTTTGTATGAAGCCGTCAAATATTTTGTTATACAGGCCCTAGAACAGGAACTAGCCCAATGGGAGCAGAAGGCATCAGCCCTGCAAGCCCAAGGTCTTGACCTGGTGTCGAGCGGTCACTTCGATGCTGAAGCCATACAACAGGACTCTGACAACCTGTCCAGACATGTTGCTGCCCTGCACGATCCCGCTGCCAAGAGGAGACAGGCGTTGGAGAGTAGTTTACAGTGAGTTGTGGCTTATCTTTAATATAATGCAGGACTTTGACAACCTGTCTAGACATGTTACTGCCTTAGACGAACCTGCCACCAAGAGGAGACAGGCGTTGGAGAGTAGTTTACAGTGAGTTGTGGTTTATCTTCAATATAATACAGGACTGACAACCTGTCCAGACATGTTACTGCCTTAGACGAACCTGCCACCAAGAGAAGACAGGCGTTGGAGAGTAGTTTACAGTGAGTTGAGGTTTATCTTCAATATAATACAGGACTGACAACCTGTCCAGACATGTTACTGCCTTAGACGAACCTGCCACCAAGAGGAGACAGGCGTTGGAGAGTAGTTTACAGTGAGTTTTGGTTTATCTTCAATATAATACAGGACTGACAACCTGTCCAGACATGTTACTGCCTTAGACGAACCTGCCACCAGGAGGAGACAGGTGTTGGAGAGTAGGTTATAGTGAGTTGTATTTTATCTTCAATATAATACAGGACCGACAACCTGTCCAGACATGTTACTGCCTGAGACGAACCTGCCACCAAGAGGAGACAGGCGTTGGAGAGTAGTTTACAGTGAGTTGTGGTTTATCTTCAATATAATACAGGACTGACAACCTGTCCAGACATGTTACTGCCTTAGACGAACCTGCCACCAAGAGGAGACAGGCGTTGGAGAGTAGTTTACAGTGAGTTGTGCTTAATCTTCAATATAATACAGGACTGACAACCTGTCCAGACATGTTACTGCCTTAGACGAACCTGCCACCAAGAGGAGACAGGCGTTGGAGAGTAGTTTATAGTGAGTTTTGGTTTATCTTCAATATAATACAGGACTGACAACCTGTCTAGACATGTTACTGCCTTAGACGAACCTGCCACCAGGAGGAGACAGGCGTTGGAGAGTAGGTTATAGTGAGTTGTATTTTATCTTCAATATAATACAGGACCGACAACCTGTCCAGACATGTTACTGCCTTAGACGAACCTGCCACCAAGAGGAGACAGGCGTTGGAGAGTAGTTTACAGTGAGTTGTGGTTTATCTTCAATATAATACAGGACTGACAACCTGTCCAGACATGTTACTGCCTTAGACGAACCTGCCACCAAGAGGAGACAGGCGTTGGAGAGTAGTTTACAGTGAGTTGTGCTTAATCTTCAATATAATACAGGACTGACAACCTGTCCAGACATGTTACTGCCTTAGACGAACCTGCCACCAAGAGGAGACAGGCGTTGGAGAGTAGTTTACAGTGAGTTTTGGTTTATCTTCAATATAATACAGGACTGACAACCTGTCCAGACATGTTACTGCCTTAGACGAACCTGCCACCAAGAGGAGACAGGCGTTGGAGAGTAGTTTACAGTGAGTTGTGGTTTATCTTCAATATAATACAGGACTGACAACCTGTCCAGACATGTTGCTGCCTTTGACGAACCTGCCACCAAGAGGAGACAGGCGTTGGAGAGTAGTTTACAGTGAGTTGTGGTTCGTCTTCAATATAATACAGGACTGACAACCTGTCCAGACATGTTACTGCCTTAGACGAACCTGCCACCAAGAGGAGACAGGCGTTGGAGAGTAGTTTACAGTGCGTTAGTATAGATTCTATACCAATATTATAATGACGAAAGATTTGTAATGTTTGTGTGTCTGTAAATTCGCCAATACATGTTGGCTAGTGTTCTGTGGAGTTATTCTCCCTTATCCCTGCATCATCTTTTCTTCAGGTGACTAATTCATGTTTTTCTGTGGTGTAAAATTAAAGTTTTTTATGTATAAATAATAATAATAATTTTATTTTCAATAAGTTGTTACATCATGAACACATTAATTAATTAAATTTTACAAGTTTTTAAACAATCGTAGATACATATCAGAGATAATAAAAGGTGTATTTTTTTTTTGACTAAACGTAACAGTACTGTAGCATTGACTGTGGGTCCCACACTAGGAGAAACCTGTATCGTGGGCACCCTTATATAATAAATAGGATGGCATCACATTAATAATTTATATGTAACTAGCGGCCCGCCCTCGCTTCGCTTCGGTGTAGAGCTGAAGTGTAAACTACAGTTTTTGTTCTCAGGCTTGTATTACACAATGACATTCATCTATGATTCTTGTTATACCTGCATGCAAAGTCTCAGCCCGATCGGTTTTAAATTGACAAAGTCTCATACAAACTTTCATTCCCTATTTTATCCCCTTGGGGGTAGAATTACCAAAATCCTTTCTAAACGGATGCCTACGTCATAACATCTACCTGCATGCCAAATTTCAGCCCGATCCGTCCAGTGTTTTGGGCTGTGCGTTGATAGATCACTATGTCAGTCAGTCACCTTTGAGTTTTATATATATAGATTATTATTTGTAACAAAACAAACGTAATGAAATCAATTAAAAATACTAAATTAAAATCAATATTGTATGTATGTCTTTCTATGTGTGTTTGTGTGCGTGTGTGTGATGGTGTGTGCGTACGTGCGTATGTGTTTGTGTGTATTGTATTTAATACCTTTTAATTTAGTTAAAAGAACCATTTTATTTTAAAACAGACTCCACAAATTTGCCGCCGAAGTGTCTGGCGAGCGATCCTGGCTGCAGGAGAGACGTGCCGCCGCCGCGGCACCCGTTTCTGCCGCTAATGCCGCCGCGGCACTAAAGCACCATGCTAAGTTATTAGCTGAACTACAAGGAAGACAGCCTATAATGAGGAGAGTATTGAACCATGGACATAAGCTGATTGAAGAGGGACATCCTCAGGAGGATAAGGTAATTAATAAATAAATATTTCCAACGCTCACACCAATTAGCTTAGCCTCAAAGTAAGCACTGTAGGCTTGTGTTATGGGATACTAGGGTAACGGATAGAATACATATACTGATACATACATAAGTATCTAATATATAAAATTCTCGTGTCGCGGTGTTTGTGGTTAAACTCCTCCGAAACGGCTTTCCAGATTCTCATGAAATTTTGTGTGCATATTGGGTAGGTCTGAGAATCGGACAACATCTATTTTTCATCCCCCTAAATGTTAAGGGTAATCCACCCCTATTTTTTTTTTTTCAATTTTAGATAAGTTTTTTTTTAATTTTTTTATGATACATCATACAAAAATACATACATCCCTAAATTTGCAACTTTCTACCACCAACCCCTATTTTTTTTATGGCGGTACGAAGTTCGCTGGGACAGCTAGTATTTATTAAGTATAATTATATAGAAATACATATTTAACACCCATGACTGGAGTTCAAATGCTTGTATTCATCACACAAACATGTGCTCCCACCGGGATTGGAACCCGGGACCTTTCAAGTCGGCGACACCTTGAAACCCGGCGTACAAACCATGCGGACTTTCCGCTCGAATTTTAGCGTCCGTCTGGGGAAGTAACCTCTCTCTATCTTACAGAAAACCACAGTAATTCACACTTACTTTTGGTGGTATTGTTTTTCTGTCCGTGACTAAAGTTCCAGGGCTCCACAAGGTAGGAGATTGGGTCAGGGAGGCAACGCTGCAAGTGATATTTTTGGTATCGCAATCGTCTATAAGCTATGGTGCCCGCTTCTGTCATTGGATGGGTGACCAGAAATTTACTATTTCTCACCCCTCCGTGCTTCGGAAGGCACGTAAATTCATCACCCGCCAATGCGCACTGAACCCGCCTGGTGGGTCATGGCCCAATCTCTCTAAGCCCCTATCCATAGGGAAGACCTGTGCCCCAGCAGTAACAAAACTTTCTCTTCTAGATCACGTCCCTCTGTTCTGCGTTAGAAGAGGAGTATGGAGAAGTGGCGGCGGCCGCAGAAGAGCGCGGCAACAGATTGGAAGAAGCTGCTAAAGCCCAGCAATTCCTCAACGATGCTGTGGAGTTGGACGCTTGGCTCGCTGACAAGGTGATAATTCTAAAGAAAATATTACTAGAAAAAATTCCACGCGGACCAGACTGCAGACGGGACCCGAATCCGCACCCTTCGCTATCCGGGCGAATGCACTGACTAATATCCTACTACAACCCTGATGGCCGTGTCGAATTTTCTCTAGCCCTTCTTAAACTGCAAGGCAGCGCCATCTCTTCGCATTGTAGGTAACCCACAATGTTAAATGTATACCTTTACAAGTATTTAACGTTTGAAAGAAGAAATAGCAATTATAGTTATTTTTTCTAGCAATATTTAGTTTTGAATGATGACGTGATTAACAAAAATTAAATACGAGTATCAAACATACATGATTTTTTAAATGATGAAATACTTTAATATATGTATGTTTGACATTCGTGTGTATTTAATATATTAGTATGAAATATGTAGATGATAAGTATATGTAATTTTCTCATATTATAATTCAATACTGATGTATTTTTTCTTGATTATTTTAATTATGAATAGATCAGTAGTATTGTTTTGTGAAATTGCATATTATTATTATCATCAAATTAATTATTATATTTATTTTGACATCACTGCACCTTGTTAATGTAAATTTCTTCTATAACCTATAATATTTGCACGTTGTCATTCAATAAAATATGCTGGAATCCAAAGAAATATCTAACAACTATTGTAACTATATTTTGGCAAATAAATTAGCAACTATTAAAACCATATTTTGGCAAATAAATGATTATTATTATTATACAAACTTTCATAGTTCTAATAATATATATAAAAATCAATTGCTGTTCGTTAATCTCGCTAAAACGCGAGATCGGCTGGGCCGATTTAGCTGATTTTGCTTTTAAAATGTTTTTCGTAATCCAGGGAAGGTTTAAACGGTGAAATAATATGAAAAAATGCGAGGAAGATAGTAAAAATACAATTTAATTTTTCCATATAAATCGTCTATCTATATTCCTGTCAAACATTTGACTTTCGTCGTTTATAATTTCTTCCAAATTAATGTAAGCAGTACGAAGTACGCTTGGTCAGCTATTTTGAAACAATTTTAAATACCCTAGATACACCAACACGAACAAAATCATGCCCGAAACCTGTCCACAAGGTACATTGGACAATCCACGGAGCTCCGTAAGATGATCGCGTAGTCTAAACAATATCAGGCATTATTTAACCATTGAAAATCACCTTTAAAGCATACTGTATAAGGTCTTAATTAAAACGCACGCGTCATACATTACGACTTATTGCTATATGCAGAAGAATAAAGACCTTATTTCTTTGACTCTACGCGCAATTCTGATAGCGCTGTTAGTAATATAGCAGGTACGGTCCGCGAGGAAAAGAGACGGCTATATTATCGACCATGCATTTGATAATCACAAATACATCTATTAAATCAGTTTATAGTAAGTATTAAAACAAAATTTACTTCAAATGCGTTAAATTAACAAACATTGATTAGATACCTGTCGTAAAAACGACATTTTACATTCTTTTTGTAATTTCTTTTGCCTGTTTTCACGGAGCTCAGCGGCATGTTGACTTTTCAACTTTGGCTTGAGTCGTGTTCAAGCACTTCTTGATTGGTACACATTTTGAGCGCACGTGGTGTATCTAGAAGTGTTTAATATCGTTGCTATTTTGTAATATTGGTAGGAAAAGTAGCAAGTAGGATAAGTATGGATGCAAATATGTTTGTAAATGTTTGTCATTTGTCTGTTTGTTGCAGGCCGCCGCGTTGGCTGATCCGGACGTTGGCAGAGATACGCATCGCGCCACTCAACTACTCACCAGGCACAAGGCAAGTACTGAACTAACGGAATGATTTCCTTGTTTTTTGTGGCCGCTTTTTTATTTATTTAAAAGACTTACAACAATTGTAACACTTAAGCAATTACAATTATAGACACGGGGACACTTATATAAATGTTACAATTAATTAAAGGTAAACACCACATTAACCATATCTATATCAAACAGTATGTGTTAAAATTTTACCTAATATACCCTAACTTGTATGTTTTTTTGTCCAAAAAAAGGGTCATTACAAAAATAAAGGATTTAAAATTAAAAGAAAAAACGTCTCGGGCACTCAGTCCGTCAAGTTCCTACTAATGGCTGAAGTTACTGCACTGGGACTATCAAAGTGTAAATCAATTTTATCACTAAGCCCTTCAAATTTTACAGAATAATCTCGCATAAGGAGAGTTAGCGCCTAAAACAGTTCTTTTTAAAGGAGGGCGGATTGGCTTACGAGGCATTCTAGAAGGAACACGTAAATTGACAAGATTTTACAGCTGTGGACATTGAATCTTGTTACTCAAGATATTACTTAAAAATTTAGCATTCATGAGAGACCTCCGTTTTTTTTGTAGATATTTATGTTCTCTATAAAACTTTAGTACATCACTTTGCTCTATTGTCAATGACTTCTGCAGTGTAGGCGACAAAAGGTTATTTTTGGTACATTTTTCACGAGCAATGGCGCAAGTGGTTAGCGCGATCGCTGAAAATTTACTATCTCCAGCCCCTCCGTGCTTCGGAAGGTACGTTAAGCTCTTGGTCCCGGCTGCATCTGCAGCCGTTAGCACCCATCAATCCGCACTGGGCCCGCTTGGTGGGTCATGGCCCAATCTTCCTATTCCATCCATAGGGAAGGCTTGTGCCCCAGCAGTGGGGACATTAATAGGCTGATGATGATGATGATGATGATGATGACATTTTTCACACGATGGGTTACATTATCGAAGTTCTCATACGGGATCCAAATTTTTTTTAAATACTCTACAGCCTATGTTCAGCAGGAATATTGTAGGATTCTAAATGAGAAAGATGATTTCAAATCGGTCCAGTAGTTTCGGAACTTATTCAATACAAACAAAAAAAACAATCAAATCTTTCCTCTTTATAATATTAATATAGATATGGGCTGCTCTACTCTGCACCAATATCGAATTCGTATCGTTTGCGAGTTCGAAATAATAATAATAATAAATATTTCCGACACTCACACCAATTAGCCTAGCCCAAAGTAAGCACTATAAGGCTTGTGTTATGGGAAGCTAGGGTAACGGATAGAATACATACACTGTACATATATAAGTATATTTATTTAAATACATATTAAACATCCATGACTGGAGTACAAATGCTCGTATTCATCACACAAACATCTGCCCCCACCGGGATTCGAACCCGGGACCTCTCGAGTCGGCGACAGCCATGAAACCCGGCGTACAAACCACTCGACCACGGAGGTCGTCATGTCATATGTGTACTGATTTTTAGTTCTCGTTACGTACTTTGTGCCGCTGCTGTTCAAGTTTCCAAACAAAATTTGACATTGATATTTCGGTTTGCAAACCACTCGAATTCGATACTGGTTCGTGCTAGGAGTACTGTACCCCTAGCGCGAACCATTATCGAATTCGTATCGTTTGCGAGTCCGACATGTCATTGTCAAATGTGTACTGGTTTTTAGTTCTCGTTATGTACTTTGTGTGTGTTCAAGTTTCCATACAAAATTTGACATTGACATTTCGCACTCGCAAACTATTCGAATTCGATAATGGTTCGTGCTAGGGGTACTGTTTTACTTGAGAATGCACAGTTCATCTTCAGGCTTCCATACTTAAAGGGAAATACGGGACCCTATTACTGCGACTCCACAGTCCGTCTGTCTGTCACCAGGCTGTACCTCATAAACCATGACAGCTAGAGGGCTTAAATTTTCACAGATAGATGGTATATTTCTGTTGCCGTTATATCAAAAAAATACTAGCATTCGGTAAAAAATTTACCGCACGCTCCGTTGTATGACGACCTCCGTGGCCGAGTGGTTTGTACGCCGGGTTTCATGGTGTCGCCGACTCGGTGGGGGCAGATGTTTGTGTGATGAATACGACCATTTGTACTCCAGTCATGGATGTTTAATATGTTTTTCTATATAAACATACTTATATATGTACTGTATATGTATTCTATCCGTTACCCTAGTATCCCATAACACAAGCCTTACAATGCTTACTTTGGGGCTAGGCTTATTGGTGTGAGTTTTGGTAATATTTATTATTTATTTACTAGCAAACCAGTGAACAAAATGTTCACCAAAACCTGATAAAAAAAATGTATTTAATTAATTGAGAACTTCTGAGATTTTGTGTGGTTTCGTTTGAAATTCGTGATTTCTCGAAAACCGGAAGTGCTACGTTACTCAAATCCGGTTTGTAGTCTTATCAGACTATTAGACTATCTCTTACGGTTTGGCCGCTGAAACAGCACCACAGACAGACGGACGGACGGACTTGTCTAATAGATAAGAGATATGGCGCACAATTTTGAACTTTCGAACAATATGTACAGTACAACCTCAGTAAATGTATTTGTTGAGCAAATGTGTTGAAAGGGTGTTTTCACATCAATGGGGAAGCCTTGTGCTCCAGCTTTGGGGATATACATAGTTTAATGCCAATTTCATCAATGAGGACCTCGATGGCGCAGGTGGTTAGCGCGTTCGGCTGCGATCGTTGAAGTTAGCAACTTTCACAGTGGTCGGTCATTGGATGGGTGACCGAAAAACTTTTTATGTCGAGTTCCTCCGTGCTTCGGAAGGCAAGTTAAGCCGTTGACCCCGGCTGCCTCTGCAGTCGTTAGCATCCGCCAATCCGCACTGGGCTTGCATGGTGGGTCATGGCCCAATCTCCCTATTCCATCCATAGGGAAGGCCTCTGCTGCAGGAGTGGGTACATTAATAGGCTGATGTTGAATTTTATCAATGAGGAAGGCTAAAGGGGAAGATCTTCCTTCGAGCTGGCGGGGGAGCGGGTGTGAAATCCTCATGGATACCTTACACCCGGCTGCAAGGTTATGTCAGACTCTTACTGACTAAAACACACCCGTAGTTTATGCTTATGGCCTGAAGGGCCTTACAAGCTTCATCTGAAGCGATTATCCCCTGAGAGGGGGATAATGCAGTTGATGTTGGTCGGGCATCGTATATAATATGAAGAGTTAGCCTCCGAATTTCATTTGCGCGATGTAGGCTTCCATACTATTATGATCGCAGTGTAGGTAACGCCATCTCTTGAGGATGGTGAGTAATGATTTCCTCCATCCGTTGTATATATGTGGGGCATATAGATGTCGCCGCCACATCGGTTTATTCGAAATTCATGCTGATGATTATGGCTTTTCCATAGGCGGTGGAGTTAGAACTGGACTCATACGCGGGGATAGTCTCCGAGATGGGTCGCTGCGCTGCCTCCATGGAGTCTGCCGGTCACCCATCCGGGGAGGCGCTGGTGCAGCGACACAGTCAACTGGCTGACGGACTGCAACGACTCCAGAGGCGCGCGGAGCTGAGGCAACGGGCGCTGGTGGAGAGCGTGTGCAGGTGAGTGGTCACCCATCCTGAATGTGACCACTAGGATGTGTAGCATGGGATGCAATTGGCTGAGGGGCTGTAGCGACTCCAGAGGCGCGCGAAGCTGAGGCAACGGGCGCTGGTGGAGAGCGTGTGCAGGTGAGCGGTCACCCATCTTGAATGTGGCCACTAGGATGTGTAGCTGGGAATGCAATTAGCTGAGAGGCTGTAGCGACTCCAGAGGCGTGAGGAGCTGAGGCAATGGGCGTTGGTGGGGAGCGTGTGCAGGTGAGCGGTCACCCATCCTGAATGTGGCCACCAGGATGTGTAGCATGGGATGCAATTAGCTGAGGTGCTGTAGCGACATCAGAGGAGCGAGGAGCTGAGGCAACGGGCGCTGGTGGAGAGCGTGTGCAGGTGAGTGGTCACCTATCTCAAATCTAGCCACACTATGAATAGCAGCGTTCACAGGTATCTAATCTACATTCATCCATCTCAAATCTAGTCACTCCATTTGTAGCAGCGTCTAAAACAATGAAAGCCAGATCAAATCGTGTTGTTGTATCTATGGTATTTAAGAGCCCTTTTACAAAATTGCGTCGCTGCCGTACTGATCGGCGCGTAGGTAGATTTGCACTACTATAATTATATTGCATTTTACGGGAGATGTTTCGAGTCTATAAAATAATTATGAATGAACTTATTATAAAAATATATATTTATTTTAGTAGTACAATAATGTTAGATTAGTTTTATGAAAGTTTTTGATAGTAATTCTATTTAATTCAATATCAAATTACGATTATAGCTATTAACGGGATTGTTACCATGTACCTTGTTTTTTATGAGTCTCCGATATTTCGGCACTGTTGCAAGCGCCATGATCACGGAGTAACTGAAGTAATTGCGGGTAGATGTTATTGGCAGACATATCGGTCTACCCTCTGACGTCGTCTTTTACTGCGCTCGATACCCCTACCATTGGTCACGTTCTCACTATTCACTCGCACCTGTTCCCAACACACAATACTCACAGTATCCGATCGCGGAACGACACTTTTTTGATTTTTACGGTTTTTGCACATACGAACCACTGGATTCCAGACACTTGACAATTTAAACCCATCCTCGCGATTGAAATTTTTGTGCTTGGTTATTTCAATCGCTTCCCTGACCAATCTTGGTATGTAGTGGCGTTCTGTCGAGATGATTTGTGGATTATGGAGCTCAATCCAGTGATTCGGACCCGAATCGATTAAATGTTCCGCGATAGCTGATTTCTGCGTACCATTGCTATATGCCAATATGCCAATAACATCTACCCGCAATTACTTCAGTTACTCCGTGATCATGGCGCTTGCAACAGTGCCGAAATATCGGAGACTCATAAAAAACAAGGTACATGGTAACAATCCCGTTAATAGCTATAATGTTAGTGACCATGAAAGTTTAAAACAATATATCAAATTACGAGGTAAACCTGCATTGTTTTTTGGGAAAACTAACGGAGGTTACATTTTTTTTATGAATTAATGAGATGGAAAATTAAAATTCTAATACATTATGTTACAACAAAAACATATTTCTGATTTCGTAGTAATTAATTTGATCTGATTTATTGAATATTATTTAGTGATTCAGGTGTTTGAAGTTGCGCATATTATCGTTTTTTCCGTAAACTAGCTGCGGTAGAACGATCAGTACAAAAAAAATAAAATAGTATTTGCAAATATTCTACATTAACTTACAATAGGAAGAATAAATCTACTATTTACTTCTATTGGGAATAGTCAAAACCTTTTCTGGGGGGGTAAACAAGCACTCAAAAATTATGATTTTTTGTAAAAAATGTGAAGGGGCTCTTAATATCATTGCTATTGCAGGTATCATGATCACTGAATACTTGAAGTAAATATAGGGGTAATGTGATATAGACATCCCGCCAATTACTAGAATCTTTTGAAGTGAAAACTTCTTTAGCGGCGTTGTACACTTTTTTTTGTATGGGTAAAAAATGTTTAACTCGCGTCAGGTTAAACACTTGGGCTGATCGCATCATGACACACAATAAAATTGGAAAGGTTGTTGACTTTCAATATATCGGACGAAACATAGTTATATTTTATTTTACCGTATTATAATAATAAGTCTATCTAGGACGTCCACGTGGTAGCTTTATTGCAAAGAAAATGCATTTTTTACAATAGATGTCGCTAGGTGCGCTTAAACGTGATTCATGTAAGTTGATTTTTCTGAGAGATAATCTTTTTTCATGTAATATAAATTGTCATGTTTGTGTACGATAGCGCAATAAATAAATATTGTATCCTACACCATACATGATAGTACTTTTATACTGATAATTAAAGCAATTCGTTCAAAATTATTCCCTAACCATTTCAAAATATCAAAAATGCACAACGATAATATTCAAGTTTTCACTTCTGTCGGCACTCCCGGAGTGCAACCCGTCGTTTTTTTACCATAAAAGTTTAAATAATAAACTCTTTTACGCCCAGGCACGAATACTTAGCGGAAAGTGCCGAACTGGAAAGCTGGATACAGGAACAATACGCCGCAGCTTCCAGCGAGGACTACGGACACGACTACGAACATCTACTGGTGAGTGTCTTTCGTTTTAGTTTTTTCATTGAAATACGTAACAGTATGATGAATAGAAAAGTTTTACTAGAAAAAAATCCATGCGGACCAGGCAGCGGACGGGACTTGCACTGACCAATTATGCTACCGCGGCCCCGATGACCGCGTCGAAATTTACCTATCCTTAAGCTCCAAGACAGCGCCATCTCTTCGCATTGTAGGTAACGCACAATGTCAAATGAATACTTTTTCAAGTATTAAACATTTGAAAGAAGAAATAGCAATTATAGTGTGGGTTTTGGGTTGTGGGTTACCTACAATGCGAAGAGATGGCGCTTAAGCAGCTTAAGGCTAGGAAAATTTTGACGCGGCCATCAGGGCCGTGGTAGCATAATTGGTCGGTGCATTCGCCCGGACTGCGAAGGGTTCGAGTCCCGTCCGCTGCCAGGTTCGCGCGGATTTTTTTCTAGTAAAACTTGTCTTTAGATTTCAATATCTAGCAGTTAAATGCTTAAAAAATAAAAACATAAGTGTGATGAATAACCATCTATTTATGGAGTACGATTATTTCTAAGAAATAACGTAAGATTGTTTTCAAAAAATCGTCAAATACTGTAAACCAGATCCCTCTTAAATATCATCACACTGTCTCGCTATAAAACACTTGAATGCTGTATCAAACGATCAAATAACTCCAAAGTAACCTTTGTATTTATCCCCCAGATCTTAAGGTCCAAATTCGAGGAGCTCCGCCTCAGGGTTGAGAGCGGCGCTGAAAGGTTCAGCCAATGCGAGGAGTTGGCGAAGAAACTGTTGGCCACTGACAGCCCTTACATAGCGGACATCGAGAAAAGGCAGGAGGCTTTGGGGTATGTCACTAGTTTGATGTCATCATCAGCCTATTAATGTCTTCACTGCTGGGGCACAGGGCTGCCCTATGGATTTAATAGGGAAATTGGGCCATGACCCACCATGCGAGCCCAGTGTGGATTGGTAACGCTAACGACTGCAGATGCAGTCGGGACCAACGGCTTGACGTACCTTCCGAAGCACGGAGGAGCTCGACCTAGTAAATTTTTGGTCACCCATCCAATGACCGACCACTGCGAAAGTTGCTTAACTTCAACGATCGCAGCCGAACGCGCTAACCACCTGCGCCATTGAGCTCCTTAAGTCGCCTATTGGCTTTAATTTGGGTTGATCTCAGATTGTGTAGTCGCAGTTTGACTCTTTTATTACAAATGTTTATAATGTTTATTTGATTAATATTGGGCACCATTCCTGATGGCCGCGCTGGGGGTGACATTATTTTTATTTTGAAAATATTTACTTAGGGAGTTTCTATCTAGAGAGTAAATAATGTAAGGTTAGGCTGTATAAGTAGTATTCAAGTTTGTGTTATTTAAATGTTTTAAAATTATTATACCTAATGAATTATTGTTATTACCAAGTTGAATGAGAATTTAATTTATTTATTTTAATTTGATGCATTACTACATGACGACAAAGTTATATACAGTCAAAACCGAATATAAAGACGTCTTTTAATACGACTTGTCGGTTATTAGGACCAATTGGCAAGGTTCCGACCGAAACCCTATATAAACTCTTAAGTAAAAAAAACGCCTATAACAACACCGGATATAGCGAAATACCGCTTAAGACGACTTATAGCCAATGAATATTGATGAAGTTCATATCGATATTCCTCTGCTATAACGACTTACCATTTTACTTGTCCCACCAAAACAAAATTTACTGTAGCTACTTAAATTTTTCCATAGTAAACTTATTACTACAGACATTATGACAATAATATGATTACTTTTGTATATTGCTTATATCAACTACCGGACATAACCGGTTATATCCGGTTTCCACTGTATATATATATATATATATATATATATGACTACCTGTTATATAGATAAATAAAACAAGTGTTGCGAGTCCGGTGAGGTCGTTCGCTTTATTTGCGTAACTCACTCGATCCGTCGTGCTGTGCGGGTTCGTTTTGGTTGTGGCCTTGCCTGGATTTGGATGGTGACCGGTGGTTAAAGAGAAACACGTGTTTGCTTCCCACAATATATTGTTCGGTTTTATGACATCACTAACTTATACACCTTTAATTATATTATTATACTAAACCACAATAGTATAGATACGCGGCTTCGCGTCTTTATCACCTAAATGTTATTGCTTCGATACAATGAAATTACAGCGTGCGCTCTAAGCGTCGTCGCTGAACCAGAGAGACAGACCGAGTCTAATCGGAAACTAACTAACATGTCTGCGTTTCCGGCGCTAGGCTAGAGATGCGTTCGCGACGGTAACAATTAGGGATGTGCTCGATTTGCATGAACAACAAGGTAAAGTTAATTCTATGCCAAAAGGATATTCTCTGACTAGAACTTTCTGCGATATGGTTCTGCTCTTTAATCGTTACCCTAGTATCCCATATCACATGCCTACAGTGCTTATTTTGGGGTTAATTGGTGTGAGTTATTAAAAAATGTGGATATAAAATTTCTGCCTTAAGATGATTCTGGCATACAAAATTATCCGTTTGAATGTCAGCTAAATGAGATGAATGATTTTCTGCGAAATTAATTTGATGCCATCCGCTGATATGCATAATATTATTTGGACATTCAATGTTCTACTGGTAAAAGGTAGACCCGTACTGATGTCAATTAATATTGGGTAACAATACGGTATTTGACAAGCTTTAGATAACGATCTCAAGTGATTGACTAATGTTTATGAAGTCCGTAAAAAGATGGATATTCATAATTCTGTTGTGTAATTCAGTTAAAATAACCAAATCAAAAACTCCATTTTCAAGTTTCCGCGAAAACGTTTCTCTGGACAATATGGCGTCTTACTAGTGTGTGACGTCACACGACTGTTATTAAAACGTCAAACGATACAATGTAATGTCACTTTAACAGGAAGTTTACTTGCGTGTGACGTCATATGAGGCTCCGCCTATCCCAAGCGTTTTAGAGCACGTGACAATAGATAAGAAAACTATTATCTTTATCCTGGGTTTTTAGTAAAATTATGAATATTTTGTTTGTAAAAATAGCAAAAACCCCTGTCAATATTCAATCTAAACAAAGATAATTACTTTATTTTTAATACAGTCAAATACCCTATTAGGTTTTTTAATTTTAAATTTAGAAATATGTATTCTTTAACAAATTTCAATTCAATTAGCAAAGTATAACTTGTCTACGTTGAACACGCATACCTATTTCAGACATCAGACTCCCACATCTTATGTAAGATTATTTCCACCTTATATAGCGTCCCATAATATTAAGTAAGTTGTGAAAAGTAATAAAACATTTTTTATAATTATTATAAATAAATATTTCCAACACTCACACCAATTATCCTAGCCCCAAAGTAAGCACTGTAGTCTTGTGTTATATGTTACTAGGGTAACAGATAGAATACATATACCGTACATACATAAGTATGTTTATATAGAAATACATCATATTAAACATCCATGACTGGATTACAAATGCTCGTATTCATCACACAAACATCTGCCCCCAACCGGGATTCGAACCCGGGACCTCTCGAGTAGGTGACACCTTGAAATCCGGCGTACAAAACACTCGGCTACGTAGGTCGTCAAATTAATGTCAAGTCATATTAAACCTGGGATCCTTTAAAAGAGGCGTGAAGAAGCAACATGCAGGCCGGCAGGGTGAGGATGGCTGGTGTGGCAGTTAGAACTGCTGTACCAGCTATCTTCACGTCTGGACTTAACATCAGGAGGAGCTCGATGGCGCCAGTGGTTAGCGCTAACCACTGCGATCGTTGAATTTAAGTAACTTTCGCAGTGGTCGGTCATTGGATGGGTGACCGAAAATTTACTATCTCGAGCTCCTCCGTGCTTCGGAAGGCACGTTAAGCCGTTGGTCCCGGCTGTATCTGCAGTCGTTAGCACCCACCAACCCGCACTGGGCCCGCGTGGTGGGCCATGGCCCAATCTCCCTATTCCATCCATAGGGAAGGCCTGTGCCCCAGCAGTGGGGACATTAATAGGCTGATAATGATGATAACATCAGGTGGGGTGGAGTCACTTGTCGGACCTATCTATAAAAAAAATTAAATAATCCTTTTTTGTGTCCTCCTCTAGCGAGTCATGGCAACGCCTGGTAGACCAGATTCAGTCTCGTGGCGCCCGTCTCCACGCCGCTGGGGAGATCCATCGGTTCCACCGCGACGTGGCTGATCTACTGGCAAGGGCTCACGATAAGAGAGCCTTATTGGCTACTATGCCCCCCGGTAGAGACACCAGTAAGGCTGAGCTGTTGGCTATAGAGGCACAGATGCAGGTAACTAATCAAAATCATATTTAATAAAACTAGTTTTTACGGGTTAATGCACGAAACTTTATTTATTTATTGACGTTTCGCAGCCTTTTCAGGTCTGCATCGTCAGAATAATGATTTTAGATAAAGTTTTTTTTTTAAATAAAGTTTCGTGCATTAACCCGTAAAAACTAGTTTTATTTAATGAGTGATGTGCGTGAAAACCTGAGAAACAAATACAAAATCATTTATTTAGTTTAGGCTGTTACAAGCACTCATGAATATCTAGGAAGCTACGCCATCGGTTCGTAAATCTACGGCGGGAGATCTTGTACATAATCATAATCAAAATCATTTATTCAGTTTAGGCTGTTACAAGCACTCATGAATGTCTAAAAGCTACGTCATCGGTGCGTATATCTACGGCGGGAGACCTTGTACTGAGAAGAACCGGCAAGAAACTCAGCAAGGGCTGCTTTTTTCTCCCTGTTTTATTATTTACAGAGTCGTCAAATTGAAAAATGACTGTAGAGGTGATTCATGAAGTCACCTTATAAGTAATAAAATAATCAAACATTGATCATCACCATTATCAAACTATTAATGTCCCCATTGCTGGGGCACAGGCTTTCCCTATGAATGGAATAGGCAGATTGGGCCATGTCCCACCACGCGGCCCCAGTGCGAATTGACAGGTGCTAACCACTGCAGATGCAGCCGGGACCAACAGCCTAAAGCGCCTTCCGAAGTACGGAAGAATTCGAGATTTTGAATCTTGGCTAATCTACACACTACAGCTCTACACCGAAGCGAAGCGAGAGCGGGCCACTAATATTATATATAATAGCATCGTATCAATAAAATCTATACGCAATTACTATTTGTAACAACGTAGACGTAATGAAATCAATGAAAAAAACACCGAAACAGGATTTTATGAATCAATTTTGTACGTGTGTGTGCATGCGTGCGTGCGTGCGTGTAGGTTAGTGTGTGTGTGTATGTGAAGAAGAATAGGTATAGTTTGGGATATGAATGTACCGATGAGATGTTGGGCTTGTTTTAAGTGCTTAAATGATCTTCATTATATATCGTCTACCAGCTACAGGAAGTAGGCAGTCGTTTCTCCCGCCTTTTCCCTGGCATTAATGTCCAGCAGCTGGAATTCCAGCGTAGGGTTAGTTAGAAATAAGCATAACTCATTAACACATTGCTATGTCTCTTCTAACCTTCTACGAGAGAGAGAAGAGAGACTCTTTTGTCTCTTTAGCCCTCCAATGTTTTTTTATTGCTTAATAGTCAAGGCGTTTGACCACAATCTCGCCTGATGGAAAGCGATGATGAGGCCTAGGATGGTACACGCCTGCCTAGAAGATGCCTGTTCACTGTGTTCAAATGCCTCGCGCTCTTTTTTTTATTTTGCATTGGTAATAACAATATTAAAAAAAATGAGGTATTTGAAAACCTTCGGCGGTCAGAAACAACAAAATAAAATCGAAAGCGTAAGCGTTTTCTAAAGCATTTCCGTTAGGCAAATGGCCCACTGGTCGTCCGGTGGTGGAAAGGAGAAGGGGGGATAAAATAATGCCTTTGTCTCTTTTTCCTCGTTGACACATTTATGTCGCCCATAAACATCTTTATGTCTACAGTTCCTTCAAATTTTTCCTCATTTTCATGATTATATATCGTCTACCAGGTGCTACAAGAAGAAGGCAGTCGCCTCTCCCGCCTCTACCCTGGCAGTAATGTCCAGCAGTTAGAACTTCAACGCAGAGCTCTGGCTGAAGCATGGGCTCAGCTGCAAGAAGCGGCCGCTGCCAGACAACACGCCTTGGCCCAACATAGGGACTTGCAGCAGTTCCTTACTCAAGTGAGTCACGTTAGAAGGTGTAATAACAGTTTATGCAACTACAGCGCAAATTTTGAAAAGTTGAAATAAATAATTGTTAGTAATTTAAAACTTTATGTATACAGGAATTAAAAATAAATAGAATGTAAATAATAGGATCCTCTGAGGGTAGGTTCGGTTAGGTTAGGTTATATAGGGCGTCCCACGGGTTTGTCACGCGGAGGTAAAGTATATTTAATATTGAAGATAGTATATTCTACTGTAAGAAGACATCATTTTATTTTTAATAACAAAGTAGAAATGCGTTCACAGTTTTTAAATAATCGCCTTGCAAAACCGGGAATCAAACTCGGGAAATGTGAAACAAAAATAAAATGTATTTTTTTTGATAATTGAACACATACTTACAATAAATGCACGGTTTGTATAAGTATGGCTTTATAATTTTTTTCACGTACTTATATGTACGTGCTCACTCCTTTATTCTATCCTCTTTCATCCACACACACCTCTCTATCTTAAGGAGCGTTTCATTTTTCACTCATTTAATCCTGTTCGTTACCTTCGGTCTTCTCATAACCTATCCTTAGTTATCCCACCCCACTCCACTGATTTCGTGGCCAAGTCATTCTATGTAAGAGCTGTTAAATTGTGGAACTCTTTAGCTTTAGATATTAAACGTGCACGGACGAGGGACTCCTTTGCTATTAAAATTAAGGATTATTTCCTCAAGCTGAACTCTGACTGATCTTTTTATATGTTCATCACTTTGTATTGTATTTTATAGCTTCCATATACTTTCTATATTTTATTTTCCTATATTTACGTTTATTTATTTATTTTTACAATGCACACCCCGCTGTTTCTACTATTTACTACTTATGGTATCGTTTCATTTAGCCAAAGGTTGCCTGGTAGAGATTGCTACCTTAGCAATAAGGCCGCCTTTTGTGTTTGCGTTCCTGTTTTATGTTTATTGTTTATTTTTCATTTCATTCATTTATTCATTCATGAGCGCTGATTTACCGTAGTAGGAAACGAATTGGGCATTCTAACTCACACAATTAAAATTAATTTTTGTGAGTTATTATGCCCAACTCATTTACTACTTACCATCCATACAGGTCCGCGACCTAGTGTCGTGGTGTTCGGGCGTGGTCGCGTCACTAGCGGGCGCGGGTTCGGGGTCGGGCGCGGGCGCGGGCGCTGTTAGAGACGCGGCCTCTGCGCAAGCTGCGCGCGCGCAACACGACGCGCTCAAACACGAGATGGATGCGAGAGACGACAGTGTTAGGGACGCGCTGGACCACGGACAGAGGCTGATAAGGGAGGGGCATCCCGCTCAACAGGTGATTAGCAAAACCTTTCTTAAATTCTATCACAGCAACTCGACTTTTTCTTGTTTTTTCTATCGTTAAGATGGCTTTTTCGAGTATTAAACATTTGAAAGAAGAAATAGCATTTATAGTTATGTTTTATTTTTATTATTTTAAGCATTTAACTGCTAGATGTTTAAATCTAAAGAAAAGTTTTAATAGAAAAAATATATTTGTATCTTAGTTAGAAAAAAAAGAAAAAGAAATGTTTAATACTTGAAAAAGTATTCATTTGACATTGTGGGTTACCTGCAATGCGAAGAGATGGCGCTGCCTTGCAGCTTAAGTATAGGAAAATTTCGACACGGTTATCAGGGCCGCGGTAGCATAATGGTCAGTGCATTCGCCCGGATAGCGAAGGGTGCGGGTTCGAGTCCCGTCTGCTGTCTGGTCCGCTTTGTTTCTTTTTGTAATAAACTTGTCTTTCGAACAAATAAACTATTTATGACTCAATGGGGATGATGACTATTTTTTTTTCTTCGTTTATCGGGTAAATTATCAAAAAGTATTGGACACGTATTTTTTCTTTTTTCACATAATATAAACTATGCAGAGATATATGGATTTGAAAAGTCGCATGACGTCACGTTTTGGTACACTTTTAAGTGAAAATTCACTAAAAAGTGACGTCACGAGCCCCTACTCCCAAACTTTGACGCGCTATTACTTTGTCATTTTTGGTTGATTGCCCAAAGAAAAAATACGTGTCCATTTTTTATTGATCATCAAACTGACGGACTAAATAGAATTTCGTTTACTGTACCCCATCATCACCCCTATTACAAATGCTCGATTCATATATTATTTTTCCACCAGGAGGTAGAAGAAAAATGCGAGCAACTCGTAGAAGCACGCGGCAGAGCATTGGGTGCTTGGGCAGCTCGACAGGTGGCGCTGGATCAACTCATAGACTTGCACTGTTTCCTGAGAGACGTGGCCCAACTGCACGACTTGTGTGCTTCTCAGGAACACGCGCTAGGTGATTTTATACGACATTCTCACGCAGTTTCAGGCAGTTTCAAGGTGTGACAGGCGCCTATGGACCTACTTATAAGACCTAGGCGCCATTCGCCTAATGGAAATGCTTAGGGAAACGCTAACGCTTTCGATTTAATTTTGTTATTTCTGACAGCCGAAGGTTTTCAAATACCGCACGCTCATTTTTTTTTTAATATTGTTATTACCAATGCAAAAGAACAAAAAAGAGCGCGAGGCATTTGAAAACTTCAGGCGGCTAGAAATAACAAAATAAAATCGTAAGCGTTAGCGTTTACCAAAGCATTTCCGTTAGGCGAATGGCCCCCTGCACCGTTTCCTGAGAGACGTGACCCAACTGCACGACTTGTGTGCTAATCCGAACACGCGCTAGGTGAGCTTATACGACATTCTCACGCAGTTTCAAGGTTTGATAGGTAAATTGAAACAGTGTTTTGTTATGTATTAATCATTCAATATTAGGTGTTGGAAGGCCAAAGGGGAAGATCTTCCTCCAAGCTGGGTGATTGTAGCTCGGGGGCCGCGGCCCGTCTGATGTTGGTCGGGCATCGTATATATGGAGTGTTAGCCTCCGAATTTTACTTGCGCGATTCAGGCCTCCATACGTATTGATCGCAACGCCGATAGCGCCATCTCTTGAGGAGGCGATGGACTATTTCCTCCATGTTGATTATATGTGGGGCATGTAGATGTCGTCGTCACATAGGTATAATAGATAACATCTCAATAGTAACGCAGTATAGAGCAGACTCATCCCCGCTGGTAGCACGCGTCCACGAGCATGACGCATGAACAAACCATCGCTTCGGTCGACAACGATATTTTAGGGAACGTAATGATTCGCCTCACATAACACCACTGAAGAAGATTTTAAGAAAACATGACTATTAATGATGTGTTTAACTTAATTTTTGTTATAACTAGAAAAAAATTTCCACGCGGACCAGGCAGCAGACGGGACTCGAACCCGCACCCTGCGGTAGCATAATTGGTCAATGCATTCGCCCGGATTGCGAAGGGTGCGGGTTCGAGTCCCGTCTGCTGCCTGGTCCGCGTGGAATTTTTTCTAGTTATATTTTTGTTTCTTAGGTTTTCACGCACATCACTCATTAAATAAAACTAGTTTTTACGGGTTAATGCACGAAACTTTATTTATTTATTGACGTTTCGCAGCCTTTTCAGGTCTGCATCGTCAGAATTCTGACGACCTGAAAAGGTTAATGCACGAAACTTTATTTATTTATTGACGTTTCGCAGCCTTTTCAGGTCTGCATCGTCAGAATTCTGACGATGCAGACCTGAAAAGGCTGCGAAACGTCAATAAATAAATAAAGTTTCGTGCATTAACCCGTAAAAACTAGTTTTATTTAGTTATATTTTCTTTAGATTTAAACATCAAGCAGTTACATGCTTTAAAATAATAAAACTTATAACTATAATTGCTATTTCTTCTTTCAAATGTTTAATACTTGTAAAAATATTCATTTGACATTATGGGTTACCCATAATGCGAAGAGATGGCGCTGTCTTGCAACTTAAGAATGACTAGAAGAATTTCGACGCGGTCCGTGAGGGCCGCGGTAGCATAATTGGTCAGTGCATTTGCCCGGATTGCGAAGGTTGCGGGTTCGTGTCCCGTCTGCTGCCTGGTCCGCGTGGATTTTTTTTCTAGTTATATTTTCTTTAGATTTAAACATCAAGCAGTTACATGCTTTAAAAATAATAAAACTTATTAATTTTTGTTGTTTTCCGTACAGCCGTGGAAATCCCACCGGACTGCAGCGTCGAGGAGGTAGACAACCAGCTCAAGAAACACGAGGCCTTCGAAAAACTGCTGGCCACGCAGGTGACTGGTGACAGACATTTAAAAACACTTAAAAGAAGTTTTATGACTGTTTTTTTGTTATATTTTATTTTTACACTAGCGGCCGCCCGCGCCTTCGTACCCGTGGAGTTAGTTAGAAATAAAGTAGGTGATAGCGTGATAATATGTAGCCTATATGTTGACCCGACTTATTAATAATATTCGTGCCAAATTTGAAGTAAATTCATGCAGTACTTTTTGAGTTTATCCCGGACATACATACAGACAAAAATTCCAAAAAATATATTTTTGGCTTCGGTATCGACTGTAGATCACACCCCAAGTATTCTTTTAAAAAAATATTCAATGTACAGTTTTGATTTTTCTACCATTTTATTAAATGTATAAATGATACTTGAATTGCGTCATCTTTTAAATTAGTTTGAAACGTACTTGTTTTTGTTTTTTTTTGTATTTATTTATTTTAAAACGGCAAAAAGATGGGTGGCGGGATCGAGAGACGCAACTCTCACATAACTATGCACACATTTGAATAGTATACTACAATACACGTACAGGCTTACAGAAATGTCAGTAAAGATGTATCTTTATAAAGGGTATGTTTACATCATAGAGGTATAAGAATGGAGAAGGGGAGATATGTACTCTATTACAAGTGGAACTGTCCGTTTAGTAGAAAGAGAAAGAAGATGAGGGACGGCTAGCTATCTCTCTCTCTTATGACACTGCGCAGTCGTGTGATTGGTCGGTATTCATCCGTAGGTCTTTCATCCAATGTGCATTCGCCATTAGAGAGAGAAAGGCTAGCCGTCTCTTATCTACTTTTTCTTTCTTCTAGACAGACACTTTTTGAGCCGCTTTCCCCACTCTATTCTTATACCTCTATCGTTTACATTAGTAAAAAGGTTTCGTAGAAGCCGTAATGCATTTACTTCAACCTTTGTCTATTTCCATCAATGCAAAAGATACTAAGTCTATACAGCCATTTTATTAAAACGTCTTTGATTAATTCTATACAGCCTTTTTCGTGCACTTTCTTAGAATACATGTTTTGGAATGCACCATATTTTTAAATTCTTTTTTTAACCCAGGACGAGAAGTTGGCCACCCTCAACAGCCACGGAGACAAGTTGCTAGAACAAAACCACGTGGAGAGCGAACGCATCGCCAAAGAGCTCAAGACTATCAATGAGCGACGTAGGAAGGTGAGAGATTGAATAATTAATATTTCCAACTGAGTGTTGGCTTAGCTCCAAAGTGAGCACTGTAGGCTTATGTTATGGGATACTAGGGTAACGGATAGAATACATATATTGATACTATCCGTATCTCTCCATACAGTTAAATGCATCGTGATCGTCTGTCTATTCATCGCATTTAGTCCGAACGCGTGCTAGAGCTCAGATCGAGTCTATTATAGTCTAGGTAGTATAGTGATAATAATATTTGCGTCGTTTTCAGCCAAACTTATCACACATAACAAATTTACAGAGATTATTTACGGGTATTTGTTACCATATCCCTTGTTTTTAGCGAGTTTCCGATATTCGCAATATCGAACGCAATAAAAGACTTCGTCGGAGGGTATACCGATATGTCTGCCAATGACAGCCTACCCGCAATTAGTTCAATTACTCCGTGATCATGGCGCTTGCAACAGTGCCGAAATATCGGAAACTCGCTAAAAACAAGGTACATGGTAACAATCCCGTAAATAACTTATATTACTATAATTTTAGTGACCATGAAAGTTTAAAACAATATAACTTTGCAGAGCGTATTAGAAGCTATGTCTGGCGCTTGATTTTACGCATGTTTCACCTCCACCCAGCGAGTGGCTTATCTTTATATATATAATTCTTCTGTGAGTGTGTATGTCACTGAACTTCTCTTAAACGACTGGACCGATTTTGATGAAATTTTTTGTGTGTGTTCAAGGGGATCTGAGAATGGTTTAGATTCACAAAGACGTGTAGACAGGACAACGTCTGTCGGGTCCGCTAGTAAATTATAAGTTGCGTTTTGTTTTCCATTTCGTGCGCGTCTAAACGCGTACGTTGGTGTATGCACCGGCGAAGGCTTTGTAGTAGAAACATAATTATTACTATCTTAATTCCAATACAGTTATACGTTAAAGCGGGTATACTTTGACTGTAGCTGTAAAATCTATCCATCTCAATCTATCTACTCCAAATAGATCTTTGTTTGAGTGTATTATAAAAACAATACAAAATCAAAATTCAATATCGTTCATGTTTATTCAGTCTAGCCTGTTACAAGTACTTGTGAATGTTGTAAAGCTTCGCCATCGGTTGGCAAATCCTGTGTTATGTTACAGAGTCGTCAAATTGAAAAAATACTTCAATATGAGATAACTCATGAAGTCACTTTTTATTACAAATGTTAATGATATAAAATTTATGACTATGTAATAAAAAAAAATATATAACTGAGTGTCTAGAGCTCAGTTCGAGTCTATAATAATCTGTATAGTATAGTGATAATAATATTGCTGCCCCCCCCCCCCCCCCCCCCAACATACAATTACACGCATCATGCGCTTCTAAACGCCAGCGTTTTTTCCGCGCGCGTGCTTGAGCTCAGTTCGAGTCTAGTCTAGTCGTTTCCCCCCCATACAGTTACACGCATCCTGAGCGTCTAAACGCCAGCGTTTAGTCCCCACCCGTAATATTAATATTGTCGTCTTTCCCCCCTCCCCCCCCCCACCATACAGTTACACATCAATAATTTGGCGTCGTTCTTACCCATACAGTTACACGGATCCTGTGTGTTTGGTCCGCGCGTGTCTAGAGCTCAGTTTGAGTCTATAATAACCTGTATAGTATAGTGATAATAAAAAAAATCGGTTGTCTGTAACCGATTTTTTTTATTATAAAGTAAAGTAAAGTCGGTTTACTGACGATAGTTGAACGTGACAACGTTTTTTTACAATGTACATAGTTTTTACAAGTATGAATGTGCACTTTTCACTGCACTTCATACTTGGCGAAAACATGTAAATGTATTATTGTATAGCAGCTGTCCACGCGGACGCATCGCTCACTCAAGTAGGAGATAGACAGATGTTGAATGCTGCCGAACGCGGAGGCTGATTGTGCCTCTTTGTCGCTCGTTGCGCGCTCTCGCTTGCACTTCAAGCCTTAAATGGAACGCCTCAGAGCGAAGTAAAGCCGCATGAGTCATGATTTTTTTGTGCGTGCACCGGCTCCATCGAATTATAAGCGTTGTCACGTCAATATTAACGTTAGAGCTCAGTTGGTGTCTATTATAGTCTAGTTAGTATAGTCTATTATAGTGTAGTTTAGTATAATGATTATAATATTGGTGTCGTCATCGTCGTCCCCCCTCATACAGTTACACGCATCGTGCGCGTCTAAACGCCAGCGTTTAGTCCCCATCCGTAATATTAATATTGGCGTCGTTTCACCTCTATACAGTTACACGCATTGTGCGCGTCTAAACGCCAGCGTTTAATCCGCGTGCGCGCTACAGCTCAGTTGGTGTCTATTCTAGTCGTTTTCCCCCTCATACAGTTATACTCATCCTGTGCGTTTAAACGCCACCGTTTAGTCCCCACCCGTAATATTAATATTGTCATCGTTTCACCCCCATACAGTTACACGCACCTTGTGCGTTTAAACGCCAGCGTTTAGTCCCCACCCGTAATCTTAATATTGTCGTCGTTTCCCCCCCATACAGTTACACGCATCGTGCGCGTCTAAACGCCAGCGTTTGGTCCGCGCGCGCGCTACAGCTCAGTTGGTGTCTATTATATAATGTCTAGTTAGTATAATGATAATAATATTGGTGTCGTCGTCGTCCAGCCCCCCATCCCCTACCCCATACAGTTAGTAGTATAGTGACAGTAATATTGGCGTCGTTCTCACCCATACAGTTACACGGATCTTGTGCGTTTGGTCCGCGCGTGTCTATAATAATCTGTATAAGTATAGTGATAATAATATTAGCGTCGTTTCCCCCCCATACAGTTACACGCATCGTGCGCGTCTAAACGCCAGCGTTTGGTCCGCGCGCGCGCCCGAGCTCAGTTTGCTCGCGACGCGGCCGACACGCGCGGCTGGCTCGCTGACAAACTGGCCAAGCTGAATGCTGAACACGAGCAAGGTAAAAAAAAAAACAGCTATTTGTTTCTTATAATAATAATAAAATATCTTTACCACGAATGACAAAAAGGTTTACAAAAATGTTAGGCGAAATATAATCGGGCTCGTCCCGATATGAAAATTTATTGTAGGCATAAGGATGGGTTTTTCAATCATTTTCATCACAGTTCTGTATATAATAAATACAATAAGGTATTTGACAGTATTAAAAATAAAGTGCCAATTGCTAGCATCTGTCTTTTGAATGAATATGGGCAGGGGCTTTTATTTTCTTTAATAAAAAAAATTCATAATTTTACTTAAACACCATGAAAAAGATATTACTTTTCGTATCTATTGTCTTAAAATTATTTAAATATTTTAAATAAAACAAGTTTAAACGGTATAGATGCACCGATTTTTCGCATCCTTTTCAGGCTACGTCGTCAAAATTGCGAATAGCGGAGGATGCGAAACGCCAAAAATAAATAATTCAGTACATATAGAGTTTTTCTACAAGAACGAAGGTCTTCTAAAACAAAATAAAGCAAAAAATTAAGATGAAGATGATAATTTTTTTATTGTATTATAAAGAGAAAAGTTCGGCAATTATGAATGAAAAATGATATCTGGCAAATGTCCACCACGAGCACGCTGACAGATGTCGATTCTTTCATCAAAGTTTTTAATCACTGTTTGGCAAAATGGCGGGATTATTTCGTAATTCACATCACGGATTTTGAGTTTTAAGGCTGCAATCTATTCGATTGGCCCCGTATAGATTCTGTCCTTAACATAACCTCACAAAAAATAATCTAGTGGTGTGAAATCACACGATCTGCCTGGCCTCTTAACAGCTGAGTTTAGTGAAATTATGAGATCGAGAAATTTGGTTTGCAATAAATTGATCGTTTCATTGGCACACATGTGGCACCGTCCTGTTGAAACCACATATCAGTGATATCCACGTCATCAATAATAGGCCAAAATTCGCCATGTGGTGGTTCTGGATAATCCCAATTGTTGAGAACTTCGCGGAATTGACAAATGTGGATCTGCTTCAACACTGTGGCTCACGGCTGCGATGCTTTCAGTTGAACAACCCGGTCGAACACGCGTTGGAGTTGCCACATTTTGTATCGACTCAAATTTAACGACCAAATTCTTAATAGCGGTCTCAGAAGGACGATTATGTTGTCCGAAAATATTACGGATTCGACAAAATGTAACTGTAACAGAACCACTATTTTCATAGTGGATTTTAATTATTTTAATCCGATTTTGAAGCAAAATTGAATTCATTGTAACAATTGCCAATGCATCTACTACGAATACGTCAAAAAACTAAATGGCAAAACTATCATATTGTTGGTTAAGCCACAATTGAAAAACAAAGTTCTTGTTGTACAACCCTGTATAAACTAGAGATGGGCTGACTAGTCGGGACAGACGACTATTCGGCATACGGCAAAACATGCCGATTATAATCGACACATAACAATGAATTAAAACTCAAACTTATGCTAATTTTGAATATTTAAACAGTACCTAGAGAGAATATTTAAAGTTACCTACAGTCTTAAAATATTTAAAAAAATAAGGTAAAATAATAAGAATCGGGAACTTAAGAATCTGTCTGTAATTCAGATAACTTAACACAATGAATATCGCACATAATAAAATAGCAATGGGAAGTAAGTACGTATTAATTGAGTAAAAAATCTTAAGTGCTAGCGAGCCTAAGAGAAGTCCATAGGTATTTTTTTCCTTAGAGGCAAATTGTGATGTTAGAACATGAATATTTTGGCTCGATTTAGGAGAGTGCGTGAGCAAGCCGAGTAGTGACGAAATATTCCGATCACCTTCCTAAGAAAGGTATTAGAATGATCGGCATTGCAGAATAGTCGGCAATTCGAAAACCGATTAGTCGGCTAGTCGGTTAGTCGGCAAATACTATAGTCGGCCCATCTCTAATATAAACCGTTGAAACTTGTTTTATTTATTGAGTAATTATTTAAGTAAAATGATAGGAAAATCAAGGTTTAAATATTTTGCAGTTAAATGGTTAAAACGTTTTCATACTAAAATCAAGAAAAATTCAATCCCATCCAAAGTTAAAAAACAATAATTTTAATCTTCTCAGCACCAACCCAGTTAACGTTCCGAAGCAGTGATAGCTATACAATTAATACTGGGACGTATAAAAGCGGGTGTTTAAAGTCTATTTGCGAAAAAATTAATGACTTTTACAACTTTTTAATTACCAGGTGAAGTCACCAACCTCGAGGACAAGATCAAGAAACTGCAAAAGCATCAAGCGTTCACAGCAGAATTGGCTGCCAACAAAGCTCGCTTACAAGAAGTGCGCGCGTTGGCTGACCAACTGAAACCTGACCAAGACGTAGAAAAAGAATTGCAGGCGTTGGAGAAGGACTGGAGACTTCTGGAAGAAGCTACTGAGAAAAGAGGTACGTATTATTAGGTAGACAATAATATATAAATATTTCCAACACACACCAATTAGCCTAGCCGCAAAGTAAGCACTGTAAGGCTTGTGTTATGAGATACTAGGGTAACGGATAGAATACATATATTGTACATATAAAGGTATATTTTTATAGAAATACATATTAAACACCCATGACAGTACAAATGCTCGTATTCATCACACAAACATCTGCCCGCACCGGCTTTCGAACCCGGGACCTCTCTAGTCGGCGACACCATAAAACCCGGCGAATAAACCACTCGGCCACGGAGGACGTCAATCCAGAACTACCAATCCGCACTGGGCCCCCTTGGTGGGTCATGGCTCAATCGCCCTGTTCCATCCACAGGGAGCCTGAGCCCCAGCAGTGGGGGCAAAAACAAAATTTCAACGAACGGTCATGAATTTTGGTCGCGCCCAAATCGTCAGTCAAGTAAATATTGATCTGCCGCGGTTTGCACGATATGGTGGTGGCCGTACGAAGAGGTAGAATATAGGAAAAAATAACGACCTCCGTGGCTGCGTGGTTTGTACGCCGGGTTTCATGGTGTCGCTGACTCGAGAGGTCCCGGGTTCAAGTCCCGGTGGGGGCAGATGTTTGTGTGATGAATACGAGCATTTGTACTCCAGTCATGGATGTTTAATATGTATATCTATAAAAATATACTTAATATGTACAGTATATGTATTCTATCCGTTACCCTAGTATCCCATAACACAAGCCTTATAGTGCGTACTTTGGGGCTAGGCAAATTGGTGTGAATGTGAAAAAAAAAAACGGGCGCGTCAGACATTGAGAAAGGATGTTACGTGAACCCTCCACTAGCTCCTATTCAAAAGACTGACGATTTGGACCCGACCAAAAATGATGGCTGTTTGTTGAAATTTTGTTTTTGCTGCCCTAGACGTTCGGCCCTACATAGATGGCTCAGGTATAGTGGGAGTACTTAACTACGTGCAAGGTTGCTTCCCATATGTTATTCTGTCGCGCTCGAGTAAATCCAAAAATCTCCGCTAGGGCTCCCCTACTATAAGAACAAATATCTTTATGATTTTATTTAGTTTTTAAGCATTTAACTGCTAGATGTTTAAATCTAAAGACAGGTTTACTAGGAAAAAATCCACGCGGTCCCGTCCGCTGCCTGGTCCGCGTGGATTTTTTCCTAGTAAACTTTTCTTTAGATTTAAACATCTAGCAGTTAAATGCTTAAAAACTAAATAAAATCATAACTATAATTGCTATTTCTTCTTCCAAATGTTTAATACTTGAAAAAGTATTCATTTGACATTGTGGGTTACCTACAATGCGAAGAGATGGCGCTGCCTTGCAGCTTAAGGCTATGAAAATTTCGACGCGGCTAATAGGGCCGTGGTAGCATAATGGTCAGTGCATTCGCACGGATAGCGAAGGATGCGGGTTCGTGTCCCGTCCGCTGCCTGGTCCGCGTGGATTTTTCCTAGTAAACAAATATCTTTTCTCAATCTATTTTCAAGATATCTACTAAACTATCTGGAACCCTAGATATTCCTCCTACATATCTCGCATTGAAGGCATCCAGAGGAAGTTAGATATCTGTGCTTTCGCACTAAGGAACGGTACGATTCAGGTCGGTACGGGGAACTCTGCAAAAAGCATCATTATCTCCCTTTAGAGATGCGCCGTGAAATTTAGTTTTCCTCAGTTGAAGCGCTTCTGGGGCTGTTGACTGCCCGGAACTCCTATCAAAGATCTTGTTTGGAGTTCCCCCCAAACCCTTTAGGATTAACCCTATTTTAAATATCCCCCTACTTCTTCAAATTATCGGCAGAACGCTTTTCTTTGTCGAGCAAGTAGCAGCTTCAATTCACTATCAACACAGGTAAAGGACATGGTAAAATTTTGTATGAGCAACTGCCCTAGCAATGTATAAATATTGTACTTAGTAATATATAATGCAGAATGGCTGAATATTTATAATTTCTATGAAAAAGGGCTCAGGAACTTTTGATAAAGTCACAATCTTGAAAATTATGAGATCTCCTACGACGTCATTACCTTGTTACATTTGATAAAAGATGTTGCCAATTATTTACAGAGTCATCAATTTCGCATTTTCTTAGAATATTTCTTCACATTTATCTGATTAACACTTTTACCATTTTTAAAAGTAAAAATAAATACATATAATTTGTTGCTGTCGGCCTGACATGAAATCTGTGAAGTTTTATTTCCTTCAGCCTTCAGCCTTCTCTGAAGCCTGGTCAGAAAAATAAAATCTATAATTTAGGCCTTCAGTGATTTGTTATAATAAAAATAAGAGACAAATATGTCATAGTTTTTGGGAGTTTTGAATTTAGATTGTTTATTTCTATATAGTGACAGAAATATTTTTAGCATACATTTATTGTTCATTTATTTTAGTAAAACGGAACATTTTCCTTTTGAAACAGACATGAAGTCAATTTTTATACTTTTAAATATTTGATTATTTCACGAAAGTTGTATGAGAATTATAAACACGTAATAATTAATCAAAAAATATTATAAAATTATGGGCTAGTGCAAAATAATTATACACGTTAAGGATAGTTTCTTAGCCATGTCCTTTAGATGATTTTAACACTAGCGAAGCGTCGATTAGACGTATCATTGCTCGTTGTTTTAGGAGATTTTAATTAACAAGTGCGTAATTGTTATTCTGCTATTTATCATAAAGACTTCATGTCATCCTCATCATCATCAGCCTATTAATGTCCTCACTGCTGGGGCACAGGCCTTCCCTGGAATGGATGGATGGAATAGGGGGTTTTGGACCATGACCCACCACGCGGGCCCCGTGTGGATTGGTGGGTGCTAACGACTGCAGATGCAGCCGGGACCAATGGCTTAGCATGCCTTCCGAAGCACGAAGGAGCTCGGGATAGTATTTTTTTTGGTCACCCATCCAATGACCAACCACTGCGAAAGTTGTTTCACTTCAACGATCGCAGCTGAACGCGCTAATCACTTGCGCCATCTAGCTCCTCATAGGCCAAAGATGCGCTTCCCTATGGATGGAATAGGGAGATTGGGCCATGACCAACTACGTGAGCCCAGTACAAGTTGTGTTTACAAGTAAACATCCAATTTAAAATGTGTACGTCTATCTATATATAGTGATCTATCAACGCACAGCCCAAACCACTGGACGGATCGGGCTGAAATTTGGCATGCAGGTAGATGTTATGACTGTCGTGATTATAAATGATGTGATTTTGATCTATTCTACCCCCAAAGGGATAAAATAGGAAATGATAGTTTGTATGAAACTTTGTCAATTTTAAACCGATCGGGCTGAGACTTTGCATGCAGGTATAAGAAGATCATAGATAAATGTCATTGTGTTTAATACGAGCCTGAGAAAAAAATCTGTAGTCTACACTTCAAGCTCTACACCGAAGCGAAGCGAGGGCGGGCCACTAGTAAATAAATAAATTATTCACTTAAGTTTATGAGTATTTAATATGTTTTTTTTGTCAGGACGTGGCTTGGAAGAAGCACAAGACATTCTGGAGTTCAACCAGCACCTGGACAAGATTGAGGCCTGGATCAGGGATAAGGAGATGATGGTATGTTAAAGAATCATAATCAAAATCATTTATTCAGTTTAGGCTGTTACAAGCACTCGTGAATGTCTAGAAGCTACTCCATCGGTTCGTAAATCTACGGCGGGAGACCTTTTACTGAGAAGAACCGGCATGAAACTCAGCAAGGGCTGTTTTTTCTCCCTGTTTTATTATTTACAGAGTCGTCAAGTTGAAAAACGGCTTCAGAGATGATTCATGAAGTCACCTCTCATTACATAATGTGAAATATACATTAATTGTTCACCTTTATTTTGAGCACTGTGTCATCATACAGTATGAATACAAATAGTGTTATTTAAATTAGTTGTGACTAGACATTAACATCTTTAACAGCAAAGTAGTTTGGACAGACTCATCTCCGCTGGGAGCACCCGTTCACGAGCATAACGCATGGACCAGCCATCGCTTCGCTGACCCATTTTTTAGGGAACCTAACGACCCACCTCACACGAATAACGTGTTAATACAGCCTTGTGTTGTGTCGGCGTTTCACTTGGCTATTCGTAATTGCCAAAGGTATTTTTAAGGGGTTCCATAACTCAAAAGGAAAAAACGGAACCCTTATAGGATCACTTTGTTGTCCGTCCGTCCGTCTGTCAAGACCGTTTTTCTCAGGAACGCGTGGAGGTATCAAACTGAAAGGACATGGCTAAGAAACGGCCCTTAACGTGTATAAATATTTCGCACTAGCCCGTAACTTTACAATATTTTTTTATTAATTATTACGTGTTTATTATTCTCATACAACTTTCGTGAAATAATCAAATATTTAAAAGTATAAAAATTGACTTCATGTCTGTTTAAAAAGCAAAATGTTCCGTTTTACAAAATAAATTAACAATAAATGTACACAAAAAATATTTGTGTAAGTATATCGAAATAAACCATATTATTTCTAAACTCCTTCAAACTATGACATATTTGGTCCTAATTTTTATTATAACAAATCACTGAAGGCCTAAAATAAAAGATTTTAGTATTCTGATCAGGCTTGAGACAAGGCTGTATGATAATTAATCCTTTAATTTTTGCAAATGGACAAAATAAAACTTCACAGATTTCCTGTCAGGCCGACGATAACAACTTAATTGTATTTATTTATGCTTTAAAAAAACTTTTTGTGAAGAGTTAATCAGAGCAATGGGAAGAAAGATTCTAAGAAAATGCGAAATTGAAGACTGTAAATAATTGGCAACATCTTTTATCAACTGTAGTAAGGTGCATAGTAAGGTACAAGGTACATAGTAAGGTACAAGTTACATAGTAGGAGTTCTCATAATTTTTAAGATTATGACTTTATCAAAAGTTCCTGAGCCTTTTTTCATAGAAATTATGAATATTCAGCCATTTACCATTAAATATTACTAAGTACAGTATTTATACATTGCCGGGGCAGTCGCTCATACAAAACTTTACCATCTCCTTTGATATCTAATACTCAGGTCTACTGTCTCTTGGAGCTCTAAAAAAATCAAACTTCTAAGCCAAAGCAATCAAAGCAAATTTTCAAAACTCGCACGGGAATCAAACCTACAGGGTACTTCCCGTGAACTTAGAATCTTGAAATTTGGTACGAAGTAACGTCTTATAGTACAATCTCTTATCTATTAGACAAGTCCGTCCGTCTGTCTGTCTGTGGTGCTGTTTCAGCGGCCAAACCGTAAGAGATAGATAAAGAGAATATTTAAGTTATAAGTTAAATAGTCTGATAAGACTACAAACCGGATTTGAGTAACGTAGCACTTCCGGTTTTCGAGAAATCACGTGATTTCTATTTCAAACAAAACCACACAAAATCTCCGAAGTTCTCAATTAATTAAATACATTTTTTTTTAAATCAGGTTTTGGTGAACATTTGGTTCACTGGTTTGCTAGTTATAAATAATATAAAGGAAAAATTGCGAAAACCGTAAATTTTTAAGTTACATCATAATATATATTTTTTTTTTGAAAATTAAGGTTTGTACCGAACCCTCGGTGCGCGAAACCGACTCGCACTTGGCCAGTTTTTATTTCCTAATCCTAGTTATGTTTTCCGCTTAGGTTCAAGCCCACGAGTTGGGGCGCGACTACGAGCACTGCTTCGCCCTCCTGCGTAAATTGGACGACTTGGACAGCGACATGAAGGTGGACGATAAACACGTTCGCAGTATATGCGCGCTCGCAGATAAACTGCTGCTTCAGGTAGGCGTATACTGTCCGTCCGTATGTGTATTCAAATTATAATAAAAAAAATATCGGCCCAGTACCGTATTTCTATATAAATATGTACTGTATATGTATTCTATCCGTTACCCTAGCATCCCATAACACAAGCCTTACAGTGCTTACTTTGGGGCTAGGCTAAATGGTGTGTTAAAAAAAAAAAAAGTATGTACTGATTTTTAGTTCTTGTTACGTACTTTGTGCCGCTGCTGTTCAAGTTTCCATACAAAATTTGACATTGACATTTCGGTTTGCAAACTATTCGAATTCGATAATGGTTCGTGCTAGGAGTACAGACATCTGAAGTGAAACTTCTTTTTAAATATCCTTACATTAGGCGGTGCATAAGGCATAGGGGAATGGAGGAGCGCACGGATCACTCATATCTTACATATGAAATTCTCGTGTCACGGTGTGCGTAATTGAACTACTCCGAAAGGGCTCGACCGATTTTCGTGAAATTTTATATACATATTTTGTTTTTCTGTTTTTATGATACATCATACAAAAATACATACAACCCTAAATTTTCACCCTTTTACTACCAGCCTATATTTTATGGCGGTACGAAGTTCGCTAGGACAGCTGGTATCTTATATATAAAATTCTCGTGTCACAATGTTAGTTACCATACTCCTCCGAAACGGCTTGACCGATTTTTATGAAATTTTATGTGCACATTCAGTAGGTCTGAGAATCGGCTACTATCTATTTTTCATACCCCTAAGCGATAAGGGTTCTCCACTCCCAACATTTTATTTTTATTTTTTGAACAAAATTTTTTGTTTTTATTTTTTTATGATACATCATACAAAAATACATACAACACTAAATTTTCACCCTTCTACTACCAGCCTATATTTTATGGCAATACGAAGTTCGCTGGGACAACTGGTATATGTATATATATTATCGCGTGTGACGCTCGTAGCGTTCCGGCCTTCACCGAGTTACCCTTATACTTTTATGCTCGTAGGGGGCCGTCCATAAATTACGTCATCGATTTTTTCAGATTTTAGACCCCCCCCCCCCCCCGTCATTGACGTCATTACCAGTTCGACAAAATTAAAACATTGCAGATTTGAGAAAAGCTAGTATTATATGTAATATAATTGTTAGAGTATTTTATCTGTAGTTATTACTGTACTTGTGTACATCTATGTTGCATTATGTATGTTTATTATGAGTTATTTTTTTAGTATTGTACGCGCCTTTGCCGCCTCTCACATTTGCAGTCTCACTTACTAGGTGTGCTGGAAGAAATTTCTTTTTAGAAATAATCTTTTTGTACGTGAGGATGAATGTTCAATTTCGAAACACCCCCCCCCCCCCTATCTATCATTTACCATCATCCGCAGACCAACCAACCCCCCCCCTAATTTAGAATGACGTAATATATGGACGGCCCCTAGGGAAGAGCAGCGCACGCATGTCCTCCCCCCCCCCACACCCATATATATATACTCGTATATAGTCGTGTGACGCTCGTGACGCATTTACGTTTCATCTTTGCCATAGGATATTCCATTTACAATCAGTACGAAAAGAATCACTGTTTTTAAGAAACTCGTAACTCCTAATATTTTTCTAACAAGTAATAAATTTTCCTATACCTATGTATTGTGGTGCGACCGTCATTATGACGATTTCTTTGAAAGAAAATTAATTTCACTATAAATTATTATTATCTTCGCTTGTGGTGTTTAGGGTCCGACGCAACAGGCTGATGGAGTGGCTTCTCGTCGCGACGCGTTCCTCAGTAAATGGGCTGCTTTGAGTGGAGCCCTACAGCAATATAGGGACAACCTGGCGGCTGCGTTGGAGATACACGCCTTCAACAGGTGAGACACACATTAGCCACACACATATACATGTCGGAGGGGCGAGCTGGATAGGCGGTTGGCCACGTGGTTTTTCTTGATCCGCCATCTTGGGTGTTTGATGTCAGAAAATGAAACTGTAGTCTAATAGCCTAGCTAATGATTAATTTAAATCTTTAAATTACTTTACAAAATATCATAAGATTTCCAGGATGCAAATGGATTGCTTTGTGAAGCGCGGAGAGTTCTGTGCTAATGTCCGTTTACTACTGCAGCTCACGTCTGAATGCCGAATGCCCCTTCCAATGAAGCGTAGCCCCTTAAATACTACCCTTAGCATAGACCACTCCCAAGTGATGACAGCTGTCACTGTCATTACTTGACGTTTCACAAGGCAATGGTACTCTTGACTGATGACATTTGTTGTCGGTTTCACGTTTCGAAGGAGCGAGTGAGACGCCATCCGCCGACATACATATATCACAATAATAAAGGGTTTAACAGGTACACATAAACCACATGCATTAAATATTACACTACCCGCCGTATTTATAAACAAGTAAAATACTTCTTCCAACTGTGAGGTATACTGTGTTGTAGAAGATCTCCAGCACTTGTTGATGGATTGTGTCCGGTACCAGAATGAGAGACAAGAGTTTGTTAACATATGTAAATTGAATATGTCAGACATTGGTGTGTTTCACAGCATTCTGGCCCAACCGGTCTCGGAAGAGGCTAGAATCCTGTATCGCTTTATAGTCCGGTCAATTTAGACGTAAAAATAGGGATCAAATAACAAAAACCCCGACAAAGCCAAATATTGGTGGAGATCTTTGTTTTACCCTTATAAATAAAAATTTAAAAGGCCCCATCAATCCCATGCGAGCTTCAAAAGTTATGCGGGGCCAAAGGTCAAAATTTTAGGTTTTTTGACTTTTTCTCAAAAACGGTACAAAAATGGTACTCATAATGAGATATCGTGATTGTGAGAGTCACGTAATACATAATATGCACACATTTTCTGAGGTATGTACTCGGCGCGTTTTTTTCACGTGGTTTCCCCGGTAGGCCTATTCCAGTAACCGTTATAATGTAATTTTTAGAGACAATACGAATTTAACTGAAGGAAGATTATTAATATTGTTTTTTGTTATTGAATTTAATTGCCGTTCTGATTTCTTTTCATAATTCAATCTGATTCAAACTCTTCTTAGTCGACTTCATTAATCATGTCTTCTTCTATTTCTTCTTCTTCTTTTTCTTCTTCCTCTTGCTGGATGTTCAAAAATTGTTCAAATGTAGATAAATCAGTTGTTTCTACATCAAAATCACATGAATCTTCCTCTGTTGTATTCAATTGTACATTTGAGCAAGACTGATCTTGGCAATTGGTACACGCTGGAGAACACTGTAATCCTACTTTTGTACAGGCGCATTTGGCACTACAACCTTTCTTGCAATTGCAAAATATAGTGTTAAGTAGTTTTTCTGGAGCAGGAAGAAGTAAAGTCTGTACTGGTTCCAAAGTATTATTTATTAATTTCCAACCCCAGTCTTCAGGGTTCAGGTCATTGCCTTGCCATGTCTGAACTTGATAATATACCTGAAACTTTTTTTGTTGTAAATTTTCCTAACACAAAGGCATGAGATGGTCAATTCATACAGCCTTGCCGTATCACTTTTTTTTCAACTTTCATGCAATTCCCAAAAATACTTATTTTTCTTTTTTTAGTCTGTTTTTTTTTAATCTAACGCCACACACATCTGCTGTAGATTGCTTATTGTTACTTATATTTTATTAATTCTATTATCTGTTTGTAGTCGCTTGATATTGTTAGCTTTTGCTTTTTTGTTCTGCTTAGCTTAGATTGTATTTAACATTGACTGCCTATGGGTAATTGAAATGTATACCAATTGAGTAGTTTTTTTTTTGTGTTGTATTTATCTATGTACTATGAATATTTCAATTAATTCTGATATATTTCATTCTTGCTCCTCTCAATCCAGTCTTGAGGATTGTATTCATAGTGATGACTCTGCGTCCCTTGATGAACTTCTGCAAGATACTTTTGGTGATTTACCCAAAAATTTGAACGTAATCCACATAAACGCCCAAAGTATCCCTGCACATTATGCTGAATTATATACTTATTTAGTCCATAATAATATTCATGCGATTTTAGTATCTGAGACTTGGTTACATCCTTCTATTCCTTCTTCTTCTTACTCGCTTCCGGGTTATCATTTGATCCGTAATGACCGTGGTAGCTCTTCTCATGGAGGGGTAGCAATTTATCTCCGCGCACATCTTTCTTTCACTGTATTAAGTCAATCATCCCAACCTCCTCCGCAGGATTCTGCTGAACATCTCTTCATTGAGGTCAACTTAGTCCACAATAAGGTTCTTCTAGGTGTTTTATACAGCCCATCTTCTAAAATTGATTATTTTCATTCATTCGAGCTTCTCCTTGAAGATTTTTCTCATAATTATACTCATTCAATTATAATGGGCGACTTTAACACCTGTCTGATTAAAAATGATTCCCGATGCAAAGAGTTACGTTCGGTAATTAATTCTTGTAATATGCATATTCTTCCTCTCTCTGCGACGCATAAATTTCCAAACTGCACCCCTTCTCTGCTAGACCTTATAATGGTATCATCTCCCGACCATGTTGTGAAACATGGTCAATTACCTGCCTATCAGTTTTCCTATCACGATTTAATTTATTTATCGTATCGAATCCGTCCCCCTAAACGTAAGGCGTCAATCCAACTATTGCGTAATTTTAGTGCAATGGATATCGATATTCTGCGAGAAGATGCTCGTAAAGTTAATTGGTCGGCAATTGATGATCTCAACAGTATTGATGAACAAATAGAGTTATTTAATTCCTTACTGATACGTTTAATGGATATTCACGCTCCCGTGCGACCTGTACGCGTCAGGCATGTTCCTGCTCCTTGGCTTACGGAGGACATACGCACAATAATAGAAAAAAAGACCCGCGCAAAAACAAAATTCAAAAATAATCCAACAGATGCCAATCGTTCCAGATATAGGGAAATAAGGAATCGCTGCAATACATTGATTAGGAATAAACAAAGACGCCACATTCATACGTCTGTCGAAAATGGTGACTCCGCCAAAGTTTGGCGCTTTCTCAATAAGCTTGGTATTGGCAAAGCTAAACGCAACTCTACCTCTCCTTCAAATTGTGATATCAATGCTTTAAATGCTCACTTTTCCTTATCTGCGTCCATGGATGGAATAATCAAAAGTCATACTTTGAATACGCTTTCTTCGTCGCCAACACCATCTTTTACTCCTTTTATCATAAAGCAATTTACTGAGTGTGACGTTGAGAGGAACATCATTGCTGTATCGTCCAATGCCGTGGGTAGCGACTGCATTAGTCGTAATATGATCATTCCTCTTCTAGATATCCTAACTCCTGTAATTACTAAAATCCTTAATAAATCCATTTCGTCATCTGTTTATCCTTCAGCATGGAAAGAATCTAATATTATTCCCATACCTAAGAAATCCAAGCCTGATTCCTTCAATGATTATCGCCCTATTTCAATATTGCCTTTCCTTTCCAAAGTCCTCGAAAAATTAGTCCATCAACAGTTAAGTAGATTCCTTTCCATGAACAATCTTCTAAATCCATTTCAATCTGGTTTCCGTCCCGGTCATAGTACGACTACTGCACTTGTCAAGATCGCAGATGATATACGTGTGGGTATGGAAAATCGGCAGCTCACTGTATTAACGCTGTTAGATTTTAGTAACGCATTTAATATGGTTGATTTTGATATTTTATTGGCAATGTTGGTTTCTCTCAATGTATCTCCACCAGTGATTGATTGGTTTCATAGTTACCTGCATGGGAGACGGCAGCGCATATGTGTGGATGGATATTTTTCATCATGGTGCGACACAACAGCCGGCGTACCGCAGGGTGGCGTTATGTCTCCTCTTCTCTTTTCTATTTTCATAAATTCAATAACTCTTCCTCTCTCTTCTTCCTATCATATGTATGCAGACGATCTCCAAATATATACACAAACTTCTTTAGATGAACTTCCTACAGCCATCGCAGTTACCAACAACGACCTGGAACACATATATGACTGGAGTCGGCGACACGGTCTGTTGGTTAACCCGCGCAAAACTCAGGCTATAATTATTGGAAGCCATTGGTATAATGCTCGAATTAATAAAAGCGCTTTGCCACCGATCCTGTAAAACGGCATCCCTATACCACTTCAGGACACTGTAAAAAATCTTGGCGTGTTGTTCGACAATAACTTGTCTTGGAACCACCATGTCGGTGAAGTTAGTAGGAGGGTATTTGGCGCGTATGGCTCGCTGAAACGCCTGAAAAACATGTTGCCGACCAAGACTAAAATTTCTCTTGCGCAGTCCCTTCTTCTTCCGTTGCTTGACTATGCCGATGCGTGTTACTCTGACCTTAGTGTTGTTCTTCCTAATAAACTCGAGCGTCTGCAGAATTTATGCATTCGATTCATTTTCGGTCTACGTAAGTACGACCATATTTCTCATTATCGTTCCCAACTTCAATGGCTACCCATTTCTCGTAGAAGAGACTGTCACATCCTATCACTCCTTTATTCTATCCTCTTTCATCCGCACACTCCTCTCTATCTTAAGGAGCGTTTCGCATTTCACTCTTTTAATCCTGTCCGTGATCTTCGGTCTTCTCATAACTTATCCTTAGTTATCCCACCCCACGCCACTGATTTCGTGGCCAAGTCATTTTATGTAAGAGCTGTTAAACTGTGGAACGCTTTGCCTTTGGATATTAAACGTGCACAGACGAGGGACTCCTTTACTATTAAAATTAAGGAATATTTCCTCAAGCTGGACTCTGCCTGATCTTTTTATCTGTTTATTACTATTTATTGTATTTTATAGCTTCCTTACATACTTACTATATTGTATATTATTATATTTATGTTTATTTATTTATTTTTACAATGCACTAGCCCGCTGATTCCACTATTCTTATGGTATGGTTTCATTTAGCCAAAGGTTGCCTGGTAGAGATTGCTACCTTAGCAATAAGGCCGCCTTTTGTGTTTTTGTTTCTGTGTTTTATGTTCTCTGTATTGTGTGTAATAGTGCAATAAAGAATATATTCATTCATTCAATATACTCTACAAATGTTGAACAGCAGATGCCGAAGTTGGGGGAAGACAAGATAGTTGTACTTGCTTCTTGTATCGTGTATATTTGAGGAAGGTTAAATACAAACAGACAAAAATTCTAAAAACTATATTTTTAGCTTCGGTATTGATAGTAGATCACATCCCAAGTTTTTTTTAAATATTCCTTCTACAGTTTGGACTTTCCTACCATTTTATTATATGTATAGATCTACATGGTCAAAAACTTACAGAGATATACATATACTTATCTTGCGACATTTTATGTATATGTGTGAATTTATACATATGTAAGTACTTATTTATGTATGTGTAATTATATATATACTTCGTATTTATATCTGTTCGTCTTTCTGTAATTTCCATCTAAGTTGTGCACCCTACCACTATTTATCCACAACACCCTATGGTTGACCGGTAGAGAATGCTTATGGCATTAAGTCCGCTTTTGTACACTTGTGCATTAATTATAAAATACATAAATAAATAACTCATAATTTCATCCCACAGGGACGTAGAAGACACACAGGAGCGTATCGACAAGAAAGCCGCGTTGTTCGCAAGCAACGAACGCGGCAGAGATTTGAGTGCCGCAGCTGAGTTACAACGCAAGCACCAAGCCAGAGCCGTGGAGGCGAGAGCTGTGGGAGACAAGATTCAAGCCCTGCAGCAAGAAGGCACTGGTTTGGCGCACAAGTTAGTATACTTTCACAATAGGGTATTTGACAAGTTTTAGAAAACGGTTTCAGGTTATTGAGTAATGTTTATGAAGTCCGTAAAAAGTGGATATTCGTCATTCTGTTTTGTATTTCAGTCAACTTATTAACCAAATCAAAAACTACATTTTCAAGTTGCCGCGAAAACGTTTTTCTGGGCAATATGGCGTCTTACTAGTGTGTGACGTCACACGACTGTTATTAAAACGTCAAACGATACAATGTAATGTCACTTTACCCGGAAGTTTACTTGCGTGTGACGTCATTTTAGGCTCCGCCAATACCAGGCGTTTTGGGTCACGTGACAATAGATAAAAAAACTATTATCTTTTTCCTGGGTTTTTAGTAAAATTATATTTTTTTGTAGTATATACACAGATGCTCACAATTGGCACTTTATTTTAAATACTGTCAAATACCCTATTAAAAGTCGTTAAAACTACTGTTTTAAGTTTTTATCTTATACAGAATAGATGTGCATAATTATAATTAATCCTATGCACTTTTGGATGATCTCCCATATAAACTTGGACACGAAATTTTGTAATTTTTTGAAGGTAGTTGTAATCTTTGAAGTGAAATCTTCTACAGCGGCGTTGTACACTTTTTTTTGTGTGGGTAAAAAATGTTAAACTCGCGTCAGATTAAACACGTGGGCTGATCGTATCATGACACACTATAAAATTGGAAAGGTTGTTGATTTTCAATATATTGGACGAAACAGTAATATTTTATTTTATCGTATTATAATAATAAGTCTCTATGTAGGATGTCCACGTGGCAGCTTTATTGCGAAGAAAATGCATTTTTTTACAATAGATGTCGCTAGGTGCGGTTAAATGTGATTCATGTAAGTTGATTTCTTTACAATAGATGTCGCTAAGTGCACTTAAACGTGATTCATGTAAGTTGATTTTTCTGAGAGATAAACTTTTTTAATGTAATATAAATTGTCATGTTTGTGTACGATAGCGCAATAAATAAATATTGTATTCTACCACATACATGATAGTACTTTTGTACTGATAATTAAAGCAATTCGTGCAAAATTATTCTCTAACCATTCCAAAATATCAAAAATGCATAATATTCAAGTTTTCACTTCTGCCGGCACTCTTAGAGTTTTTTTTTATTACAGAGTAGTTGTGCATAATTATAATCAATACTGTGCACTTTTGGATGATCTCCCATATAAAGTTGGACACAAAATTTTGTAATTTTTTGAGGGTAGTTGTAAAAATTTTATGTAGCATGCATTGCGTGGACTGCGGACCTCAGAATGTCCGCCGGGTGACTGGTGCAGGAGTATTGTCTGGTTTTCAGTGGTCCTGCTCATTTCATCCGACAATAGGACTGTCTGTAATGAGCAGGGAGGAGTCCCACATACTGATTGAAGAATGCGTAAGGCATTTCCCAGCCAAAATAGGCTGAGTATATCTATTAAATAATGTTTATGAAAAAATTGCAGTCAATGGTGCAGGTCCAAGGGATAAGATTTTAGGACAAAACGCTTTTGCAAATTTCACGCTGAGGCTGAATTGCTGACGACCTCCGTGGCCGAGTGGTTTATACGCCGGGTTTCATGGTGTTGCCGACTCGAGAGGTCCCGGGTTCGATCCTGGTGGGGGCAGATGTTTGTGTGATGAATACGAGCAATTTGTTCTCCAGTCATGGATGTTTCATATGTGTTTCTATATAAATATACTTATTTAAGTACAGTATATGTATTCTATCCGTTACCCTAGCAACCCATAACACAGTGCTTACTTTGGGGCTAGGCTAATTGGTGTGTGTTGGAAATATTTATTTGTTTATTTAATTTCAAAAAACCCCTTCTTATTACTTGTCTAGACTAAAATGGGAACCTACTTTCCAAATTTCATCATTCTAGGTCCAACCGTTTCGGCTGTACGTTGATGAGTCGGTCAGTCTCTGAAGTCATTTTTCAAGTTGACGACTCTGTATATAACAATACAGGGAGAAAGAAACAGCCCTTGCTGAGATTCTTGCCGGTTCTTCTCCGGAACCGAAGGCGTAGCTTCTTGACCTTCACAAGTGCTTGTAACAGCCTAGACTGAATAAATGATTTTTGATTTTGATTTTTGAGTCAATCAGTCTGTCAGTGTATCCTTTTCTCTCTTTATATAATAGTATAGATAATTATGTATGTCCCGTTCCATCTTACCAGGTATCCAGAGCGTGCGAAAGAGATAGAGGATAGTCTTCAGAGCTTGAACGAAGGCTGGGACAATCTGCAGCGTTTGGCTGCTAAACGCTCGGCGCTATTGGATGAAGCGATCGCGGAACATAAATTTGAAGAGACCCTCAAGGTAAACTCTTCACTCAAATCTAAAGAAATTTTACTAAAAAAAATCCACCCTTCGCTATCCGGGTGAATGCACTGACCATTATGCTACCGCGGCCCTGACGGCCGTGTCGAGTTTTCTCTAGCCCTTCTTAAACTGAATATAAGTTAAAAGTTTAAAAAAAACTATAATTGCTATTTCTTCTTTGAAATGTTTAATAATACTTGTAAAGCTATTCATTTGTCATTGTGGGTTACCTACAAGGCAAAGAGACGGCGTAGCCTTGCAGCTTAAGAAGGGCTAGAGAAAATTCGACATGGCCATCAAGGCCGCGGTAGCATAATGGTCAGTGCATCCGCCCGGATAGCGAAGGGTGCGGGTTCGAGTCGCGTCTGCTGCATGGTCCGCGTGGAATTATCTCTAGTAAAATTTTCTTTCTCGTAAAGTAAAACTTCACTGTCTTCTTTTTTTTTATTTTTTTAACACCAACAAAATTAATAGACTTGCAACGAATATTCGGTATTCGGCCTATTCGGCTGCTTTTATTATATTCGACCGAATACCGAATACCGAACACTTAAATAATATATTTTGTCATAGAGAAATAATTGGTAAAATGAAAAATTAAAATCGATTGTTTACGTTCATATTTAAATAAAATAGGTACATAATTTTAATCATTTTCTGTATTAAACAAGTTAAGAATTTTTCTATGCATTTAAATCTCTTATCTATTAGACAAGTCCGTCCGTCCGTCTGTGGTGCTGTTTCAGCGACCAAACCGTAAGAGATAGATAAAGAGAATGTTTAAGTTATAAGTTAAGAATAGTCTGATAAGACTACAAACCGGATTTGAGTAACGTAGCACTTCCGGTTTTCGAGAAATCACGAATTTCAAACGAAACCACACAAAATCTCCGAAGTTCTCAATTTTTAAATCAGGTTTTGGTGAACATTTGGTTCACTGGTTTGCTAGTATTTTCATAATCAAAATTTAGAAGGGGAAGGTTATGGTGCAGAAATACTTAACTTTTCTGCATTTTTGGGAAATAGTTTACTTCTTTTTTTCTCGTAGACCATCCCAGCTTCAGAGAAAAGGCGCTCTGAGTAAACACTACTTCCTGGCGCCGACAAATATTTTGCTGCAATGTCTGTACAAGTTTTTGGCGCTAAGATCCAGCCGAATACTTTTGCCTAATATTCGGCTATTCGGTCAGGGGCCTCGCCGAATATTCGGTATTACTATTCGTAATATACTATTCGTTGCAAGCCTAAAAACTAACAATCTAACTCAGTACTGTTTTGTATTTCTTTCTCAACTCTTACGTTATTATTTTAACGTAGAAAAAGCCGGGTAGAGTTATCAAATGTATACTTGACGACCTCCGTAGCCGAGTGGTTTGTACGCCGTGTTTCAATTTGTGGCTTACTCGAGAGATCCCGGATTCGAATCCCGGTGGGGGCAGATGTTTGTGTGATGAATACAAGCATTTGTAATCCATTCATGGATGTTTAGTATGTATTTCTATATAAATATACTTATATATAGAGGTGCTCGATGGCGCAGGTCGTTAGTGCGTTCGGCTGCAAAGATTGAAGTTAAGCAACTTTCGCAGTGGTCGGTCATTGGATGGGTGACCAAAAATTTACTATCTCAAGCTCCTCCGTGTTTCGGTAGGCACGTTAAGCCGTTGGTCCACCCACCAATCCGCACTGGGCCCGCGTGGTGGGTCATGGCCCAATCTATTCCATCCATAGGGAAGGCCTGTGCCCCAGCAGTGGGGACATTAATAGGCTGATGATGATGATGATACTTATACTATATGTATCAATATATGTATTCTATCCGTTACCCTAGAATCCCATAACACAAGCCTACAGTGCTTACTTTGGAGCTAGGCTTATTGGTGTGAGTGTTGGAAATATTTATTTGACCTTGTGGGTTACCTTTAATGCGAAGAGATGGCGCTGCCTTGCAGCTTCAGAATAGCTAAAAGAATTTCGACGCGGTCCGTGAGGGCCGCGGTAGAATAATTGGTCAGTGCATTCGCCCGGATTGCGAAGGGTGCTGGTTCGAGTCCCGTCTGCTGCCTGGTCCGCGTGGAATTTTTTCTAGTTCTATTTTCTCTAGATTTAAACATCAAGCAGTTACATGCTTTGAAATAATAAAAATTATAACAATATTTATTTGTTTTCATTTATTATTGTTGTAATTCAGGAATTGGAAGCATGGGTCGGGGAGACCATCAAACGAATGGAGAGCACGGAGCCACCCGAGACTGAGAGTGAGACGCAGGCCTTACTGGATCTACACCAGGAGACCAAGGTGAGACTGGGGCCTGTAGTAAAAAAGACTTCTACGTTTCGGGACGCACGACAGAAGTGATAACTTAAACTGTCATATTTGAGCACAGGCGATTGGTAGGTGAAAAGGGTATTCGAGGGTGAAAAGGGTATTCGAAGGTGAAAAGGGTATTTGAGCATGAAAAGGGTATTCGAGGGTGAAATGGTATTGGAGGGTGAAAAGGGGACTGGAGGGTGAAAAAGGTATTGGAAGGTGTAAAGGGTATTTGAGGGCGAAAAGGATATTTGAGGGTGAAAAGGATATTCGAGGGTGAAATGGTATTGGAGGGTGAAAAGGGTATTGGAAGGTGTAAAGTGTATCCGAGGGCAAAAAGGGTATTCGAGGGTGAAAAGGATATTCGAGGGTGAAAAGGATATTCGAGGGTGAAATGGTATTGGAGGGTGAAATGGTATTGGAGGGTGAAAAGGGAACTGGGGGGTGAAAGGGGGATTGGAGGTGAAATGGGTATTTGAGGGTGAAAAGGGTATTCGAGGGCGAAAAGGGTATTCGTGGGTGAAAAGGGTATTCGATGGTGAAAAGGGTATTGGAAGCTGTAAAGGGTGTTCGAGCGTGAAAAGGGTATTGGATGGGGATTCGAGGGTGGTAAGGGGATTGGTGTGTGAAAAGGGGGATTGATGGGTGAGGGAGTGGAGTCTGGTACCATAAGAAGTTATCACTTCAGAAGCGAAACGCAAATCGCAAATGACGACGTGAGAGGTATTGTACATTTCGCACACGCTGTCCCGAATAAGGTCCGAGGGAGACGGAATGTATTGCGCCGTTATTTTCGATTCATTTGTTTCTTCTTCGATACTACAACAGCGCGAGTTATAATGTTTTTTAAATATAATTAGTAACATTATAAAAATCTTTTGGTTTAAAATACTTTAAAGATTTCTTTCTTTTTACTAAATAAAGTATTTTTAATCGTTATTTTTAGACTTTTGAGTTATTAATTACATCATTAAAAGTTATGGATTTAGAGCTAAATAAAAAGTTAATTAATTGTTAACAGTTACTCTGTAACAACATATAGTCTGCCACTGGTCTAGTCAATGCGCAGATTAATATAAGTGTATCGGCATTATGCGTTCTCTTCAATAAAGCTCAATGCGTATATGGCGAATATAATTAAAAAGTAAATAAATGAAACGAAAATTTTGAAATAAAGTTAAGCATGCAAAAGAAAAATGCGTAGAGAGTGACAAGCATAGAGGTATCTGAATAGAATAGAAGAAAGAAAGAATGGCGGGTGCTTTTGGCTGCGATCGTTGAAGTTAAGCAACTTTCGCAGTGGTCGGTCACTGGATGTGTGATTTACTAACCCGAGCTTCTCCGTGCTTCGGATTGCACGTTAAGCCATTGGTCCCGGCTGCATCTGCAGTCGTTAGCACCCACCAATCCGCACTGGGCCCGCATAATGCGTCATGGCCCAATCTCCATATTTCAGCCATAGGGAAGTCCTGTGCCCCAGCAGTGGGGACGTTAATACGCTGATGATAATGAATGAAAAAAGGCGAAAGAGCTCGGCGGATACTCTATTTTGTTAACTTATATCTTCATCATCATTATTATCAACCCATGCTCGTCCACTGCTGGACATAGGTCTCCCCTAATGCACGCCACTGCTCCCGATTTTGTGCTACTCTCATCCAGCCCACTCCAGCCAGCCTTTTTTTTATATTAAGGTAGGCAAATGACTCTACCCCACCTGATGTTAAGTGGTAATAAAGTCCAAACGCGAAGATAGCTGGTACAGCAGTTATAAACTGCTACACCAATCATCCTCATCTTGCCGGCCTGCAAAAATACTTCTTCACGCCTCTCTTAAAGGACCCCAGGTTATAGGAAGGAGGGAACACGTGCGCGGGTAAAGAATTCTACTTACGAATAGTACGACAAAGAAATGAGTCACCAAATTTCTTTGTTCGTGTAGGAATAGTGGCCACAGTAAGTCGGTGGCAACGAAGGCCAGCGCGCGTGGTCCTCTGAAGAAAAGGTGATGGAGGGATAAGGGAGAATAACTCCTCAGAACACTCGCCGTGGTATAGACGATAAAATGCGCTTAACGATGCCACATCGCGGCGTAATTGTAGATAATAAAACGAAAACGAATATCATCATCCCATCTTGTCTCAAGGCGTCCTACACTACGTTTACCGAGTCGCGGTCTCCACTCAAGAACTTTCCGGCTCCAACGGCCGTCAGTTCTGCGGCTAATGTGACCAGCCCACTGCCACTTCAGTTTGCTAATTCGGTGGGCTATGTCGGTGACTTTGGTTCTCTGTCGGATTACATCATTTCTGATGCGGTCCTTCAGGGATACTTCGAGCATAGCCCTTTCCATAGCTCTCTGAGCGACTTTAAACTGGTGGACTCGTCCAGCCGTGACTGTCCAAGTCCACTTATATCTTATTGAGCTTTAATCACCTTTGATTTTAATTTATCAATATAGTCGGAGATCGACGGTCGCCAGAAAGCTATCCAGGCGCTCCAGAAGGAAGTAGACCACGTGCCCGAGAAGAAGGAACGCCTGGAACTGCTCTCGGAGACCCTGGATGCTGCCTGGCTGCATAGGAAACAGTACCTTACTCAGGTAATTAGTAGGAAATTAATTAATAAATTGAGTTTTCTAACATTCACACTAATCTCCTCCGTGTCTCTGACGACCTCCGTGGCAGAGTGGTTTGTACGCCGGGGTTCATGGTGTCGCCGACTCGAGAGGTCCCAGGTTCGAATCCTGGTGGGGGCAGATGTTTGTGTGATGAATACGAGCATTTGTACTCCAGTCATGGATGTTTAATATGTATTTCTATATAAATATACTTATATATGTACAGTTTAAGTATTCTATCCATTACCCTAGTATGCCATAACACAAGCCTTACAGTGCTTATTTTGGGATAGGCTAAGTCTAGCCCCTGAGTCTGGTATATACCCCGGCGAACTTTTTGAGCAATGACCATAGATAATAAAGCCTGCGCAGTAGAAGTTTTATATACAAAAACGTCTTCTCGAATGTTTATTTGTCTGTAGTTTGCTCAGCAAGTTTGCCTGTCACTATGATTAGTAGAAGATTGATAAATAATTAAAATCTTTGTTTTAACTTGCTGGAATACTGCAACTTCCTCTTTAACAATCCTTTACCGCAAAGGTGGTCTGGAAGAGATCACTTAAAGCGATAAGGTGTCCTTTGCCCACATATGTTATTGTTTACTTATTTTTGTATTCTTTTGTGTGTGTGCAATAAAGAATTTATCTATCTATCTATCTGATTAAATGGATGTTTTTCACACCCACGAACTAACATAGCCTCTTAAGATGACCATTAGTACCCTTAGCACGAACCATTTTCGAATTCGAATAGTTTGCGAGTCCGGAATGTCATTGTCAGATTTTGAATGGACACTTGAACAGCAGCGCCACAACGGGCTTAACGGGAACTGAAAATCAGAACACATTTGACAATGACATTTCGCACTCGCAAACTATTCGAATTCGATATTGGTTCGTGCTAAGGGTACAGGATTTGAGGAACTCGATGGCGCAGGTAGATAGCGCGTTCGGCTGCAATCGTTGAAGTTAAGCAACTTTCGCAGTGGTCATTGGATGGGTGACCAAAAATCTTCTCGAGTTCCTCCGTGCTTCGGAAGGCACGTTAAGCCGTTGGTCCCGGCTGCATCTGCAGTCGTTAGCACCCGCCAATCCGCACTATGCCCGCGTGGAGGGTCATGGCCCAATCTTCCTATTCCATCCATAGGGAAGGCCTGTGCCCCAGCAGTGGGGACATTATAGGCTGATGACGAAATGGTACAGGATGGCAAGTCTCTAGTCGGTATTCATCGTTGAAATGGCAGCCAAGAATTGCCCCTCATTGGCTTCCTATGATGAGACATTTGCTTAGTTTAACCAGTACCCTTAGTACGAGTTTTACAATTACGAAAACTGTGATAGTTTTCGTGAGCTCGCACTCGTACTAAGAGTACTGATTTTATTGTTTTCGTTTCAATACAAATAAACAGTGTTTAAATTCTATCATTAAATCGTTTGTGTTTTCTTAAATTTTAAGAATATTTGGTTACTTTTCACCAAAATGGACATAGAAACATAATTTACAATTACGAAAACTATGATAGTTTTCGTTAGCTATACCTCGTATTAAGGCTACTTATATTGGTAGAAATCCCGATTCCATGTATTTTATAGTCTTGCTTACGCTTACTTGAAATGTCAAAAATGGACATGCTCAAATCATTTTCCTTTGGATTAGATTGGAAAAACGAAAGAAAAATAATATGATTTGAATGTATGTTTTAGCATGTAACTGCTTGATGTTTAAATGTAAAGAAAATATAAGTAGATTTTTTTTTCTAATATTTTCTAGTTATATTTTCTTTAGATTTAAAGATCGAGTAGTTTGACATGCTTTAAAAATAAAAATTATGACAATAATTTCTATTTATTCTTTCAAATGTTAAATACTTGTAAAAGTATTCATTTGGCATTGTAGGTTACCTGCAATGCGAAGAGATGGCGCTGCCTTGCAGCTTAAGAATGGCTAGAAGAATTTCGACGCGGCCATCGGGGCCGCGTTAGCATAATTGGTCAGTGCATTCGCCCGGATAGCGAAGGGTGCGGGTTCGAGTCCCGTCTGCTGTCTGGTCCGCGTGAAAATTTTTTTTAGTTATATTTTCTTTAGATTTGAAAATAAAGCATTTATAAGGTTTAATAATAAAAATTATAGTTAGTGTCTTACCTTTTTTTGTAATGCAAACAATCAATAATTTTCTTCTGTCTCTCTTACTAGGCACATCAGCTTCAGTTATTGAAAGAGCAGGCTCGTCAGACGGAAGACTGGCTTGCCACCAAGGAAGCCTTCCTCAACAACCAGGACCTTGGGGAGAATCTCGATGGTGAGTCCTTAGCATCATCTGAATAATCAGGGAAATGTCCCACTGCTGGGATATAGGGGTTGTCTGTAATCAGAATTTAAAATATTTTAATGAGCCTCATAAAATTGCAGATGGTTACTAAAATATCTTACAAAGTTAATAATAATAATAATCTTTATTTCTGAACCATATCACGTATACAATATAACATTTTTGCGTTAACAACCGTAGTAGTCTAAGACTGTGTTACAGTTATCAGCGCCCACCTCAAAAGATATGCACATTACAGACATGCTTACAAATAAAAAGGGTATTTATAATACATTTCACTATATGTGTGTGTGTATGAGTGAGTGTGTATATGTGGTGTGTGTGTGATAGAGAGATGTGTGCGTGTTTTACTTAATCAATGACTCCACAGGGTCATATTCCAAGTCAAGTAACCAGTCAAAGTTGATACCCTATTAAACTTATACTGTATTTTTAAAGTGTAACTTATTGCATCGCTGCGATAGGGTATTTGATAAGTTTTTAGAAAATGATCTCACGTTATGTAAAATCTTCAAACCTGATGTGAAATTTAGTGAAATAAAAACTAAACTTTCAAGTTGCCGCGAAAACTTTTCTCCGGACTCTCTCACTAGTGTGTGACGTCACACGACTGTCATTAAAATGTCAAACGATACAATGTAATGTCACTTTCGTCAGAAGTTAACTCATGCAGGTTAGAGAGAATTATAACGATTGCTACGTGCTAAAGCATTAGTCCGCCTGTCCATGAAAATTTTAAGAATTTATAGTTAATTTTTCGGCCACCAACCGTGCTGCCCTAGAATTTTGTTCTAGAAATAATGTACCATCTAGCAGCTCTTAATCTTCTCTAACCTTCTCCCCTCAGCTGTGGAGACGTTAATCAAGAAGCATTCAGAATTCTCCAAACTGCTGGACTCTCAACTGGGCCGCGTGGACGAATTAGAGAAGTTCGCGAGCGGTCTTCTAGAAGAAAACCATCTCCATAAAGATTATATACAGAAGCGGCTGGACGAAATATTGACAAGGAGAGATAAGCTTAAGGTACGTGCGAATAAGGGTTAGAATAGCGTGAAGAGAGACTGGGGATATTTATGATTCAACAGCGATTTTGCCTACCCCAAAAAAATGTGTTATGTTATTGAATTTTGCATTCTGTTTTAAAGAATAAATGTTTTAAACCGTATTTAGGAGAGATTCGTTTCCATTTCGTTAATATATATACAGAAGCAGCTTAACAAAATACACGCAAGGAGAAATAAGTTTAAAGAAATGAAATGAAATTTATTTATGACACATTTAAAAACAATTTCAAGTTATTTTTGTTGCAGTCACAGGTGCAGCCCGTTTATTTAACCGTTTTCCTTACCTTTTTAATTTATTTTCCAAAATTATATTACTTTTTGTAACAGCCGAAACTCTTTTTAATTTATATAACATGGTGTCTTACAGATAATTGATAATTTTAATATTTTTTCATAATGTATACGTGTCACTTCTCTTTTTTTTTTTAAAAAAAAGGTCAAAGTCCGTTGAACAAGCTGTCGTAAGCAACCACAGATTACTTCTGTAATCATAAAGCAATTTTATGCCACAGATATTGTGATATTGTGATGTATTCTGTCCGTTCTGACCTATAGTGTGATTTCTTTTCTATTTGTATTTAGGAGGTAATTAATTTATATATATATATATATATATTTTAATAATGTTTTCTGTGATGTCACTGCTCTGGGTATGGCAGAATACCAGTGCAGCAGGTATTTTACCTGTTGTGTATGCTGAGCCATATCCAGTGTTGGCATCACATAAAATACACATTCTGTAGCTGTTTTTTTATTGTTTGTTGATTTTACTTGTTCGTTTCGTTTTACTATATGTTTAATGTATTTTTGCATTTTATGTGTATGCTATGTGCTGTCAACAATAAAAACAGTTTTCTTTCTTTCTTTCTTTATTCACACAAAACAGAGTAGATACATTTTGGTGGTGATTTTCATTTAGTTCGTCCATTTTGCCAACGACAGGGCATGTGAATGTCAAACTTAATTTAATTCTAAAATTTAAAGGTACTTATGTCATTTTCCTTATTCTATTAAAGTAGTGAAGTCTTAGAAGTGTGCTTTAAGGGGTTTTCTGTGTTAAGATGCCTCTTTCATCGGGTCGGTGTGAGCTTGTTTCATTTTTGTTTCTATACCGAATCTGTCATCATTCTTTTCAACGTATTAGGTCAAGAAATGCATTTACCGAAATTGTATACATTGTTCTAAAGTTCAAAATCACGGAGCGTGCGGTAAAACGTTTTACCGCACGCTTCCATACATGGCGCCGTGCGTATCCATTACGTTTTTTTTTAATTTCGGTTGAACCTCGTTGGAGGCGCTTTAAATCTGTACCTTTGTGTCACTTTAATACTGAAGAGAAAAAGAGACGAAAGATGTAGTTCTAATTTTCACCACCCGTAATAGGCGCCATTTGGAAATGCGCGCCATTTTGTTATTTTAAAAACTTCACTTCATTACTAAAATTGGTTTAGGTTCTATTTCTCGCAAATGTGTTGAAAAAAGTTGTATGTCTCTCGTGTGGAATTAGTATTTACAAAGTCTTGACTATGATTAACTTACCGCACTCATATCATAAATAACTATTACCGAAAACCCACTTAACTGGCTCGATATCTCCGCGTCTAGACTTCACCGTCACTAAAACATCAGGTGAGGTGGAATCATTTGTCGGACCTACCTATAATAATAAAAAACGACGGGTTGCTCTCCGGGAGTGCCGACAGAAGTGAAAACTTGAATATTAACGTTGTGCATTTTTGCTATTTTGGAATGGTTAGGGAATAATTTTGCACGAATTGCTTTAATTATCAGTATAAAAGTACTATCATGTATGTGGTAGAATACAATATTTATTTATTGCGCTATCGTACACAAACATGACAATTTATATTACATTAAAAAAGTTTATTTCTAAGAAAACAGCTGTTATTTTGATATTGTTCATTTTATTTAATTTAAACAATCATACTGGTTGACTGGTAGAGAATGCCTATGGCATTAAGTCCGCCGTTTGCTTATGTTTGGCAATAAAGTTTAAATAAAATAAAATAAATAAATAAAAATCAACTTACATGAATCACGTTTAAGCGCACTTCGCGACATCTATTGTAAAGAAATCAACTTACATGAATCACATTGAAGCGACATCTATTGTAAAAAAATGCATTTTCTTCGCAATAAAGCTGCCACGTGGACGTCCTAGATAGACTTATTATTACAATACGGTAAAATAAAATATTACTATGTTTCGTCCAATATATTAAAAGTCAACAACCTTTCCAATTTTATTGTTTGTCATGATGAGATCAGCCCAAGTGTTTAACCTGACGCGAGTTTAACATTTTTCACCCATACAAAAAAAGTGTACAACGCCGCTAAAGAAGTTTTCACTTTAAAAAAATATCTATGCGGTATCGTGTCGTTTTGTTTTTCGAGTCGAATGGTTCGGCATTACTCGGCAGCCCACGATAGCACTCTGTACAGACAGCTATGTACCCGCTCATTAAAGAATCTGTAGCATTACAACTCGGTGAGGAAGCTTCCGCCGTTTAATAACATGCACTCCATCCATCCATCCATCAGCTTTTCTCCGTCCACTGCTGGACGTAGGCCTCCCCCATAGAACGCCACAATGCGCGGTCCTGCGCTATCCGCATCCAGCGGCTCCCAGCATATTTGACGATGTCGTCAGTCCACCTTGTTGGGGGCCGCCCCACGCTGCGTCGTCCGGTACGTGGTCGCCACTCGAGGACCTTTCTTACCCAACGGTTGTCAGATCCTCGAGCGATGTGGCCTGCCCATTGCCACTTCAGCGTGCTAATTCTTCGGGCTATGTCGTACACACCGGTCCTTCTACGGATCTCCGTATTTCGGATCTTATCACGTAAGGAAACACCGAGCATAGCCCTCTCCATAGCACGCTGCGCGACTCTGAGTTTTGTTATAAAGAATTCGACATAACGGAATGAGACCTAATGTCATATCATCATCATCATGTCAGCCGTATGACGCCCACTGCTGAGCATAGGCCTCCCTCAAGGATCTCCACACCGATCGGTCCTGCGCCACTCGCATCCATCGGCTTCCCGAATAATGTCATATGTTATGGGTGTATTAAGTAATATATATCAGTAAACTGGCCAGTGCTAATGACGTCATGAATCGCCGCTGTACTGGTGAATTGTCCCGAAATATATTGACCAGTGCACTGACGTCATAAATCGACGAAATATTAAAAATAGTGCGAATAAAGAAGATTTTTTTTTATTCACCTCTTCAATTAAAAGGTTTTTTTTGTTCGGATGCCATTTCTGTTCTTTAAGTAAAAAAGAAATAAAATTCGAATGCATCGCTCAGTCATACGTCATATTCGTTTTCCCGGTAAAAATATGGTAACATACCAGTACAATATGGCGTTGGATTCGTGACGTCGTTACCAATGGCTAGTATACTGATGTATATTTCGGAATACACCCTATGTATATGGGATATAAGAGGTAGTTTTTTCAGTTCCATAGTCTCGTCTAAGGTAATATTATGTTGCAAAAATCAAGCGGTTTAATGTGAACAATAAATGAAATATTTATTTTACTTTCACGTATTATTATCATAGGTACAATAATGTTGTCTTTTATTGTTCAGGCGTGGTGCGTTTCTCGAGCGAAACGCTTACAAGAAGCTCGAGCGTTGCACGAACTGGCCAGAGACGTCGCTCACGAGCGAGACTGGATATCGCTCAAGATGCAGGTCGCCACCGACCACAACTACAGGTACAACACTATGTACTTTATAGGTACAGAGCATCTAACGCTACAGATTTATTTATTTATGTATTTACTACACAGTATATTTACAGTGCTAAACCAAAACGTACACTGGTTAAAAAAAAACAAATCTAACAGCTAAACACTATGCATACAACTTAAATATGACGACCTCCTTGACCGAGTGGTTTATACGCCGGGTTTCATGGCGTCGCCGACTCGAGAGGTCCCGGGTTCGAATCCCGGTGGGGGCAGATGTTTGTGTGATGAACACAAGCATTTATACTCCAGTCATGGATGTTTAAATATGTATTTCTATATAAATATACTTATATATGTATAGTTTATGTATTCTATCCGTTACCCTAGCATCCCATAACACAAGCCTTATAGTGCTTACTTTGGGGCTAGGCTGATTGGTGTGAGTGTTGGAAATATTTATTTATTTATTTATATGACATTAAATAATAACAAAACACACATAATTTTTGGGATAATATGTCAGCCTCCGGAATTCGATCATGTACAGCGTTAAGCAAAGAGATTGCTCTCGAAGTCGGTGCATTTTGAGCTCGTCGCGTACGGACTCCCTTAAGCTCCGCAAAAACTTTTGTTCGTCTGCGTGGCGCCCCTACGTCGTTGCCCAACGCTCCGCTCATGTGTCTTTTCGGAACGACCAGTTTCATATTTGAAAGAACCACTGGATTGTCAACCTTATTATGGATGATCGCATGGAAATGCAAAGCCAAAGAGATTTTCCGACGCGAGGCGAGAGTATCCTGCCCCACCATACCAGATACAAACATAGATGGGTACATAAATGGATATTAACCATACAACCACTTATAAATATACCTGAGAAATTTGCTTTGTATCGTCTCAATCATATAATTGTATTTATGTTCATACGGGTCGCAAACAATCGCGTTGTATTCCAGTTTGCTTCTGACGTATGCATTATACAAAATTAAAGGTATTCTAACGTCGCTGAATTGTGAGCTTAATCTCATTACAAATCCCAAAATTTTATTCGCGTTTTTGCATATTTCCTCAATGTGTTTCCGGAAGTCTAGCCGCGAATCTAGTTTAAGCCCTAAGACCCGAATCTCACTCACAGTCTGTAGAGAATTAGCATTGAGCGTGTATAAAGTTAATCAACTTACTGGATCTGCTGAAAATCATAATACTACACTTTTGCTCATTAAATTGTAGACGGTTCTCAACAGTCCATTTGGCTACTGCATAAATATCTTGCTGCAGCAGTTCAGCATCCATATGATTACTGACACCCAAATAAAGCTTTAGATCATCAGCAAACATAAGACACCTAGCTGAAGCAACTACTTCGGGTAGGTCATTTATCATAATCAGAAATTGAGTAGGTCCCAGATTACTACCCTGGCTCACGCCTGAGCGCGTAAAATAATATTCCGATCGATATCCATCAATCTCTACATACTGCTTTCTATTTCTGAGATAACTAGCAAATAAATGCAGAAATTTTGGAGTGAATCCCATCGAGGCAAACTTTTCCAACAACACATCGTTATCCACTAAATCGAAGGCTTTTGGAAAGTGTACCATGTACCTTGTTTTTAGCGAGTCTCCGATATTTCGGCACTGTTGCAAGCGTTATGTTCAACAATAGGGTATTTGACAGTATTAAAAATAAAGTGCCAATTGTTAGCATCTGTGTTAAAATGCATATTGGCAGGGGTTTTCACTATTTTACAAAAAAAATATTCATAATTTTACTAAAAACCCACGAAAAAGATTAAACCCACGAAAAAGATATAATATATAACCCACGAATAGTTTTCTTATCTATTGTCACGTGTCCCAAAATGCTTGGGATTGGCGGAGCCTAAAATGACATCACATGCAAGTAAACTTACGGTTAAAGTGACATTACATTGTATCATTTGACGTTTTAATAACAGTCGTGTGACGTCACATACTAGTAAGACGCCATATTTCCCAGAAAAACGTTTAAGCGGCAACTTGAAAATGAAGTTTTTGATTTGGTTATTTTTACTGAAATACACAACCACTGAATATCCACTTTTCACGGACTCCGTAAACATTAGTCAATAACGTGAGATCGTTTTCTAAAACTTGTCAAATACCCTATTAACAAGCATAGTCACTCCGTGATCATGGCGCTTGCAACAGTGCCGAAATATCGGAAACGCGTTCTAAACAAGGGACCTTGTTTAAAACGCGTAAAAATAACATAAATTACTTTAATGTTCCAAAAGACTTGCCGGATCCATTCTCTTTGTTTATGATAGAAACGAATGACAGCAGAACTTACATTATTTATTTTTAAACAAATAACTGGTACATGTTTAAATCTAAAGAAAATATACTAGAAAAAATTCCACGCGGACCAAGCAGCAGACGGGACACGAACCCGCACCCTTCGCTATCCGAGCGAATGCACTGAAAATTATGCTACCGCTGCCCTGATGGCCGTGTGGAATTTTCTCTAGCTTTAGGCTATCCCGTCTCCTGCCTGGTCCGCGTGGAATTCTTTCTAGTATATTTTTCTCAAATCAAATCATCTTTATTGCGAATACAGGTTGCAAAGTTGATACACAGATACATTTTAGTACAGTACAGCCATATTCTGCCTTATCGGCATGCAATATAATATTTCTATAAAACATTAATTATTTCAATGTCACATTAATAAATTTAACATAGTTTAAAAATGTCAATAAGCGATAAATATAAGATTGGAATTATTTTATGCATGTCATTTTCTATACTTAGTCTAAAAACTTTTGTCTTCCAAAAATTCACGGACCGTATAGTAACATTTTTCTATTAAAAAATGTTGTAATTTGTTTTTAAATATATTGGTCACGGTAATTTCTCGCACACTTTCAGGTATTAATTTACTATAGATATAAGGAGCATTGCAATACACACTTTTCCTAAATAGTGCCGTATTACAGGGGACTACACAAAGTTTTCCAATATGACGTCTCTAGAATGATAACTTATTTACCTATTCATATGTCCGTTTATCAGGAAGCTGTCTAACGACCAAGCAGCAGACGAGACACGAACCCGCACCCTTCACTATCCAGGCAAATGCACCGACCATTATACTACCGCGGTCCTGATGGCCGTGTCGAATTTTCTCTAGCCTTAGCCTTACCCATCTGCTGCCTGTTCCGCGTGGAATTTTTTCTAGTATATTTTTCTCTAGAATGATAACTTATTTACCTATTCATTTGACCGTTTATCAGGGAGCTGTCTAACTTGCAAACGAAGATACAGAAGCACACTGCTTTCGAATCCGAGCTGGCGGCCAACAAAGGACGTATTGACGCTGTCGCTAACCAGGGGGAGGAATTAATAGGTTTGTAATTTAAATAACGATATTAAATAGCCTTTTTTTTATTGCGCAGGCAAAACCTTGAGGAGCTCGATGGCGCAACTGGTTAGCGCGTTTGCCTGCGATCGTTGAAGTTAAGCAACTTTCGCAGTGGTCGGTCATTGGATGGGTGACCAGAAATTTACTATCTCGAGCTCCTCCGTGCTTCGGAAGGCACGTTAAGCCGTTGGTCCCGGTTGCATCCGCAGTCGTTAGTATCCACCAATCCGCACTGGGCCCGCGTTTTGGGTCATGGCTCAATCTCCCTATTCCATCCATAGGGAAGGCCTGTGCCCCAGCAGTGGGGACATTATTAGGCTGATGATGAGGCAAAACCTCTATTTACAGATGTTGATGCCCTTAAGGGGCACATCAACGAACAGACCTCACCTCACAGCTAGCCTAGTCTGAACGGAAAAGCCGTGAAGCAGTCCGTGCGGCTTACGAGCGCTTGCGACATACTATCCGCTAAAAAACCCTGCAAATACCCTCTACACTGTTAAGTGCGGAACCGAGGGATCTCCTGTGAGGTCACTTCACAGCGTCTTTGATTTTAAAGGCTTACGCAGACCGGGACGGCATGGCAAGGGATTTGGCCGTGAGTCAGCGCACACTGGCCGCTTAGATACCGCGGCATTCCAGCACTATGCCACGGCATGCCACTGCTGCCCGATACACTTTTAGTCTCCAGTTGCGTTTGATCGAGTGTTGGTGTGCCTCAGTTTTAAAATGGTAGATTGGGATTTGGTGTTGATATCGATTATTGCAGATGAAGAAGTAGGTGCGTAGGCTAATAATAAATACCGCAGTATGCCATGGCATCCCGCCACGGGAGCCTGTGGCACGTCTTTTAATGCCGTGCGATAAAATCCCTTTCAATGCCGTGGCATCATTTTAAAGCATAGCAATTTATGTCGTATTTCTGTAACGGTACGGTTGAATGTCCATTAGTTAAAATTTTAAATCCCTTGCCATGCCGTCCCGGTCTGCGTAGGCCTTAAATACCCTAGATACAACAACACCGACTAAATAGTGCCCGAAACCTGTCCAAAAGGTACATTGGACGATCCACGGAGCTCCGTAAGATGATCACGTAAAGTCAGGCCACGATAACTCTACAGTGGATTGATAGTAGCAGAAATTAAAACTTTGCACATGGCAGTACTGAATATGGTTTAATTAACTATCCCTGATATTTTATTTTTAATCGACTCGAATCTTATAGCTCGTTGAATAGTTAGTTTATCACAAACTTGGTGGAATGATTGTAACAACATGAACATGACACATCGACATTCATTATGATCATAAATCCTCTAAATTTGACAATTGTTTTCATCTAAGTATTTTTTTTATTTTTAATAAAATTGGATTTTATCTTGTTTTGGATATAACTCTTAAAAAATAGATGTAACAGAAATCATTTAGATTTTTTGATATTCTGAAAAACTATTTAACTTCTCGTATTGGATGTTGGTAAGAATTATATATTGTCTGTTTATAAAGTTTTCATTAGTTAGGGTCAAATAAATAAACACAGATTTAAAAAGCATTTAATAAAGTAGTTTATAAATAAAATTACACCAAATTTATAAAGGCGAAGGTCCGTGAGTGTGTATGTTAGTTACTTTTGTATGTCTAAACGGCTGGAGCGATTTTAATAAAATTTAGTATGGAGTTAGCTGACTGGCTGGATTAACACATAGGCTACGTTTTAATGTGGGAAAATATCCGTATTAATCGCTGGTAACACCGCGTGGCACAGCTAGTTAGCTAATAATTTCATACATAGAAAATAAAATTTCACTACTCGTTCAATGATGTATCTAAACGCCCAATAAAAGTCTTTCGAAGGTAGCTCGGCAAAAGTAAATAAAAATCATAATTCTGACGACGCAGCCTGAAAAGGATGCGAAACGTCAAAAAAGTTATAAAAAGACGCATTTTTAACGCAATGGTGTCGATTCTGACGTGATTCTCTAAACTTAAAACTAAATTTAACATCAGTCTCTCATTTTCATTCTGTATAGAGAATGACAAGGATACACTGTTGTCAAGTTTAAGTTTAGATTTAGAGAATCGTGCCAGAATCGACACCAATATGTACCAATAAAATGAGTCTAAAAATCTGCTTGGCTGATAGTTAATAAATGATTCTGACATGATTCTCTCAAGCTAAACTTAAATTTGCGAACAGTGTATCCTTGTCATTCTCTATACAGAATAAAAAGAAGACACTCATGTAAAATTATGTTTTAAGTGTAGAGAATCATGCCAGAATCGACACCAATGTCTTCTTTACTAAACTTTATCTATATAATCTCCTTCACAACAGAAGCGAAACACTACGCGTCATCAGAAATATCCCAACTACTAGAACTGCTGGAGTCCGAATGGCGGGAACTTCAAGAAGCTGCCAAACTGAAGAGGGAGAGGTTGCAAGAAGCTTATCAGGCCAGGGTTTACCTGCGAGGGTTGGCAGACTTCACCGCGTGGCTGGATGAGGTGGAAGCCCAGCTGCTGAGCGAAGACCATGGTAAGTAGACTGCTCTTATGGGAGGGAAATATTACAGAAAGGGTGTGCCTAAACATCACTTGCCGTTTCAAGACACGGCATTACCAGCGGGCCTTCTCAAAAGTATGGAAAGCCTGCATCGCACTTACGAAATTCGGATACAATACAATATATACAGACGGGCGACGTCCTCGAACTAAGATCACCCAGTTCGGAGGAGGATCTTCACTTTAGACCTTTCTACACTTCGATTGGCTGTTCAGCGAAAACCATGCTTAGTAACCTTGTCTTATGAAAGGGAGTGGTTACAAGAAGCATTGGTATTAGCGTGCAAGACACGTAGTTATTAGTATACCTAAGAGCGAGGTTACAGGAAGCTGTGTGGAAATAGAGGAAAGAAATCGCTTGTCTTCTCAAGAGATGGTATTACCAACAGCACACTCAATGGTATGAAAGTTCTACATCGCGCTAACGAAAGTCGGAGGCAGTTCTTTCCTACTAAAAAAAAAATAAGAAAATTAGACTTATAATGCGATTCAAATAAGAATCAAATAAAAAAGCCAATGACCTCCATCTGTCAAATGTCGCCTGAAAAGTACGGTTTGCAAAAAAAACTTTTTTTAGCACAGCTAATTCTAGAATAAAGATCAAACATTTTTAAACAAACAATAACAAATATTGATAATTAATATTGATTGATATTTTTCTTTCATTTACTGAGCTTTGGCCATGAATGGTTGATAACCTAAATCGTCAAATTAGCTGTTTTTTTTTCAATCTCAGTAAATAAATTTTATTAAAAAAATCTGATGTTATTTCTCACTTAATCTTAGTAAATAAGTTTTATTAAATAAAATCTTTTTTTTGCTTACTCTACCTATTTCGTTTGAATTGACAGCTATGACGTCACAATATGGAGCCCAGGCGGTCCGATTCTTAGTTGAATCGCATTATATAGCCTTTATTTTTATCGGACATGTCAACGTCTTCACGGTCTCTAATTTTCAACCGATTTCAAAACAAACATTAGGAGGCTTACCAACTGGACTGTATTTTTGAAGTGAAACATCTTTACGCACGTTTGACTTGGTGTGTGTGACGAAAAGTGTGTTCGGGCGAGGCGAACGGGAGTTGAGTGGGGGATATAGATTTGACGACCTCCGTGGTCGAGTGGTTTGTACACCGGGTTTCATGGTGTCGCCAACTCGAGAGGTCCCGGGTTCAAATGCCGGTGGGGGCAGATGTTTGTATGATGAATACGAGCATTTGTACTCCAGTCATGGATGTTTTATATACATATCTATAAAAATATATTTATATATGTATAGTATATGTATTCTATCCGTTACCCTAGTATGCCATAACACAAGCCTTATAGTGCTTACTTTGGGGCTAGGCTATTTGGTGTGAGTGTTGGAAATATTTATTATTATTACTATTATTTTATATAAGCAAGAGAAAGCAGTGCGTGCGCACATTTTCTTTCTCTCTTTCTCTATAGCTAGTAAATGAAATAGTATATGTAGCTAAAGAAGTTTCACTTCAGTCGTGTGGTCATAAGCACTGTTTTTTTTTGTTTCGCGATTTCTTAGCCAATGTGTCATAATTCGAAATTAGTTTAATAAAAAAAAATCTTGTATTTCTCTATCAGGCAAGGACCTTTCCTCCGTGACCGCTCTCCTGAAACGCCACAGCCGTCTCGAGCAGCAAGCTTCTGGCAAAGCGGACGCGGCTTCACAACTAGCGGATACAGCGCGACATCTAGCGGACGGCGGGCACTTTATGGCTGAACAAATCCTAGCGGACGCAGACGGTGCTGTTAATAGGTAACTATGTATTTTAATTACATCATCATCAGCCTATTAATGTCCCCACTGCTGGCACAGGCCTTCCCTATGGATGGAATAGGGAGATTGGGCCAAGACCCACCACGCGGGCCCAGTGCGGGTTGGTGGGTGCTAACGACTGCAGATGCAGTCGGGACCAACGGCTTAACGTGCCTTCCGAAGCACGGAGGAGCTCGAGATAGTAAATTTTTCGGTCACCCATCCAATGACCGACCACTGCGAAAGTTGCTTAAATTCAACGATCGCAGCGGAACGCGCTGACCACTTGCGCCATCGAGCTCCTCACTGTCCTACTGTTTTTAATTACATAATCATCATTATTTATTTATTTATTCAGTTTCACATGCTGGTTTACAGAGCTAGTCCAACACACCAACAAGTCAATGCAATGCAATACAGAAACATTCATTATATAGAAATAGTCATAAGTGGAATCACAATTAAAAATTCAAAATTAAAATAAACATACATTAAACTCAACGAAGTTACAGAATCAAAAATGTCAATCAGATACAATTGAAAACGTGAAACCAATAAATAAATTACAAATTAAAATAAACTAGAAAATGCATAAGACCGATCAAAATAGTAGATTATTAACCAAGGGGATAAAGCAGTGTCTTCTGTCGCGGGTGACGATTTAAATCGCGAGCGTAACGAAGGACTCGAGGCTCTGTAAAAAAACGAGCAAGATAAGACGAGCCCTGAGTGTAGCGAGGGATTTAAGTTTACCCAAGACTAAGACAGTTTTATCACCGAGGAAAATACTCTACTTTTCGTACCATTTGCGAAAAAAATAACACATTAATAATATGAGATAAGCATTTATTAAAAATAATGACAATTAAAAGTAAAAGTTAACATTCGAAACATTGGTACAATTAAATACGGCCTCGTCGGTTTTTGTAATTTTATTTAATAATCATAACTGCATAATAAATGCGTATTCCTTTTTAAAAAGATGTATTATGCTTTATAAACAAACTCAATGGTGTAAACACAGATGTAGTTCAGTATAAACGGTGGTAAGTATTCCAAAGGACAATGGGCAAAACGCACCCACCTCCGCCAACAATGTAATTAGTATGAATCGATAGATCTATGAAAAACTAGCCTTTTTTATTATGACACCGAAAAAAAATATCCTGGTAGTCAAAAGATATGACACATGGGCATATTTAAGTAAGTAAATAAATTCATTTATAGTGCCTTCATTTTATATATATATATATATATATATATATATATATATATATATATATATATATATATATATATATATATAAAATAAAGCATAATACATATATATATATATATATATATATATATATATATATATATATATATATATATATAATAATAATATGCCATATCGTACTATACAACCAGATATACGACAAAGTCTGCTAATCTATCCTGCGCTTGCACTTACTGAGCCACCTCAAAACGGTTTACGGGGGTTGAAGGACTTGCATTTGCAATTAGTCATCTCGGCTTACTTCGTTGTAATTGTGCGCTCCCTGTCACTTTATTGGTTTTTATCTAACACGCTTTGGACATTGGAACACGGTTATCGGTTTTGTCAATTAGTATGGATGAACTGGAATCATGTTTTCTCCGAAACGTGGACAAGGTTGGGTGATTTGTGGACGCTCCGTTTTACAAAGAAGACAATTTACTATAACGAACAGAATATTTGAAAAAATCCCATCCCATGCGGGGATTTTTGGTTTTACTCTAGTGCTGCAGAATAACATAAGGGCACTCTTGAACCTTGTGAAGTACTCCCATAATATCTGAGCCCCTATGTAGTGTCGAATTAACTAACGAAATTAATTCCCTTGTTTCATTAATGTTCGTTCGTTATAGTACTTGTACCTATTTAACTTAAAATAACTTAAGACTACCGGGATAGAATTTGATGCGCTTTGGCACAGATGATCATGACTATAATACCTTTCAAACAAATGTAGTTTGAGCCGTGGCGGACGTGGGTGCAGCGTCCATACATTTTTGCCCAATGTCCTTTAAATCACATTCTCCCCCTAGAGGATGAATGAAATTCAGTACAATTTTCTTTCCCTGTTTTTAACAAATTAAAAATCACTATTGTTATGTTCCTTTGTTGTGGCATAGAATGTCACTTTTTTGAGCAAGTGGTACGAAAACATTATTTTGAATATCAAATGTAATTTGATTGAAAGAACATTATTATTTAAGCATTACAGATTAAGACCCAGAATCTAAAATCTGGCGAGCCATGGTAATTAATGTCCCTAGACCATCAGCAAACAAGTCCAAGTGATCGTATTGAGCGAGCATGTCCCCGATCAGATTTAGATTCAGATTAGAACATTACTGTCTTTACTTATATTAGAATACTAGCGGCCCGCCCTCGCTTCGCTTCGGTGTAGAGCTGAAGTGTAGACTAAAAACTGTAGTTCTCAGGCTTGTATGATATTCATCTATGATTCTTCTTATACCTGCCTGCAAAGTCTCAGCCCAATCGGTTTAAAATTGACAAAGTTTCATACAAAGTTTCATTCCCTATTTTATCCCCTTGGGGGTAGAATTGATCAAAATCCTTTCTTAGTGGATGCCTACGTTATAACATCTACCTGCATGCCAAATTTCAGCCCGATCCGTCCAGTGGTTCGGGCTGTGCGTTGATAGATCACTATGTCAGTCAGTCAGTCACCTTTGAGTTTTATATATATATATATACTCCCGGACACATCTATCGGCCTACTTAGTGTTATTAGAAGTTTCAACGGTTTGTAGTAAAAAAATATTGTTATAGTGGAACAATAATTTTAAAAACACACAAAAAGATGGTTAGTAAATCAGCTTCAAAACTGCATAGGTGATAACTTTTTGCTCAATATAACACTAGTTTTTAGCTAGGGACCATCAAATCTTAAAATGGTAGATGGGCCGAAATATGTGTCCGGAAGTGTATATATATATATATTATCACTCAAATGCCATTTGTCATTCGATGAACAGAGCCAAAACATGGAGTAACTAATCTAAGTTTATTCTTTATTTATTTATTTATTTATTTACTAATTTAGTACACACACAATAAAAAAGATAGATAGTTTATTCTTTGTTTATTAATAAGAGTGTTTGTGTGGAAAAATGAGATTGGTCCCCTCCCCCCCTTTTCACCCTCTAAAATGATGATTTCTGGGATGAAAACTACCCTATGTCCTTCCCCGGGGCTCAAACTATGTTAATACCAAATTTCATATAAAACGGTTCAGCGGTTTAAGCGTGAGAAGGTAATATACAGACACACTTTCGCATTTATGATATTAGTATAGATATCAGCATTATGAGGTAAAGTGGACGCGGCCTCACAACTAGCGGATACGACGCGACATCTTGCGGACAGCGGGCACTTAATGACTGAAATTTATTAAGTAAATATGTTTTATAGAGAGATTCTCGACTGCTGGGCACATGCTTTTTGTACGGATGCAGTTTGGTCCTTCGAGCTGGGTGAAGAATTGATATGGTATTGTTCATCACTCAACAATCTGATTTAATATAATATATGAGATACATTGTGTTTTCATGCGATTGCCAAGTCAATTTATTTATTTAAAACATACAAGGTTTTTAATATTGATATGGTCAGTATGAGATGTTGTTAGGTGAGCTAATTTCGTAATAACTCAAGACAGAAGGTACCTTAAGTAGGGACTGAATAAATTAATGGTAATGGCATAACATGGATCCACTACTTTTGACGGTAGAAGAAGTAGGACTGAGTTGCGAGACTTGGTGTATGCGCTACTGGTTCGTGTGCTGAAGGGTGTAACGGGAGAAGAGGGATAAGTAAATTAATGGAAGACTCACCAGTTCACCAACATTCAGCTGCGAAATAAGTACCTCAGATTGTTCAGCACTTTCTTAATACGAGTGGCCACTCGAAATACACAGTTTTTCTTCTACAAAACACTAACACGATGTGCACAGCACGTACAGAGCACCAAGGATTGTATTCTTATCCTTTTTGGAGTTTGACGACGAATGTAATGTTAAATGTGTGATGATAGTTCAAACACTAACGGTGAGGCGAGTACTGGAGGGGAAGCCAATTTATGGCCCAGGATCGGGGTCTGATGGTCTTGCAGTGTCAGATACTACTATCAGATACTACCATCAGATACTATTAGTTCTTTATGTTTGCATAATTTAACATAAGAAGAGGATAGAAAGCCTCTCTTGAGTTTGTTTCGCTGGTTCTTCGCAGGAAGGTCTCCCAATTTTGGAACCGGTGGTAGTTTACAGTAGTTAGGGTCAAATAAATAAACTCAAAATTACAAACAAGAATTTTAAATAAAATACTTTATTAAGTAAATTAAATAATAAATTCATACATAGACAATAAAACTTAAAAATCGAACAATGAAATAACCAAACGCTCAATAAAAGTCTTTCGAAGGTAGCTCGACAAATTAAATAAAAGTTTTATTCTGACGACGTAGCCTGTAAAGACTACGAAACGTCAATAAATAAATCAAGTTTTCGTGCATTAACCCGTAAAAACTAGTTTTATTTAATGAGTGATGTGCGTGAAAACCTAAGAAACAAATATATATATATAATCACATTCAGAATCCCAAAAAGGGTCGAAAAGAGCTTCAAGTAATATTTGGTTACACATAAAGCCTCGTCTGGCAGTATGGACCATTGATATTTAATAATTACTGTAATTTGGCGTAAACACTTGGTTTTTTCACAAGTTATGTTTTTGATGGCTTCACTTAAAACGGAGTGGTAACACCTACCAAACTCGTAGCAGCAATGTCGCCGTACTCATAAATGTTGCTTGATATTTTCACTGTTCGTTCATTACATCTTATACGTCTCTTGTGGCAACATTAAAGGACACCCGGCATTTTGTGCCAAAGTTGTATACTTTTTTAATTTTTTTATTTGTGTTTCATAATTGGGTAACGTAGTCTGGCAATATTTGTCATCAGCAGCTAGCTGTCAATGTCAAATAAGTAGGTTTGTCACCAAAAGGGTTTCTATATCAATAAATATTAATCATTAAATAACTTCTTTCCACGATTCACTAAAAATAAGGCAAAAGTAGTTTTATGTAGCAAATAATTTTGGCTTTATTTTGAGACCAAATTCAACTGTATACAAGTTTAGCATTTTTTCTATGAAAAGTGCCGGGTCTCCTTTCTATCAATAATTAAATCCATCAAAATTCAATGTGAATTTATTTCTAAAAGTAAATTCCATCACGCTAAGAAGGCGTGAACACAGAGCGCTCGAGCGTATTAAATATAATAAATACATTCTGTTAAAACTAACTTTGATTTTGAATCTTCTAAGATAGTTGAAAGTAGAATCAGTTTCAAAATCAGCCGCGTTAAGTCGTCATGGTGTGTAATGTAATGACAATTTTTTTCCATCATCATCATCATCACCAGCCTATTAATATCCCAGCTGCTGGGGCACAGGCCTGCCTTATGGATTGAATAGGGAGATTGGGTCATGATCCATCACGCGGGCCCAGTGCGGATTGGTGGGTGCTAACGACTGCACATGCAGCCGGGACCAACGGCTTAACGTGCCTTGTGAAGCACGGAAGAGCTCGAGATAGTCAATTTTTGGTCACCCATCCAATGACCGACCACTGCGAAAGTTGCTTAACTTCAACGATCGCAGCTGACCGCGCTAACCACTTGCGCCATCGAGTTCCTCAAAATTTCCAAGACCGTGTATATTTATTTGTGTATTGTATTGTCTTAGATATCGTCAGCTGCAAGAGCCTATGTCCATTCGTCGCGATAACCTGGAAGATGCAGCGCTCTTATACCGTTGGGAGAGAGATGCCGACGAAGAGACCAGATGGTAAGAAATTGACGTGTTAATTGAAATCAAATAAATGAAATTAAAAAACCTATACTCGCCATCATTAAGAAAACTATAAATTTTTAAAAAATGCAATAAATATAATGTTACACAAAAAAATTGCACGCACGCACGCGCGCGCACACACACACACACACACTCACACACACACACACACACACACACACACACACACACACACACACACACACACACACACACACACACACACACACACACACACACACACACAAGTAGTCGTGTGCCGCTCGTGACGCATTTTCGTTTCATCTTTTCCAAAGGTTTTTTCTATTTACACCCCCGTCGAAAAGAACTTCCATTTCAAAAATGTAATATATCTAAAACGGCCAATCAATACCCTGCCTCAGCTCAAGCTAATTAAGTTTTTCCTTACAAAGGTGTTAAGTTTATTTACTAACAGTAATGTTTTGTATTTCTAGATAAGTATAATGTTACGATCACTTGACCACGGGATTGCTATGGCTATCGGTTTCGTTATACGATTGTTTTGCTTTTGCATCGGTAATCTTTTTATTTCACTTTAATGGCAATTCTTTAATCTTCAGTAGGATTTGACTTCTAAGTTAACTATATAAAGAAAATAATTTGAGCGTAAGGTATTTGAAAACTGTAAGCGATAGCGATAGCCTTAGCATTACCGTTAGGCGTATTATAAATTTCCAACGCCCTCTTCTCCTTCTTAAAGGGTGACATCTAGAATAAAAACTAACCTATGTTATTTCCCAGATCTCAAGCTATAGATATCAATATTTAACTCTAATCTGTTCAATGGTTTAAGTGTGATGAGGTAACAGACAGACAAACAAACTTTCGCATTTATAAATTTGTAATTGCTTCTCCATATAAGCTTTTATAATGGAAAAATATCACAAATTTCTGCTTGACTGATTGATACGCTATTAGCAATATTCATATTTACCAAACTGTACGGTCAGGTTGAAAGAACGCGAAATGGCTGTGCAGTCTGAAGAGTGGGGTTCGACTCTGGCCGAAACTCAGGCTTTGCTCAAGAAACATCTGGCTGTGGAGGCGGAGATCATTGCAAGGTAAAGTTATGGGTAGGGTAAGGTAGAATATGACTAAATTAATGAACTAAAAAGCGTAGAATATTTAAAAAATAAAAGGTAAGGCTAAAGGTAGATGAGGGTAGAGTAAGGTAGATGAGGGTAAAATAAGGTAGATGAAGTAAAGTATTAAATTGTATATTAAAGATGAGGGTAGGTGGGTAGGGTAAATGATGAAAGAACAATTGTTCAGATAGGGTGATCATGTAAAGCAAGGTGTATATAGAGGGAATGAAAGAAAATAAGATTGTTTAATCAGGTGCGGTTCCGAATCCCGTGTGCTGCCTGGTCCGCGTGTAATTTTTTCTATTTTTTTTTTAATTTATATATATTTTTTTTATTCTAAAGAAAAGTTTACTAGAAAAAATTCCACGCGGACCAACCAGCAGACGGGCCTCGAACCCGCGAATGCACTGACCATCATGCTACCGCGGCCCTGACGGCCGTGTCGAATTTGCGCTAGCCCTTCTTAAGCTGCTAGGCAGCGCCATCTCTTCGCATTGTAGGTAACCAAAACAGAGCCGCCGTAGCAGAATGATCAGTGCATTCGACCGTATAGCGAAGGCTGCGGGTTCCAGTCCCGTCTGCTGCCTGGTCCGCGTGGATTTTTTTCTAGTAAACTTTTCTTTAGATTTAATTATCTAGCAGTTAAATGCTTAAAAAATTAATATGTATTTATTCATTATTTATTTACAATAGAGAGGCGACAATCCAAGCAGTTTGTAACCGAGCATCTCAGCTCTGCCGACGAGGTCACTTCGCGTCTCAGACTTTGGAGAACAGCTCCAGGAATCTACAAGCTGCGTACAAAGCCCTGCAAGATAATGCTGCCTCCAGGACTACGAGGCTGCAGCAGAGATGTGAAATGCTGCAGGTGTGTGTGGATTTTTTAACATATTTATTAATTTATTTAAATTTTTATTGCACAAATAAGTGTACAAGTGGCGGACTTAATGCCATTAGGCATTGTCTACCATTCAAACGGAGAATTGTAGCAAAGATCTTGAGAAGGTAGTGCAAATAGTACATTACGATACGCGTGACCTAAGTTGCCTATTAATAAACGCCGTGCAGTAATAGACAACTTAGGTCACAAGTATCGTATACTATTTTATAGCAAGTGTGACATAAACCCGCCCCGGACGCGGGCAAGAGGAGGGGTTCATTATACGCTGCTGTATACAGCCGTTTCGATTTTTGGGGCAACAAATTCAATGTCACCGACTTCGCCACTTCTTTAATTGCGTCCGGAACAATTTCACCGTTCTCGTATTCGCTTAGGTCACTATCCGAACTGGCCATTTTCGACCAAAAGATACAATTCTCGCGGAATGAATTATAGCTAACCGTTTCTCCTTGTTTTGGCTGTCACTGAAAATACCTAACCTATCGCTAATTTGTCATTTGTTTGCTGTGAGTTTTTAAGCTCCAAATGACATTTAAATGTGTTTCCTTTTATTTTTTCTACATGAGTGAAGTTGGTCAATTCATTTACACACCGTGCAGAAATAGGCAACTTAGGTCACGGAAAAGCATGCGTAAAGTGCGGGTTTAGGTCACACTGTGCAATAAAATAATTTATCAAATTGTTTTAGTAATTAAAAGTATAGCTATAGATACAAATAGGAGGAGCTCGATGGCGCAAGTGGTTAGCGCGTTCTGCTGCGTTCGTTGAAGTTAAGCAACTTTCGCAGTGGTCGGTCATTGGATGGGTGACCAAAAATTTATTATCTCTCGTTCCTCCTTGCTTCGGAAGGCACGTTAAGCTGTTGATCCCGGCTGCATCTGCAGTCGTTAGCACCCGCCAATCCGCACTGGGCCCGCGTGGTGGGTCATGGCTTAATCTCCCTATTCCATCCCTAGGGAAGGCCTGTGCTCCAGCAGTGGGGACATTAAAAGGCTATGGATAATGATAGATACAAGATAATATATATGTTTCACAGTTATTATCGGAGATATCGGAAGCCGAGGCGTGGTTAAGTGAACGCGCAGCCTCCCTATCTTCGGAGGAAGTCGGTCGCGACGAGGAATCGACCTTAGCTCTCTCCCGACGACTGCACGCACTACAAGCACAGTTACGAGCGACGGATGCTACGCTTGCTAGTCTGAATACACGGGCTACTGCATTAGCGGTTAGTATTACTACACTACAATAAACAGAACTTTTTTTTCTATATACAATACACTTCACTGTATATATTCAACACTATACTACTAACAATATTATTAAAGGCAATAAAATTTTTAAAATCTTCCAATGAAATATCCGAACGCTCAATAAAAGTCTTTCGAAGGTAGATCGACAAAGTAAATAAAAAAAAAATCTGACGGTTCAGGTATCCGAAAAGGCTGCGAAACGTCAATAAATAAATAAAGTTCGTGCATTAACCCGTTAAAACTAAAAAAATTACTTATAATATCGCTACATATGAACCGATTTCGATGATATAAAATGTGTATTAATTAAAAAGCTTATTAAACCATAATACTGTTGATTTTAAGTTGTTTTGCTTACCTCATTTATGAAACTTTAAATGGTCACATAAGTAAAACGAAAATATTGTCAAGTGGAAGGTGTTTTTGGTTTAATTTAGTTTTAATTTTAGACTCCTAACCAACGATATTAAATACCCTAGATACACCACGTGTGCCCAAAATGTGTCCCTATATAGCTGTCTCCTTTCCTCGCGGTCCTTACCTGCTATATTGCTAACAGTGCATTCAGAATTGCGCGTAGAGTCAGATAAATAAGGTCAATATTCTTCCGCATATAACAATAAGTCGTAAAATTTTACGAGCTTATATATCAGACTGTCATAACTCTTTGACGCATGCGTTTTAATTAAGACCTTATACAGTGTCCTTTAAAGGTGGTTTTCAATGTTTAAATGATGCCTTTTATTCGTTACGATCATCTTACGGAGCTCCGTGGATCGTCCAATGTACCTTTTGGACGGGTTTCGGGCATGATTTTGTTCGTGTTGGTGTATCTAGGGTATTTCATATCGTTGCTCCTAACCCTATGATATGTATCCCTGGTTTTACATAAATTTATTTTTCTGTACAACAGACGCGAGATCCCACGGAACGCGCGCTCATAGACAAACGTCTCGCGGAACTGAAGGCCGCGTACGAGAACAGCACTTTGTTATCCGCACAACGCGACCAGAGACTACAGCAGAGCCTCAAGTATTACAAGTAAGGACCATTCATTATATTATCTGAAGAAAATTTTACTAGAAAAAATTCACGCGGTCCAGGCAGCAGACGGGACTCCAACTTAGATTTGCTGTGTCGAATTTCTTCTAGTATGTCGTTATTGTAGGTAACTCACAATACAAGTACGATGAATTATATACCAGCAATTATTCAATAGGCTTATAGGCTTATATCGGCGCTCTTACCTACTGAGCTAACGAGTCGAGCTCAGTGCCCTAGCAGTGGGGACATTAATAGGCTGATGATGATGAATTATTCAATTATTGGTGTCGATTCCTGTATGATGCATCATCAGCCTATTAATGTCCTCACTGCTGGGGCACAGGCCTTCCCTATGGATGGAATAGGGAGATTGGGCCATGACCCACCACGCGGGCCCAGTGCGGATTGGTGGGTGCTAACAGCGGCAGATGCAGCCGGGACCAACGGCTTAACGTGCCTTCCGAAGCACGGAGGAGCTCGAGATAGTAAATTTTTGGTCACCCATCCAAAGATCAACCACTGCGAAAGTTGCATAACTTCAACGATCGCAGCCGAACGCGCTAACCACTTGATGCTATCCGGTATGATTCTCTAAACTTAAAACTAAATTTAACGTCAGTCTCTCCTTTTCATTCTGTATAGAGAATGACAAGGATGCACTGTTGTCAAATTTGAGTTTAGGTTTAAAAAATCATGCAGATTCGACACTATACTATATACACTATACTACACTATACTATCAACCTTTTTATTGTTAGGGCAGATGCTTTTCCCGTGGATAGAACAGCAAGAACATGTTATAAATAATCCGCAAGCCCAATCCGCACTGGGCCCGTGTGGTTGCTCATTGCCCAATCTGTCTATTTCATCCAGAGTGAAGGCCCCAGCAGTGGGGACATTATTAGGCTGTAGATGATGAAAATTTTGGACGACCTCCGTGGCCGAGTGGTTTGTATGCCGGGTTTCATGGTGTTGCCGACTCGAGAGGTCCCGGGTTCGAATCCCGGTGGGGGCAGGTGTTTGTGTGATAAATTCGAGCATTTGTACTCCAGTCATGGATGTTTAATATGTATCCCTATATAAATATACTTATATATGTACAGTATATGTATTCTATCCGTTACCCTAGTATCGCATAACACAAGCCTACAGTGCTTACTTTGGGGCTAGGCTAATACGGTATTTGACAGTGTTAAAAATAAAGTGCCATATGTTAGCATCTGTGTTTAGAATGAATATTGGCAAGGGTTTTTACTATTTTTACAAAAAAAATATTCATAATTTTACTAAAAACTAACGAAAAAGATAATAGTTTTCTTATCTATTGTCACGTGACTCAAATCGCTTGCGATTGGCGGAGCCTAAAATGACGTCACACGCAAGTAAACTTCCGGTTACAGTGACATGACATTGTATCGTTTGACGTTTTAATAACAGTCGTGTGACGTCACATACTACTAAGACGCCATATTGTCCAGAGAAGCGTTTTCGCGGCAACTTGAAAATGGAGTTTTTGATTTGGTTCTTTATACTGAAATACACAACAGAATTATGAATATCCGAATATCAATAACGTGAGATCGTTTTCTAAAACTAACTTGTCAAATACCCTATTGGTGTGAGTGTTGGAAATATTATATATATATTATTTTATTAAAATGATGCGTTGATTCCACCCAGGTTCGCTCAAGAATGCTCGGAAGTCCAGGAATGGATCGGGGAACAGATGGCCACTGCTGCCAGCGAGGAGTACGGAGTGGATGTGGAGCACGTGGACACATTGCAGCAGGCGTTTGACAACTTTTTGGCGCAATTGCACGGTCAGTAATACGGTTAGCACGTTCGGCTGCGATCGTTGAAGTTAAGCAACTTTCGCAGTGGTCGGTCATTGGATGGGTGACCAAAAATCTTCTATCTCGAGTTCTCCGTGCTTCAGTAGGCACGTTAAGCCGTTGCTCCCGGCTGCATCTGCAGTCGTTTGCCGCCAATCCGTATAGGGTCCGCGTGGCAGGTCATGGCCCAATTTCCCTATTCAATCCATAGGGAAGGCCTGTGCCCCATCAGTGGGGACATTAATAGGCTGATGATGATAGTATGTAGAACCTCCCAAACTTATTTTATCTACCGCCCACTTTAAGAATAATTTAGTTTTGAGCGATCTCATTTTTTTCAACTACTCAAAAACCACTTCAAATTGAATTAATTATTGTGAGCTATATTAGTGAAGATTAAACCTTCATTCTAAACGAAACTTTTGTTATAAGCGCAAGAGTAAACTTGCTATCTGGAGCTTTACTCTCTTTCTCCGCAGCGAAATTTCGGTAACGAAAGAATTTGAAACGAAATTTCGCCACTGACTCTATCTTGTCTATTTTATTTTCGAACAGGCACATAAAGTTCGGAACCACAAACAGTATTCGTGAACGAATGGAATGAGTCACATTTGTGAGTTCTTTTTATCTCTACTTTTGAGATTTCTTTTTTTTACTTGGAAACAACATAGGTAGTTTACGGCAAAATTTTTGATGACATTGAAAGAACCTTCTTTGACAGTGTCAGCCGACTAATTTGTAGAGATTGTATCAACAATCTATTTTATGTCAACCTAAATTTGTCGTTTAATACTTTGAAGTATTGGAATTACAACAATTAAAAAAAAAGACTTTTATTGATTTTACATGCTAAAAAATGTTCCTCGATCTAAGCAGCCTTGATTAAAAAACTCTTGCATGCATTTTAGGCTTAATTAAAACAAAAATCTCAAAACGAAAATGAAAAGGTAACACTTTACATTTCGTCAATTTGAGGTTAAAATTTCGAATAATTATCTGTCAAATTCAACTTTCCATTCGAGAGTTGTGAATTAGAGTAGGCTTTGAGAATTTAATTGTCAAACTATTTTCGGACGAATGAATTTTCGAAATGAAAAGGAAATAGAGTAAGGAGAGTAGACCTCCTGAGCGTTGTAGGTAGTACACAACACCCCCATTGATTTTTAGGTTTTTTACCGCTCCCCTTTAGGCCTGCTGCGCCCACGAGGGGGCGTTACTGCTCTCTTTGCGAAAGGCTGCCGTAGAGCAACCCGAATGAAAATAGACATAACGTTAAACATTATTCAACAAGATCTGCAATTTTTGGCGGATTTCAGGATATTCGGCCAGGTGCTATTATTTGGGATCAATTTCATTGGAATATGATAGAAAATTTGCATTTTTGCAATAAGTCCTAATTTACCAGACAGTTGGAGGATGCATGGTGTGCCGTGATAATGGCTGTTTACAGTTTAAAGGAATCTGCCACACTATGAGCTTGACTTAAAGTCATTTGTTCGAAAAATATACTAAAATTAGTATACGTTAAGTACGTGTGTGTTTCATTTAAAGTTTAACTGGTTCTTCCACTGTGTAATTCATCTGCTATCACCTTAGTTTTCCATTACAGATCACTATAGCGTAGAAACGTAACCAAACTTATTAAGTTTATTAACATTTTTGAATATTAACCAGATCATTAAAGGTACCATGGGATTTTTTTATTTACATTCAAGTCAATTTCGCACATGGAAATTATATCTAATATATAAAATTCTCGTGTCGCGGTGTTTGTGGTTAAACTCCTCCGAAACGGCTTTCCCGATTCTCATGAAATTTTGTGTGCATATTGGGTAGGTCTGAGAATCGGACAACATCTATTTTACATCCCCCTAAATGTTAAGGGTAATCCACGCCTATTTTTTTTTCAATTTTAGATATTTTTTTTTTGTTTTTATTTTTTATGATACATCATACAAAAATACATACAACCCTAAATTTTCACCCTTCTAACATCAAACCCTATTTTTATGGCGGTACGAAGTTCGCTGGGTCAGCTAGTATATTTATATTCCATGGGAATTTCAGTATGTTTTATTGAATTCTTTTACCAAATTGGAGAAGCGAAAATGGACCATGCCATTTATTTATCTATTTTCATTCGTCATAACAGCGAACGAAGGCCGCATCGAGGCTGTGTGCGAGATCGGCAACGGGCTGATAGAGGAGAACGCGCCAGAAAGAGACAGAGTGAAGCAGCGGCTAGACGATATACGGGGACTGTGGGACGATCTGAAGGAGCTGGCGTTGGCCAGGCAAGAGGTAAGTTTGTAAGGTAGAATGAGGGAGAGTAGGATAAATTAAGGTAAAACAGGGTAGATGAAGGTAAGGTAGGGTAGACGAAGGCAGACTAAGGGAAGATCGAAATAGGGTATGGTAGACCGAAGGTAGAGCTAGAGTAGGGTAGACAAAGGTATGATATGGTGAGGTAAAGTAGGGTAGAGTGAAGACTGTATATTGGCTGTTTGTGAGACAAATAGCAAATATGAATAGTTATTTGAAATGCCAGTATCAAGTTTATAATTTATAATAAATTATTTTCATTAATAATTATAAAACTAATTCTAATTGTTATTGTAATCGTGTCTAGGTAATACGTCCTAGGTTTTTATAAATGAATTAAATGTTATATGATTTAGGTTTAATGTATTTTTGTGTCGCAATGGGTATAAAAGTTTGAAAGTTTAAAACATAATAGAAGCATTGTCAAAATGTACTTTATGTGAAAGTCTTCTAATTATGACATTACAGTCATCATTTGAAAGGTCTTAATGAGACCATAGCACATGCATATGTGCAAATGAAGAAGCAAATTTTCAAAAGCAGTCATGTTTTTTAAATTTATTTATTCATTAGTGTCTTTAAGTTTTGTATATTAAATAGGGTATTTGACAGTGTTAAAAATAAAGTGCCAATTGTTAGCATCTGTGTTTAGAATGAACATTGGCAGGGGTTACTACTATTTTTACAAAAAAAAATCATAATTTTACTAAAATCCAACGAAAAAGATAATAGTTTTCTTATCTATTGTCACGTGACCCAAAACGCTTGGGATTACATTGTATCGTTTGACGTTTTAATAACAGACGTGTAACGTCACACACTAGTAAGACGCCATATTGTCCAGAGAAATGTTTTCGCGGCAACTTGAAAATTGAGTTTTTAATTTGGTTATTTTTAGTGAAATACACAACAGAATGATGAATATCCACTTTTCGCGGACTCCATAAACATTAGTCAATAACGCGAGATCGTTTTCTAAAACTTGTCAAATACCCTATTATAATACAATTAATATTTTGTTGCCTAGGCATTAGCAGGCGCCCGTCAAGTCCACGAATTTGATCGCTCCGCCGAAGAAACGGCCGCGTGGATCGCAGAAAAGGAAGCCGCTTTACAAGCAGACTCTCGCGCCACACACCATCCACACGCCAGACGCAGACGTCTTAGGGCTCTGCACGATGACCTGCGAGCGATACGGGACGCACATTCACAGTTGATGCAAGAAGCAGACAGGTATTAATCCACACGCCATCCACACTTTATCTACACACCAGCCACAATACCATCCATACACTATCCGCTAGCCATATACACACCATCCACACGCCATCCACACTTTATCCGCACACCAGCCACAATACCATCCATACACTATCCGCTAGCCATATACACACCATCCACACGCCATCCACACTTTATCCGCACACCAGCCACAATACCATCCATACACTATCCGCTAGCCATATATACACCATCCACACTTTATCTGCACACCTGCCACAATACCATCCATACACTATCCACTAGCCATATACACACCATCCACACTTTATCCGCACACCAGCCACAATACCATCCATACACTATCCGCTGGCCATATACACACCATCCACACGCCATCCACACTTTATCCGCACACCAGCCACAATACCATCCATACACTATCCACTAGCCATATATACACCATCCACACTTTATCTGCACACCTGCCACAATACCATCCATACACTATCCACTAGCCATATACACACCATCCACACGCCATCCACACTTTATCCGCACACCAGCCACAATACCATCCATACACTATCCGCTGACCATATACACATCATCCACACGCCATTCACACACTATCCACACACAATCCACACGCGGTAAACAGACATTTTAGAACGCTGCATCACGACCCGCGAGCGATACGGGATGCACATTCTCAGGTGACGTAAAGAGGCTGATAAGTAATAACTTCACGCATAATACATATACACACACTTCAAACTACATAAACACACAAATTTTATAGAAAAAAATGTCTTTTTTAATAAAAAAATTGTTTTCTAATAAATTTTTCTTAAGATTATAATTTACTAGCGGCCCGCCCTCGCTTCGCTTCGGTGTAGAGCTGAAGTGTAGACTACAGTTTTTGTTCTCAGACTTGTATTATACACAATGACATTCATCTATGACTCTTCTTATACCTGCATGCAAAGCCCGGTCTCAGCCCGATTGGTTTAAAATTGACAAACTTTCATTCCCTATTTTATCCCCTTGGGGGTAGAATTGATCAAAATCCTTTGTTAGCGGATGCCTACGTCATAACATCTACCTGCATGCCAAATTTCAGTCCGATCCGTCCAGTGGTTTGGGCTGTGCGTTGATAGATCACTATGTCAGTCAGTCAGTCACCTTTGAGTTTTATATATATATAAGATAGATAGATACATTACCACAGTTTTCAGCATTGGACTTGTACTGATTCTTATCATATATTTCCCCCTTAGACTCGGCACCGCGTTCCCAGACGCCAAAGAGCACGTCACAGCTAAGCTGGAAGATGTTACTGAAGCCCTGGAAGCTCTCACTCAACGTGCTGAACACAGTTCCCAGCAGCTGGAGTTAGCTGAACAACTGCAGGCCTACTTCGGAACTTATCAGGAGTTACTGTGAGTAGTCACGGATTAGGTGATGGTCATCTTCTAGACCAGATGATGTTACAGAAGCCCTGGAAGCTCTCATTCAACGTGCTGAGCACAGCTCCCAACAGTTGGAGTTAGCTGAACTACTGCAGGCCTTCTTCGGGACGTATCAGGAGTTACTGTGAGTATGACACGGGCTAGTCAATGGTTTTCTTTTAGACTGGAAGATGTTACAGAAGCCCTGGAAGCTCTTACTTGACGTGCTGAACACAGTTCCCAACAGCTGGAGTTAGCTGAACTACTGCAGGCCTGCTTCGGAACGTATCAGGAGTTACTGTAAGTAGTCACGGATTAGGTGATGGTCATCTAAAATGGTCTACTCTTCTTCTTATTGGACAAAAGGTAATCAAACCACTAACAGATTTTTTAATAGGTTCAATTTTACACATTTAAAAAAAAATGGATGCGTGTAACTTATGTACGCGCGTGAGAAGTTATACTTCTTTAGCATCATTAAAAATATTTCTTAATTGCATGCAAATAATTAATAATTACAATAAAATAATAAAAGGACTGGAAAAGGATAGTTAACACAGTCAATTAAGTTCAGTTTTAATTTGAAAAATTAAATAAATATTCAAAATATTCAATTAAAATCACTACTGAATTTAAGTTATTAGTCCATATGTAATTAGCACTTGTAAGTAACTAAAACACGTTGTGTCTAAGTATATAGAAACTAGAAACATGTGGATAAATATTATAAATATGAAAACAGTGATCAGAGGCGACGAGCGTGCCAACATTGTTTTTGACAACGCGATCATCTTATGGAGCTCCGTGGATCGTTCAAAGTACCTTTCGAATAGATGTCTAATAATGGTGGATTATTAACCACTAAGTTACTTCTTCTTCATTATGTTACTTTTGTGTTACAGTGATGCGCGCGCATCTTAAAATTTCACTCTCATATTTTTTTCATAACGCGGCTAAAGAAGTATAACTTCAAAAACAAAATAAAATCCACGTGGTCCAGGCAGCAGTAAGTACCCTTAGTACGAGTTTGAGCTCACGAAAACTATCATAGTTTTCGTAATTGTAAATTATGTTTCTGTGTCCATTTTGGTGAAAAGTAACCAAAGATACTTAAAATTTAAGAATTTAATGATAGAATTTAAACATTGTTTATTTGTATTGAAACGAACACAATAAAATCAGTACCCTTAGTACGAGTGCGAGCTCACGAAAACTATCATAGTTTTCGTAATAAAATTGTAAAACTCGTACTAAGGGTACAGGTGGGACTCGAAACCGCGCCCTCCGCTATCCGGGCGAATACGTGTAGGGCGTTACAATGCGAAGAAATGGCGCTGCCTTGCAGCGTAAGATATACTAGAGAAAATTCGACACGGCCGTCAGGGCCGCGGTAGCATAATAATCAGTGTATTCGCCCGGATAGCGAAGGGTGTGGCTTCGAGCCCCATCTGCTGCCTGGTCCGCGAGGACATTATTTCTAGTAAAATTTCATGTCATTATATTTCCCAAATATGTAACATGTGTTTATTCTTAAGATCATCATAATCATATTGCGTTGATTGAACTGTTTATAAATTTGCTTAAATTCAAATAACAGAGGAGCTCGGTAGCGCGGGTGGTTCGCGCGTTCGGCTTGATCGTTGAAGTTAAGCAACTTTCGCCGTGGTCGGTCATTGGATGGGTGACCAAAAATTTATTATCTCGAGCTCCTCCGTGCTTCGGAAGGCACGTTAAGCCGTTGGTCCCGGCTGCATCTGCAGTCGTTAGCACCCGCCAATCCGCACTGGGCCCGCGTGGTGGGTCATGGCCCAATCTCCCTATTTCCATCCATAGGGAAGGCCTGTGCCACATCAGTGGGGACATTAATAGGCTGATGATGATGATGATGATCAAATAACAATCGAAGTAAAGAGAACAATTTTCTCTGTTAATTCTCTTTGTCCTCAACAAAACACTTCTTCTAATCTCTCGCAGTGCGTGGACGAACGAAATGATAGCTCGCGTCACTGCAGCGGAATTATCGAGCGATGTCGCCGGCGCTGAGAGACTTGTCGCCAGACATCGCGACCTCAGAGTCGAGATAGACGCGAAGAGAGACGACTTCCAACAACATTACGAACATGGTGAGAAACTGACACTGTTTACACTGGACACTTTAAAAGGTCCACACAAAGCGCTATCATGAAATCAAATATTCGGTTATTTAGAAGTTTATAAACCGCCATAATCTGTTTCTACCGAGCAGTTTTTGATGTGAAAACTTCTTTAACGGCGTTGTACACTTTTTTTTGTATGGGTAAGAAATGTTAAACTCGCGTCAGGTTAAACACGTGGGCTGATCGCATCATGAAACACAATAAAATTGGAAAGGTTGTTGACTCTCAATGTATTGGACGAAACATAGTAATATTTTATTTTACCGTATTATAATAATAAGTCTCTATCTAGGACGTCCACGTGGCAGCTTTATTTCGAAGAAAATGCATTTTTTTTACAATAGATGTCGCTAGGTACGCTTAAATGTGATTCATGTAAGTTGATTTCTTTACAATAGATGTCGCTAAGTGCGCTTAAACGTGATTCATGTAAGTTGCTTTTTCTGAGAGATTAACTTTTTTAATGTAATATAAATTGCCATGTTTGTGTACGATAGTGCAATAAACTTTTATACTGATAAATTAAAGCAATTCGTGCAAAATTATTCTTTAACCATTCCAAAATATCAAAAATGCACAACGTCAATATTCAAGTTTTCACTTCTGCCGGCACTCGCGGAGTGCAACCCGTCGTTTTTTCTCGTATCTCTCTCACTACGGGACATTGGCGAAATTTCTGTGTGAAACGGAAAAAGCCACAAACACAAAAAAAAACAAAAAAATGCACTATCTAACAGCACGGTCAGAAGAAGAGACGGATAATATTCACATAGGACTTTTTGGCGGGATCGGGAAGCGCCACTTTAGCAGTTTTGTTTTTCTTGTTAAAAATTGTGTTGTGGCGGATTTTAGTGTCTAATAATGGTGGATTATTAACCACTTAGTGTTCGGGAACATGCACAAGTGTTGGCAAGTGAAACAAAATTACGGAAGGTGTCTTTCGACGTTCCCTCAAGAAGTCCACAGTAAATCCCCACACTTTTACTGAAACATAGGAAAAGGGGGATTGACTTGACTGCCACTTACTTTGACTTGATTTATTACTTTGACCACGAGTGCTTTAGTTTTGTAAACATTTTAACACTTGACATTGGCTAAATGCACAAGCCGTGCGAAGCCATTTAGAAAGAAAAAAAAAATAAAAAAATATTCACATGCAACATGACCGAATAGCAAATGCAGATTGTTGACACTAAATTCACATCTATCAAGACGAACGTGTAAATGTTATTTATTTAGCCGCTAAAACGCGACTGATATGTATTTTCATATAACTTTTACCGGTCGGTGTTAGCATGTGTGTGGCCAGTACGGCAATTTCGATTTATCTCAAGAAGGGTTGTCAATATAATGCTCCAATTTCCAAGGATGTTTGAGAAAAAATAATATTTTGATGAACGTCATATTATTATTTTCCGCATATTTATATAGTTGTGTCGATTCTGGCGTGATTCTCTAAACTTAAAACTAAATTTAACATCAGTCTCTCCTTTTCATTCAGTATAGAGAATGACAAAGATACACTGTTGTCAAATTTAAGTGGTTAAGAGAATCATGCCAGAATCGACACCATTATCTTTATATATATAATTCTTCTGTGAGTGTGTATGTCACTGAACTTCTCTTAAACGACTGGACCGATTTTGATGAAATTTTTTGTGTGTGTTCAAGGGGATCTGAGAATGGTTTAGATTCACAATTTTGTCCGCTGGACAACCCCTATTTTTTTAGGGCGGTACGAAGTTCGCTGGGTCAGCTAGTATATATATATATATATATATAATGTCTTGCCTTGTCTTGTTATCTAAGAAATAATAAAAAAAATACGACATTGTCATTTTAAGGCCATTCTTGATAGCTTAGTTCGCTGAAATAGCGGAAAGTTGAATCCAACCTTTAACTTCGATTGTGAGGAACTTTTTTCTAATCAAATATTCTTAAAATATGTTTGTTACTGTAAATTTATTTTCTATTTTGATTTATTTAATATTTATATTTCCAACACACACACCAATTAGCCTAGGCCCAAAGTAAGCACTGTAAGGCTTGTGTTATGGGGATGCTAGGGTAACGGATAGAATACATATACTGTACATATATAAGTATATTTATATAGAAATACATATTAAACATCCATGACTGGAGTACACATCGTATTCATCACACAAACATCTAGCCCCCCCCCCCCCCCGGGATTCGAACCCGGGACCTCTCGAGACAGCGACACCATGAAACCCGGCGTACAAACCACTCGGCCTCGGAAATCGTCCAAATCTTTTGTCTTTCTATTTGTCTATTATTTTTCGTGTCAGGCGAGAAACTCCTCCGCGACGGCCATTTCATGTCGGCCGAGATAGAGGACCGTCTACGAACGTTGCGCGCGCGCAGACGACATCTCGACGACGCGTGGGCCGCACGAGCGACAATATACGCGCAACATTTGGACGCGTTGGTGTTTAAGAGAGATGCCGCTGCGTTGGATAACTGGATTACCACTAGGTAAGATTACGACATGCAGGCAACGATACTAAATACCCTAGATACACCAACATGAACAAAATCGTGGCCGAAACGTGTCCTAAAGGTACATTGTACGATAACGGAGCTCCGTAAGATGATCGCTTGGTCAAAAACGATATAAGGCATTATTTAAACATTGAAAGTCACCTTTAATGTATACTGTATAAGGTCCTCATTAAAACGCATATGTCAAAGGGACAGTCCGAAAAGCGAGCTCGTAAAATTTTACGACTTATTGCTATATGCGGAAGAATAAAGATCTTATTCTTTTGATTCTACGCGCAATTCTGAATGCGCTGTTAGCAATATAGCAAGTACTGACCGCGAGGAAAAGAGACGGCTATATAGCGACGTATAACCGACCATGCATTTGAATATCACAAATATTTTATATTAAATCAGTTTATAGTAAGTATTAGAACAAATTAATGCGTTAAATTAACAAACGTTGGATAAGATACCTGTTGAAAAAACGACACTTTTCGTACTCTAAGTATTATTGTCGCATTTTTTCACGGAGCTTTGTGGCATCTTGCCTTTGTAACGGTCCCCGCGTGACTGGGAACGAAGAAGTGCTTGAGTGGAGTTCAAGCACTTCTTGATTGGGACACATTTTGAGCGCTCGTGATGTATCTAGGTTATTTAATATCGTTGCATGCAGGCAACAATATTTAATACCACATGCTCTCAAAATGTGTCCCAATCAAGAAGTGCTTAATATAAAGTTTAGTCAAGAAGTCAAGATTTTTATTAACTATCAGCCGAGCGGATTTTTGGCTCATTTTATAATTACATAATCTTTAAATGAAACATGCTGAAACGGGTTCGAAATGCGTCTTTATATAACTTTTTTGACGTTTCGCATCCTTTTCAGGCTGCGTCGTCAGAATTATGATATTAATTAATACCATCACGTGCACTCAAAATGTGTTCCAATCAAGAAGTGCTTGAACACCACTCAAGCACTTCTTGGTTCACAGTCACGCGCGAATCGTTGAAGAGAACACGCCGCAGAGCTCCAGAAAAAAACGAAAAAATAAGTATACTTATAGTACGTAGTGTCAGTGCTGTTTTTTGACATCGACACCAATGTTTGTTATTTTAATGCATTTAATCATTTTTTTTTTTGTAATGCTTACTATTAAATGATTTAATAGAAAAGGTTTGTAATATTCAAATGTATGGTCGGATTATTGCCGTCTCTTCCTCGCGGTCCGTACCTGCTATATTGCTAACAGCGTATTCATAATTGTGCATAGAGTCAAAGAAATAAGATCTATATTCTTCCGCATATAGCAATAAGTCGTAAAATTTGACGAGCTTGTATTACGAACAGTCATAACTCTTTGATGCATGCGTTTTAATCAAGACCTTATACAGTATGCATTAAAGGTGACTTTCAATATAATGCCTTATATTGTTTTTGACAACGCGATCATGTTACGGCGCTCCGTGGATCGTCCAATGTACCTTTTGGACAGGTTTCGGCCACGATTTAAAGTAGAGCTTGGTAGGGATGAAACGACACCATCTAGGTATCGATGCTTTTACTCGATACTAATAATAATAATAAATGTTTATTGAATTTCAGTTTACAATAAATTATACTGATACTGTATCGATCATAAAGTATCGATGCCTACTCGGTATCGAATGAAAATAATCGATACGTACTAGTATCAATAAATTTTGACGAACGATATTACAATTACGAATTCAGTCACAGTTTTAATTTAACGAAAACAAAATATCGGCTCACGCCACGCGATTAACGAATGACTCACTGAATAAATTGGAATAAATATAAATCAAACGCAAGGCTGCCTGAAAACTGAACAGTAGAAAAGATGCGTTCGCAAAAACAAAAATTCCAACTTAGACACCTTACCATAGAGTAAATAATCTGATTATGAGTTTTTTTGATACTTCTCAGTGAGTGACCGACCGAGTGCCGATACAAGTACTTACTTCACTTGTTACTTACTTCTAAAGTATCGATGCCAAAAGTACTTGGTATCGAAAGAAAAGTATCGAGTAATAGGGTATTTGACAAGTGTTAGAAAACGATCTCACGTTATTGACTAATGTTTATGGAGTCCTTTAAAAGTGAATATTCACCATTCTGTTGTGTATTTCAGTAAAAATAACCAAATCAAAAACTCCATTTTCAAGTTGCCGCGAAAACGTTTTTCTAGACAATATGGCGTCTTACTAGTATGTGACGTCACACGATTGTTATTAAAACGTCAACCGATACAATGTAATGTCACTTTAACCGGAAGTTTACTTGCGTGTAACGTCATTTTAGGCTCCGCCAATCCCAAGCGTTTTGAGTCACGTGACAATAGATAAGAAAACTATTATCTTTTTCGTGGGTTTTTAGTAAAATTATGAATATTTTTTTTTGTAAAAATAGTAAAAACCCCTGCCAATATTCAGTCTTAACACAGATGCTAACAATTGGCACTTTATTTTTAATACTGTCAAATACCCTATTACTTCTATTTACTCGTATCATCTCGTCCCTAAAACTTGGCTAAAATTTGTAAAGAAAACAGTATTTTAATCTCTCTCTTTATTGTCCACGCAGAGTGCCGCTGGTCCGCGACGGCAAGTTCGGCGACAGCGTGGCGGAAGTCGAGGAGTTGCTGAACCGCCACAAGCACCTGGAAGAGACGATTGAATCACAGAGGGACCGCGCTTTAGCACTGGAGAGGATCACACTGGTGAGAACATGTTGTGAAAATAAGTTAAAAAAAAACTTGTGTCCATATATCATTACTTGACCATATTGTTACGTGTCGGGATGGGATTCGAAATTATATGCCAGTTCACGCTTGACAGTTCAATTAACACACAATGTTAATTACAAAACACTCACTAACCACTGTATTTCACTATACAAGTCTCTAAACAATCGCACTTGAACACTTTTGTTGCACTTTGATCGCCTTTGGATTCGCTCCGAAATCGCTGTTGAAACTCAACTGTCTCTGCGCGGCGCCAATCGCGCTTATATACGCCGATCGACGCATTCTAGAAAGTACCTGTTAAATTGAGAATTAGCTAGCACCCGCAAGTACGAAGTACCTACTTATACCTACGCAGGTAACGCGCATAACTTGTAAACAAGTGCAGATGTCGTTGCACTTTCTCCCTTACGCCGCACTGCATAAGGCTCATTTCAGAATGAGCCGCATTACTCAACCTCTATCGCGACCCGCGGTGCTCTGGCACATTCGATCTCTAGCACTTTCGCAGTTCCGTTTCGAGAGCGTTTGTGACAATATTGTGAATAGTGATATTGGTGTGGTGTCCATTCTGGCGGGATTTTTTTAACTTAAAACTAAATTTAACATCAGTCTCTCCTTCTCATACTGTTTAGAGAATGACAGGGACACACTGTTGTCAAAGTTAAGTTTAGGTTTAGAGAATCATGCCAGAATCTGCCTGTCTGTTGTGTCTGTAACCAATCGTTCAGACAGAACAGACAGGCAGGTTGGTCATCCTAAACATTGTATTTAGGGCAAATATTAATTACACGCGAAATTTTATTTCAACATAAAATTTTGAGTTATACCGTAGACAATAGAACCTACACAATAGCGATTTTACATACAAAAATTACTACTGTGTTTATTTGTCTGTGGTTTAGCTCCAAGTGTGGCGCAACCTAGTGAGGAGCTCGATAACGCGGGTGGTTAGCGCGTTCGGCTACGATCGTTGAAGTTAAGCAACTTTCGCAGTGATCGATCATTGGATGGGTGACCAAAAATCTTCTATCTCGAGTCCCTCCGTGCTTCGGTAGGCAAGTTAAGTCGTTGGTCCCGGTTGCATCTGCAGTCGTTAGCACCCGCCAATCCGAACTGGGCCCGCGTAGTTGGTCATGGCCCAATCTCCCAACCATAGGGAAGGGTTGTGCCCCAGCAGTGGGGACATTAATATACTGATTATGATGATGATGTGGCGCAACCTATACTTTAAGGATTTATTTATTTTATTTGCTTTTGTATAGGTGGAACAAGCATTCGCTGCGCAGCGTGACGAAGAAGAAGCGGCCAGGAAGCGGTCGGTAGAGAAGCAGGAGGAAGAACGACTGCAGCAGTACAGGCGCAGGGAGCTGCAGAGGATCGCAGAAGAGAGGAGAAGAGACTCCGCGCCGCCCGTGCAGATGGCAAGAGAAGTAAGCAGAAGGGAACTTTTACGAGACTATGATGATTTTTTAATAATATATCCATTTAACTGGGGAGCTCGATGGCGCGGCTGGTTAGCGCGTTCGGCTGCGATCGTTGTAGTTGCAACTTTCGCAGTGGTCGGTCATTGGATGGGTGAAAATTTTCCTAGCCTTAAGCTGCAAGGCAGCGCCATCTCTTCGCATTGTAGGCAACCCACAATGCGAAGAGATGGCGCTGCCTTGCAGCTTAAGGCTAGGAAAATTTCGACGCGGCTAATAGGGCCGTGGTAGCATAATGGTCAGTGCATTCGCCCGGATAGCGAAGGATGCGGGTTCGAGTCCCGTCCGCTGCCTGGTGCGCGTGGATTTTTTTTCTAGTATACTTTTCCTTAATCGTTTTCTTATCTATTGTCACGTGACCCAAAACGCTTGGGATTGGCGGAGCCTAAAATGACGTCACACGCAAGTAAACTTCCGGTTAAAGTGACATTACATTGTATCATTTGACGTTTTAATAATAGTCGTGTGACGTTACACACTAGTAATGGCGTCTTACTACTATAATATTGTCCAGAAAAACGTTTTATCCGCAAATTAAAAATGGAGTTTTTGATTTGGTTATTTTTACTGAAATACACAACAGAATGATGAATATCCACTTTTTACGGACTCCATAAACATTAGTCAATAACGTGAGATCGTTTTCTAAAACTTGTCAAATACCCTATTGGCGACACCATAAATAAATGACAAATGAAAACAGCATTTTAAACGTCAAATTCCAATTCAATGCGACTATATGGTTGGTGTGGGCAGCGTTCGGGAAGCTACGTAGCATCTTCTCGGAACATCTACCGCAGTGCCTCAAGACGAAAGTCTTCAATTCGTGCGTGTTGCCAGTGATGACATACGGAACCGAGACGTGGCCGCTTACAATGGGTCTTGTAAGAAGGCTCAAAGTCACCCAAAGGGCAATGGAGAGGGCTATCCTCGGAGTTTCTCTGCGTGATCGAATCAGAAATGAGGAGATACGCAAGAGAACTAAAGTCACCGACATAGCCTACAGAATTGCAAACCTTAAGTGGCAATGGGCAGGGCACATTGCTCGCAGGACCGATGGCCGCTGAGGCGGAAAGGTCCTCGAGTGGCGACCGCGTATCGGGAGACGCAGTGTTGGCAGGCCCCCCACAAGGTGGACCGACGATCTGGTAAAGGTCGCGGGAAGCCGCTGGATGCGGGCAGCATGGGACCGATCGTTGTGGAAATCCATGGGGGAGGCCTATGTCCAACAGTGGACGTCTTTCGGCTGAAATGATATGCACGAAACTTTATTTATTTACTGACGTTTCGCAGCCTTTTCAGGTCTGCATCGTCAGAATAATGATTTTTTATATATAAATGTGTAAATTTTATATCGTCAGAATAATGATTTTTTATATATAAATGTGTAAATTTTATATATAAAAAATCATTATTCTGACGATGCAGACCTGAAAAGGCTGCGAAACGTCAATAAATAAATAAAGTTTCGTGCATTAACCCGTAAAAACTAGTTTTATTTAATGAGTGATGTGCGTGAAAACCTAAGAAACAAATATGAAATGATATGGTTGAACGACCTCCGTGGTCAAGTGGTTCGTACGCCGGGTTTCATGGTGTCGTCGACTTGAGAGGTCCCGGGTTGGAATCCCGGTGGGGGCAGATGTTTGTGTCATGAATACGAGCATTGGCACTCCAGTCATGGATGTTTAATATGTATTTCTATATAAATATACTTATATGTGTGTCAGTATATGTATTCTATCCGTTACCCTAGTATCCCATAACACAAGCCTTACAGTGCTTAGTTTGGGGCTAGGCTTATTGGTGTGAGTGTTGGAAATATTTATCTTGTATATAAAATTCTCGTGTCACAATGTTAGTTACCTTACTCCTCCGAAACGGCCTGACCGATTTTTATGAAATTACTGCATTATTCCGTGGGTCTGAGAATCGGCTACTATCTATTTTTCATATCCTTAAGTGATAATGGTTGTCCACCTGTAAGGTAATGTTCTGAAACCTACAATGCGCCTTCGCACCGAAATTCAAACTATTGGGTATTTATTGTAACGTAGTATTCTCATGTGGGTTAGGAGGAATGTTATCCCAGGAAATTGATTGAACACTACGTTATACACCCCAAAATTTTTTTTTGGACAATATTTTCTTTTTTATAATGTGGTATTAAAAATACATAGAACTTTAAATTTTCTCTTCTACCTCCTGCCCATATTTTTATGGTGCTACGAAGTTCGCTAGGTCAGCTAGGTTATTTATAATACAATAAATTAGGTCTAAACATTTGCGTCACTATAAAGGCAGTCCTCTCAGCATGTGTCAGATGTCGTAGACTATCTGTCGCTGGTCTTCCGTGGTTGCCGTTACCGGGGTTATATGGTTGGTGTTTTTGTTTAGGTGGAGCAAGCTCTAGGCGCCGCGTCCCCGGGTTCGGTGCCCGGTGAGGCGGTGCAGCCGTCGCCGGCGCAGTCGACGGAACGGTTGAACAAACCGGACGCGCTAGTCAAACGCGCTGAAAGCATGAGCGTAAGTTTAAAATCATCTATACTAATATATATATAATATTATAAAGCTGCAGAGTTTATTTGTTTGTTTGTTTGAACGCGCTAATCTCCGATCTCTTAATCTAAGTCCGATTTGAATGATTCCTTCAGTGTTGGGTAGTCCATTTATTGAGGAAGGCTATAGGCTTTATTATTGTTTTTCAAAATAAGGGGTCCGTCATAAAATTGCTATTGAAGTTATACTTCTTTAGCCGCGTTATGAAAAATTTATGAGAGTGAAATTTTCATCACTGTAACACAAAATTTTAACATAATGAAGTTAGCCGCGGGCGCGTTATTTGTATGTAATATTTTATTTTCCAAGTGACCGTGGGGCAGATTTGAACAAAGCAAACAGGGCAGATTTGAACGGGACATTGAAATGAAATGAAATGAAATGATAGTGATTTTAATTGAATATTTTGAATATTTTTTTAATTTTTCAAATTAAAACTGAACTTAATTGACTGTGTTAACTATCCTTTTCCAGTCCTCTTATTATTTTATTGTAATTATTTGCATGCAATTAAAAAATATTTTAATGATGCTAAAGAAGTATAACTTCTCACGCGCGTACATAAGTTACACGCATCCATTTTTTTGTAACACAAGGTGTAAAATCGAAGCCCTATTTTTGCGTGCGCTGCAAAAACTATTGGCAATAGAACAAAATGTTGTACTGCGGGTTTGTAGATCCCATTAAGACCTACAAAAAAGTCCGCGAGAACATATATCTAGCTATCATGGTTTATTCACAATAACCGATTTTGTGTTCAAAATAATTATTAAATCGTCTGAAGAAAAAAAACTACGTTAAATATGTATCGTAATGTTAATCTTTATCTAAATTAAGCATTATGTTATCAAGAGTATTTATGTACAAGTAAAATACTTTTTGTTACATCTCAATCGGATATTTCGTTTAAAAGTTATCACGTGTGTAAGATGTTAAGAGTTGGTACCTATTAATGAGTTATGGGCCATAGAGTTTTTTATCAACGTAAAATCCTATAATAATGTTTTTCGAAATATATTTGTTGATGATTGTAAGTATAAGATCTTTAAAGAATATAATAAATACATTTCTAAACTCTCTAATGAATGCAGCGTGGCGTTTTTTGAAGTCATTTACGATAATTCCTTTGACATATATTTCTCACGACTTTTAATAATTACTCACCTTACGTTTCTTTTAAATAAATAAAAATAAAATAGCCTTTATTTCAGAACTTTCTTAACAAAACAATTGATTTAACATTTTACAATATGTCACGCAGTTCTGTGTGCCTTTTGGCAAAGGCCTCCTCTAACCGACGCCATTCACCTCTGTCAGCTGCGACTCTTGTCCAATACGGACCCAGAGTACAACTGATTTCGTCTTCCCATCTTCTAAACTGGCGTCCTCTCCTGCGCTTTCCATCTCTAGGATACCAGACTGTCACTCGCTTGCTCCATTTGTCTATGGTACCTCTCAGCAAGTGGCCCGTCCACCTCCATTTTTGGTTGTCCACTCTAGATAGAATGTCTGTTATTTTCGTTTTAGATCTTAGATCCTACGTTTTTTTGTTTTTTGTTTTTACGTTTCTTTTACCTGACTACTATGTTTCAGTTTATTTTTTATCTCGGTATTTCCACGGAAACGAGAAAAACGCGGGTGAAACCGCGGGGCACGGCTAGTCATCTTTATAATCAGCTTTTTCCTTTTTTTGACGTGACAACTTCTTTTGTGAGAGTAGACCGCTCCTCCCTTTATGCTCTTTTCTTTGATTATCTGCAGTTCTGTTGACTCTGCATGATCTTTCCGGTTGACTGGTGGAGAATGCCATGCTGGCATTAAGACCGACGTTTATGCAATGTAAAAGCATTAAAGATTAAATAAATAAATCGCTTCGTTACGTAACGAGTTACGACGCCGGTCTGTCTGGCTTCCCTTCGTCGCGAAAAAGAGATAGACGCCACAGCCCGCCTTAGTAACCACCCCACTGCCTCACCCATCAATCCCCACTATCACCCACCAATCTCCTATTATCATCCATCAATCTCCACTATTACCAACCAATCCCCATTATCACCCACCAATCCCTTATTACCACCCATCAATCCCCATTATCACCCACCAATCCCCATTATCACCCACCAATCCCTTATTACCACCCACCAATCCCCATTATCACCCACCAATCCCTTATTACCACCCATCAATCCCCATTATCACCCACCAATCCCCATTACCACCCACCAATCCCCTATTATCACCCATCAATCCCCATTATCACCCACCAATCCCCTATTACCACCCATCAATCCCCACTATCACCCACCAATCTCCTATTATCATCCATCAATCTCCACTATTACCAACCAATCCCCATTATCACCCACCAATCCCTTATTACCACCCATCAATCCCCATTATCACCCACCAATCCCCATTATCACCCACCAATCCCCTATTACCACCCATCAATCCCCACTATCACCCACCAATCCCCTATTATCACCCAATAATCCCCATTATCACCCACCAATCTCCATTATCACCCACCAATCTCCATTATCACCCACCAATCCCCTATTATCACCATCAATCCCCACTATCACCCACCAATCCCCTTTTCACCCTAGAATCCCTTTTCACCCTCGAATCCCCTTTAAACTCTCCAATCCCCATTTCATCCTCCAATCCCTCGATTGTACATGACAAAATGTAGCCCCACCACTCTGTCATCGTCATCAATCCAATGGCGACATGACGAGGTGCGCGATCCTCTGACGGATAATAATAATTCTACCTGCATTGTATCTCTTATCTATTAGACAAGTCCGTCCGTCCGTCTGTGGTGCTGTTTCAGCGGCCAAACCGTAAGAGATAGATGAAGAGAATATTTAAGTTATTAGTTAAGAATAGTCTGATAAGACTACAAACCGGATTTGAGTAACGTAGCACTTCCGATTTTCGAGAAATCACGAATTTTAAACGAAACCACATAAAATCTCCGAAGTTCTCAATTAATTAAATACATTTATTTTTTTTTCTTTTTAATTCAGGTTTTGGTGAACATTTGGTTCACTGGTTTGCTAGTTGATAATAATATGTGTTGTACGTACACTACTGTCCACCTGGTGAACACGGGGATGGACAAACCTTGCATGGTTTTCGATCGGCGTTATTAGTAATATGTTTTTGTAAATAAAATTTGGAAATAAATAAAAAAGGTAAGTTTATTTTTTATACCTACAAAAAATGTTCCATGGATATTGATTGATGGTTTTATATTCAGGTTGTGAAGACCCCGAAGCGGACTCCGTCTTTCACGACTCGTCGCCGTACTCAAAGCTTCCGCCGGCATCGCCGTCCTGATGCCGACCTGCCGCCCGTCGAGATTGAAGGTAAATAATAAATAAATAAATAATAAATAAATAAATATTTCCAACACTCACACCAATTAGCCTAGCCCCAAAGTAAGCACTATAAGGCTTGTGTTATGGGATACTAGGGTAACGGATAGAATACATATACGTTACATATATAAGTATATTTATATAGAAATACATATTAAACATCCATGACTGGAGTACAAATGCTCGTGTTCATCACACAAACATCTGCCCCCACCGGGATTCGAACCCGGGACCTCTCGAGTCGGCGACGCCATGAAACCCGGCGTACAAACCACTCGGCCACGGAGGTCGTCAAAGGTAGACTCCTTATTCTTGAAGTGAAACTTCTTTTAGGAGTCGATGTAAATTGGAAATGTAAATTGATGATGATGTAAATTAAAATTGGAAAAATCCTAGGTGATAAGGTATCACCTAAAGGTTTAGGTTATAGATTACTTAAGTTTTTAGGGTTCCGTACCCGAAGGGTAAAAACGGTACCCTATTTAGTAATAGGGTGAAGTGAAGTGGAGTCTTAGTAGACTCTAAGATAATTTTTCAAAGGGTATATTAAACTTTACGCCTTAAAAAGAGTTTTTAATGGAACCTTGCACTTACTCCCTTTCATATACTTGTTCAATCTGTTTTGAAGAGTGTTTTATTTATTTATATGGACCATCAACACAGCTATATTAATACAAACAGACTTACACATATGCTTAAGTATTAGGATATAATATAACTGTAATTAAAGATGGCCTCATCATGCGCTAAACAGTAAACAGTTTGTTTTTTTTACCATTTTCTACATACTACACAACACAAATATTTGCCCAATCACAGAATAAACCTTTGAATCCAAAACCACAACAGTCTATCATGCTCTATAATTATTTAAAAGGCGAGAACACTACCAAATATGGTCGTAAGTTCAGAGAACCACTTACGTACCAGACCCATTATTGGCAAACTAATTTTATTAACAATAATATTAAACAGTTAAGTATTATCTACTTTCTCAGTATTCTAAATAATTTATTTTTCAAAGTTGGTATTTTATCATGAAAAATATCAATAGTATCACCCTTCTTCACAAGCTCACCAATTTATCTACTAGTAGATATGCATGATAGACTGTATGCATGAAAGACTGTTGTGGTTTTGGATTCAGAGGATTATTCTGTGATTGGTCAAATATTTGTGTTGTGTAGGGAATTACGGAATTGAGCCGTCAGGTAGGGTTTTTAAAAACTAAACTTTAAATTATAACTTTATTTATTTAAATGTTTTACGAAATTACTTATACTAATTGATCCCGATGATCCGGTCTTACAAACTATATGTCAAGATGCTTCCACGATTGAAGCTCAAGCAACTCCCAAAACTGTCCGAAGGTTTTACATCAAGTAAATCTGTCGAATAAGCACTTTTCAACACGATTGCTCAATCGAGCCACCTGCACTTGGGAAACACATAATGTACGCGTGACGTATGAGTGACGTAGACGAGTCTTGTACTCGTAACAAGTGTTTCTTGCTATTTTGGGACATCTCTTTACACTTATTGTTGGTAAATTCGTTGATTGTTTATGTATTTGACATTATGTGATGGAAGTTGACCTCAACACAGGTTTACAAGTTTGATGTCAGGTTTCAATTTGACGACACTCTATGAAATAAAACAGGGTGAAAAAAGCAGCCCTTGCTGAGTTTCTTACCGGTTCTTCTCAGTACAAGGTCTCCCGCCGTAGTTTTGCGAACCGATGGCGTAGCTTCTTGACCTTCACATGTGCTTGTAACAGCCTAGACTGAATATATTGTTTTTATTATTGAATTTAAATTGAATATATTTTCGTCACCACCCAGGATTCCTAGAACGCAAGCAGGAAGCAGGATGTGGTGGTAAACGGGCCACTGTAAGATCCTGGCGCTCGTACTACTCTGTGCTGTGCGGCCAGCTGCTGTGCTTCTTCCGCGACGAGCTCGACTTCTCCAGCGCTAAGGCTGCGGCACCGCCGGTTGCCATACTTAATGTGAGTGAACGGTTTCTTTAATGAAATTAATGGTATTGAGATGGGGTTTGATGGGACAGCTTGAGGAGATCAGGAAACTACCAGATGTCTCATAGTGAGGTCGCCATACTTAATGTGAGTCAATGGTTTCTTTAATGAAATTAGTGGTATTGAGATGAGGTTTGATGAAACAGCTTGAGAAGATCAGGAAACTACCAGATGTCTAATAGTGAGGTCGCCTTACTTAATGTGAGTCAATGGTTTCTTTAATGAAATTAGTGGTATTGAGATGAGGTTTGATGGGACAGCTCGAGAAGATCAGGAAACTACCAGATGTCTCATAGTGAGGTCGCCATACTTAATGTGAGTCAATGGTTTCTTTAATGAAATTAGTGGTATTGAGATGAGGTTTGATGAAACAGCTTGAGAAGATCAGGAAACTACCAGATGTCTAATAGTGAGGTCGCCTTACTTAATGTGAGTCAATGGTTTCTTAAATGAAATTAGTAGTATTGAGATAAGGTTAGATGAGACAGCTTGAGGAGACCAGGAAACTACCAGATGTTTCATAGTGAGGTCGCCATACTTAATGTGAGTCAACAGTTTCTTTAACGAAATTAATGGTATTGAGATGAGGTTTGATGGGACAGCTTGAAAAGATCTGGAAACTACCAGATGTCTAATAGTGAGGTCGCCATATTTAATGTGAGTCAACGGTTTCTTTAATGAAATTAATGGTATTGAGATGAGATTAGGTAGAACAGCTTGAGGAGATCAGGCAACTTCCCGATGCTCAATAGTGATTTTAAGAAATAGATAATACTTTTCGTTTTTTTTACCAAAGTTGGTCTGGATGAAATTCCTTTTGGTGGTAAATTGCAGAAACACGATTGGACTTGTGCAAACTTTTTTTATATAACATCAACAGTATCTTTAACAAAACTCATCATATTCATCCACAACCTACACACATCATACCAAAACCTCAAGCACTCGCTATCACCGAACACAGAAAGAGGTTGGAAGGATTGAAGGGTAATCAAAGTCGCCGACTCGCCCCCACTACACTTCCACCTAATAGATAATAGCCAATCAAATGACGTGACATGAAACAATCGAACTAATCAGCGCTAACACCCGAGAGCAACGACGCAATCAGAACCAAGATTTAGTCAAGTTATGAGCATTTACTCACACATAACCGTGGCGCTCCTGCCCCCAAGGCCCACAACGCCCTTCTACTTTCCGTTTCTTTGTCTGGGCTCGCAATCATCACGATCCGAGCAACATTTTTCTGAAGACACCAACAGTTTCCTACACAAAACTCATCATATCCATCTGAATCCAACATACATCGTTCCCAAACCTCGAGCAACTACCATACACTAGAAATGATTACGTTATAAACAAATTTTTCAATAGACTCCAACAGTTTCTTCTACAAAACTCGACATATCAATCTACAGCCTAGACACATCGTCCCTAAACCTTGATCAGCTACCACATACACTATTTTACCAAAATCAATAAAACTTTTAGGCTCGTTGCGAACCGGCCGGAGATTACACCAAACGTGCGAACGTCTTCCGCCTGGCGTGCGCTGATGGTGCCGAGTATTTATTCGCTTGCTCGAGCCGCGAGCTGATGAGGGAGTGGGTGGCCAAGCTGTCCTTCCATGCGCAACTGCCCCCGGAGCTGCAGCTCACGCCTTATTCTGCAGTTCCACCTGGAGAGTCGCCGACTGCTGAATTGAGGAGGAGATTGCATGAGTAAGGCCGTATTTTCAATTTCTAGATTTTAGTTAAAATAGAGCTGGTTTTGAATTAAGAGAAATTAATTTGATATTTGATTAAGCTAGCGTTTTGCAACTTATTCGCTAACAATACCACTAAAAGGCACTTTTGTGGGAAACTTGGGCTTCATGTATGGAGTGTGACTGCATTTTTGAAGTTATACTTCTTTAGGCGCGTTATGAAAAAATGATGAGAGTGAAATTTTAAGATGCGCGCGCATCACTGTAACGCAAAATTTTAATGTGCGGTAAACACAAATTTACTTTTGTGTTTACCGCACATTAAGAAAATCTACCAACAAAATAGAAATAGAATCTCTATTTAGTGGGTGCTAACGACTGCATTGTGAAGGCCTATCAAAAGTATTTATTAATCTGGAACAACGGAACCAAAGCGCGATTCAGGAGACTACAGCGCCATCTCTTGACCATTGGTGTAGTAGAACCAAAAACCACATCTTTATTTTTTGTAATAAAGTAACAGTTATAGGTATTCATATTTATAATATTTATCCACATGTTTCTAGTTTGTATATTCGGAATACGTGTTTGAGTTTCATACAAGTGCAAATCACATATGTTCTAATAAATTATATTCAGTAGCGATTTTAATTGAATATTTTGATTATTTATTTATTTTTTCAAATTAAAACTGAACTTTATTGACTGTGTCCTTTTCCAGACTTTTTTATTAATTTATTGTAATCAATTATTTGCATGCAATTAAAAACTAATTTTAAACGATGCCAAAGAAGGATAACTTCTCACGCGCCTACATAAGTACACGCACCCATTTTTTTTTAATAATTATTTAATATTTTTTATTTCATTTTATTACTTAAAGCTCAGTAATAAAAATGAAATAAAAAATATTAAATAATTATTGAAAAAATACTTTTTATTACTTTAAAATTAAAAAGTCTGAAAAAAGGTCCTGATGTAATCAAATTCAATATTCATTTTCGCCAGTTACAAGCTGGGGATGATGACGGGGTACAGTAAACGAAATTCTATTTAGTCCGTCAGTTAGATGATCAAAAAATAATGGACACATATTTTTTCTTTGGGCAATCAACCAAAAAATGACAAAGCTATAGCGCGTCAAAGTTTGGGAGTAGGGGCTCGTGACTTCACTTTTAAGTGAAAACTATACCTAAACATGATGTCATGCGACTTTTCAAATCAATATATCTCTGCAACGTTTATATTATGTGAAAAAAGAAAAAGTACGTGTCAAATACTTTTTGATAATCTACCTGATAAACGAAGAAAAAGAAAATAGTCATCAACCTTATTATGTATATCTTTTCACAAATCTGCTGGGGGGAGACCTTGTACTAAGAAGAACTGACATGAAAATCAGCAAGTGTTGTTTCAGTTTTCACCTTGTATTATTATTATACACCGCGAATTTTGATTTACCTGTACCCTTAGTAAGAGTTTGAGCATACGAAAACTATCATAGTTTTTTACAATTACGAAAACAATTTTAAAGAGTTTTAAACAATTACGAAAACTATCATAGTTTTCGTAATTGTAAATTATGTTTCTTGGTGAAAAGAAACCAAATATACTTAAAACTTAAGAAGACGCAAATGATTTAATGATAAATTTTAAACACTGTTTATTTGTATTGAAACGAAAACAATAAAATCAGTACACTTAGTACGAGTGCGAGCTCACGAAAACTATCATAGTTTTCGTAATTGTAAAACTACTAGGTACTGTACCCCTAGCACGAACCATTATCGAATTCGAATAGTTTGTAAACCGAAATTTCAATTTCAAATTATGTATGGAAACTTGAACAGCAGCGGCACAAAGTACGTAACGAGAACTAAAAATCAGTACACATTTGACAATGACATTTCGGACTCGCAAACGATACGAATTCAGAAATATACCATCTGTGAAAATTTAGGTCTCTAGCTGTCATGGTTTATGAGATACAGCCTGGTGACAGACAGACGGACTGTGGAATCCCAGTAATAGGGTCCCGTATTTCCCTTTAAGTACGGAACCTTATAGATGAACTGTGCATTCTCAAGTAAAACAGTACCCCTAGCAAGAACCAATATCGAATTCGAAAAGTTTGCGAGTGCGAAATGTCAATGTCAAATTTTGTATGGAAACTTGTACACACAAAAAGTACATAACGAGAACTAAAAATCAGTGCACATTTGACAATGACATTTCGGACTCGCAAACGATACGAATTCGATATTGGTTCGTGCTAGGGGTACTGGAGCTCGATGGCGCAAGTGGTTAGCGCGTTCGGCTGCGGTCGTTGAAGTTAAGCAACTTTCGCAGTGGTCGGTCATTGGATGGGTGACCAAAAATTTACTATCTCGAGCTCCTCCGTGCTTCGGAAGGCACGTTAAGCCGTTGGTCCCGGCTGCATCTGCAGTCGTTAGCACCCACCAATCCGCACTGGGCCCGCGTGGTGGGTCATGGCCCAATCTCCCTATTCCATTCATAGGGAAGGCCTGTGCCCCAGTAGTGGGAACATGAATAGGCTGATGATGATGATGAGGGGTACTGGTGGTAAGTGGTGAGTTCGTCATGAATATTTGGACGTGTACAGGAACGCGTCCTCTTCATCATCAGCGGCCTCATCACCAGAACCGCAGCGCAGATCTCGGACCCAAGCGGAGATATTACAGCAGCACCGCGCCACCCTGCCATCCCGCGCCTCTGCCACCCCAGACAGGAATATAGGTCAGTCCTTTACGTATTTAAAGAGTATGCAAACAACGAAGTTAAAAAAACATTACACATTTTCTTTAAATAATGATTTATTACACAGTATCATCATGAATACAACTGGGAAAAACAATTATTGTTAATTAAAAAATAAAAATATAACTACAATAGTAACAATTTCACATCATAAAACTATAAAATACACTAACTATAAACAAATAAGTCTCTATCTAATTACATAATTACTATAAATAAGTAAAATATAAATACTAGAACAATAAAACTAAAACTAAAAACCTTAAAACAAAATTAATAACTAAAATATATTATTAAAAGGAGTTCCTTTAGGCAAGGAACAAATAGGCATGTTTCTTTAAATTTAAACATCAAGCAGTTACATGCTTTAAAATAATAAAAATTATAACTATAATTGCTATTTCTTCTTTCAAATATTTAATACTTGAAAAAGTATTCATTTGACATTGTGGGTTACCTATAATGCGAAGAGATGGCGCTGCCTTGCAGCTTAAGAATGGCTAGAAGAATTTCGACGCGGTCCGTGAGGGCCGCGGTAGCATAATTGGTCAGTGCATTCGCCCGGATTGCGAAGGGTTAAACTCTCGTTAACCAAAGAAAGCTAAGAGATTTAGGTTATACAGCCATGTCTTCGGTAGCTTCATTATTTTTGTTATGTTTACATTATAACCATATTTTAAATTTTTAGTGTATTTATTTATGGCAATAGACTTTATGATGTCGCCTACCATCTCTAATAATTATCTTAGCATATTTGCATGTAGTGAAAATGATAATATAGTTATGAATATTAATACCACAGTGTAATAAAAAAATGATTTATTTTATCGATCTTTACAAGATAGATTTGATTTTATGTTGTATAAACAACTTCGATCAGTCTTTGCCTGAATGTTACTACACCCATAGCCATTAAAAATGATTCGTATGTTTTTCAAACCGGTAAAATTAAAAGTCCTTTTTAAAATGAATATATTATACAAAGGTGTCCGTTAAAATCTAATGACTGTAAAATAAAGTATAAATTACGCCAAGAATTACCGTATATGTCAATATTTTTTGTGCATTTGGGCCAATTTGAGCAATCTCCTTTAAAATTAGGTTTAAAATAGTTACACCATTTGGTGAACCATTCTGTGTTTTTGCCAAGACATGGCTACGACTTACATGTGAAATGATAATTCCGATTTTTTTTATTCCCTTTACCGTTCTTGATGAACACAGCTGAACATGGCATTATCATACACTTTTATATAATTTTCACGCAGAACACTATGAATTCTTTTCAATTTATGAAAATACACGTCACCGCCATCTTGTTAACATATTACTCGGACACTCTTAAGCCATAATTTACACCGATACTCAGCATTGTCAAGCTTACGTCAACTGCGGCAAATGCTCTTTCACTCATAGGTACACTCTACAGGTTAGACAAAGATGCATGGAAAACAGTTCCATCCATCATTCAGGCTGTCGAACTTCTGGCTCCGTCCATATTATACTTTGTCTATGGTCTACACAGCGTCAGCTCATTCACAGTACCCCTAGCACGAACCAATATCGAATTCGAATCGTTTGCGAGTCCAAAATGTCAATGTCAAATTCTGTATGGAAACTTGAACAGCAGCGCCACAAAGTACGTAACTAGAACTAAAAATCTGTACATATTTGACAATGACATTTCATATATGACGACCTCCGTGGCCGAGTGGTTTGTACGCCGGGTTTCATGGTGTCGCCGACTCGAGAGGTCCCGGGTTCAAATTCCGGTGGGGGCAGATGTTTGTGTGATGAATACGAGCATTTGTACTCCAATCATGGATGTTTAATATGTATTTTCTATATAAATATACTTATATATGTATCAGTATATGTATTCTATCCGTTACCCTAGAATCCCATAACACAAGCCTACAGAGCTTACTTTGGGGCTAGGCTAATTGGTGTGAGTGTTGGAAATATTTATTATTATTTATTTATTTATATGTACTCGCATTCGATACGAATTCGATAGTGGTTCGTGCTAAGGGTACAGTTCGTTTCTTTCACTGTCTAGGTATTTATTCTTTAATAAAATAACTCGACATAGATGATGTTCACGCGGGATTTCCACAAGGAGAAATGTTAACTTTCATCAAAAGTGATGCGTTTATACAAACAATGCATTTCACTGTTCATCATTCACAAATCATTGCACAAATGTATCACTTTTGATGAACCGTCTAATTCCGCCTTTACATATTTTAAATATACTTGAGCTTCTTCAAAACATCTGCATTAGGTTCATATTTGGTTTAAGAAAATATGATCACGTTTCCTAGTTTCGTTCTCAACTCATGTGGCTTCCAATTCGTCGTCGCCGGGATAGTATAGAATATTTATTTATTTATTTATTATATGGTTTACCAGTGTTTGTTTACACATTTCTTAAAGCTATTTACAAGATTAACTATGCACTCTAGTGAAACAATCTATTAAGGTAAACACCGCATGCATTAAAGTAGACTCCAAATATAGGCATTAAGTTCATTACAATAATATTATTATTTATTTCCTTATTTATAACGTTGTTCTTTTTAATTTATAAAATTACAATACAGTTTCATATAACTATCAAGCTTAATCAGTTAGTTTGGTGCCGATAGGATAGTCGTCATTATTATATATTAGTATGTATATTTATATATGTATGTATTTATATGTAAGTAATTATTTATGTATGTGTGATTATATATATGACTGCTTCATACTTATATATGTTCGTCTTTCTGTAATTTCCATGTAACTTGTGCACTCTACCACTATTTATCCACAACATCCTATGGTTGACTGGTAGAGAATGCCCTATGGCTTTAAGTCCGCCTTTGTACACTTGTGCATTAAGTATAAATAAATAAAATAGTCATATACTTTCCCTTCTTTACAATGTTTTGTTTAATCCCTCTTATCCCATTTATCTTAAAGAGCTTTTCAGCTTTCTCCACTGTTCCTAGTCTCAGTCTTTACGCTCATCAGAGTATTTGAGCCTTAAAACTCCATCACATAATACCATCTTTTATAAATATTCTTTTTGTGTTCAAGCTGTGCGTCTCTGGAACTCTCTCCCCGTTAACATCAGGCGTGCCCAGACGACTTGTTTATTTAAGAAGCAGATTAAAGATTTTTTCCTTTCACAGTAGTTGTTTGTGTTGTTCCAACTGTATGTATGTATGTGTATGTCTCTCTACTCATTCATTTAATATTTGTATACTTGCATAGTACATATTTATGAGTATGTTTTTATTTATTTTTAAGCATTTAACTGCTAGATGTTTAAATCTAAAGAAAAGTTTACTAGAAAAAAATCCACGCGGACCAGGCAGCGGACGGGACTCGAATCCGCACCCTTCGCAATCCGGGCGAATGCACTGACCATTATAGGGATACTGGGCCGTGGTAGCATAATGGTCGGTGCATTCGCCCGGATTGCGAAGGGTGCGGGTTCGAGTCCCGTCCGCTGCCTGGTCCGCGTGAATTGTTTTTCTAGTAAACTTTTATTTATGAGTATATTTAATCGTGAATCTTTTATTGTAATTATTTTTATTTGTTACATTAGCACACACCCCCTCATTTATTAAATTTACGGTTTACGGTTTTAGATCTTTATTCTCATAAAAAATTACAAAATTCACTTACCATGAGAACATATTACAAAATTCACTTACCATCTTTATATATATAATTCTTCTGTGAGTGTGTATGTCACTGAACTTCTCTTAAACGACTGGACCGATTTTGATGAAATTTTTTGTGTGTGTTCAAGGGGATCTGAGAATGGTTTAGATTCACAATTTTATCCGCTGGACAACCCCTATTTTTTTAGGGCGGTACGAAGTTCGCTGGGTCAGCTAGTGAGAACATATAATATTTTAAATAACAATTTGGTTTATTTCAATTTCATCTCTCCATCCTATGGTTGTCTGGCAGAAATTTATAAGACCGCCAATTGTTCACTATTTCAAGTTTTGTCCTAGTGTGTAATATTTAATGTGGTGTGCACAATAAAGTGTTATCTATCTATCTGTTTTGTAGAGTCATCAGTGCTGCCATCATTACCTCCTCGAGAACCTCCGCAAGAGGACGCCACTGAGGTTGTGTTACGGTAAGTACATTGGATAATGCATATTATTTTTCTATAAATTCATATAGTTTTTCGGTAATTGCGTATTTCTGTTTATTCTGCTCGAATTATTTATTTATTTTTAGGGAAATAACAGTATTAACTTTACATAAAGTTGAAATAATTGCCTAGGTAATTTCCACTATTATTTATCTCACATAGTGTCTAATAAACATGAGAGAAAAAACAAATATTTGACATCATAATGAACATAAACAAAACAAAAAGAAATAAAAATGTTATGCCTAAAACGAGTTACAAATTAGTTTTTTGAATTTCAAAGAATATCAATGTGACTATGTTTAGAGTTGTATGATTTCATAGCTCGCACAATGTAGCGATGTAATGTATGTACTTGAATGAATGAATGAATGAATGAATATTAAAAAATATATTGAAAAAAAATGAATATTCTTTATTGCACTATTTAACAAAATATATACAACATAAAACTCAAGGAACACAAACACAAAAGGCGGCCTTATTGCTAAGGTAGCAATCTCTACCAGGCAACCTTGCCTACTTAGTCTTAACTAACTTGCATAATTAGTCCGACCCGCCGGAATGCAAAACGTATCACGTGCTCGTAGATTTGCTCTTGGACATTTTAGCAACATTTTACTTAAAAGATATGTAGAATCGACAAGACCATTTATAATCTTGTGAAGCAAGACCAAGTCTCTACACTCTCTTCGGTGTGCCAGGGATCGCACGTCATCCTCACAAAAATCTTTAGGGCGCCCTTTTGGCGGTGATGTGTTTAAACTCACTAGTTACTGCGCCATCATGCTTCGTATAGTCGTCCAAACTGTATGTTATTAAATGATTGCTGCACGAAAATAAAAGGGTACAAGTATCAAATTAGAAACACTGTGTTTCCTAACCTTTCCAATACTGCTACCCCTGTAACCTATTAGGAAAACAGATTTTACCCCGACTTTAAAATGTTATCATCAGTCCAAGAAATTCCAATTTGGTCGCTACATCTTCGTCTCTAATAATGTCACCATCAGGAAAAAATCTCGCCCCGCTTCCCACACTCAGCACCCCGCGGGCTCACTAGCAAGAAGGAGCGCATGCTCTATTTAGTAGTATTATTATATCACACCTTTAGAATGACTTAAATAAAAAAAATAGCAAAATCACTTTTAAACGTGAAACGACATAAAAACATGTATCCTATCAGTTTATTAATAATAAACAGGCTCTTTTAGGCCAGAAGAAGACAAACGCACTGTTTCCGTCTCTTTTAAATGACACGCTTACCGCGCCTCCCTCAGTATTGAAGTACCCCATTCAGTGTTGCGTGGACATTTATTTAATTTTCCTTTAATTTAGAAAGTCATTAATTATTAAACTAGCATATGACAAAATTGGTCATCTATCAAATATATAACATCAGAAATGAATCGCCTCTATATTAAATAGTTACTTTATAGCATTATAATAGAAAAACAAAAAAATGGCCAACTTGTCAATCACATTTATAGCGTTCACCAAAAAACAAGAATTTTGGATTAGGTCACTTCAATTCTAAAGGTGCGATATAGTATTTCTTATTATTTTGATTTGACCAAATAATTAGGTTCTTTGTCTCTCTAATTAACCTCCGGAGTGGTAATTACCCCCAGGTTCGGAACCCAGGTTCTAGTTTAATAGAAATTTTGCTATCAGCTAGCAAATAATAGATATTTCTTACACTCACACTAATTAACCTAGCCGCAAAGTAAGCACTGTAGGATTGTGTTATGGGATACCAGAATAAAGGATTGATAACATATACTGATACATATAAAAGTATGTTTATATAGAAATATATCATCATCATCATCAGCCTATTAATGTCCCCACTGCTGGGGCACAGGCCTTCCCTATGGATGGATTAAAGAGATTGGGCCATGACCCACCACGCGGGCTCAGTGCGGGTTGGTGGGTGCTAACGACTGCAGATGCAGCCGGGACCAACGGCTTAACGGGCCTTCCGAAGCACGGAGAAGCTCGAGATAGTAAATTCTTGGTCACCCATCCAATGACCGACCACTGCGAAAGTTACTCAACTTCAACGACCGACGACCAGAAAGATATATTAAACATCAATGACTGGAGTACAAATGCTCGTATTCATCACACAAACATCTGCACCCACCGGGATTTGAACCCGAGACCTCTCGAGTTGGAAAAGGAAGCAGAAATTTAAAAATCTTCCAATTTATTTTTCACTCCCAGTCCTGTATTAGGTACTACAAAATTCGCAAATGAATTTACAATAGCAAACAAATGTATTTTTGAAATGGTTTTCGCAGTAATTCGGAACCATCAAGCGCTTGGGGTCGATCACGGTTCTCGAATGGTAGAGACATCAACGCCGAGTTCATCAAGTCACAACAAGCAGGTAAATATGACACACACACAAACACACACACACACACACACACACATACACACCACCGTTAAGATAACAAGATAGTTGACAGATTTCTTAATAAAATATTTAAATTCCTACCACCGTATTACACACACAATGTGATTTAAATTGAGTCCTATGAGAATTTACAGTTTAAGGGCTGATTTCTCAAATACTGGATAAAATTCATCTGTCTGATATATTATTATATGGACAAAATAAAGAGTTGACTTGTGTTAATGAGGGCTACCATTTTTTGTCTCACCAGATGGCGTAACTATTGAGTGTGGTCCAGAAGTGTATTTTCTAAAATTAGTGCGCTTAAAATCAAAGTTTACATTTTAATCATGTTTTAATACAAAAGTTGTAAATCGTAAATGTAATCGGCCATGCCACAATGTTGCACAATTCCCTTTTGTTGGGCAAAACGAAGGACATAATATTTTTTAGCCCCGCTTTTAAATCACCGACATTCATTGACACGTAACTCGTACTTGCCATAATTAATCGGTATTATTACTAAATGTTAACAACATCATTTTAATAATAATTAAACCCGCGCGTAGTCAATCCACTAGCAATAATAATATTTGACATTAAGGAGGATTTTTTTTTTATATATTTCCGACACTCACACCAATTAGCCTAGCCCCAAAGTATGCACTATAAGGCTTGTGTTATGGGATGCTAGGGTAACGGATAGAATACATATACTGTACATATATAAGTATACTAGCTGACCCAGCGAACTTCGTACCGCCCTAAAAAAATAGGGGTTGTCCAGCGGACAAAATTGTGAATCTAAACCATTCTCAGATCCCCTTGAACACACACAAAAAATTTCATCAAAATCGGTCCAGTCGTTTAAGAGAAGTTCAGTGACATACACACTCACAGAAGAATTATATATATAAAGATTTATATAAATACACATTAAACATCCATGACTGGAGTACAAATGCTCGTATTCATCACACAAACATCTGCCCCCACCGGGATTCGAACCCGGGACCTCTCGAGTCGGCGACAGCCATGAAACCCGGCGTACAAACCACTCGGCCACGGAGGTCGTCAAAATAGTAGATTGAGGAATAATACGCGATAGCCCTCATTGGTGTAATGTCCCAAGACTAAGGCTAACTAGTGCCGAGGTCCGAGTGCCAGAAACGCCCTCTAGTTGAGCCGATCCCCTCAGGTTCGAGTGGTTTAGAGGCTCCAGACGGAGAGGAGACTCCCCCCGTGGGGAGATGCTATCCGCCTGGAATACCTCTAGAGGCACTCGCCAATTCTCGGCTTAGGACCTCGCCGTCCCCAAACCCGGTGCAGCTGTAAAGTTCATCTAAGACCAACAGCATACACATTCAAAAAAATGGTGTTATGTGACGAATAACATCTCTTTCTATTTGATTGAGTGTTGATTTATTGAACAGTTAAATTTTAGCGGAGTTTAGAAAAATGGGCCCTTAGACATTAATTTCTAATAGAGATGCAAATTCATGACCCTTATGTCCTTAGACACAGAGATTAGTGTATACATCCTAATCGACTGCTTAAAAGTGACTCTTTTTAGAAAAATCTAAAACTCGTTAAGATTTAAGAAATCTTCAATATGACATTAATTACATTTCAACCGGTGCGGTGGTTTAATTGTTGTCAAATCTGACAACTATTAAATTTTAGTACAAAATTCACACTGTGGTATCTTACATTGATCAATTACACTGTCAATAATATTACGATATCGTGATATGACCATTTAAATTTTATATAAAATATGTTGTCATCTTAAGAATTGAGGAAATGAAACATATTTTAATGTATATTATTAAAATATGTTTCATATTATATTAAACGTGCAAAGTCCTTATTTATGTCGTCGGCACTTGGCTATTCGTATCTGGTGTTTGTAAATTTGTCAACAGCCTGTCCTTATCATGCTCTGAAAACGTAGCTATAATAATACTGGTCTGCTTGGTTTATTATTATTGTTGTTGGATATTGTGTATATCATTGTGTTAAAAAGAACATAGATTCGTCTTCTCGTATTTTAGTATTTTTTAATAATGAAAGTTGTAATTTTGTAACAGTGACAATATAAAAAATATCTTTCAAAAAACCATAGACTAAACAAAAAGTTCTGTTCTTTTTTGTTCTCTTTATTTAAAGGACTTTTAACTTTACAGACATGTCAGTCCCATCGTGTACTTATATAAATTAACAAATCATCTAAGCCAATTTACGTAATACAGCAAACCAGTGAACCAAATGTTCACCAAAAAAAAAAAGTATTTAATTAATTGAGAACTTTGGAGATTTTGTGTGGTTTCGTTTGAAATAGAAATCACGTGATTTCTCGAAAACCGGAAGTGCTACGTTACTCAAATCCGGTTTGTAGTCTTATCAGACTATTCTTAACTTATAACTTAAACATTCTCTTTATCTATCTCTTACGGTTTGGCCGCTGAAGCAGCACCACGGACGGACGGACTTGTCTATTAGATAAGAGATGTTATTGTCGGAAGAAAGTCGCGGCAGACATATAAAGCGATACAGGATTCTAGCCTCTTCCGAGACCGGTTGGGCCAGAATGCTGTGAGACACACCAATGTCTGACATATTCAATTTACATCTGGTAACAAACTCTTGTCTCTCATTCTGGCACCGGACACAATCCATCAACAAGTGCTGGAGATCTTCTACAACACAGCATACTTCTAATGAAATTAAACATGCTCTATAAGGAATGAAAAGGACAGACTGATGTCAAGTTTATAGCAAACACGAATAGCCAAGTAAAGTGCCGGCATTAGACTCCTAGATATAATCTCTCTCTCTCTACAGTAAAGAAAGGCATTAGTTAAAATCATATTTAAGTAATTTTAGTCAACGTAATGTTAATAAAGGGATTGGAGTGCATGTCTAAAATATTGTGGTGTCTTAGCATAGTGTTTTGTCCAATGTGTTCGTCCTGAATTCGATCCGAAACAATGGTGTCAATTCTGACATGATTATCTAATCTTGAAACTAAATTTAACATCAGTCTAACCTTTTCATTCTGCATAGAGTATGATAAGGATACACTGTTGTCATATTTAAGTTTAGGTTTAGAGAATCGTGCCCGAATCGCCAGCAATAATTGAGTGAATTGGAAAACAATTTTAAAATTGCTACTGAATAAAATTGTTTTTTTAATCGGCATCTATAGACAATGGTGTCGATTCTGGCGTGATTCTCTAAACTTAAAACTAAATTTAACATCAATCTCTCCTTTTCATTCCGTATAGAGAAAGACAAGGATACGCTGTTGTCAAATTTAAGTTTAGGTTTAGAGAATCGTGTCAGAATTGACACCAATATGGATCTATTTGTCCTTTTAAAGTCTTAATGAGAGATTTTGGTATTAATTTTGATTACCTTACGTTTAACCTATTCAAAACGAACGACGCTCCGTCCACTCTCTATGTCTTTGGGTACTAACTAAACCCAACATTGGGTAATTAAAAGACAAAATACCTACATTAGCCGGAGCACCACCTTTGCCGCTATCGGGGCCGCCCGACCGTCCCCCAGCGTTACCCGAAAGAGGGCCAGCTTTACCAGAAAGAGGGCCAACTTTACCCGAAAGGGGGCCAGCTCTACCCGACCGTGGGCCAACTTTACCTGACCGAGGGCCAACTTTACCTGACCGAGGGCCGACTTTACACGACCGAGGACCGACGTTGCCCGACCGCAACGCGAACGCATCCGAGAAGCAATCGGTGCACGCCCTGGTCAACAGCTTTCAGCAGCGAATGACCGGAAGTCAGCAACAGACCAGAGACAACAGAAACACTTGGTCTCTGGAGAGGCAGAACAACAACTGGCAGAGTGTGGAGACCACGTCGCATTTCTATACGGCGAGCGAGATGGGTCAGTCGGCTCATCTAATCTAAATACTAGATAAAAATGGATTTGATCTTTGAAATGACGTCTTTAACCATGGGATCAATTGGGCTAATTTAATCAATACATAAAAAAATAGAACATAGGTACAAAACTCTGTTAAAAGTAATAAACTTGAAATTGACATTGTAATTAATATATTTGACATTTAATTGGCTATTAATAATAATTGAATTTATTGAATTATAACTAACCACAAAAATTTGATGATGGGTAGGCTTAAAACCAGCTGCGCTGAGCCTACTCCTTTTTCCAACTTATATTTAATACTCATATTTAATAATGTAATAATAAGGTATGGAAATAAAGCGCTTGTATTTTTATTTGTAACTTATTTTTTTAAATAAATTCAGTATAGCTGCAATAGCTCTCCTCATTTACTAATGTCGTTCAATATAGCTTTTTCCTTTTAAAAGACGTTTAGTTAGCTGTTTTCCTTTATAAAGGACTTTCAGTTAGCTCTTTTACTTTATAAAAGACGTTCAGAATATTAGCAAATCTTTTTTTGGGAAAGACGTTTAGAATAGCGGTATCCCTTTATGAAATAAGAATAGTTCTCTTCCTTTATAAAAGAGATTTAGAATAGCTCAAATAGTTTCTTATATTTAAAAATGTACAGAATGGCTCCACGTTTAAAAATGTCATTTCAAAGATCATTTATCCCTGTAGTTAGATATCTCATTGCAACGCATTTAGTATTAAACGTTATAAGGAAAATAAGCTCATAATAATGTGAATTCATTACGAGGCTGCATTAAAAAGTCTCATAATATTTGTTTCTTAGGTTTTCACGCACGTGGTGTGCGTAATAAAACAAGTTTCAACGGTATAAATGCACTGATTTTTTCATTTATTGACGTTAAATAGGGTATTTGACAGTATTAAAAATAAACTGCCAATTGCTAACATCTGTGTTTAGAATGAATATTGGCAGGGGATTTTACTATTTTTACAAAAAAAAAAACATTCATAATTTTACTAAAAACTCGCGAAAAAGATAATAGTTTTCTTATCTATTGTCACGTGACCCAAAACGCTTGGGATTGGCGGAGCCTAAAATGACGTCACACGCAAGTAAACTTCCGGTTAAAGTGACGTTACATTGTATCGTTTGACGTTTTAATAACAGTCGTGTGACGTCACACACTAGTAAGACGCCATATTGTCCAGAGAAACGTTTTCACGGCAACTTGAAAATGGAGTTTTTGATTTGGTTATTTTTACTGAAATACACAACAGAATGATGTATATCCACATTTTACGGACTCCATAAACATTAGTCAATAACGTGAGATCGTTTTCTAAAACTTGTCAAATATCCTATTCAGACGACGCTGCCTAAAAAGGATGCGAAATGTCAATAAAGAAATAGATCAGTGCATCTGTACCGCTGAAACATGTTTTATTCAAGTGTCATAATATTAATCATTTTCTTATACGAACTTTTAGATTTATAAGCAAACCTCATCCATTCTAAGCTAAGTTGTGCGTTGCAATGTGTTATTTTATGTTATTTTATATAACAAAATCGTTAAGTTTGGTTCCAGTGCCCATTCTAACCTGCCTTCATAGGATTTTGCATCTTAACTCACTACTTACTTACTAGCTTAGATCTATTTTGGGATGCAGTTGTATTAACCCTTTCTTGCTTTAAACAATAACGTACAAGAGTTACAACGCGGACATACAGACAGACGAGTAGTGGTTCTTTGTTTTATAATTATGTAGTAGTGATTAACCTTTTAATCAAAAGTTAAACGATGCCTTAGCCGAGCATGAGATAAAGCTTATCTGATCATGATTTAAAGCCTCCTAAAAAATGCTTCCGTGAAAGAAAACCTTAAGGCCTACGTTTTTTTTAAATATGAATTGCTGCCTATGGGTGCGGCCAGAGTGCACTCAGATTCAGATTCAGATTCCGAAAACAAGCGCGAGAAATAAACAGTGTTGTCGAAGGGTACGGCCAGAGTGCACTCCTGATTCAGATTCAGATTCAGACTCAGAAAACAAAGCGCGAGAAAAAGCAGGCAACCTGCTTAGACTACACTGTTTATTTCTCGCGCTTGTTTTCAGAATCTGAATCTGAATCTGAGTGCACTCTGGCCGCACCTTATATCATTTCACAGAAAGCTGTCTTATTTTTTAATTCTTTCTGATGCGTTCTCTTACAATTATTATTCGATGTAATTTTGTCGTGTCTTGATAATTTAACTGACTGACATTAAGTCAGTCGTTACGGCCGTCTTTACCAGGGCTTGGTAACCGGTTAATTTTCAAACCTAAATCAGTGTCAAGTACATTAGGAGCGTTTTATTCAGGTTAGGCTCTACCTTAACCTTAAAAAAACCGGTTTTCCTAAAAAGCGAAATCACATAGGTTTTGAATCAATTTAGCGGTTTTTAAAGGGTTTCATTTCGCACTTAATGACGGCATCGCCTTCGCCGATTCAATTCAAATTTATAATGATTTTATGTGAGTTTCGTTCCAACCACAGAGCGAATGAATGAAGTAGTGTGTCAGTACACAACTACAAAATGAATACTTTGACTCACTAGACGCTAGCAAACGTGTCAATAAATGCATCAATCTCTGAGCATTAACAAGTTGTGACTTGATTAGTTGAAACAAAACAAACATCAGGCGATGCCGACGCGTGCACGTGTCGCTCTGGATTAAACCGGTTTATTAAGGTTTTAGGTACCGCTTTCATTTCGGACGCGCTCCGAACGAAACCTTAACTAAAAACCGGTATTAACCTTTATTTACCGGTATTTTCGAAACCGGTTCTAAGCCCTGGTCTTCACGCCGTCTATTAACCATTTAATCACTGTTTTCAAAACTCATGCTCGGTACATTAATACTTTGCAACATCATTTTCTTTAGTGTAGTCCGGTCAAATTAGACAAAATAAGAGTGAGGATGTATATATTAACATCTATCTGGAAGTTAATAAAATTGTTCAAAACATATAGGTTATATCTCAATAACGCTGGCTCTAAGGAAAAAAAAACGACGGGTTGCACTCCGGGAGTGCCGGCAGAAGTGAAAACTTGAATATTAACGTTATGCATTTTTGATATTTTGGAATGGTTAGTGAATAATTTTGCACGAATTGCTTTAATTATCAGTATAAAAGTACTATCATGTATGTGGTAGAATACAATATTTATTTATTGCGCTGTCGTACACAAACATGACAATTTATATGACATTAAAAAAGTTTATCTCTCAGAAAAATCAACTTACATGAATCACATTTAAGCGCACCTAGCGACATCGATTGTATAAAAAAAATGCATTTCCTTCGCAATAAAGCTGCCACGTGGACGTCCTAGATAGAGACTTATTATTATAATACGGTAAAATAAAATATTACTATGTTTCGTCCAATATATTGAAAGTCAACAACCTTTCCAATTTTATTGTATGTCATGATGCGATCAGTCCACGTGTTTAACCTGACGCGAATTTAAGATTTTTTACTCATACAAAAAAAACGTCTAAAAACGCCGCTAAAGAAGTTTTCACTTCAAAAACAATTATTGATATCTTTTTTAAAGACAATTTTATGACCTACAATTATTGTTTAAGGTAACTTTTACGATCACACTTTACCGTTTTGATGTAAATCGCGAAAAACCCACTATTTTTACCTTTGACTTCGAGTACAATTTTGTTAAAAGTTTGGAATCTCCGACACCACCTAGGTTGGCTGGAAGAGATCTCTTTAGGAGATAAGACCACCGTTGCTAACTATATATTTGACTTTCTGTTTTGAACTATATGATGCTATAAAGAGTAATATACAAATTACCAGGTACAGAACGATGGGGAATTTTATTTTTTTATTTTTTAAGCATGTAACTGCTTGATATTAATATCTAAAGAAAATATAACTGGAAGAAAATGCCTTGCAGCTTAAGAATGGCTGGAAGAATTTCGACGCTGCCGTCAGGGTAGCATAATTGGTCAATGCATTCGCCCGGATAGCGAAGGGTGCGGGTTCGAGTCCCGTCTGCTGCCTGGTCCGCGTGGAATATTTTCCAGTTATATTTTCTTTAGATTTTAATTATGTTTGAGCAATTTTACTCAATTCCACTTTGTTGTAAATTTATGTACCTTTAAATGTCTAGATTGACCGGACTAAGTGATTTTCAACGTAATTATAATAAGTAATTCTTAATAAAGCGGTTTGGGTTAACATAATAGCTTTTTGAGTATGTTAATATAAGTTAAGTACTTGCTATATTTAATATCTTTAGAACATTTTAAGTATAATAATCACAATAATAGGCTATTTGACAGTTTGAAAAATTATGTACCAATTGCTGGCATCTGTATTTAAAATGAAATATTAACAGCGATTTAACTATTCTGAAAGAACAAATAATTAATAACTTGAAACGAATTCTTTGCTCCATGGTCACGTGACCGAAATCGCTTGGTATTGGCCAAGACTAGAATGACGTCGCACACTAGTAAACTTCCATCCAAAGTGACATGACATAACATTGTATCGTTTGACGTTTTAACAACAGACAGTCGTGTGACGTCACACTAGTGAGACGCCATAATGTCCAGGGAAACGTTTTCGCGGCAATTGTCTTTTTTTTACTGATGTGTAACAGAATAAAAAATATGCATTTCTTACGGACTCCATAAACATTAGTAAATAACGTGAGATCGTTTTCTAAATCTTGTCAAATAGCCTATTAACTATATACAATAGTAAAAAACATTTTGTTGGCTAAAGTTAATTTAGTTCTATCTTCTTGTTTGGCTTGCTTTGTTTCCTAGAGTCTAGTGGGGGAAAGTGTAACAAGGGGCACATTGTAACACAATTAATATCCCTGTTACAAACCCCCCATTTTACGTCTGACGTCAGCTGCTTAAGATGGCGCCATATGAAAGTAATGAAACACATCAAGACTGACCATAGACAAACGAGATAATAGCAGAGATATTCCTTATGATACCGTAGCGTGTACCTTATAGTTTTCGATATTTCGGCACTGTTGCAAGCGCCGTGATTACGGAGTAACGGAGTAACTCACTCACTCAGTTGGTCCGTGATCATGGCGCTTGCAACAGTGCCGAAATATCGGAAACTCGCTAAAAACAAGCTACACGGTAACAATCTCGTTAAAAAAAATACTATAATGTAAGCGACCGTTTAAAACAGAGGTTTTCATTATTCACTGTGCCTTGTTACACTGTCGCTTTAACGATATTAAATACCATAGATACAACAACACGAACAAAATCGTGGCCGAAACGTGTCCAAAAGGTACATTGTACGATCCACGGAGCTCCGTAAGATGATCGCGTGGTCAAAAACCGAATAAAGCATTATTTAAACATTGAAAGTTACATTTAATGCATACTGTATAAGGTCTTAAAACGCATGCGTCGAAGACTTCTGACAGTTCGAAATGCAAGCTCGTAAAATTTTACGACCTGTTCATATATGCGAAAGAATATAATTTATTCATTTGAATATTACAAAAGAATAAAATTTGCTTCAAATGCGCTAAATTAACAAACATTAATTAGATACCTGTCGAAAAAACGACACTTTTCGTACTATAAGTATTTTTTTCACGGAGCTCTGTGGCATCTTGATTTTGTAACGGACCGCGCGTGACTGTGAACCAAAAAGTGCTTGAGTAGAGTTCAAGCACTTCTTGATTGGGACACATTTATCTCGTGGTGTATCTAGGGTATTTAATATCATTGTGTCCCCTACTTGACACTACTGTTGGTGCTATGATACGAATTAGTAATTTAAGATCTTTTGTATGCAATTATGGTGGCATACATGCTTATGGTTAAGCGGCCGACATAGCCAATTATTGTTGTATTTTAAAACTTTAAAAAATTCCTTCTCACTAAACTAATTCATTTCTGTACATTGCTTATATCCTAACATATTATAACGGTAAGAATAATTAGATATATAGTAGACATTATATGTGTTTTAGAAAATATTTATTTTCTTTTCTTTTTGATTGCAACTTCTGTAGATAGTTATATTTTTTTCTGTAGTTAGTTACGTTTCCGTATCTACATAATATATTTATGTTCTGTGCTTCGATTTAGAAATTAGTTTACCTACTGTAGACTCTATATGAAAATTGTAAAATTATTATGTTTCTTTACACGAACATGCGTAACAGGATCCAGTCACCTACTATATGTGCTTCATCGGGTGAAATGTATGTGCTTTTTATATATTTTTAAGACAGAGACAAGCGGGTTGCTGTGTAACATAATGAATATCTGTGTACTATAAAATGACCCAATGACTGGAATTTGACATCTGACAAAAAAAACTTCTTTAAAAGACATCTAGCAGTTAAATGCTTAAAAATTAAAAATGTAACCATAATTATTGCTATTTCTTCATTCAAATGTTTAATACTTGTAAAGGTATTCATTTGACATTAAGGGTTACCTACAATGCGAAGAGATAGCGCTGCCTTGCAGCCTAAGGAAAGATAGAGAAAAATCGACACGGCCATCAGGGCCGAGGTAGCATAATGTTCAGTGCATGCAGTTCGAGTCCTGTCTGCTGCCTGGTCCGTATGGAATTTTTTCTAGAAAAATTTTCTTATAATAGTAGTTTTATTAGTTTCAATGATTGACGTGCGTCAAGACAGACCATAGACAAGCAGAGATATTCCTTATATTACACTGTGCCCCAAGGTACACTATCCTCCATATGACCCTACGCATGTACTCAGAGTGGTTTAATGCACCATTAACTTGACGGTGTGTCTCATTCTTTTATAATTGTATCACTTTCTTGATGGCGCAGTCTTTGAGTAACTATCGTTAGACCTACTTTTTATATGACGCTTTCTCAAAATATTGTATATAATCTCTTTAGTATATATGTTTTTTGATTTGTTCAACCTTCTTCTTTAATATGTTTCCTGGTTATTATATAATTCCATCCTAAGCTTGTATAGCCAGTTGGAAATCTTTTTTTTTGTATTTATATGTTTTGACAGACGCACATGCATATAATGCGATTCAACTAAGAATAGGACCGACTGGGCGCCATATTTTGACGTCATAGCTGTCAATTCAAACCAAATAGGTAGAGTGAGCAAAAAAATGTTGCTATTTAATAAAACTTATTTACTAAGATTAAGTGAGACAAAACATCAGATTTTTTAATAAAATTGATTTACTAAGGTTGAGAAAGAACACGACCGATTTTTAATAATATTTCTTTAATAGGACTGTGTGAAAGAAAAATCACAATCTAGCATCAGACATCAATCAATTTCGCTCATCTCTGCCTTACCGCCGGAGAAGTTATGAATAATCATGCAGGTCACATACGAACATGCATCCTATATGTAAACCAAAGTTAAATCGAGTTTTTGAACGCAACATAAACTGACATTTGGTTGACGATTTAGTTTATCAACCATTCATAGCCAAAGCTCAATAAATGAAAAAAAACAACTAATATTAATTATCAACATTTGTTATTGTTTGTTTAAAAATGTTTGGTTTTTATTCTAGAATCAGCAGAATGCTAAAAAAGTGTTCCGAGATTTTTTTGCAAACCGTACTTTTCAAGTGACATTTGACAGATGGAGGTCATTGGCTTTCCTATTCTTATTTGAATCGCATTATACCTTACTACTTATTATTTATACATAATATCGTATTGCCTGACCAGAAAAATTATGGCAACATCGATTTATTTATTGATAGTTTAATTTATGACATTTTACTTTATTACACGTCGTTCCCTTGTGCTTTCACTATGTTTCAAATTTATGACTATTTTTTTTCGCTAGTAAAAGATTACCTCGTTCTAATCTTTTTGTGTGGGTAACTTTACCCATAGCTGTGTAGCCGCGGGTAAAATTACCCAATAACTGACAAATTTCTCCAAATTACTATTAGCTTTATGTTGCTTTAATTTATATAAGATTCACAATGTATTGGAGAATGTTTGTCAGTTTGTATGTAGTAATTTGATATGTGTAAAAAGCTTGTTTTTTCAGCGTGTTGTATGTATTTTTAGATTTTGGTTGTGTGTTTGTTATGTTGTTGGGTCTTAAAGCTTTATGGGCTAAGCTTTGCAAGGTGTTATTTTCATAGTAGTCCACTAAGGCTTTTGCTTAGATAGCGTAAAGTTGTTGGCTTTGTGAACTTTATCCTACCATGAGGAGCTCAATGGCGCAGTTAAGCAACTTTCGCAGTGGTCGGTCATTGGATGGGTGAGCAAAAATTTACTATCTCGAGTTCCTCCGTGCTTCGGAAGACACTTTAAGCCGTTGGCCCCGGCCCGCGTGGTCATTGCCCAATCTCCCCATTCCATCCATAGGGAAGGCCTGTGCCCCAGCAGTGGGGACATTAATAGGCTGATGATGATGATGATCCTACCATGAAATCTCGACTCGATCCGAAATCACTGTCGCAGTTTTAATAAGAACGATATAGTAATTAAAAACAACAAGCAAGTAATTAAATTATGTTCGATTACAAAAGTAAAGTGCCTCATCTGATGGGTGACCAACAGGTTCTCGAGCTCTTTCTAGCTTTTTGTTGGTCCCGGCTGCATCTGTTCTGAAGCCCTAACAGGCTGATAATGGACTCGCCATTGAATATTGAACCTTATTCCAATAGCATACGGTGGTAATAATTGCGGTGAATCGTTAACACCAACCGTCGTCCCAGTAGTGAGGACTTTAAAAAAGCTGATAATGGACTCGCCATTGAATATTGAACCTTATTTCAATAGCATACGGTGTTAAAAATAGCGGCGAATCGTTAACACCAACGAATCAGTACTGATTTTATTCTAAAGGTCTGTGTCCTAGTAGTGAGGACTTTTAAAAAGATGATAATGGACTTGCCATTTAATATTGAACCTTATTTCCACAGCATACGGCGGTAATAATAGCGGTGGAAGACCGGCCTCTGTCGCTGGCAGTGGGGGCTCCCCAGCGTTAGACCAACGGCCTGCTTCTAGGTAAGATTTTATTTTTATTGGAACTAACTGAAAAAAATGTGATAGTAAAACCGTAAGAAAAAATCCGTGGAAAAAAGTGCGTGGAATAAAACCGTTAAATGAGACGTGCGCAGGCGCGACAGTCGCATACACAAGCGAGTTTGCAATTTGTGTCGATTCTACATTAGCCGAAGGAACTTCGTTCCTACCTGGTGCCCCACGACACCACATAAGAAGGTTTACTTTACAGCTATCAATCACTTAATAAGTGAACAAAAGCAATATCTAATAGACAATTAAAAACCTCCACATATTAAAATATAACATTAAAATAAAATAGGTTATTTGACTAGTTTTAGAAAACGATCTCACGTTATTTACTAATGTTTATAGAGTCCATAAAAAGTGGATAGTCATCATTATGTTAGACGCCATATTGTCCATAGAAACGTTTTCGTGGCAACTTGAAAATGGAGTTTTTGATTTGATTATTTTTACTGAAATACACAACAGAATGATGAATATCCACTTTTACGGACTCCATAAACATTAGTCAATAACGTGAGATCGTTATCTAAAACTTATCAAATACCCTCAGTCAGTGCATTCGCCCGGATAGCGAAGGGTGCGGGTTCAAGTCCCGTCTGCTGCCTGGTCCGCGTGGATTTTTTTCTAGTTATATTTTCTTTAGATTTAAACATCAAGCAAACATGCTTAAAAAAGTATATTTAAAAATGTTTTTTTTCTTCCACTAGGTCGTCTGGTGAAAGTGAGTTGTCAGTGAGTGGAGTGACAAAAGAGAAGAAAGACAAGAAGGGAGTGTTTGGAGGACTCTTCAGCAGGAAGAAGAGACCGCAAAGCCATATGTGAAGAACTAGCGTGAATGTAGTTGCGAGTTAGAAGGAAACATTGTTTGATTCACATTTTCTGTGACAGAGATTTCAATACCTACATAGATGAAAAAAAATGTGCGGCTGTATGATTTTAGTAACCTATGCCTCATAATAGAGGACATTTGAAAACAACAACTTAATTGTAAAAAAGCTTCTGTTTTTCGTTGTTATAATATTAAATATGTAAACTTTATCACTGATTGTGGTTTCATATAACGGCTTAATGCAATATTTTCATTACAATTTTAATGTACGGCTGAACAGAAAACATAGCTTCGTTTATTTATTGAAGTCTCTGCTCTATGGTTTTAATAAGGTATTGCCAAACTGAAATTTTACTTCGTTTTAATAGTAGTCATTTTTTTATAAGGTTAAAGTGATTAAATCGAAGGAGATAATTGTACATTTCTAACGCTTGTGTTAAACTCTTTAAAAATTGACGAAAATTTACTCAAATCAAAAATACACCTACTTTTGTGTAAAAAATGCGTATTTACATCTCTCAAGATTAACACAGCAAATAAAATTTGTTTTGAAAATATCTACAGTGTTAACATTGCTTTAAATTGCATTTCAATCTCTGTTTATAGCAAAGTACAGAGTTGATTTAGAAAGTATTAAAATACTGTAAAAAAATATGTTGAAATTTTACATTTATTAATGTAACATATATTTAAGAAATACAATTCACGTAAGCAAGTCCGAGCAGCGTCCTGTGCGAACTTCACTGACATTCCAGCACCTATCTGAAGTTCGTCAACGTTCTTTTTCTAATAAACTGTATTCTTTTGATATCAGTTTAGGTGGCGGCAAACTTTTTGAGCAAAACCACAGACAAATCAACTTGCGCAGTAAACGTTTCAGTATGTAAAATTGCTACTGCGCTTCCTTGTCTGTGGTCGCTGTTCAAGTAATTTGCCGGGATGTATAACAATTTTTCTTTGACAATCCTTACGATGTTATCAATTGAATGGCTTTTTTACAACACAACAAGACACTTTTTTAATGTTGTAAATTTTACTGTTTCATTTTTGAACTTTATATAAATATATGCCTTTGTTTTTAAAAAAAGCTATTTGCTATAAAGTACCTTATTTGGTACTTGTATATTTAGTATATGTTTTTATTTGATAAATCTTATGATCAAATGTATATCTTGCATTTTGTAAAATCGCTAACATATATTATATTATTTTGAGAATTTTACAGCCATTTCAATTAAGAGTACTTAAAAATCGTTCTGTTGCCATTATTTGGAATTCAATAATGCAAAGTTATATCTTTGTGATTTTCTATAAATTTACGTATTCTATTGTTTAGGTATATACATTAAAGAAAAGAAAATTAGCTATGAAAATTTCGTAAAAAATTTAGCTATGAAATTATTTACTTGTCACAAATTATAGAAGGGACCAATTATAAATATTCCATGTTTAAGACATTTTATTTCTTCACAGACTTATTGTGAAACTTTTTTTAGCATATTAATAAAATTAAAGCAATTAAAGAAATTGGACAATAATATTCCTTTCAACTAGGTAATTTAATTGTTAGGTGACAGAAATTTGTATATTTATCTGTTTTATTATAATAATAGATTTATCAGTGCGATTCAATGTCTTGGATTTAAACGAAACTGTTTCCAGCGTATTTTTTTTTAGGTCTGGAATTAGGTCTTTGGGAGATACTGTTAAAAAGTCACAAAAAACTTTATAGTGGCATTTTCTTGAAATTATTTATGTATGGTGCGTCGAAAGAAACGTTTACGTCAAATTAAATTGACAGTTCTAATTCTAGTTCGGCCTTATAGAAAACAAGAAACACAAAAACTTGTTAAATGCAGACTATGGCTGTATGGCTCTGCCTTTGCCTTTCCCAGGATGGGAAAAAGTTAAAAAAAAAAGTTCTAATTCTAGCAGTTGCATAATTTACTCTAGGTATATACTTATGATGTATATCAGCCTTTTAACCAATTTTTCGTTTTGCTGTTTCATTGCGTTTACGGATTCGTTGTTTTGTTAGAACAAGTTAACTATTTATGACGGTTACTTTGTTGTACGTTAATGTCCAATATAGTTAATGAAGAAGCCTAGAAGAATGCCTATTCATAATATTAAAAGATGATCATTGGACCTATTTATGGATTTAAAAGTACTTAACAGATATTTATAAATACCAGTTCCAGTATAAAAAGTAAAAGTACTTAATATAGAGAATTATTAATTTTGATTAACATTTATTAAAATCTTTATTTTAATAAATAATAATCTTTTATAATATATAATAATAAATAATCATTTTGTCATCGTTCCGTAGCGATTTCTGTCATTTGCGTACAATAACGTAACTGTTACATCCAATGCAAGTTTCGCAAAAGTACAACTACACTCCACCTATATACCTACTAACATTAATCGTTGATTTTTAATAATTTTATCACTTTGTTATATCTTTTTTATCCAATGATGCAATGAAATAGTAGAAGATATCGAGAAAATTGGATTTATTGTACAAACAATTGTAATTCATGCAAAAGCACGCTATGAATAATGTTTGGCTGTAAACAAATTACCCGTCAACCTAAAGATGTGTGATCAAAAGATATTTTTGACGAAATTTTGATTTAAGTACCTTATCAAGTAAGTTTTAACATTGTTTGATACAATTATTGTAATCGGAGGCCTTATTTCGCGGCTGTTATAAAAAAAACATGTTATTATGTAGTTAGTAACGCTTCTCAATTAATACTGAATATATTTTGTGTAATTAATTCTTTGTTTCATTTATTTTTGTTATAATAGAAGAATTATTATTATTTTAAATTATTATTAGCAAAAAATAATCCCTATGATTAACCCTTTCGATGGTTATCGTAATAAGTCGTGTTTTTTTTTCGAAATTTCACGAGTTCTATTCCCAGTTGTAACAGACGATTAAAAAAAAGCTATGAATGCAGTTCTAGTTATTATTAAAATGATGTCTTCTTTCAGTAAAATATCCTTTCTTCAATATTTAACATAAATACTTTCCCTCCATGTGAGGTAGCCGTGGGACGCCCTGTATATTGCATTTTACGGGCGAGCGTCGCCACGCCAGAAATCGGTTTTACGTACGCCCAAAGATGGTTCACATCAAAAAAACAAATTACTATCTTAATATTTTTATTTAATTTTACCCGCCAATATACCTTGTGCACAAGTAAACGAATATCACGTTACAACAAAAATCACAGTGACTGCCGTCAGATATCGCCCGTAGATCTCAATATGCCCGCGTAGAAAGGGAGCGGCACAGCCGGGTTATAATTAGCCCCATATCTATGGACCACAGCTATATTTCCTCTCTGAAACACTGCTTCTAAAGACGCCCGCAATAAAGCAGCTTGTGCCAAATTTGCGTTATATTCCGTCCCCTCTTTGTTTTTAACGTAATAACTGATATCCATCTGAGGATTTAGTGGTACTCGCGGCTGTATAACTTGACCGTAATAAGTATTTGGTGTGTAAATACTCCGTTTACGTCTGAAACCTCCCTCGAAATGATGGTGGGGATTCGGAATAAAAGCTTGGTAATGTGTCACGTGTGCTGAAGGCGGATGAATCTTTTTAGCGTACGCTTTCTCTAAAGCGTGTTTGACAGTTTTAATTTTCTCCGCGACTGTATGGACTACAGCTTTGACTTTGTGCAAAGGAGGTGGTATGTGAACTTCGTTGTTTTTGATTAGCACGGAACGTTTTTGAACGTGTTTGGCGCGCAAATCGTTTTCCACGTCGAATTGTCCCGATTTTAAGAAGTCTTGGTCTTCTTCGTTCGTCCTTTTAGGGTTGGAGTGCTCCCATATCTTTTGTTTCGCGTAATACTTAAGTGCTTTCACTAAAGGATTGGTTTCGTCTGAAATGGAGCGTTTTTTAACGGATTTTTGTCTTGTCAGAGTGGAGGGTAAATGCTCTCGGTTGTCTGTGGCTACAGCATCTAGTAGTTCCGGTTTTAAGTCGGAACTGTTATTGTCACTCGGTTTCGGTGATACGATTGGAGCTTTTGGTAACTCTGCTGGTGGTTGCGTCGTTGGAGGTGTTCTAAGAGCTGAGGAAGACAAAAAGGTGATATTTATTTTCTGATCATTTCAAATTTACACATAGGTATCTAATACTGTAGACAGTACACCAAAATACATGGCATACACAGGATTGAGGACGAATGACAAATGACTAATTTTCAAAAAAGAATTCTTCATTTTAAAACTAAAAATTATTTGAATTTGGAATCCTTGAGGAGGAAAGAAAACAAATGGACTACAACTCGCTTAAACGCGCTCCTATTGCAAAGTTTTTTATTTATTTATTTTTCTAAATGGCTTCGCACGGCTTGTGCATATAGCCAGTGTCGAGTGTTAAAATGTTTACAAATTCTATAGCACTCGTGGTCAAAGTAATAAATCAAGTCAAAGTAAGTGGCAGTGGATGAAAGTTAAGGTAACTCGGTGAAGGCTGAAACGCTACGAGCGTCACGAGCATCACACGCAACAATCTATCTATATATATAAAACTAAAAGGTGACTGACTGACTGATATAGTGATCTATCAACGCACAGCCCAAACCACTGGACGGATCGGGCTGAAATTTGGCATGCAGGTAGATGTTATGACGTAGGCATCCGCTAAGAAAGGATTTTGATCAATTCTACCCCCAAGGGGATAAAATAGGGAATGAAAGTTTGTATGAAACTTTGTCAATTTTAAAACGATCGGGCTGAGACTTTGCATGCAGGTATAAGAAGAATCATAGATGAATGTCGTTGTGTATAATACAAGCCTGAGAACAAAAACTGTAGTCTACACTTTAGCTCTACACCGAAGCGAAGCGAGGGCGGGCCGCTAGTATAATATATAACCATTTAAATGCGTGATGCGTGCTCTGCTCCATTCCCCGTATGCCTTATGCACCGCCTAATGTTAGGATATTTAAGAAAAGAAGTTTCACTTCAGATGTGTTTTCCGTGTACAACAATTTTTCATAGTTCTTACCAGGATTACTTAACGCTGCCATCACGTCAGCAATAGACGGCGGGTTGGGGAAAGCGCAGCGCTCTGTCGCCGGTACCTTAGAGTCTCCCTGCAGACACTTCAATAGGGCTTGTTTCATCTCCTCTGTTATGTTCAACGGGTTGAGGACCGGTAAGATCGGAGGCGGTGCTGGAGAGAGAAAATAATATCGTGATCATATAATCTAATAACTCGTAAGAATATTAGTGAATACAAATGTTTTCATCATCATCATCAGCCTATTAATGTCCCCACTACTGGGGCACAGGCCTTCCCTATGGATGGAATAGGGAGTTTGGGGACCTACCACGCGGGCCCAGTGCGGCCAATCCGCACATTATATTATAAATAATTTCACATCATAAAACTATAAAATACACTAACTATAAACAAATAAGTCTCTATCTAATTACATTACACTATATATAAGTAAAATATAAATGCTAGAACAATAAAACTAAAACTAAAAACCTTAAAAAATAAAATTAATAACTAAAATATATTATTAAAAGGAGTCCTTTTAGGCAAGGATCCGAAGATACTGGCAGCGTTACCCCTTTGAATGGCTAGACTAATTCTTTGTCCGAGGTAGCTGCCAGCTCTTCGATCTCCTGTGACGTCGACTAACCTTTTTGCTATTTCCTTAAATAGCCTTAAAGCGCTGGGACCCCACGGACCAAGGGTTTCGACACCGAATGGGAAAATAAATAATAAATAATGATTATAAATTATAATAATTTAGTTTGCATTATTCTGACGATGCAGACCTGAAAAGGCTGCGAAAAGTCAATAAATAAATAAAGTTCGTGCATTAACCCGTTAAAACTAGTTTCATTTAATAATTTTGTATTTCAATCAACATACAAGTATTACAAATTCACTTGGCACTACAATCATCATCATCAGCCTATTAATGTCCCCACTGCTGGGGCACAGGCCTTCCCTATGGATGGAATAGGGAGATTGGGCCATGAGTCACCACGCGGGCCCAGTGCGGATTGGCGGGTGCTAACGACTGCAGATGCAGCCGGGACCAACGGCTTAACGTACATTCCGAAGCCCGCAGGAGCTCGAGATAGTAAATTTTTGGTCACCCATCCAATGACCGACCACTGCGAAAGTTGCTTAACTTCAACGATCGCAGCCGAACGCGCTAACCACCCGCACCATCGAGCTCCTCCTATTATTATAATTAGTTATAATTAGCTTATTAATGTCCTCAATTTTGCGGCCCGAGTCTGATGATCTGTGGGGAAACAGATCGAGATGGCCAATGGCCAGCCTATTGATGGGTGATAAGCAGAGCCAGGACTAACAGTATAACCAGTGTTGCCAGGTCCGATTTTCAAAAATCGGGAGGCGTTATAGATAAAAACAGTAGATGTATGCAAAGAGCTACAAGAAAAACAGTAGATTATTAAGGTTAGCTACATTATTAGTGACGGAAAATGCAACTCAACATGAAATTTAAAAAAGAAAATCGAAATCTAAAAAAAACAGGAGATTCATGTAGAAAAACAGTAGAACAGGAGAAATTTCAGAAAAACAGGAGATCTCCTGTAAAATCTGGAGACCTGGCAACACTGAGTATAACATGCTTTTTTTATTTTAGTTCTATTCTTCTCTATTGAGAAAGGCAAAGGCATAGCCATGCAGCCATCGCCTTATTTTTGTATTAATCTTCCTTTTATTTTACATTAGAATGTGGATGTGACGCATTCTAATGCTTCTTTTGGTGTTTGGCACGAAATATATCGAGTTGGCTTTTTCGATAAGCTTTTGTGAGGTAGTCAATACTACAACAAAATTCTCACGTCCACTTGATCGGAATAGCGTATATTTTAAAGATTCCACTAATTCTTCAGTTGCGCAGACGGTTGTAACACAAAATCACACCAATTTTATTTCACAATATCCACTATGAACGAATTTAAGAATAATTAAAATAAGACGCCAAACGCACTCGATGAAATCCCAACAAAAAAAAACAGTATACATGCACTGATTGGTTTCTTGACGTTTCACATCCTTTTCATCTTCTCGTTCGTTTCTTTGTTTGATTGGCTATTATCTATTATGTGGAAATGTAGTGGGGGTGGGCGGGCCGGTGACATTGGTTCCTGTACAAACGATTTACGTTCACCAGCGTTGCCATTGATACGGCAATTACTGTAATATACGGCAATTTGAGCTCATAATATCAGATTACACGACATACGGAAGGTTTGTCATTGCCGTATAATAATACTAACTACCTATAAATTTCTATATTTTATATACGAGTATAAAACTCAAAGGTGACTGACTGACTGACATAGTGTTCTATCAACGCACAGCCCAAACCACTGGACGGATCGGGCTGAAATTTGGCATGCAGGTAGATGTTATGACGTAGGCATCCGCTAAGAAAGGATTTTGATCAATTCTACCCCAAAGGGGATAAAATAGGGAATGAAAGTTTGTATGAAACTTTGTCAATTTTAAACCGATCGGGATGAGTCTTTGCATGCAGGTATAAGAAGAATCATAGATGAATGTCATTGTGTATAATACAAGCCTGAGAACAAAATCTGTAGTCTACACTTCAGCTCTACACCGAAGCGAAGCGAGGGCGGGCCGCTAGTTAATAAATAAAATTAGGCAAACAAAATAAAATTACGCAAAATCATGATTTTTATTTAAAAATAGGGCAATCTGATGTATCGAATACGGCAACTCTTTCAAACTTGATGGCAACACCGACGTTCACCCTTCTAACCTCTGTCAGTGTTCTGTGGTGCTTACTATGGAGCTAGGCCAATTTATGGGTGTTTATTTATTTTTTTATTTATTATTTTAGTGCCCTGGCTTTCTGGTTTCACCCATTGTCGTTCTCTGTAACTTGAAATGCGGTATTTAAAAGAAACTTTTTACACTCACGTGTTTTTTCAGTTTTCGCCGCCAAGAACTGCTCAGGGCTGGGCTCGTAGCCAGTAATATGTGCCAGCTTGTCCAGGTACCACGCCAGACGGAGAAGCAGCTCGTTTTCCTCCATACTGGCATCCTAGAATGAGTGTGCGGATTTTATTGCATGAAGAAGACAAGCAAACTAACTTGTAATGATAGGAAGGCTAGGCTAGATGATTGCCGTACCATGTTTCTGACTCCAAAAATGAAGACGTTCATTTCTGGGTTGTGATTGTGGGTTTGCCTATAATGCGAAGTGATAGCGCTGCCTTGCAGCTTAAGAATAGCTAGAGGAATTTTCGAAATTCATTGGTCAGTGCATTCGCCCGGTTTGCGAAGGGTGCGGGTTCGAGTCCCGTCTACTGCCTGGTCCGCGTGGAATTTTTTCTAGTTATAAAATATAAAATAGATTTAAACATCAAGCAGTTACATGCTTTAAAAAAATAAAAATTATAATAGTATATTTGTTAATTATACATATACTAGCAAACCAGTGAACCAAATGTTCACCAAAACCTGATTTCTCGAAAACCGGAAGTGCTACGTTACTCAAATCCGGTTTGTAGTCTTATCAGACTATTCTTAACTTATAACTTAAATATTCTCTTTATCTATCTCTTACGGTTTGGCCGCTGAAACAGCACCACAGACAGACAGACGGACGGACTTGTCTAATAGATAAGAGATGAGTTATGCGTCCGCTGCTCCATTCCCCTATGCCTTATACCGGCCATACACACTACGAGAAATCGTTACGATTAGACTGTACAGTCCGAACGGTACCGATAAATCGTAGCGTGTATGTTATAAAACTGCACAGTTTCCTATACTAAACGAAATCGTATAAACTGTTCCGTTCGAACTGTACAGTCTGATCGTAACGATTTCTCGAAGTGTGTATGGCCGGTATTATGCACCGCCTAATGTTAGGTTATTAAAAAAACGGTTACACTTCAGATGTGTACTCCGTGTGTAGTGTTTGTTTTTAAACAGAGCGTGACACTGACACACGTAGGACAGCTGTTTTGTCTATGATAGCGAACCGCTTACGTCAGCGTAGCTGTCAAACTTCATTGATTGGGTTGGTAGCCTTGAGGGAAGAGTCGATTTTCCTATTCGACTAAAATATTCGCCTTGAGACTTATAAAAAAAAAAAAAAAAAAAAAAAAAGTAATCAGGCGGTGAATCTCTGTGGGGGCGCGTGGATGAATGGATGGAGTTTGACAGTTGTTGAATTTTGAATAGTCTTTCCCAGATCGATTTGAGTCCTCCTTATCGGGTGCTGTTTTTAATCGATTTTGAATTTTACTCGAAATTGAATTTCCTCGCTGATTCGGGTAGGTATTCCCTTTTCCTCAGCTTACGGCGAGCGTAGGTATATGGTTTTGAGTTTATTCTTCGGTTCGTCTCGAATGCGGCGGCTGTCTGTTTGACTGTGGCCTTTGCCTTCAGTTGAAGTGGGAAACAAATCATAGACACATGTTTGGGAGTAGCCGATCCGTCTATCATCTATGAGCAATTGTCAAAACAACTTTTAAAATTTCACAATCTGTTTGTGGTACAGTTAACTTTTCATCTTTTCTTCTGCCCAAAGTATAATAAACGGCATATTATTGTCGTCGAAGTCGTGAGATAGATCCGAAAAGTTTATATCCCGAAGGATATTGGCGGAAAAAGCGCGGAGTCGCTAACCGAACTGAGTTTCGTAGGTATATTGGAGTGGCTCTTTTTCCTACATAATTTACAAGTTTGGGCTGTGAAAATAACCTTTCTGTTGATATTCTGTATCGTAGGTGGACGAACACGAACCTTCACAAGGCGATTGCAATAATAAGGCGGTAACTTGTGATAGGAAACAAAATACTTACGGATAGTTTCATAATTCGAACGGTAAGCTATCATCTGATCTCATATTTATTCTCCTAGCACTAATTGAACTGCATTATGCACAATATAGTGATTCTTGTCATCAAATATACCTAATCATTCTTGTCAAGTTAGTGAACGTGGAATTGATTTTCTTCAAACCGGGTGGGACGGGCCCCCAGTCCTGTATTGATTCAAATTTTAAAGTGTAAACATTGACCGTGAATATCCCTCACTCCCTCAACCACCACAGATGTGGTAATCTATGTATTTTCCCCATATCTGATCATTTTTTTTCAATGTGAACTTCAGGCTCGTACGTTCCCCTCAAGAAATACTGGAGGACTAACAAGGAGACTTTTGTTCTGTGCACGGACCAGAAGGGGCGCGGGAGTTTATTTGCCAGCCGCTCTCCGGTTTTATGTAACCCGGCCGAACAGCAGACAGATTATACACAGCTTAACCTATCATAATCAAGGTATTTCTCTACTAACCCCGGGTGAACGTGAAAAGGAAACAACAGGCGAGGTTGGACCCCGACTTACCCATTTCCATATATTTACATATATCTATATAGCTGGTTATCTCACTGAGAACTAGAATTAACTAAGTTTGTCACCAATATCGATCAAACGAGCCGTAGAACCTCTGAAATCCACTAAATAGCTTATTCAGTATAGTCTATGTGGTATTTGTGGATAAAAAATATTAGTAAGTATTATATTGTAAGTACATGGTAAAAGTGTTATGAATGTCTGATATTCTTATAATTATAACCTTTCATGACAACTTGTTGGTTTATATACACATTAACTTTGAACTACTGTATTCAGCTTAGATATTTATAATTAGTGAAACATAGTTATTATATAAATAATAAACATAGTTAGACTTGTTGATTTATATAAGCAATAACTTAAAACTACTGAATTCCTATGCTTTGGTATCTAAAGTGGATAAAATATACTTATAACATTATCTTAATTTTTTTTGGTTTTCTTTTATTGTTCCCCCGGTGCTCTGAGTGGGCTAAAGGAGGGCTGTTGAAGAGAATTTAACATCACACGTGCACACTATTTTATTTCTTAAAAGGTATGTCAGCCTACAGTGCATACAATAATATTTTCTTAACTTCCAAGTGTCGCGCACAGGGGCCACACGCGACAGCCACAAACGCCGAAATAAGAAGCTAGAAGCGGCTACTAAAGTGAATGAAGCGCGCAACAGCGGCCGACTATGGTAAGGGAGAGAGGGGTGGGGAATCGCGCGATGACATGTGGCGACGTTTTGTATAGGCGCTTTAAGTGGTTGGCGTGGGCCACAAGAAGCGAGCAACGACGATTTGTAGCGTGTGTGCCACCGGCGTACCGTGTGTGGCGAGTCCATATAAAATGTATGAAAACTACAAGAAATATGCCGGTGGCGGCGTTTTGTGGTTGTGGACGGTAGCCCGTGTGCGGCGACACTTATGAACCGCATAATGTCAGGTTATTTAAAAAAAGAAGTTTCACTTCACTAAGGCTATTCTGTAAAATTTCCACGCGCGGATCCGATGCGGATCCTTTTGAGCGGGAAGTTGGTTTCCATCCGTCTAGAATAGCTTTAAGTATTCCATTTTGATCCCGCTCCTACTAGGGGGCGCCAGGGTACTGGTGGCACACTGGCGCCACAAGGTCTAGAGCCGCCTCTGATCATTGGCTCTCCTATTTTTATCTATTAGAATCGCTTTATACGTACTTTGCTATACTTGGCGGCGTATGCCACGTCCTGTAGCCTCCTAGCGGCCCACAGCGCGAGGTCAGCGAGCCGGCGCACATGCTCGCTCGCCTCCGTCGCGCGACGACATGATGTCTGGAAGTCGCGCCACCCGGTGAAGTTGCCGATGCTTAGCGGTGTGGTCATGTTTGGAGGGAAATTCTGGTGACACAATGAGTAGTATTGACCTCTCTTAGGTCTGATAAATAAATCTAAATATATATTTGTTTCTTAGGTTTTCACGCACATCACTCATTAAATAAAACTAGTTTTTCGCGGGTTAATGCACGAAACTTTATTTATTTATTGACGTTTCGCCTTTACAGGCTGCTTCGTCGGAATCAATTTTTTATTTAAATTATGTCGAGCTACCTTCGAAAGACTTTTATTGAGCGTTCGGTTATTTCATTGTTCGATTTTTAAAGTTTTATTGTCTATGTATGAATTTATTACTTAATTTATTTAATAAAGTACTTTATTTAAAATTCTTTTTTGTAATTTTGAGTTTATTTATTTGACCCTAACTACCGTAAACTACCACCGCACCGGTTCCAAAATTGGGAGACCTTTCTGAGAAGAACCGGCGAAACAAACTCAAGAGAGGCTTTCTATCTCCTTCTTATGTTAAATTATGCAAACAAAAAGAACTAATAGTATCTGTTGGTCTTGCAGTGTGTGCTCGGGGTTGGGATTTTATCTCCTGTATAATGGGTTCCCAAGCTGGTGGTATATAACAACCATCGTTTCGTGCATTAACCCGTGAAAAACTAGTTTTATTTAAACTAAATATAGTTTTATAGCTAATGTATCTGTGTGTAAATCACGGTAACGGTAATACATAGTTATATTCAGGCTTAAAAAATATAAACCTCAGTCAGATTTCAGTAATCAAGAAGGTCAGTAGTTCTTCGTTGTCGCTCCAGGAACTTGTTGCTTTAAAAAACATATGTTGCCGCGCTCCAAGCTCGCGTTTGGTCTTCGATCGTGAAAGTCAAGCAACTTACGAAATGTCAGTCACGGGATGGGTGACGGAGAAATTTATTATTTTTGATAAAAACAATGAATAGTTATATTTATTACTTTTTAAGCATTTAACTGCTAGATGTTTAAATCTAAATAAAATATTACTATAAAAAAATCCGTGCGGACCAGGCAGCAGACGGGACTCGAACCCGCACCCTTCGCTATCCGGGCGAATGCACTGACCATTATGCTACCGCGGCCCTAATGACCGTATCGAATTTTCTCTACCCTAAGCTGCAAAGCAAAAAAGCAACGAAAAAACAATTTCGTAGGCAGTTAGCAGCAGGTTGCCTGCTGCCACTATGGCCACCCTGCTTTAACTACACTGTTTATTTCTCGCGCTTGTTTTCTGAGTCTGAATCTGAATCTGAATCTGAGTGCACTCTGGCCGTACCCAAAGGCCGACCATTGACCGATACCATAGTATCTTTAATTTATTCTCTTTTAGTCGCGTTCAGTTTCTAGTTTTTCGTTAAAGATTTGGTACCTACCTTAATCTCTCATGATGAAATGGAAAGTTGCTAGAGAAACTAGCTAAATAGTTTAGTTACAAATTTTATTACTTTGTAGCTGTGTGATACCAAAAAGTAGCTAGATCTAGCTATAAAGTTGCTAAGTTGGCATCACTGAACCTAGGTGTATAGTACTGTTACCTATATCTGCATTCGATAGGCAAAGAGCTTTTGCACACTGATTTTTCTCGTTGCATATAAAAAATATTTTTCTAAAATAAAAGTTGTATTATATCGGGTCTTGGAGTTACTATGTTTCATCATCATCATCATCAACAGCCTATCTTAGTCCACTGCTGGACATAGGCCTCTCCAATTGCACGCCACTCAGATCGATCTTGGGCTACTCGCATCCAGCTCCTGCCAGCCACCTTACTATGTTTATACTTTGAGTAATTGGTTGCTAATTAAAAAAGAAACTAAGTTTGATAATTTTTAATTAGACAATTAGTGTGCAAAATTGCTATAATTAATACTATCTGATGCCCTTCAAATTACCTAATAAGAAACCTGATAATTGAAGACTACTAACATTGTGAAATTATTGTTTGCCTATTCTGATATTTGAATGAAAATAACTGACTCGAAATATCGGCAGTAAATAAGTTGGTATAACTTATTTACTGCCGATATTTGTTTTAAAAATTGGTTTTGAGCGAGTCGGAACTACATCGAGTATGTTTCGTCCAAATAAATCTTGTTTCTGTATTGGAAACAGTTTTGCCAGGTCCAGGAAAAATCGGGAGTTGTTACAGAAAAAACAAATAGTGGATGCAAGAATTGGTAACTGAAATCAAAATATAGGCCAGTAACGAATGCGTTACTATGGCTTCGGCCGTCCCTTAAACTACTTTTTTATGATTTTTTTTATTTATTTTTAAGCATTTATCTGCTAGATGTTTAAATCTAAAGAAAAGTTTACTAGAAAAAAATCCACGCGGACCAGGCAGCGGACGGGACTCGAACTCGCACCCTTCGCAATCCGGGCGAATGCACTGACCATTATGCTACCACGGCCCTATTCACCGCGTTGAAATTTTCCTAGCCTTAAGCTGCAAGGCAGCGCCATCTCTTCGCATTGTAGGTAACCCACAATTTCAAATGAATACTTTTTCAAATATTAAACATTCGAAAGAAGAAATAGCAATTATAGTTATGTTTTTTATTTATTTTTAAGCATTTAACTGCTCTAGCAGCAAATAAAAATAAATAGGTTTAAACATAGATGTTTAAACCTAAATTTACCTACATTGAATGTAGGTAACCTTGTTTCCGTTTCCGCCATTAAGAATGTATCAGGTACAGTGCGTAAATCGAATAGACGTTTCACTTAAAAAACTATTGTATTTTTGGTAAGCAAAATGAATAGTTACCGCCGTAAAGTTGTTTCTAGTGCAGTTTTCCAACTCCTCCCTGTAACGTTCAACGGACAACCGCAAGCCGTCCAGGTACGCAGACCCGTGCTGGAGGACACCCTTGCTTACCTGAATAAGTCAGTCAAATTAATACATATATTTATTAGCGCAAATTAAGGGCATGAATGAATCTAAAGCAATCCCCGTTCGCGAGCATGAAGCACGGCTGCAAAACGCAGGCGATTTGCACGTCTGGGGCAAAGAATGTATATGTTAATGCGGGCAGTATGAATAATGCCCAGCCAAATCATGCCAAGTGATTAATTACAATCTAATTCTATTTATCACATTGCCCGGTCATTATTAATAATGCTCGACGGCTCGCGGTGCATGTAAAAGTCAGTGTTTGAGATGGCTTGAATTTATCGCTTGGACCGGGCAGTATGAATAAATTCAAAATGTTGGTACTATTGTCAAAATGACAGATGTCTCGCCATTTTGTGTTTGTTTTGTTATCTTGGTAAATAAAAAATAGGCTCAACACTTAGAAAAAAAGGTAAATGTGGCTTTACAACAGTCTTTAATTCAGAACCGACTTGTGGTCAACCCCGACACGACGTGGTCTTGGTCTGCCCTACCCCTAGAGTGTTTTTTAGAAACCGGAGGCGCAGAGAGAGAGCATCCCCCGTCTGCTGTGACATATCCGCAAGCATCATGCGACCCGTAGCGCCTGAGGCCGCCGGAGGTGGCGACCAACAAGCCGAAGGTGGGAAGGGGAGTGATGCTTGTGACTTTGTCACGCAAAGGCAGAGGGGCTGCTATTCCCGCAGCGCCGCAGATAAGGCAGAAGTACTGGTTCTTATTTCCCTAGTCCTTGCATCCTAAAAAATAGGGAACCATAAATTCTGAACATTTAACAGACAGATAAATTTTTCAAACAAACTGCATTGAAACTACTATAGACTATAGTTTCTAAATGTAGCCCTTCGTAAATTTAAAAATAAATACTAAACTATACCAAATGTTTTTATTATTACTCTACCCGATAATTGATTTCATTACTTGTAATGCTCGGTCTATCTAACTATGTATTCATTTGAAAGTATTAAACATGCTTTACATCACTCTGCCCAATAGGCACTGTGCATTATTCATAATGCCCGGGCAATGTGATAAATTGATGGTTATAATCACATTGCCCGCTCTTATTGGGCATTATGAATAATGCCTGATTAATCAATTAGCCCATAACATATACACTACAAAGGACAATGGGCAAAAGACACCCAGCTCCGCCAACAATATCATTAGTATGAATCGATAGATCTATGAAAAACAAACCTTTTTTATTATGATACCGTAAAAAATATCCCGGTAGTCAAAAGATATGTCACCGTAAAAAAATATCCTGGTAGTCAAAAGATATGACATCGTAAAAAATATCCTGGCAGTCAAAACACACATGGGCATATTTTTAAGTAGCTAAATAAATTAATTTTATAGTCCCTTAATTTTATATTATTAGTAACCATAATAATATACTATATCGTACTACAAACCAGATATACTACAAAGCCTGCCGACCATCCTGCGCTTGCACTTACTGAGCCACCTCAAAACGGTTTACGGGGGTTGAAGGACTTGTAGTTACAAATAGTTGACTCGTCTTACTTCATTGTGATTATGCACTCCCTGACACTTGAATGATTTTTATCTAACACGCTTTGGACATTTTAACACGATTATCGGTTTTGTCAATTAGTATGGATGAACTGGAATTATGTTTCCTCCGAAGTGTGGACAAGTTTGTGTGATAAAATGTGATTAATTTACTGTAGACTGTTTGAAAAAACCCCAACCCATGCGGGGATTTTTGGATTTACCTACCTTAGCGCGGCAGAATAACATGGGGGACACCCTTGCACCTTGTGAAGTACTGCTATAGTACCTGAGACCTCTATATACGGTCGAACTAACTAACTAAATTAATTACCTTGTTTCATTAATTCGTTTGTTGGACTTGTACCTATTTAACTTAAAATAACTAGAGACCCCCGGGATGGAATTTGTTGCGCTTTGGCACAGATGATCATGACTATAATACCTTTAAAACAAATGTAGTTTAAGCCGTGGCGGACGTGGGTGCAGCGTCCATACATTTTTGCCCAATGTCCTTTAAATTATTGGATTTCAAATTCCTCGCGCTCATTATCTTTTCTTTTGATTTGGTTATAACAATATTAAAGAAAATGAGTATGAGGTACTTGAAAAGCTTCGGCATTCAGAAATAACAAAATGAAATTGTATGTAGCGATAGCCACAGAAATCCCGTTACACGATTGACCCCCTGCTCTCGCCCACTGCAAACATTAACTGTCAAAATACGAAAATGGTTATTAGGATAAATGGCATTAAAAGTGAACTGCAGTAGCCCGGTCTGTCCTTCCTTAAATCTAGTGCTCGGCAGTGCGTTTCATCAAATAGTTCCTATGTCGTCATGTTGGTTAACAATTTACCAAAGCAATTTGATTGGTTAACAAGTGATGTTATAACGTGATTGGTGATGACACGTTGACAGACAGGAGTGCCAACATGACGGTTTCATCAAATAGTTCCTAACTATTTGATGAAACGCACTGCCGAGCAGTGCCAGCAAATACTATAGAAACTCTACCGGTTCTATATATTTGGTGCCAGTCTATAAAGATACAAAATTTTCACGAGCGGATGCGTATCGGGTCCGATGTGGATCCGAATGTGTCCATTTTACGGAATAGCACTGCAGTAGTGTTATATGCTTTCACGGGCGGATCCATAGCAGTTCCGATACGGATCTGCGCTTGAAAATTGTGTCTTTACAGAATAGGGGTGATGACGGGGTACAGTAAACGAAATTCTATTTAGTCCGACAGTTAGATGATCAAAAAATAATGGACACGTATTTTATTCTTTGGGCAATCAACCAAAAAATGACTATGTTATAGCGCGTGTAAGTTTGGGAGTAGGGGCTCGTGACGTCACTTTTAAGTGAAAATTGTACCAAAACGTGACGTCATATGACTTTTCAAATCAATGTCTGCAATGTTTATATTATGTGAAAAAAGAAAAAATACGTGTCCAATACTTTTTGATAATCTACCTGATAAATGTAGAAAAAAAAATTAGTCATCGTCTCTATTGCACTACTGGCCAGTGGCGACTAACCTTGTTCACGAGCACGGTTTGTTTTGTATTGGTTTGTACTGATCCCGAACCGTCACTCGATGTCGTCAACAAACCTCCATAGTGTCACATGCCTAACTGACGATCGGATTAAGACACGGTTAAAACCCGTGCCTAGACCCAGGTAGAAATTGTGTTGTTAACAAGCGCCCTTAATGTAAAATCTCGTATTTAAATAATAAAGAAATTATTATGTAATCAAAAAGTGTTTTAACATCAAACTTAATTAAACTAAACGCCCATCATAAAACGTCCATCATTTTGTACGTAGTATTTAAAAAAAGTTATTTAGTATTTATAAGTATTATCATGAGTTACTTACTTTTCTCATCATGTACTCCCCATGTTGATACGCATTTGCGTACAAATTGTTTTTGGGGTCGTCCTGTTCACTCTTATGGTAATAATGTTTCGCATGCTGCATGATGTTATATATTTCCTCATACGGTTTCCTATCGGTGTTATACAAGCTGTCCCCATTGATATTATCGAAAAAAGCCTGATTCTCATTCAACTTCGGCACTTTCTCATCAATATTAGAATACTTTTCGAAATAAAACCTCCTTACTTCCGGCAGATCAATAGTCCACGGAGCGACTTCCGTTAAAAAAATCACAGTTACGTACGCAACCACTGCTGCACTAGCCGAGAACATTTTCCCGCTCTTTTCGACGTCAAATTTCAAAATGGCGCCCTTGACATTTGAAAATTTCGATTAGTATTCGCGGGTTTTTCTTTGCTAGCTATTGATTGTGTAATTATTTTAATACAAGCACGAATAGAACGTTATTATCTTTAGGAATCACGATTAAAACTGGGATGGGAAATTACCAAACAAACGGATGTGCGTTTTTTTCATAATTATTGGTTTCCCGCGCGATTGTATTGTTTCGCGTTAGCTTAGGCAAGTAGGTTTCATGCACAGGAGGCGATATGCACCTATCAAGGTACTTATTACACAATCATTGATTGATACTTCTGGTGTTTTTATTAGTAGCATATTGTAATAATAGATTCCAGATAAATTTTATAGACTCCAACTAAATACCGACGACGTAAGATCTGGCTAGGGTAATTTTACTCCAGCCGGAACTGAACTGTTTTTCTAAAATAATTGAAAAATCAATAAAATAAATAATTATTATATTTCAACACACACCAATTAGCCTAGCCCCATAGTAAGCACTGTAAGGCTTGTGTTATGGGATACTAGGGTAACGGTTAGAATACATATTCTGGACATTTATATAGAAATACATTTTTTTTTGTATTAAATAATATTATAATAATAATAATATATATTAAATAATGTTCGTATTCTATATATCACACAAACATCTGCCCCCACCGGGACTCGAATCCGGGACCTCTCGAGTCGGCGACACCTTGAAAACGGCATTCATACCACTCTGCCACGGAGGTTGTCAAAAACTCAAGTATCGAGTCAACTATCAACTTACCATATTTTTTTTTATAATCTTCTTTATTTAGAGGCTTTTACCTCATAAAGATATGCCAGCCCCATCATATCCTAACATTATAAATTACCAAATTAATATAAAACTACAACGACTCATTGTTGCAAAATATATATATAAGGCTTTTGAATATTTCCGACTGCGAATCTGCCAATATTGTTGCGAATATACCTACACCGAACACATTTATATTGTGTTTCTGCAATAATGACATTGTCTTATTGTTATACTTAGTACACTCTACAAGCATGTGCTGAACGTCATCGACTGTACCACAAATTTCACAATTAGGAGAGTCTAATTTTTTCATGAGGAAACCATATTTCCTGGATGGATAATGTCCAGTACGAAGTCTTAAAGCTGTTACAATGAACCTTCGGCTGCATTTCAAATTGACAAACCAAGGAATTCTCAGAGGCTGACACTGGATTGTCTTGTACCAGATTCCTTTTTCCCTACTTCGCTCGTCAAAATACTCTTTAAATTTTGCAAAACATTTTCTTTTGAATTTTCCTAGAAGCTCTGAATAAAATGGTAAAATATTTGAGTTAACACCTTCACTGATAGCTAACTTCGCCAGTCTGTCAGCCTCTTCATTTCCTTTAAGGCCAACATGAGATGGAATCCATTGCAATTTCAGAGTAATATTACGCACATTGATTTCATAGATCCTGCTTAAAATAGAATATGCTATCGGTGTGCCTCTGCTGTGCCCAGAGGCGCATCGAGCTAAATGTTGTAAGGCACTTTTGCTATCTGTCAGTATAACAAACCGATGTTCTTCTAACCCGTCAATATAACTTATGGCTTCTAAAATTGCAAGTAACTCCATGGTCATGATTGAGACTTCAGTAGCTGATTTATACATAGCAGAGACTCCCTTTACATCAAAGAAAGCAGCGCCTACACCAAGAGTCCCTTTGGAACCATCTGTAAAGATGTGGGTCCAACCTGTATACTTCTCTCTCAATTCAATCATAGCATCAATATAAAGTTGCGAGGGAAAATAGCTGTTTTTGGCTTTCTTAACACAATCCATGTAATCTATAATTATATTCTTTACATCTACGTAAACAAAAAAAACAACTTACCATATTTAAAATCTGTTTACTAAATACAGAAGCCGAATATCTCATTATCAATTGCACATGGATGCCGATATTCGACATAATAATAATAAACATTTATTTCGGACAAGGATACATCCATATTATGGTTAGTTACATGAATTACTTATTATCTAGTGTTAGTATCGAAATTTAATTTACTTACATACTAAACTTGTGCCCGTTATACACTTCTGGATACAATAAGCTTGTACGAGACGACCGCCTTACGACCGAAGCGAAAGAAAATGAACTTACAACGATACGAGAACAATGTATAAAAATGTATCTATAATTTCACATGAATCGGTTGTATACGCATTAAAAATATCATTCCCTTGTTGTCTTATTAGAATGAGTCGGATATCGCAACAATAGATAGCTCTGCCCATAGTAAACCATTGTAAAATTGATAGTTCAGAGCGATATTCCGCCCCGTTCTCTCCAATAATCTTATAAGACTTTATCTAAACGATCGCCACGACGCCAAGCGGTGGCGCGGGGAAGCTAGTCAGAATACTGATAGTTCCGACCTATAGGAGGGACGGAGACAATAGGTTGTCCTTGTCACACGTCTTATAGGATTTTACCTGAGTTGACAATTTTCGATAATAGTATGTTTTATGTTTTGATTGATTTATTTTATGTCTTATTAGATAGTAGGTAGTTATAGGAATAATATATCGAAGTTTTGTATGAATCGTGTTAGTAGTTTAAGCGTAATTAAGGAAAATATCGGGAATAGTTTTTTATGAATAGTCAATAGGATATAGGTATAATTGTTATAATAATGATGTCATTTTATGTGTTTTTACTTCTTCTTTAAAATGGTGTATGATAGTTAGACATTAAGCGAGTATAAGTAGGTTTTTTAAGACTTTTTAATTTGCAAACTTTATAGGACCGTAGAGCTGTTGTTTATTAATATTCTTGTAAGAAACTTGTTGTATTAGATAGGTAACACGTAGGGCTACGTAAATAAATAGGTATCGCATCAATAAGTGTAAAAATGTACTGTGTAGGAGAAAAAACATGTTTGTATAGAACCGTTTTCTGAGACATGTTGCGCTCCCCACCCGGCGCGCCCGGAGCGCGCGGGTGGGGCAGCGAAGCCCCGTGGCAGGGCGAAGCCCTATGGAGGGGGAAAGTATAAATATTGCGGAGACCTATTTTTTGCGCGCCACACCTAAAATATCGTGTTTACGGACACATAACTATGTTAAAAATATGCCCAAATGTATGCCCGATGTATGTACAATTAGTTTTAAGCTCGCACTATTGTAAATTTTGAGAAAATGAAAAATAAAGTATAGCGTGGGTGAGGTAATGGATCGCTGGCCAGCTCAGTCCTAGCATATAAAATTCGAGTCGGAACATGCCCCGACATGCATTCAGCGACAGGCGCTCCTACCCTAAGGAACAGGAAGAAACAACCAAGCGGTTCACTCTGGACCTGAAGCCTCCTCTCACCGGCCATCCATTATCAGCGCCCACCGATTTCTTCAATACCGAACACCAGGGGTTTTATTCGCCGAAACTACAGTCCACTACAGTCAAGACTCCTGCGTGTAACTTCCTCCACCCCCTCAGTACGAGTCGGTAACTGTCCGCTACTGCGACAGCCCGGCGTCCCGTACATTTTTTGGTCGCATCGAGCCGGATCTACAGCGCCGAGGAAGAATTGAAGAAAAATTATAGAAGATTGAAGAAAGAAGATCGTCGTGGTCAATTATAGAAGATTGAAGACAGAAAATTGAAGAAAAATTATAGAAGATTGAAGACAGAAAATTGAAGAAAAATTATAGAAGATTGAAGAAAGAAAAATGCCACGAACAAGATCTCAAGCTGACAAAATGGACCAGGCCGAAGAGGAGCGCATCGAGAGAAGCATCGAAGAGCCAGAGCGAACCGCTGCAGGAGAGAATCCTGTCCAACCCCCGTCAAGAGCGCCATCGGAAGGGAGCGACACCGTGACGCGGCCACCGTACCCGCTGCGCCACGACCAACCGCCGAAGTCGCCATCAGCTGCAATGACATCACACCGAACAGAATCGAAGATAGCTGCACGAAGAGCAGCAAAGAAGAAGCGCCTGGCGGCGTTATATGAAGAATTAGAGAAGACTATAAGGGCGAAGATACGAATGGAAGAGCAAGATAGCGAAGATGAGGATCAAGAGGACCCGCAAATAGAAGATAGAAGAGAAACCGATAGCACACATGGCACCGAGAATGAAGAACGCGTCATCACCTGGCTGGACACAGCGACAAAGGACACCACCCCCGACGGCGGCACCACCGAACCGTATAGAAGACCGACCGTCGAGGACACCGTACAGATTGGTGGGTCCGTCGCACCACTTGCCGAAGATCCAGTCCCAGGGGCGCTGAAGCCATGCATTAAGAAGAGTCCGCCGTCCCGCATTGATGAAGCTCAAGAACAAGTCGCCCCTACGTTGCCGCCACCGCCACCGCCGGTCCAGCAAGACAGAATGAACGTCTCCGAGCTGGCCGTCGCAATCAACGCCGCCGTCCGTGCCGCCGTACCGCCTGCACCGGGTCCACGCTACGTCGGAGAGCTGCCACCCTTCAGCGGCGCGCACACAGAATGGCTCACCTTCAGGGCGGCGTACCTAGAATCCGCAACCTACCTATCGTCGGCGGAAAACTCATCAAGATTAAGAAGAGCCCTCAAGGGGAAGGCAAGAGAAGCCGTGGGCAGCATGCTAATAAGCAACACTACGCCGGGCGACATTATGAAGCAATTGGAACACAGATTCGGCCGCCCGGACAACATCGCCGCAACCGAAATAGAAAAGCTGCGCCATTTACCCCGACTCACCGATTCGCCGAGGGACATCGTGATTTTTGCAAACAAAATCAAGAATAGCGTCGTCGCACTACAAGTACTGGGGCAAAACGAGTACCTACGTGCGCCGGACATCATGAAGACAATTATAGAAAAGCTGCCGTCGACTATCCGCTTCAGATGGAACGATTACGTCAACAATCACCGAATGCAAGAAAAAATGAAGACGGATCCGGAACTATTGATTTTCGCCGAGTTCATCGAAGTCGAGGCAGAAAACAACGCAAGATACGCCCCACCGGAATACATCGGGAGTGAAGAACACTCTACTTTGCAAAGAAGATTTCGAACACACAGCATAGAAGGTCAAGAAAGAAAAAATATCGAAGATAGAAATAGAAGATATTACGTCAAAGACGTCCCGTGCCCTGTCTGCGCGGAACTAAAGCATACACCGGTCGACTGCGCAACACTGAAGGCCGCTAACCGAGAACGCCGCTGGGAAATAGCGAAGCAGAGCAACCTGTGCTACAAGTGCCTACAGTACAGAAACAGAACACACAACTGCGCGCCGCGCGCGTGCAACAGAGATGGCTGCGAACGTACTCATCATCCGCTACTTCACTTCAAACCGAAAATCGATCAAGAAAAGGAGTCGCCACCGCATCGAATAGAAAAAATAGAAACCGAACGAGTAGCCAGCACACACAGCAGCCGCAAGCGCGACGCGTACCTCAAGATAGTTCCAGTACGCATCACCGGACCGCGAGGTCATTTCGATACCTACGCACTGCTCGACGACGGCTCCACCGTGACACTAATAGAAGAGCGAGCCGCCGAGAAGATAGGCGCCGACGGGCCAACCGAAGAGTTCCAGATCGAAACCATAGACGCCGAGCTGCCCGAAACACAATCGAAACGAGTCGCCTTCAACATCGAGGGACAGACGGAGGGCTTCGACATAGAAGCGCGCACTATTCGGCGCATGAAGATTTCATCACAAACGGTCGAGCCACATTGCCTACGTGACTGCAAGCACCTCCGAGATATAGAAAAGCACCTCGTATACGAAGACGCCCGTCCCACCATTTTGATCGGTCAAGATAATTGGGACCTCCTTATCGCCAGCGAAGTCCGAAGAGGAAACCGAAAACAGCTCGCCGCATCGAAAACCGCGCTCGGATGGGTCCTACACGGCACATACGCGCGCAACACCATCGAAAAAGTCAACCTCGTCAACAATCGCCCGAAGATAGAAAATCGACCGAAGATCGAAAATCGCCCGAAAATGGAAAATCGACCGAAGAACGAAAACCGAAAAATCGACCATCAACCATTATCGAAGACGAATAGAAGAGTGGACGCGCACATAGAAATTCGCACCGAGCACGCGCCGCCACGAAGTCGAAAAGCACCGCCACCGGGTCAGCATAGCGGCGGGAGCGCGAAACACAATGCGACACACAGAAGAAATCGCCCAGCTCACTATACCTACAGCGACGAGCCGCGAGTTCATCGACCTCGGTCGCCCGCGCCACCGGCGGGAGCCCCGAGGTGGCATCGTATCGATCGCAACAGAGAAAATCGCCGGAGATCGCCGTATAGACAAGAAACGCAGAATCGTTATCGCCAACCAATTCGGGCGAAACGCGACTACACGAGTCATCAACCTTATCGAGATTGGAGGAGCACTACATCGACCTTCGGAGCGGCTGGTGGTGCATACAACATCATCGGTCGCCTCTCCCACGGTGATTGGATGCAGCGACGAGTCAACCGACGCTGCACGGCGGGAGTATGTACGAGACGACCGCCTTACGACCGAAGCGAAAGAAAATGAACTTACAACGATACGAGAACAATGTATAAAAATGTATCTATAATTTCACATGAATCGGTTGTATACGCATTAAAAATATCATTCCCTTGTTGTCTTATTAGAATGAGTCGGATATCGCAACAATAGATAGCTCTGCCCATAGTAAACCATTGTAAAATTGATAGTTCAGAGCGATATTCCGCCCCGTTCTCTCCAATAATCTTATAAGACTTTATCTAAACGATCGCCACGACGCCAAGCGGTGGCGCGGGGAAGCTAGTCAGAATACTGATAGTTCCGACCTATAGGAGGGACGGAGACAATAGGTTGTCCTTGTCACACGTCTTATAGGATTTTACCTGAGTTGACAATTTTCGATAATAGTATGTTTTATGTTTTGATTGATTTATTTTATGTCTTATTAGATAGTAGGTAGTTATAGGAATAATATATCGAAGTTTTGTATGAATCGTGTTAGTAGTTTAAGCGTAATTAAGGAAAATATCGGGAATAGTTTTTTATGAATAGTCAATAGGATATAGGTATAATTGTTATAATAATGATGTCATTTTATGTGTTTTTACTTCTTCTTTAAAATGGTGTATGATAGTTAGACATTAAGCGAGTATAAGTAGGTTTTTTAAGACTTTTTAATTTGCAAACTTTATAGGACCGTAGAGCTGTTGTTTATTAATATTCTTGTAAGAAACTTGTTGTATTAGATAGGTAACACGTAGGGCTACGTAAATAAATAGGTATCGCATCAATAAGTGTAAAAATGTACTGTGTAGGAGAAAAAACATGTTTGTATAGAACCGTTTTCTGAGACATGTTGCGCTCCCCACCCGGCGCGCCCGGAGCGCGCGGGTGGGGCAGCGAAGCCCCGTGGCAGGGCGAAGCCCTATGGAGGGGGAAAGTATAAATATTGCGGAGACCTATTTTTTGCGCGCCACACCTAAAATATCGTGTTTACGGACACATAACTATGTTAAAAATATGCCCAAATGTATGCCCGATGTATGTACAATTAGTTTTAAGCTCGCACTATTGTAAATTTTGAGAAAATGAAAAATAAAGTATAGCGTGGGTGAGGTAATGGATCGCTGGCCAGCTCAGTCCTAGCATATAAAATTCGAGTCGGAACATGCCCCGACATGCATTCAGCGACAGGCGCTCCTACCCTAAGGAACAGGAAGAAACAACCAAGCGGTTCACTCTGGACCTGAAGCCTCCTCTCACCGGCCATCCATTATCAGCGCCCACCGATTTCTTCAATACCGAACACCAGGGGTTTTATTCGCCGAAACTACAGTCCACTACAGTCAAGACTCCTGCGTGTAACTTCCTCCACCCCCTCAGTACGAGTCGGTAACTGTCCGCTACTGCGACAGCCCGGCGTCCCGTACAAAGCTATTATATATTGTATATAATCATATCGACCCCCTATAACTTGCAGAATAGAGTTGGAGCTGGCTCGCACTCTGCAAAGCAACGAAGCGGCTCTCTTCCGCATGATGGCATAAAAATCATCAATGTGCATCTGCGCAATCTGCGATATGATTTTTTGGCTGAGGTAACACATAATACCCCCTTATGAATACACAAAGACTAAGCTTGGATTAGTTACAAAGTGTTTTGTTTTTTGGTTTCTTGTTCATTGAATGGCAAATGGCATTTGAGTGATGTGAACAAAACACGGTGTAATTGGTCTAAAGTCTCGATGACACGGGGCAAGATTACAAGCTACAAGCCTGCGAGTTCGCTAGCAGCTTGTAGCTGCTAGCGAACTCGCAGGCTTGTAGCCTCGCCCCTTATAAAGATGTAACGGAAATGCGTCACGAGCGTCACACGGCTATGTATAGTATGTGTGTGTGTGTGTGTGGGATGCGTGCGCAGCTCTTCCCTAAGAGCATGAAAGTTGGAGGGTAACTCGGCGAAGGCTGCAACGCTACGAGCGTCACACGCGACAGACCCGTATTTCCCAGTGGGCACTTTGGGCAAGTGCCCAGGGCCCCGCGATCGATAGGGGGCCCCGCGATCGATAGGGGGCGCCCTCACATCCCTAGTTCTTGTTAGATCACCAAACGGGGGTCATAGGGGCCCCATTATACTCATATGCCCAGGGCCTCCAATAGGTCAAAAACGGCACTGCTTACATATATATGAGTAATGCGTGCGCTGCTCCATTCCCCGTATGCCTTATGCACCGCCTACTGTTAGGTTATTTAAGAAAAGAAGTTTCACCTCAGGTGTGTGCTCCGTGCTAATTGCTTAAAATTGAAAGCTGTTGTAAAAGAACGAACAAAAAATTCTGCCACAATTTAAGCTGTGGCTTTAGTCATTTCGTAGCGGTGTAATTGTAGTTTATTGCCAATGGCGTGACATTTACATGACCAGGGCCAGACAGATCTCTCGTAATACAATACATTCTATAAGTGTCAGTAAGGAATAATAATAATAATATTTATTTCCAACACTCACACCAATTGAGGCCATGAGAACCATAGTGGCCTAACTCATTTTTTAACCATAGTGGCCTATCATACTTAGGCCAGTATGGCACCGGGCACCTCAAATTTAGATCACAGACTAAAAACCATAACAGTGAATATGCTGCCATCTATTATTTATTATTATTATTATGTATGTCATTCCGTGCAAATAATTTATTACAATTGCTGTTTTATTACATTCATTTCTTTAAAAAGACAACAAGAGCAAGAGATATATAGTTTTAACACACAACAGACGGAGAACAGTGTTCATTTAGGCGTTTTGCAGACGACGGGGCGGGGCGGGCCGGTCAATTTCGCCGCGAATAATAGCACAAAGTGAATCCTATACTTCAAACGCACACAGAGGGCAAAAAGACCGCGCCTTGGGTGCCCGGCGGGCAGTGGCGGCGCGGCATGTCCGCGGCTGCCCGCCGTGGATCATACAAACCAGTTTATATGCAGTAACGCACACGGCGGCGCGGGGCAGCTAGCTCACTCCGCGCCACGCGCTTATTAGTGATGGACTATTCACTAGAACGAACGTCCTGAACTGACCGCCTCTGCCCGTCGTGTGTTTTGTGTACGCGGCGCGGGCAGCCGCAGACATCGACGGGCAGACGCGGTCTTTATTGCTTCGCGGACAAAAAGCCCGCCCCGCCCCGTCGTCTGCTAAACGCCTAATTTTTCTGGCATTGCTGTTTTATTATATTCATTTCTTTAAATAGACAACAAGAGCACGAGATAAATGGTCTTGACACACAACAGACAAACCTTTTGAGGTATGGGGCACCCTACAATTTGAGGTTTGGGTTTATAAAAAAAAGAAAAGACCAAATTTAGCAGTGTTAAAATATTTTATTATATCATACCATCAATAATAATAATTAATAATACCTATAGTAACTTACATCGCTAGCATTTGTGAAGCGTTAAGGCAAGTAGCGTCCCTTACCCAGATACAAAACACAGTACCGACCAAAATAATCATGAGTTTCGACTTTCTATGAGCAAATCACAAAGATTAAACAATTTTTTTAAATATTCAGTTCTTTTCCAATGACCTTGGTCACGCTGAGACATTTCCTTCTGTCTGTCTGTCGGCCACAGATTGCAGGGTCTGTCGGCCACAGAGTGCAGGGTCTGTCGGCCACAAATTGCAGGGTCTGCTGACTCAGATTGCAGGGTCTGTCGGCCACAGATTGCAGGGTCTGCTGCCTCAGATTGCAGGGTCTGCTGCCACAGATTGCAGGGTCTGTCGGCCACAGATTGCAGGATCTGTCGGCCACAGATTGCAGGATCTGTCGGCCACAGATTGCAGGGTCTGTCGGCCACAGATTGCAGGGTCTGTCGGCCACAGATTGCAGGGTCTGCTGCATCAGATTGCAGGGTCTGCTGCCTCAGATTGCAGGGTCTGCTGCCTCAGATTGCAGGGTCTGCTGCCTCAGATTGCAGGGTCTGCTGCCTCAGATTGCAGGGTCTGCTGCCTCAGATTGCAGAGTCTGCTGCCACAGATTGCAGGGTCTGTCGGCCACAGATTGCAGGGCCTGTCGGCCACAGATTGCAGGGTCTGTCGGCCACAGATTGCAGGGTCTGCTGCCTCAGATTGCAGGGTCTGCTGCCACAGATTGCAGGGTCTGTCGGCCACAGATTGCAGGGTCTGCTGCCTCAGATTGCAGGGTCTGCTGCCACAGATTGCAGGGTCTGTCGGCCACAGATTGCAGGGTCTGTCGGCCACAGATTGCAGGGTCTGTCGGCCACAGATTGCAGGGTCTGTCGGCCACAGATTGCAGGGTCTGCTGCCTCAGATTGCAGGGTCTGCTGCCACAGATTGCAGGGTCTGTCGGCCACAGATTGCAGGGTCTGCTGCCTCAGATTGCAGGGTCTGCTGCCTCAGATTGCAGGGTCTGCTGCCTCAGATTGCAGGGTCTGCTGCCTCAGATTGCAGGGTCTGCTGCCACAGATTGCAGGGTCTGCTGCCTCAGATTGCAGGGTCTGCTGCCTCAGATTGCAGGGTCTGCTGCCTCAGATTGCAGGGTCTGTCGGCCACAGATTGCAGGGTCTGCTGCCACAGATTGCAGGGTCTGTCGACCACAGATTGCAGGGTCTGTTTGCCACAGATTGCAGGATCTGTCGACCATAGATTGCAGGGTCTGTCGGCCACAGATTGCAGGGTCTGTCGGCCACAGATTGCAGGGTCTGTCGACCACTGATTGAAGGGTCTGTCGGCCACAGATTGCAGTGTCTGTGGGCCACTGATGACAGGGCTGTTTGTCACATATTGCAGTCACTTTCCAGCATGCCTAGTGACTAGCGCTCTCAAGTGTCAAATAAGATATCATCGGTCATCGTATGATAATTATGAAATGACGTTTATGCTTGTTTGTGACATGAGTTCAACGATCACAGATTTCAATAATATCACTACGAAAAAACAAAACGTCTTAAAATCAAAATAATCGCTCTTATTCTTTGGATTAAAAGATAAAATACATATTAAATGCAATCATTATTTTTTATTACAAAACAAAAGCTTCTTTGCAAGGGAATATAAGCATACGAAATGTTATTCTAATGTAACCAGACATTTTTAGTTAATTTACTGTTGTTAACAATAATTTATTGGTTTGTAAATTTACAAACATTTTGTTAATCGTTATTGACGAGTATAATTTATACAATTTATATTCTGTAATTCTACAGACAGTTACACATCAAGTTACCAATACCGTCATTATTAATTGTAATTAGAATTCTTTAGTTTAGTATCGTCTAGGGAAAGGTTGTGTTCGCATATAAATTTAGAAACAAGTAAGTGTAGCTACATAGCTAGTATAATGAAGTGTGAGCTGTATTTTAATAATAAATATTCATTACTAGTGAAGTATCAGAAATGTTTTATTTTTTATAATTAGAAATAATAAAAAATAATAATTAGAATTCTTTAGTGTAGTATCGTTTGAAGAGGTGTTGCGTTTCCATATTCCCGGATATATACAGAGTGTACAAAAACCTATGACAAGGACTTAAACTAAGCATTCTGTACACCCAAACAAGTCATATTACAAAATATTATAGGTGGGCAAAATTAGTATTTTTAAGTTAATAAAATACATTTTTTTCCAACACGCATGTATAGCGCGGCGCGCTACTGTGGCGCTACGCAAAGCATGTGCCTGTATGTATGTGTGTACGTGTGTGTAAGTGCGTCGATAAAAAAGTTTCTAAACAACGTTTAGAAAATATTAATGTATAAATCTTGAAAAAAAAGTTTGACTTTGACTTTCAATATCTCCATAACCATAAATTTACCAGGGGGCCATTCGCCTAACGAAAATGCTTTGGAAAACGCTATCGCTTACGATTTCATTTTATTATTTCTAGCCGCCTGAGGTTTTCAAATGCCTCGCGCTCTTTTTTTTTTCTTTTGCATTGGTAATAATAATATTAAAAAAAATGAGAGTGAGGTATTTGAAAACCTTCGGCGGTCAGAAATAACAAAATAAAATCGAAAGCGTTAGTGTTTTCCAAAGCTTTTCGGTTAGGCGAATGGTCCGCAGGTATGGTCCAGAAGAAAAAAAATATCATGTTGTGGCAAATACGTGGACTTTGACTTTGTTATAGGTTTTTTTACACCCTGTATATATATCCTAGCATTATAAGTTTTGTCCTATATGGTTTTGACGGTCCCCAGCTTAAAATAAATGTTACATTGAGCAAAAAGTTCTTTTTAAACCATCTTTTTCGTGTTGTTTTAAACATATATTATTATTTGCTCAACCTAACTTAATTAGATTTTTGCTATACACCGTTCCAACTTATAACACTAAGGCCCATATTATAGAAAGATTCTCAGTGATTGATCTAGTCTTGAGCATAGTTAGAAAGGGATGTCGCTATATATAACACAATATAGCGACATCCCTTTCTAAATGTACTCAAGTAAAGATCAACATTTAGTTGTCATTCTGTAATACGGGCCTAAGTGGACCCGATATATGTGTCTGGAAGTGTTATTATAAACAGGTAAGGGTAGCCACATAACTAGTTTATAGTATAGTGAAATATGTGATACAGTATAAGTATTTATCCCATGCGTGGGCGTCCCATCCCACGGCCGGGGGCGGGCATATCGCCGCCACTCTTCACGTTCTTTATGGTCTCGTCTATGGACAGAATCTGGGGACAAAAGTAAATTGAGCTTATTAATTAGACATATTAATTAAAACGAAATCAAAATCTCTTACATATTTATTTTTTAAGCATTTAACTGCTACACGTTTAAATCTAAAAAAATTTTACTAGAAAATAAATTCCACGCGGACAAGGCAGCAGATGGGACTCGAACCTGCACCGCTAACCGGGCGAATGCACTGACCATCATGCTACCGCGGCCCTGACGGCCGTGTCCAATATTCTCTAGGCTGGATGGCACAAGTGGTAGACGCGTTCGGCTGCGATCGTCGAAGTTAAGCAACTTTCGCAGTGGTCGGTCATTGGATGGGTGACCGAAAACTTACTATCTCTCGCTTCTCCGTGCTCCGGAAGGCACGTTAAGCCGTCGGTCATGGCTGCATCTGCAGTAAGGTTCATCACAAAAATTATTACTACCACCGCGATTCGAACCCAGGGATCAGGGTGTAAATAATAGATACGCATCTCGGCCTCATGTCTACTATCGTGATCCACACAACCATTTCAGTAATTGGATCCGTGTGTTTTAATCATTGGCCGAGAAAATATTAATATAATTTTAATTTTTTAAACATGTAACTGCTTGATGTTTAAATCTAAAGAAAATATAACTAGAAAAAAATCCACGCGGACCAGGCAGCAGACGGGACTCGAACCCGCACCCTTCGCTATCCGGGCGAATGCACTGACCAATTATGCTACCGCGGCCCTGACGGCGAAATTATTCTAGCCATTCTTAAGCTGCAAGGCAGCGCCATTTCTTCGCATTGTAAGTAACCCACAATGTCAAATGAATACTTTTACAAGTGTTAAACAATTAAAAGAAGAAATGCCTTGCAGCTTAAGATGATGGCTAGAAGAATTTCGACGCGGCCATCAGGGCCGCGGTAGCATAATTGGTCAGTGCATTCGCCCGGATTGCGAAGGGTGCGGGTTCGACCCGTCTGCTGCCTGGTCCGCGTGGAATTTTTTCTAGTTATATTTTCTTTAGATTTAAATATTGATCTTTTATTATTATAGGGATGATGAAAGGGTAGAGTAGAAGAAATTCTAAGATGTAGTTGATCGAACTCGTTTTACCCAGAATCTTGTGGTTTAGTCTGCTTAGGGGTTAATAGGGGTGGTTTCTACCCCTAAAAAAGTGTATTTCCGCAGTGCTACAAGAAAGCAAACATAATAGGGGTGATGACGGGGTACAGTAAACGAAATTCTATTTAGTCCGTCAGTTAGATGATCGAAAAATAATGGACACGTATTTTTTCTTTGGGCAATCAACCAAAAAATGACAAAGTTATAGCGCGTCAAAGTTTGGGAGTGGGGGCTCGTGACGTCACTTTTGAGTGAAAATTGTACCAAAACGTGACGTCATGCGACTTTTCAAATCAATATATCTCTGCAATAAACATTGCAGAGATATATTGATTGCATTGCATTTACAATATAAACATATTATGTGAAAAAAGAAAAAATACGTGACCAATACTTTTTGATAATCTACCTGATAAACGAAGAAAAAAAAATTAGTCATCATGTCTATTACGAGTATTTAAAAAAAATGATTTCATTTGGATTACATTTACTGCGTCGCGCGTAGTTTTATTCGTTTCCGTTCACTATGCGGGGGGTAATTTGCGCTAGTTATATGTATAGATGTTATAGGAGCTCGATGGCGCAGGTGGTTAGCATGTTCGGGTGCGATCGTTGAAATTAAGCAACTTTCGCAGTGGTCGGTCATTGGATGGGTGACCAAAAATTACTATCTCGAGCTCCTCCGTGCTTCGGAAAGCACGTTAAGCCGTTGGTCCCGGCTGCAGTCGTTAGCATCCGTCAATCCGCACTGGGCCCGCGAGGTGGGTCATAGCTCAATCTCCCTATTTCATCCATAGGGAAGGCCTATGCCCCAGCAGTGAGGATATTTAAATTTAATTTAAGAGCCCTTTTACAAAATTGCGCCGCTGCCGTACTGATCGGCGCGTAGGTAGATTTGCACTAGTATATATTGCATTTTACGGGTGATGTTTCGAGTCTTATAAAATAATTATTAATGAACTAATTGTAAAAATATATACATATTTCAGTAGTTCAATGATGATAGATTAGTTCTATGAAAGTTTTTGATAGTAATTCTATTAAATTCAATATCAACATACGAGGTAAACCTGCATTATTATTTGGGAAAACTCACGGAGGTTAAATGTTTTTTTTTTTAATTAATGAGATGGAAAATCAAAATTCTTATACATTATGTTACAACAAAAACATATTTCTGATGTCTTAGTAATTAATTTGATCGAATTTATTGAACATTTTTGAGAGATTGAGGCGTTTGAAGTTGTGCATATTATCGTTTTTTCCGTAAACTAGCTGCAGTAGAACGATCAGTACAAAAAAGAATTAATAGTATTTGCAAATATTCTACATCAACTTACAATAGGAAGAATAAATATACTGTTTACTTCTATTGGAAATAGTCAAAATCTTATCCAAGGGGGTAAACGAGGGGCTCAAAAATTGTGATCTTTTGCAAAAAATGTGAAAGGACTCTTAATGGAATGATGCTAAATGTATATGTATTAACCTGTGCAGCAGCTTCGCAAGCGGCTGTGATGGCATTTATCTTCACAACGGCTGGTTCCCACACGCAGGCTTCGAAATTATCAGCAATGTCCTCCTTCTGGATGTCCACGCCGTACCAGATGTCGCCTGAGAACAAACAAACGGTGATAAATAAATAAAAATAATAGTATATATTTCCAACACTCACACCAATAAGCCTAGCCCCAAAGTAAGCACTGTAAGGCTTGTGTTATGGGATACTAGGGTAACGGATAGAATATATATACTGTACATATATAAGTATATTTATATAGAAATACATATTAAACATCCATGACTGGAGTACAAATACAAACGCTCGTATTCATCACACAAACATCTTCCCCTACCGGGATTTGAACCCGGGACCTCTCGAGTCCGCGACACCATGAAACCCGGCGTACAAACCACTCGCCCACGGAGGTAGCAACGCGCTCGAGTGATATAGAGAAGAAATATGATTATATATGTGATTTCCGTTGTAATTTTATAATAAATGCCGTAAGAAGTACTGCTGGCTCATTATACATTTATAATTTTTAAGCATTTAACTGCTAGATGTTTAAATCTACAGAAAAGTTTTACTAGAAAAAATCGCCCGGATTGCGAAGGGTGCGGGTTCGAGTCCCGTCCGCTGTCTGGTCCGCGTGGTTTTTTTTCTAGTAAAACTTTTCTTAGAAACATTTATATTTCTCTCTATATTAGTAAAAAAAAATGTTATTTATAGAAATCTGATATTTCTTCTCACTTCATCTTGGTAAATAAGGTTTATTAAAGAAACACTATTTTGCTCACTCTACCTAACCGGTTAAAATTTACAGCTATTACGTCACAATATGGCGCCCAGTCGGTCCTATTCTTAGTTGAATCGCATTGTACATCAAAAATCTATGATGTTTTATAGTTATAGAAACGTCATACACGCTTCAGAAATGGTAATACGAAAGTCAGGCAATTGCCCGACTTTCAATTCAGTTACGCTACCTCGCTCTTCGCTACAAGGTACGATAAGAAAAAAAAAACACCTAAAATAATAGCTTAAACTTTACCTGCAACAAATCAGCTAAATCTCATTGACGTTTTGACATTTCTCTATCGCTTAAATCTAGTTTTAGTTGAACCAAGGTTTGGCAAATTTATAGCGAGGGGGTCTTAGTTAGGTTTTCTTAAGCTTTCTACGTAACTTTCTTGATATTTCCCATTAAGAACCTTCTAAGGTAAGAAAAGTTGAAAAGAAAAGATGTTTGCAAGTTAGGGTGTGACCGACGGACACGGGATTTTATTTTTAAGTATATTAAACATTTATATTTCTAGTCGAATCCCGGTGGGGGCAGATGTTTGTGTGATGAATACGAGCATTTGTACACCAGTCATGGATGTTTAATATGTATTTCTATATAAATTTACTCATATATGTACAGTATATGTATTCTATCCGTTACCCTAGTATCCCATAACACAAGCCTACTTTTTACAATAGTGTTGCACCTTCGTCGCTCTATCACTATGGCCTCATGTCTACTATCGTGATCCACACAACCATTTCAGTAATTGGATCCGTGTGTTTTAATCATTAGCCAAGAACATTTATGTATGTAATTACTTTTTTAATTTTTAGGCATTTACCTGCTAGATGTTTAAATAAAAGAATTTTTTTACTAGAAAAAATTCCACGCGGACCAGACAGCAAACGGGACTCAAACCTATGCCCTTCGCTATCCGGGTGAATGCACTGACCATTATGCTACCGCGGCCCTGACAACCGTATCGAAGTTTCTCTAATATTTCTTAGGGTGCAAGGTAGCGCCGTCTCTTCGAATTGTAGGTAACCCACAAAGTCAATGAACTCCTTTACAAGCACTATACATTTGAAAGAAGAAATAGCAATAATAGTTATTATATTTTTATTTTTTTATTTTTTAGGCATTTAACAGCCAGATATCAGAATCTAAAGAAAATTTTACTAGAAAAAATTCCACGAATCTTCTATCTATATATAATATATAAAACTCAAAGGTGACTGACTGACATAGTGATCTATCAACGCACAGCCCAAACCACTGGACGGATCGGGCTGAAATTTGGCATGCAGGTAGATGTTATGACGTAGGCATCCGCTAAGAAGGGATCTTGATCAATTCTACCCCCAAGGGGATAAAATACTAATATAAATAAATATTTCTTACACTCAACACCAATTAGCCTAGCTCTGGTACTGGGGTAACAGATTTGTGTCCCGTCTGTTGCCACGTGGATTTTTTCTAGTAAAATTTTCTTCAAAAACGTATACCGTAAGTGAGGGTTACTATAGCTCGGGCGGGTAACTTTGTCCCAAATCAGAAAAAAAAATGAACTTGCCGCCCCATCAGTATCTCTTGGGTGACCGTAATAGTTCCAGTTGAAAATCACAGATAGCCATATAGGCGCGCAGTGTGATGTTGTTTTACCGACGTCGTTCCTGTATCAAGTTGTCATTGTAACGCGGGATTTTTTGTAACTGAAATAGTTCGCAAGTTCATGCGCAAACTTTCTCAAAACTGTGGTTTTCGGTAAGTTTACTAATTTTTATTTAACTTAATTATTTTTGGGCAAAAACATCCATTTGTGTATTCAGTATGCTAATGGTGATCTGTTATAAGGGTTACTTACCCCCAACATGGCTTAAAATGAGTTTTTTTCACAGAGAAAACTCAACGAGCTAAAGTAACCCTCTTTAAGGCCAACATTGGCCCAAAATTAAAAAAATATATATATTAACCCTTAAAAATTATTTTTTCCTATTTTCGTATGATAACTTTGTAACTTACTTTAAAGTTCAGAATAGAAAGATATAAACGTGACATATTCATCACAAAGAGAAGCTACAATTTTATATGAAAAAAAAATGGGTGCGTGTACTTATGTAGGCGCGCGAGAAGTTATCCTTCTTTGGCATCGTTTAAAATTAGTTTTTAATTGCATGCAAATAATTAATTACAATAAATTAATAAAAAGTCTGGAAAAGGACACAGTCAATAAAGTTCAGTTTTAATTTGAAAAAATAAATAAATAATCAAAATATTCAATTAAAATCGCTACTGAATATAATTTATTAGAACATAATGTGATTTGCACTTGTATGAAACTCAAACACGTATTCCGAATATACAAACTAGAAACATGTGGATAAATATTATAAATATGAATACCTATAACTGTTACTTTATTACAAAAAATAAAGATGTGGTTTTTGGTTCTACTACACCAATGGTCAAGAGATGGCGCTGTAGTCTCCTGAATCGCGCTTTGGTTCCGTTGTTCCAGATTAATAAATACTTTTGATAGGCCTTCACAATGCAGTCGTTAGCACCCACTAAATAGAGATTCTATTTCTATTTTGTTGGTAGATTTTCTTAATGTGCGGTAAACACAAAAGTAACGCATGAAGTTGGCCGCTAAAGCGACCAACTTCATGCTGTTAAAATTTTGTGTTACAGTTGATGCGCGCGCATCTTAAAATTTCACTCTCATCATTTTTTCATAACGCGCCTAAAGAAGTATAACTTCAAAAAAAGTGCACATTTTAGGTCAAAGTAACCCACAGTTACTCGGTATATTATTTTTCTCTTCAATCTTCTACTGACCTTGATAATGCCGCTGTCTTAGTTTGTTCAGTAGATTGGTGGCGTCAAAGCCCGCGTTGTCGCACAGCTGTCGCGGGATTCCTTCGAAGGCGCGCGCGATGCCACCCAGAAGCAGTTGCTCCTTACCCGCGACACCTTTGGAATACTCGCGAAGGTATTTGGATAGCTCCATGTCTATAGCACCACCGCCTAGAGAGGATGATAAAATAATAATTATGAGTTCTTTTTGTTTGCATAATTTAACATAAGAAGGAGATAGAAAGCCTCTCTGAGTTTGTTTCGCCGGTTCTTCTCGGAAAGGTCTCCCAATTTTGGAACCGGTGGTAGTATACGGTAGTTAGGGTCAAATAAATAAATTCAAAATTACAAAAAAAAGATTTTTAAATAAAGTACTTTATTAACTAATTTAAGTAATAAATTCATATATAGACAATAAAACTTTAAAAAATCGAACAATGAAATAACCGAACGCTCAATAAAAGTCTTTCGAGGGTAGCTCGACAAAATTAAATAAAAAAAATTGATACCGACGACGCAGCCTGTTAAGGCTGCGAAACGTCAATAAATAAATAAAGTTTCGTGCATTAACCCGTAAAAAACTAGTCTCATTTAAGTACTTTATTAATTAAATTAACTAAGAAATTCATGCATAAACAAAAAAGTTTTAAAAATCTTCCAATGAAATATCCAAACTGTCAATAAAAGTCTTTCGAAGGTATGCATCTAACCCATTACAACTTGTTTTAATTAATAATTATGATGTTTTTCATACAATATGCAGTTCACGAGTGCCTTGGTTAACGGTTTCATCATCATCATCAGCCTGTTAATATCCCCACTGCTAGGGCACAGGCCTTCCCTATTGATGGAATAGGGAGATTGGGCCATGACCCACCACGCGGGCTCAACGCGGATTGGCGGGTGCCGGGACCAACGGCTTAACGTGCCTTCCGAAGCACGGAGGAACTCGAGATAGAAGATTTTTGGTCACCCATCCAATGAACGAAAACTGCGAAAGTTGCTTAACTTCAACGATCGCAGCCGAACACCTGCGCTATCGAGCTACTCAGGTAGCATATAGGAGTACCGAATATCCTATTATCTATACACAGGATCAAAGGAAAATTCGACGTAAATATTTAAGAACAATATTATTTAGGTCATTACTGAAAGGTATGGCTCTCCAAATATTACTTAATAATTACTATTTAATTACTAATCAGAACGTAAAACAAAACAAAAAAAATTTCACTGCAGTTCGAGACTAAACGAATTTGTTTTTATACACTAACTAGCGGCCCGCCCTGGCTTCGCTTCGGTGTAGAGCTGAGGTGTAGACTACAGTTTTTGTTCTCAGGCTTGTATTATACACAATGACTTTCTTCATAATAATGATAAACCTTCAATTCCAAGTAAAAAATTCGTTGCGTAGTTTAGGACCCGTTTTGTACCGAATGCAACATTGCTCCGATTTGAACATCTGAACATCATCTGTTCCGATTTGAACAATTACTTTTGTATTGGACAGTGCATTTATCGAGGAAGGCTATAGGCTATATATTACCAAGCTAAGACCAGTAGCAGCGGAGCATCGATGAAAAATATTGCAAAAACGGGTAAAAATATTCCATTTGTGAGATTCCATTGCGTGCGCTGGGTAAACGGTTAAAATTACACACTAAAATCATGTACAACGAAATTCTTCTCCATCATCATCATCGTCATCAGCCTATTAATGTCCCCACTGCTGGGGCACAGGCCTTCCCTATGGATGGAATAGGGAGATTAGGCCATGACCCACCACGCGGGCCCAGTGCGGATTGGTGGGTGCTAACGACTGCAGATGTAGCCGGGACCAACGGCTTAACGTCTCCTCCATCTCGTCTTCTCCATCAAAAGTTCTGTTAAAGTCTGCGACAGCCTATGTCCATATTTCAAGTTTGACTCACTATAAACATTTTTCTTCAAATTAACGCGGGTGAAACCGCAGGGGACCTCTAGTTGTGACATAACTGTAATAGTTACACATATGGTATCGTAGACTTTATTATAGATATTGGTATCTTTATAAAACTTTAGTATATCACTTTGCTCTATAGTCAATGACTTCCGCAGCGTACGCGATATGAGGCTATTTTTTGGTATTTTTTACACACGTTGGGTCACATTATCGAAGTTTTCATACGGTACCCTAACTTTTTTGAAAAAACACTATAGCCTATATTAATCAGCGATAATGTAGCATTGAAATGGTGAAAGAATTTTTAAAATCGGTCCAGTACTTTTTGAGCCAATTCGTTACTGTCATGTATGTGTGTGTATCGTAGGCAGCAACCAGTCTCGCAATAAACCATTGCACCGAGCGCACGTCTTTTATTTAACAGTGGCGAACGAGGAACAAAATCAATGATTTAATTATTGAATTATCAAAATGTCGGTTGGTCAAGTGCGTGAATTCGATACGAAATCGGGAAATTGGACGAATTATGTAGAAAGAATGGAAATGTTTTTCATAGTGAATAAAGTGTCGGACGAACATAAGCTACTTACATTAATTGCGGTAATGGGGGAAGACGCTTACGAACTGTTATCCTCTTTAGCAAGCCCGTTAAAACCATCAAATTTATCATATAACAAAGCGGTAGAATTACTTTCCGCCCATCTACAACCTAAACCTTCGGTATTAGCAGAGAGATATAAGTTTCGTCAACGTCGACAACTGCACAACGAAACTATAGCAGACTACGTAACGGAGTTGAAAAAGCTATCAAAAAATTGTGAATTTACTTCAAATCTAGACGAAAATTTGCGGGATCAACTAGTATGTGGCTTAAAGAGCGAGATAATAAGACAGACTATTTGCCGAAGAAAATTTACTTTACAATCGGGCCGTAACCTTAGCCTCGTCTTTGGAAGCTGCTGAGCGGGATGCGAGTGCGGTGGAGCGAAATGGTACCGAAGGCGTTAATAATAAACATACTTACATACAAAACTTTGCTCTTTATAATATTAGTATAGAAGTATAGATAGTATAGATAAATAAATAAAATTATTAACGAATAATTTCACTTATCCATTAGTTTATTCCCCGCAAACGTGAGGGGCACACATACAGTCAGGTTAAATGCCACGGCAGACGGCTCAGACGAAATCGCGTGATGCGGCCATTGACCCGATGGCCGATCGATCACGCGATATGGCGTGACTAGGGTTATCAACTTTTCTTCTATAAATAGTTTTTTCGAAGCTGTTACCTCTAAAAATATAGAATATGGTAAAAATTATATTATTATATGGGTATGGTCGCAAAAAATTGTACAAATATCGTTTTCGTTTTGTCCTCATTTTATTTTTCTCATAATTTAAGTTATTTTATAAATGTCATTTGTTGAACATTGTTCTGAATGACGAGCTTCTGTTTAGATTATTTTGACGAAATGTAACCTACCATCCCTAAAAAATATATGTAAAAAAAATATAATTTGAAAAGTACTGCATTCACTCCCATACAAAAATCGTTTGTCCAACTACAACCTTTGTATCAAAAATTGCCAATAATTCCGAAAAAAAATAGTTTTTTGTAAATATTAAATTGTACTCATGCTTTATGATACTTTCTCAGTGTGTTTCTAGACGTGCTTATTAAAATAGCGTTTCAGTTACATATTTAATTGTTTTTAAAAAAGTGTCCAATTTTATGATGAGTGTGTAACGTCATGAATGTAACGTTTGTTTCTACCAGTTTCCTTTATGTGATTTGGTAATTTTTGCCATTTTCATAAATTGCAACACTATTAAGCAAGACGCCAACATTCAGAAATAACAATCGGCTATATTTTTCCGAATAAAAATCGTAATTTGTGTTGACTTCAGATTTGTCGCAAAAAAATATGGTTTTTTGTATGTTTGATTGCAAGGTAAGTACTGCTTGTTGTGGTATACTGTTAACGTGTTTAGAAAGATGTATTATCACAGAAAACGGTAACCCTACGTCACAATCCATAGTTGTTTGCAATTAAATTATATTTGAATTTTAGGTTCTGTCGCACGCTTTTTTGTCATGAATGTTACAATGTGTAACGAAATGTTACAATCATGACCGATTCTAAGGCGGAGATTACACTATTTTACTTAAAATATAACCTTACCGCGACTTCGTCTGAGTTAACTTTGTTTTTTTGAGAATCCTTTGAATGTTTATATGTTCGTTACTCAATCACGCAAAAACGGCTGAATGGATTTTGACGAAATTTGGTACACATAATATATGTATACTATATTGAGTAACGAACATACAAACTTTCACATATATAATATTAGTAGGATAAAATTAGTTAAAAATAAATATTCCAGATGCCTTTGACCAATGCCGAAAGGCAAACAAAATATTGTGAAAAGTTACGAACCCAAAATCCTTCGAAGTACGAAGAAATAAAATCAAAAAATGCAGAAAAAAATAAAAAAAGAAAGAAAACCACGGAATGTACCGAAGAAAATAAAAGATAAAAAGAAAACAGTGGCGAGCCAGTCAATATCGTCGCAGAATGAAGTCAAAAGATACTGCGAAAAATGATAATATCACTGAAGTGTTAGTGCTGAAACTCATGAAAACACATTCTTGGTACGAAAACTACAAAGAAGATGGGCTAACCAAAGAATATTATATGAAGAAAAAATCTAAAGCCAAACGTTAATCAAAAAAATATAATATCACCACCATAGGCCTAGAACTATTTAGTACCAGTAGAACTACTATAATAGGTTCTATTATGAACTAAGCTTTATGATGGTCATGTATGTAACGTTCTGTCATGTACGTTACGTATGTTACGATGTCATGAATGTTATTTGTACAATTTTTTGCGACCATACCCATATTCATTTCCATAAATATAGTATTAGATTAAAATATTTACTTTATTTTTGAATCGAGTTATTATTGTTGCTCTATAACTTAATAATTCAGTTTTTTTTTAAAGAAAGCTTTTACTGGCAAATGTCTGCTTTAAGCAAATTATAGTAGTTTCGCCTGCTATACAGGGCGTCCCACGGCTACCTCACACGGAGGGTAAGTATATTAAATATTCAAAATAGGACATTTTACTGAAAGAAGACATCATTTTATTTTTAATAATAACTAGAACTGTATATTTCTTTTTGAAATATAGTGTTTGATCCCCTAATATAGT